TTTCCAGGTTCCCATCGATAAAAGTCCTGACGCAAGTGCACGCGCATCACGTTACCGTATATTTTTATCGACTGAATATGTAATAGCTCCTATTGATGCGGAACAGATGGGCTATATACCTTTACAATATACCAAGGCTGTTATTATTTGATATATTTAGTCCATACATAGCGACGTCATAACGTAATAATGATTCATTCCATATATATGATATTATTCGTTCCGTTGTATGTGGTTTACCTTGTTTATAGAGACTATTAAATACTGAACGTGTTCAATCAATTATGATAAACAGCTCTATCAACCATATACATGTCAACACTACTGTCATGGGTCTTGTCAACGTTCGATGAAATTGCGAAATGAGTTACTTCAATTGGTTTCCTCGACGTTACGTCAAATCGACCTCACTCAGAACTGTACCTTGATAAGACGACCGCCACCGTGGTCTAGTGGTAGAGCTTCCCCCCGGACAGCGGAAGGTCCGGGGTTCGATCCCCGGCCGCGTAATCCCAAAAGACGTTCAAAGATGGTACGTGTTGTTACCCTGTCTGACGTTAAGCTCGGCATTAAGGGGCTAAAACAAGGACTGGTCGGCTCGGAGTCAGTATATTGTGTCTGAGTTCGGATCCAATGGATGTCTCAAGACACACAGGGACTGATACGTACTTTGTAAAGTGGAGACCGCTGACCACGTACATGTAAACAGATGTGGCAAAGTCAGGTATCTATTTCCATTAGATACCTCAAAAAATGTTCATACAAAACCATGAAAATACCGATCTTTCGATAGCCAATGTACCGATGTATGTAAGTTAACAATTGTTGCCGACAACCTTTATAATTGTAAACGTATTTTATCAGATGTTTTTGTTACTGCCACACTGCACACAAACGTTAGGACACAACAGCTTATCAAACCTGAATAACACACAACATACACAAACCACTGTGTCACAATGATGACAATGCATCAACCAATCCCGATCCCGTTTGTCGCCTCTTAAGACAAGGATAGTCGTCTTTTACGGCGAGCATGGGTTGCTGAAGAACTATTCTACCCCAGGTCTTCACAGGTCCCTAAGTGAGAAAACGGCATTGTTCCAAATAAAATGAAACAATATTTCGACCATTTCTATCATCGTATCTCTGTGCAACCCTGCACAAAGATGTACTCCTCTATATGGTGACATCTACACCAACACTTCCTGTCATTTCTAGCATCTTGTCCCTGTAGTGAGTGCTAAACGTAAGTTTTCACTGGAACTACAGCACATATTATGTATAAAAGCGACAGAACCCCTTCCAAACAAATCGCAGCAGATTCAGACTATATCGTGATGAAGTGTTTATGAATTACTATCAAAGAGTGTTCGCGAAAAGGGGAACGTATCCTGCCCCAACGTTGGCACCCGTCACAAACACATGCAAAGGCAAGTCAATTGTTCACCTGAAAAAACACGGGAACATATGGTACAAGACAAAATACTTGTACCATATTTTACAAATGTTCGATGACGTGTAGGCAAGGAATGAACTCTTATCAGCGACATATTATTCTTTTAGAGATTATATTAAAACTTCCCCCTAAGAAATTATTGATAAAGATGAAAGTTAGCGAAAATTACTATTCTTATCAGATACAAAATTTAGCAATATTGACGACGCCCTATTTCTAACCCTGTCCCTTCCTCGATGACTAGACTAAACCCAGTTCCATGGGTCGTTCAGCACTCTCAAATATTGTGTTTACTCCATCAATATTTTACGACAGATCACACACAGTACAGCACGTCGAGGACAGTGTTGACCTGGGACCCAGTCGGTCTGTTCCAGCTAGACCCAGCTCTTCCACGACCGCGTTGATCGACCGACACACCTGCATCTGGTCGATATGTGCAGCATATATTACAGCATTAGCAATATATGAAGGGACACAAAAAGGTGACACGAATGAAGATTTTGTTATGATTCAGTTGCCATGACGAGCAATAAAAGATGACTTCAAACACACGGCAATACATCCTGCCTACAGTTGGGGGGGGGGGGGGGGGGGGGGTACTGTGTTATATGACTACTCATCTCTATCTGCTAGACAACATACCCGAGACCCGAGAGTTGTTTTCTATCGATTGATTCATCATCTTGGGAAGGATCACTTCACTGTATGCCATGCCTTTCGTCATTCTCACAGTCCCTGAACCATATTATGTTTCCTCCCGTCCAGCCTTTTCTGTTATGTCAAAGCTCTAAATGAGGCAAGTCTAGTTTTTCCTTCTCACTGGGACTCCTTTTCAATTTAAATGGAGTTATTTGTTTATATCAAATTAAGATTTTCAGACATTACGCGTTTGTCTAATCTTCAAGGTAACCAAATCTCTTCTTTTCACCTCTCTATAATAGTGATCTTACGTTTTGCACCGATTGATTCGGGGATAACAATCTTTTGGTTATTCAAGAAGAAATAAATTTTACGGAAATATACTACTCGTGGCATGACGTACTAAATAGTACATTGGGCTTTTAAACGCCTTGATCTGTTCACATTTGTGTGATATGCGGTAAATCGAGCAGAGAACATGTTTTTGTTTAGGACAGACTCGTAATCAGTATACAACGGGGACGCACATTGTACATCAACAAAAGTACCTTTGAAATAAAAACAAATGTAATCTCTATTCAAACCGGTCGTACTATATTTTGCATTTTGCAATGTTACCAATCATTTCTTTCAAAAAATTCTCACATAAAGTCACTTGAATCTTGAAGAAAGTCAGAACGGTCCATGCTCTCAGCTTTAAGAATGAATCATGTGGTCGTTTAGAGATCTTAAGCCCCTTTCACCCACACATGATCCGTTATCACTCTCAAGAAAGTGTTCCTGCTCAATACTGTTCATAAAGTGTTGCATTTTCACGAGTGAATGATATTTTACGAGTGCTTCAACGATGACAACGTGCCCCTTACGCTGCAAAACGTAAATAGTTTTGTATAATCTGTAGACATTGCAGCACAACTTCTTCTGGATATCGTAGAGCGCGCGCAGGATAGCACAACCTAGGACCAAATTAAATCCTTTTTTTGGTTGCTCCTCGTGGATGTATCACGTTTTGGCAACGCTGCTCATCGCTCTCTAATACTCTTCCGGTTTGATACCCAACGTGGGTACAGTGTGTGAAGCCCATTTCCACCGCCGTGAATATTGCTGGTTAATTGCTAAAAGCGGCGTAAAACCAAACTCACTAATACTCAACATTGTTGACGTGTGTATGGTACGCTGTGAAACATATTCACTCATTGTCGGTTGTTTAAACAGTAGTGTTGTACAACAATATGAAGCCATGTGTATGTGAAAGTCAGTGAGTAAGTGAGTTTGGTTTAACGCCGCAATATTTAGCAATATTCCAGGAATATCACGACCGGGGACACCAGAACATTGTACCCATGTCGGGAATCGAACCCGGGCCTTCGGCGTGACGAGCGATCGCTTTAACCACAAGGCTATACCCGACCGCCCCGTATATGTGAAAGATGTACACGGGCTGTATTTGAGATCCAGGCACAACGCAGGGTGACATGGGATTACTTGCTAGTAGATAGGAAAGAACAGCATACAGATGGAATTTAAGCCTTGAAAGATTACATAACATGGCCAGAATTCATAGTGGGTGGTGCCAGCACGCGTATCCCCATACAAATAAAAGAAATCAGCCGTTTCTAAAAATAGCAAACTCAAACGATATATTAGATTTTAAGGTCGATATATACCCTCCAAAATGAAAAGTATCATGAAATATAAACGTTGCATGATCGGTGGTCAGAAGAAAGATCAGCTTTAAAAAATGACTGCCTGAGAACCAACACCTAACACCCCAACACACCCGAAACATCGCTGGTGAACGGTGCCAGTCCTCCCTGCACGTGGGTAGGGGGGCGGGGCGCATTCTTGAATTTGCCACTCAGTAGAAGGTGGTCAAGTCGCTCTGAGCCATTAGTATTGTTGATTTTCATTATTCACAGTAACGTGTAAGCTCCATGGCTTTAATGCAGTAATTATTATCAGATTGGAAATGCTTCGAACTGATCGAACTCAGCGAACAGTGGCGAATATATTCAGTGTGTGTCTATGATTTGCAGATTTGGCCTGACTTCTAAAACCACCGCTACCTCAGCTGAACTGGGCCAGGGGCTACAGGAGGAGTGGACAAGACACCTCAAATTGTCATTGGGAGATTTTTTTCCAATCGTAAGGGCATGACATATTATTGATCAATTCATCTCAAACGTTCACCACACACCCCTGACGTCTTTATTGTTGATGTGCACCTTTACAATACACCCCCAACATATTCTATTGATTATCATGTTAGACCTCGTCCTTTCTTTTTCTAATCCATCCATGACCGTCACTCCATATCTCTTTGTATTTAATCATCTCTTATTTTCGAATATCTCCTACATTGTTTGAAAGTATAAATCACATAATGACAGTATGATGATTATGTGAATGGCATAATCCTGATAACAAGGAACGTGAGAATTATATAAAACTGATTTCTTTGTAAGTCTTGACTGTCCCTTACAGCATAAGCACTTAGCAGACATTTGGGAACCAAGCAGTCACATTTAACATAGTGGAATGTCTTTACCTAGTCAAGGTCCTTCTGAGTTTACCGGGGTGACAGGTGGCCCAGTCGTCTAAGGCGCCGAGATTTGCTGTGCAGAGTTGCGTCACTTGGGCACGTCAGAAACCTATGATTGTGGGTTCAAATCCCGGTTCGCCCCGATTATGTTTCTAGGTTTGTCAGCACCATGGGATTCACCGAAGTGGTAAACGTCTGAGCCCTACATCACCTCGGGCTTTCCTCCCACATTAAGCTGACACGCCACGATATAACTGGAACAATGTTAATCTCGGCGTTAAACCCAACTCACTCACTCTGAGTTTACCATACCCTACTATCTATGATAACAGTGCAGCTACCACATGTACACAGAAGTGATTTCAAAAGACTTTTATTTCATGAGTATATACAACCTTTTTTTCTTTCATTATTCGGGTGTTCAGTTGTTATTGTTCTGCACTGGGAGTTGCTGACTATTGTTGCCACAGTGACTCCCATCTCTCTAAAGGACTGGAACACACAATAAGTCATGCCTGGTCCACAGTGACTCCCATCTCCCCAAAGAACTGGAACACACAATAAGTCCTGCCTTGTCCACAGTGACTACCATCTCTCTAAAGGACTGGAACACACAATAAGTCATGCCTGGTCCACAGTGACTCCCATCTCTCTATAGGACTGGAACACACAATAAGTCATGCCTGGTCCACAGTGACTCCCATCTCCCCAAGGAACTGGAACACACAATAAGTCATGCCTGGTCCACAGTGACTCCCATCTCTCTATAGGACTGGAACACACAATAAGTCATGCCTGGTCCACAGTGACTCCCATCTCCCCAAGGAACTGGAACACACAATAAGTCCTGCCACAGTGACTCCCATCTCCCCAAGGAACTGGAACATACAATAAGTCCTGCCTTGTCCACAGTGACTACCATCTCTCTAAAGGACTGGAACACACAATAAGTCCTGCCACAGTGACTCCCATCTCTCTAAAGGACTGGAACACACAAGTCCCACTTAGTCCACAGTAACTACCATCTCTCTGAATGACTGGAACACAATAAGTCCTGCCTAGACCACAGTGACTCCTATCTCCCTCAAGAATTGGAACACACTATAAGTCCTGCCTAGTCCAAAGTCAGTCCCACCTCCAACTATGTCCTGCCTAATCCACAGTGACTACCATCTCTCTGAAGGACTGGAACACACAATAAGTCCTGCCTTGTCCACAGTCAGTCCCACCTCCAACTATGTCCTGCCTAATCCACAGTGAGTCCCATCTCTCTGAACGACTGAAACACACAGTACAAGCTGTGATTCTCTGCCGTCTGCCCATATTCAGCCTTCAGCTGATGGAAATTGGAGCTCAAATCAGGGAAGGGTAACTCTGATTTCTTGTCCTCAGCAGCACTGCGGACTTCCTGTAATGCAGAAATATGTGTAAAATATTGACCCAAGTTGGAAGGAGAGTTGGTGAAAGGGGTTTTGTTCCACAGTCAGGATACTAAATACATGTAGGCAGCTGAGAGTTGACAGGTGTCACATAGCTATCCCAGAATGATAGAACTCTATGAATCATGGCCACACAATCCATTCCACATCAGGCAGATGCCTTACATTTCTAATGCTACGATGAAGCGCACTAGAAATGATGATTGTGGTTATATCAAAACTTGTCGATGTAATTGGGCAGGATATAATAAGGTTGTAGGTGTTTACCACCGACGTGAGTCTCATAAATGAGTAAGTGAATAAGTTGGTGAGTGAGTGAGCAGGTTTGAGTTTAATGCCATTTCACATCAGCTTAACATCATTCACGACTGGTGAACCAACAATCACCAGTCCATGGATCAAACTTGGGGACACAACTCAGCAAAATGCCTCCCTTGAGTCACTGGCCATCTGTACCCCGCCTCATGAAGAAGACCAGACTTACCTTTATGATGTCTGCCTTGTTTGAGTGACTTGTCTCTCGATGCTGCAGGTTCTCTTCCAGGTGAGGAGAGACCAGACTTACCTTTATGATGTCTGCCTTGTTTGAGTGGCTTGTCTCTCGATGCTGCAGGTTGTCTTCCAGGTGAGGAGAGACCAGACTTACCTTTATGATGTCTGCCTTGTTTGAGTGACTTGTCTCTCGATGCTGCAGGTTGTCTTCCAGGTGAGGAGAGACCAGACTTACCTTTATGATGTCTGCCTTGTCTTAGTGACTTGTCTCTCGATGCTGCACGTTGTCGACCAGGTGAGGAGAGACCAGACTTACCTTTATGATGTCTGCCTTGTTTGAGTGGCTTGTCTCTCGATGCTGCAGGTTTTCGTCCAGGCGAGGAGAGACCAGACTTACCTTTATGATGTCTGCCTTGTTTGAGTGACTTGTCTCTCGATGCTGCAGGTTGTCTGCCAGGTGAGGAGAGACCAGACTTACCTTTATGATGTCTGCCTTGTTTGAGTGACTTGTCTCTCGATGCTGCAGGTTCTCTTCCAGGTGAGGAGAGACCAGACTTACCTTTATGATGTCTGCCTTGTTCGAATGGCTTGTCTCTCGATGCTGCAGGTTGTCTTCCAGGTGAGGAGAGACCAGACTTACCTTTATGATGTCTGCCTTGTTCGAATGGCTTGTCTCTCGATGCTGCAGGTTCCCTTCCAGGTGAGGAGAGACCAGACTTACCTTTATGATGTCTGCCTTGTTCGAATGGCTTGTCTCTCGATGCTGCAGGTTGTCTTCCAGGTGAGGAGTGCTGGAGATGAGTTCCAGCTTCAGAGCAGAGGAATGGGCCCGGGAATGCATCAATGTAATCCGCACCTGAGGACAGTAATGTTGATTCAATTCACCAACGTCAAGGAAACTGAGGATGCACCCAGTAAACAGCACTACTTCACCCACATCAAACTGACAATATTTCTCAGTGACTCAGTCGCTAGGACACCCTTCCGACAACTGCTAAAATTTAATTGTTCAGATGTAAGACGAATAGTTCCATCTTATTCACGACTAGGGGTGATCACGATGAACTATCATATTAGGAGGTCATCTATCAATACAAAATGATACAAAGTATATATATGATTGTTGTCAGTGTCCACACAATCTAGCGATTGATATCATGAGTATCGAGCTATGCAATTAGGATACCAAGTCAGCAAGCCTGACCAACCAATCCTGTTAGTCACCCCTTACAACAAGCACGGGTTGCGGAAGTCCAGTTCTAACCCGGATCTTCAAGGTGAAACATGGAATTTGGAATGAACACTATAAGCTTGCTGGTACAAGAGGCCTCCAGACACTGAGTAACTATAGTCCGTTTGCTGCAAAATCGTGCCGATGAAATGCCAAATAAATATAAATCAGAAAGCAGCAATTCGTCAGGAATCGCTTGAAAGTTGTTTACTTGCCCATACCAACTCGCCACCATAATTTCAGACATTGTCATGAAGTAGAGAAATTGTTTTCATGTAATTGTTGGTGTTTTAATGACTGTTGTAGCAAGGGGGTCTGCACTATCAACAGAACAGCTGAAGGGCATCGCATAACACAGGGTTAGTCTCAAAACTTCTATTCTGAAATGGCACCGATGGCATTTCATCAATACAATTTTGCAGCAAATGTACAACTGATCTATCACAAAATTACTATTGAAATATGCATGATTTCAGGACATTACTATTGAGATACCACCTTTGCACAAGCTGGCACAGCAGCCTGGAGAGTACATGACTCTTGCATGACTCTACGACAAGCATAGCTTAATACTTTAATAATGTAAATAGCAAATAGTATAGTCATGTGTGCATTCTGATTGTTTGCACGTAACTATGATAGGTGGTTAATGCTGTTGCCAAGGGTCATTTTTGCACATTGTAGCCTTTGTTGTGAATCACAAAACAATGTATAATGTGTTTATAAACTGATCTAGCTTATAACATGCATGTCCCAACTGTTACACATATAAATATCAAGTGAAAGCTTTCAAGTTGTTTCTGGATACTCTAAACTTACTGTGATATGGTCAAACAGCTTGTATGTATGACTGCCGAAAGGGGAGGTAATTGTAATGGAAGTATCTGTGCGTGAGAGGGAGCCACCAGTCCATTCACACTTCCTGTCAGCGTTGGCATTGGCAACGAGGTTGTCCTTGTTCCTCAGATAAACGGGCCCCTTGATGCCGTACCTGGGCAATGCAAACATATGTAAAAGACATGGCGTACTTGTTTATCTGCGCTGACAAGTAGCCCCAACAAGTATATCTGGAGACGACGTATCCACCTGGTGAGTGTCCACTTGTTTCCATGGAAATAGCAAAAATGATAATAATGTTCTACTCAGCGAGCACAAAATACTTCATCCCTAGGATGACATCACAGTTTTATATCAACTTCTCAAGCGAAATACATGTGAAGCTGTACAGAGAGCTAACACAACATATACACATCATCAGTTGGAGAAGAACATTCAACTTTTCACAAGATGATCCACTAACAAAGTATTTAGGCATATATACATTTCTTAGATATGTCTATTCAGGACATATTGATAATACTATTTTATCATCCAAAACTGGCTTCCAAGGAGATATCACTACAATGAAATTGGATCATAATTATTTTAAGCCATCGGTTACCATGACGACACAATCAGATGATATCACTAATCTCTCTGCCACTGAAGCTGGTTAGTTGTACTTTTTACACTCAAGACACTGTTACTGTAAAGAAGAATGTTTTTTTATGATAAATAGAATCTCACTCTTGCGTCATCTAATATAAATTCTTTCTGGATGACCAAAGCTTAAAACTCTGAGGTTTGGTGAGATTCTTGATATATATTTCCTGTATATTATTATGTATATTATTATGTATATATTATATGGTTAATATATGATTGTATGTACAGTACCTGGGAAGGAAGGCCAGCACACCATTTGCTCTGATTTGGAATATCACAGCGTCCACAATGCAGCTCGCATCATTCGGAGATTTATCTCGGAAGAACAATGCCTGGAAAATTTCCTGAGAGTCTCTCTGCGAATTCTGGGATGCCTAGAAATACAAATACCATGTTCCTATCAGCCCATAGTGATTGTGAGGGTTAAGCAAACAGTATATGTACATACTACAAAATACTAACACTTCCACCTTCCTCCTCACAGCCTTCACACCTGTACACTTCAGCACTAACACTTCCTCATCACAGCCTTCACACCTGTACACTTCAGCACTAACACTTCCTCCTCACAGCCTTCACACCTGTACACTTCAGCACTAACACTTCCTCCTCACAGCCTTCACACCTGTACACTTCAGCACTAACACTTCCTCATCACAGCCTTCACACCTGTACAGTTCAGCACTAACACTTTCTCCTCACAGCCTTCACACCTGTACACTTCAGCACTAACACTTCCAACTTACTGCCTTCACACCTGTATACTTCAGCACTAACACTTCCTCCTCACAGCCTTCACACCTGTACACTTCAGCACTAACACTTCCAACTTACTGCCTTCACACCTGTACACTTCATACTAACACTTCCTCCTCACAGCCTTCACACCTGTACACTTCAGCACTAATACTTTCTCCTCACAGCCTTCACACCTGTACACTTCAGCACTAACACTTTCTCCTCACAGCCTTCACACCTGTACACTTCAGCACTAACACTTCCTCCTCACAGCCTTCACACCTGTACACTTCAGCACTAACACTTTCTCCTCACAGCCTTCACACCTGTACACTTCAGCACTAACACTTTCTCCTCTCAGCCTTCACACCTGTACATTTCAGCACTAACACTTCCTCATCACAGCCTTCACACCTGTACACTTCATCACTAACACTTCCTCCTCACAGCCTTCACACCTGTATACTTCAGCACTAACACTTTCTCCTCACAGCCTTCACACCTGTACACTTCAGCAATAACACTTCCTACTTTCTCCTCACAGCCTTCACACCTGTACACTTCAGCACTAACACTTCCAACTTACTGCCTTCACACCTGTACATTTCAGCACTAACACTTTCTCCTCACAGCCTTCACACCTGTACACTTCAGCACTAACACTTCCTACTTTCTCCTCACAGCCTTCACACCTGTACACTTCCGCACTAACACTTCCAACTTACTGCCTTCACACCTGTACACTTCAGCACTAACACTTCCACCTTACTCCTCTCAGCCTTCACACCTGTACACTTCAGCACTAACACTTCCTCCTCACAGCCTTCACACCTGTACACTTCAGCACTTACCCTTCCAACTTACTGCCTTCACACCTGTATACTTCAGCACTAACACTTTCTCCTCACAGCCTTCACACCTGTACACTTCAGCACTAACACTTCCAACTTACTGCCTTCACACCTGTACACTTCAGCACTAACACTTTCTCCTCACAGCCTTCACACCTGTATACTTCAGCACTAACACTTCCTCCTCACAGCCTTCACACCTGTACACTTCAGCACTAACACTTCCAACTTACTGCCTTCACACCTGTACATTTCAGCACTAACACTTCCTCATCACAGCCTTCACACCTGTACACTTCAGCACTAACACTTTCTCCTCACAGCCTTCACACCTGTACACTTCAGCACTAACACTTCCTACTTTCTCCTCACAGCCTTCACACCTGTACACTTCAGCACTAACACTTCCAACTTACTGCCTTCACACCTGTACACTTCAGCACTAACACTTCCACCTTACTCCTCTCAGCCTTCACACCTGTACACTTCAGCACTAACACTTCCTCCTCACAGCCTTCACACCTGTACACTTCAGCACTTACCCTGTGCTTTTGATTGATGTGGTTGCTGAGTTCATCTAGCTCCTTGTTGCCAGGCAACCTGGCGTGACTATCTGCACCAATGGCTGCAAGAAGCTGGCGATGCACCTGACAAAGAGTTGACAATCCATGTTCTATTTACTAGAAACTCAAAGCAGAAGTATCCATCTTAAAAGAACAAATGTCCCAAATTAAGCTGTAACTAATCAGTAAGATATCAACCCGTGAAGATCCCGGTAGAATAGGTCTTCAGCAACCCATGCTTGCTGTAAATGGCGACTATGCTTGTCGTAAGAGGCGACTAACAGGATCGGGTGGTCAGGCTCGCTGACTTGGTTATGCATGTCATCCTATCCCAATTACGTCGATCGATGCTCATGATGGCAATCACTGGATTATCTGGTCCAGATTCGATCCAGTGATTACAGACCACTGTCAAATAGCTGGAATATTGCTGAGTGTGGCATTAAACAACAAACAAACAACATCAGTAAGAAATCAGCAGCACCAAAGAGTTATCTTGCACCAACATTCAACGACTGACTGACCAGAATATCTGCGTATCTCCTGATGGGGGAGGTGAAGTGTGTGTAGAGATCCAGAGCCAGGCCATAGTGGAAGAACTGGTCCCTTGCCAGGCTGCCTGTGGAGAAGTACTGGGCGTTGGACATGGCCTGTGTCGCCAGCGTGCGGAGTAGCTGCAACACACAGTGATCTGGTTCCTCAAACGCAAATAACCTCCCAGACTGTGACTACAACATGACACTGTTATATACATGGCTAATAGACCCACCTTGCCACGAGGGCTGAGTGATCACTGCATGTTCCCTAAGTTTGCAAAGACCACAGACCCCTGCCTATTTTACTGACTTGTCACAGCGAATCACTGACTCAAGTCTTGTGGACATACCTCTATGACATCAAGTAATGTCCAAAACAAAAGCTTTTACTGTCATATAATTACTTTGATGTGAGACATTTCAACCCTTGTAACCATAGAGTTAACCTTGTTAACTGTCAGGTCTACACAACCCACCTAGTTAACTGTCAGGTCTACACAACCCACCTTGTTAACTGTCAGGTCTACACAACCCACCTTGTTAACTGTCAGGTCTACACAACCCAACTTGTTAACTGTCGGTTCTACTGAAGCTCCACAACCCACATTGTTAACTGTCAGGTCTACACAGCTTACCTTGTAAACTGTCAGGTCTACACAACCCACCTTGTTAACTGCCGGGTCTACACAACCCACCTTGTTAACTGTCAGGTCTACATAACCCACCTTGTTAACTGCCGGGTCTACACAACCCACCTTGTTGACTGTCAGGTCTACACAACCCACCTTGTAAACTGTCAGGTCTACATAACCCACCTTGTTAACTGCCGGGTCTACACAACCCACCTTGTTAACTGTCAGGTCTACACAACCCACCTTGTTAACTGTCGGTTCTACTGAAGCTACACAACCCACATTGTTAACTGTCAAGTCTACACAGCCCACCTTGTTAACTGTCAGGTCTACACAACCCACCTTGTTAACTGTCGATGCTACACAACCCACCTTGTTAACTGTCCGGTCTACACAACCCACCTTGTTAACTGTCAATGCTACACAACCCACCTTGTTAACTGTCATGTCTACACAATCCACCTTGTTAACTGTCATGTCTACACAATCCACCTTGTTAACTGTCAGGTCTACACAACCCACCTTGTTAACTGTCAGGTCTACACAATCCACCTTGTTAACTGTCAGGTCTACACAATCCACCTTGTTAACTGTCAGGCCTACACAACCCACCTTGTTAACTGTCAGGTCTACACAACCCACCTTGTTAACTGTCAGGTCTACACAACCCACCTTGTTAACTGTCAGGTCTACACAATCCACCTTGTTAACTGTCAGGTCTACACAACCCACCTTGTTAACTGTCAGGTCTACACAACCCACCATGTTAACTGTCAGGTCCACCCAACCCACCTTGTTAACTGTCAGGTCTACACAACCCACCTTGTTAACTGTCAGGTCTACACAACCCACCTTGTTAACTGTCAGGTCTACACAACCCACCTTGTTAACTGTCAGGTCCACCCAACCCACCTTGTTAACTGTCAGGTCTACACAACCCACCTTGTTAACTGTCAGGTCTACACAACCCACCTTGTTAACTGTCAGGTCTACACAACCCACCTTGTTAACTGTCAGGTCTACACAACCCACCTTGTTAAATGACAGGTCTACACAACCCACCTTGTTAACTGTCAGGTCTACACAACCCACCTTGTTAACTGTAGATGCTACACAACCCACCTTGTTTACTGTCAGGTCTGCCGAGTCCACACAGGAATCCAGGGACGCAGCAAGAGCTTTATTGGATGACACATCTATTGTAAAGCCCTTGGATGCTGCACAGTTGATGAGGTTGGCAAAGTGGTCCTGCCTGGGCAGCGGGTGATGACGAAGCTAGAATCAGAAACAAAAAACAAACAGTGCCTTCACACTCTCTATCAATGTCACACAAGTCAAAACACACACCAAGATGTTTTTGATGATTTTCAATGGAACCAGAATCGTTCAAATCCTGCCTCCCGACTCACCAGGGCCTGGTTGGGGTAGACCTCTGCTATCTTCCTGGCCACCCAGTGGTTGGCAAAGATCATGCACTCGGCTATAGTATCGTGAATCTCCAGGTGCTGTAGAAGAAACAAGTCAAATACTTGGGAACCATGTGTGAAATATAGCTGTATCACACTCATCAATGCTATGACTATACTGTTTTCAAGTCAGAACGGGGGGCACGGGGGGCACGGGGGGCCCAGACGTCTAAGGCGCCGTGATTCGCTGTGCAGGGTTGCGTCCCATGGGAATGCCAGAAACCTAAGATTGTGGGTTCGAATCCCGGTTCGCCCTGATTATGTTTCTAGGTTTGTCAGCACCATACCCGTGCTCGTGGGTTTCACCGAAGTGGTAAACTTCTGAGACCTGCATCACTTCGGGCTTTCCTCCCACATTAAGCTGATATGCCATGATATAGCTGGAATACTGTTAAAAGCGGCGTTAAACCCAACTCACTCACTCACTCACTCAAGTCAGAACGTATGAAGAATCTTAATGAGCGCTGATCGGAACTAGGGAAGTGTTCATGACAACCTACATATGATGACAGTCAAGTGACAGACTGAGTGAGTAAGAGTTTACACCTCTTTCAGCAATATTCCAGCAACACCACGTCAGGGACACCAGAAATGGGCTTCAGACATTGTACCCAGATGACAGACTACATGATCAGGGAAATTCTACTGTTCAGCTTCAGATTTTTACCAGATTGGGACACTAAGCTGATGATGGGAAAATTGGGGAAGTCTACTGGAGGTCTACTTACATCTTTTGGTGTGAGGTCATCTATCTTCTTGCTGTCATCCATTTCCACTCGTACTTCCACACTCTCGAGCTCCAAGGCCCCGCCGGACACACGGCGAGACTTCAACACTCTTGCCACCTCCATCAGTTTACACACTGCCCACTTCAACTCAGACAACCTGTACAGTCATGAAGTACTTCCTACAGGGAGGCCTCAAACACATAACCACCTTCTACACAAGGAAAAAACACACACCATATTGTCAGGAGACATCCATCATAAAGACAGATAGCCTTCTGCGTGTTTATTCACCAGTCGAATGAGAGAACTGTTGATCAATGATGTTTCTATCAAATACATAGTCAAGTCTTGTTAATCCTACACTTGTTAATCCGACAATGAGCTTTATCTGACAATGATGATATGAACCCATAAAGTCAGTGCTATTTTGACTCGTTAATCTGTGAGTCTTGTAGAATTTTCCTATTCGGAATATTCTATAAGTAATACGTTACCACTGTTATACCGAGGCTGTTGTCTCCCACAACTGCTGCTATAGCGAAATCTACCACAGAGATCTCAATTACCTCATGCAGCACGTGCGTAGCCACCTAGCTGCCATGTGACACCCTTCACTCTTGTCTCCTGCGAGAGCAAGTGCTCGGGGGACGGACGGGCGGGCAGCAGCCCAGTGGTAACGTATTACTTATAGAATATTCCGAATAGGAAAATTCTACAAATTACATTAAGTAATACGTTACCACTGTTATACCGAGGCTGACTACCACAGTAGGCGGTGGGGAGCACCTACAACCCGAATCCTGACTGCTAGCGTTCCTTCCGACCAGCGGAAGTAAACACCAAGGCGGAAGCACTCGATGCGCATGCACCTAGCTAGGCGTTACCCTATAGGAATACCAAAGCACTGTCAAGCGCATACCGTAAGGCTCAATCGTCATTGCCAAAACGATTGGTGACTCCAAACGGCCCCACTGGATAGGTATTTCATCGCCGCAGCGGATGAGAACACTGTATCCGCGTGAGCTTAATCTTAGATCAGGTTAAACAGTCGAAAAGAGGGAAATTAATTTCATTCAGACCGTATATCCCAGAGCAAGCCTACTTAAAGTATGCATTAGGCGCGTGACCTAATTCCAGTATTTGTAAGCATGCATCACAAGGTTGGGATACACGACAGACAATTAAAGACATAATTGTCAAAATACAAATAAGGACAAAGCACACAAAAAGCCGCCCTCACCTGTGGTGTGAGTGCGCTGGTTTGCGGGACCCCAACTCCTGTACCCACGGCAGTGGGAACAATGGAGTCGACCCAGATTGACCACCGTGCAAGGTCAGACGCCTGAGGAGTTCGGAATTGCGCTGGGCACACCCCTTAGGTGCCCGCTTGCGCCGCGATCCGCGGGCCAAGACGGTGCACACTCTCCACGACGGCATCAGCGACCTGTTTGAGGTAATGATTGGCAAAAACCGAGTCAGAACGCCAGTAACAACCTCGTAATATTCTGCGAACAGAGATATTCGAGTGTAGGGCAAATGTTGCCGCTAGCGCCCTGATCTCGTGCGGGTTTGACCCCGCTACCGGTAACCCCCGAGACCGGTACGCCAGATTGATGACAGAACGAAGCCACAACGCAATCGAGTTGCGAGTTATGTCAACCGTGCGATTAGGGTTACACGATATGAACAGACGGTCACGCCCTTGTCTACGTTCATTCGAAGCCTTAAGATAATACTTAAGGGCCCTAACCGGACACAGCGCTCTGTCCTCAGTATCAGCAGGATGTAAGATTTCTTTGAGTGATCTTACAGTGAATTCTCTCTCCGTTTGCCCGACTCTCTGATTCTTGGCGACGAAGCCCATGAGCAGGCCCAGGCGGACCGCTCCTTCGTCACCCCTATCGAATCGTACCTTGGCGACATCGAGTGCATGAATTTCGGATACACGTGCCGCCGTGGCAAAGGAGAGGAGAAATGCTGTTTTCAAAGTCACATGCCGGAACGAAGCACTATGCAAGGGTTCATACGGAGCTTCCGTAAGTGATTGCAACACTAGGGAAAGATCCCAGGCCGGTGCCCGAAGGCGGCCCTTCTTAAGATCGTGCTGTTTGAAACCCTTGATAATACCCCGTATCACCGGCTCTTTGGAGAGACTGGTACCCATAGCAACGTCCCGTACCGTAGCAACGGACGAGACATAGATGGCAATGGAACCCCCGGAGAGTTTCCGGGTCTCTCGCAAGTGAGACATGAAACGAGCAATATCCTGCACAGATACCTTATCTGGCGAATGAATGTGATGTTTACAACACCACTTCGTGAAAATAACCCAACGTGCATTATACACCTTCTGGGTAGAATCACGATGCATACTAACGTATGCCCGAGACGCCCGGCGAGAAAAAACTTTACTCCTCAGACGCTCGGTGACAACATCCACGCGTGCAGATTGAACTGCCCTGCGTTTTGATGAAGCTGACGGGTGTGAGGGTGGATCAAGAGATCCGGTCTCACAGGCAGTGGAAGTGGCGACTGCGTGACCTGGGTCAGCAAGTCGGGGTACCACGATCTGTTCGGCCACATGGGCGCGATCAGTAACATTCGACAGCGAACTCCTCGGAGCCGGCTTAGAATGTGTGGTATCAACGCTGTCGGCGGGTAAGCATAAGCGACCAAGCCCGTCCAGTCTAACGCGAGAGCATCGTGATCGATGGCCCTCGGGACCGGGACTGGTGATACAAACAACGGGAGTTGATTGTTGAACCGCGTTGCGAACAGGTCGACCATCGGACGACCCAAACGTTCGCACAGCCACTGAAACACTACTGGGTTCAGCATCCACTCTGTGGGGCTCGGATCCTGAGGCCTCGATAGAGCATCGGCCAGTACGTTCCGCACACCTGGGATGTGACGGGCGCGTATCTGGCACGGGACACTGTCCACCAGAGCGTAAAACTCGAACGTGAGATCGAGTAGCGAGTGACTGTGGGTTCCCCCCAGTTTGTTCACATAGGACACTACCGTCGTGTTGTCGGTCGCCAGCATGAGCCGGGCGTCGACGAGACGATGCTTCCAGTGATTGACTGCGTTGATCACTGCCTTGAACTCGAGACAAGTGATGTGAAGACCTAGTTCGTCTAAGCACCACAGCCCCGAGCTCACCTCCCCCTTTAGATGGGCGCCCCAGCCCACTAGAGAGGCGTCTGTATACAGGGTCAACGTGGCCCGGTAGGGCCGCATAGAGACTCCTGATAAGACAATGTAAGGGACCGTCCACCACTCCAGATGCGGTCGGAGCCGATCCGGGAGGGCGACGGTCGCACTGTTCACCTCCGTTGCTAACAACTGGATTAAAAACCGTTGCAGCGGGCGGAGTTGGAGACGACCCCGTGCGGTGCAGTCCTGGGCTGATACAAGTAGCCCTAACAGCTGTTCCCAAAAGTGAACAGTCTGTTGCACCGCTAAGACTTTGGCAATCATCGCCTGAATTTTGTGCCACCGGTCTGGGGGGACAAAGAGGCGATGGGACACCGTGTTGAACCGACCTCCGATGAACAGCAAGTTCTGAGAAGGGGTTAACTCGCTCTTGGGGAGATTGATAATCCACCCAAATTGCTCCAAGAGCCGACGTGCGAAATCGAGATGGCGTGACAGGGTGTCCGTCATTCGATTTGCTACTAGCGAGTCGTCCAGGTACGCGAAGTACCGGACACCCCTCCTGTGGAGGAACCCCACTATGGGGGTGGTTAACCGGGTGAACAGCCAGGGAGCGGACGTGTGAATCATTCTGAGTTCGGCACTGTCCTACTTGGGAACGAGAAATATCCTGGAGTAAAACCCCGGTGTTATTTCTGGTAGAGCTAACTCCCGTACTGCCCCTTCTCCACCAACCTGCCGATGGCATCGGCGAGGATGGGAAGATCGGTTTCCGAATCGAAACCTGCCAACGGGGCAACGGTGAGCGGCGGATTCGCTTTGAGATCAAGCCGATAGCCGTACCGAATCGTGTTGACCACCCACGGGTCGTCGAACACTTGTTCCCAATTCTCCCAGTAAGTCTGGAGTCTGGCTCCCACTGGGTAAGGAGAGGGGGCCCTGACAGGTTGCGACAGGCGCAACTGTCCAGGGCCAAGTGACTCGGGTTCGCCTAAGGGCCAACCGAAGTTGGCGCTGTCGGCATACGAACCCCTCCAATGAGAGTCACCTGGAGGGGCCCTTGCCGTCCGTCGACGACTTGGGCTTCCCCCAGTTCCCCGTCTTCCCGCGAAAGGGCAGCAGATTGCCCATACCGGAGCCCTCAGGGCGGGGCTACTTCCCAGAGGAAGAAGAACCCGACCCCTTAGACCTACCGGCCGCAGCAGCCTGGGGCGCGCTCCGGTTAGGAGCGGCACCCAGGCGCCTATGCAGGGACCCAACAAGAGCAAGTGTGTGCCGAGAGTCCTCGGCAACGTACTCCAGGGAAGCATTTAAACTGAGCAGGCAGTTGTAAATGCGCTGGTCACGGTCCGTGGGAGAACCTTCGACCAGACGGGCCGCTGCAGCCAAGTAAGTGTCTCCGTGAGACATGGAGTGCCGAGCGAGGGCGTCCAGCTGGTGCAAGGTAGCTTGCGTTACCGTAGCAGCCGGTGGGGCACGGACACCCAACCGCTCAACATGGGCCTCCGCGGTAGGACCAGCCTCGGGAAAGGCAAGGTCATGTACCGGGAATAAACCCTTTCTCCACGACGTCGGAGGCAACGGGAGACCCCGACCGGAGGCCGCCGCGAAGGCGTTCTCCAAGGAAGGCTTGAAACCGCGCAGCAAGGTTGATGCGGGGAAAGCCGTGTCGGAAGACTCATCGTATACCTCGGAGGAACCCACAGTCGTGGATTCCCCGCGGTACCGGCCGGGGCATGTCCTCAAAGAGGTCATAAACCATGGCCACGCGGTCCTAAACCGATAGCGGGAGCAACGGTTCGGGGGAAGGACCGGTGACCACGGGAGCCGCCGCCGTACCGGTGGACCCCGCGTCCGACCCCGCGGCCACCGAAGTGGCCGGGGACGGCTTTCTGCACACCCCATAACTCCGAGGAGCAGGGGTAGAGGGGGTGGATACTGGGGACAGATCCATGTCAGACATTGATTGTTTGCTATAAACAAAGAACAAAACATGGTTACAAAGCACGCACCACAATGATTCACAAACGAACATTTTCACAAGAAAATAAACGAGCAATGTGAACATATAACATACACATATAACTTTTATTAAAGAAATAAGTTATGTTAACCCCCAAAACATACAAGAACAGGGGAAACGTAAAACACAACGTGCATACGCGAACCCCGCAAGTATATAGAAAAAAGGGCGGGAAAAATTTTCCGTTTGGCGGGAAAATTATAACCAAGCGTAGCTACCGCAACGCCCCATAAAAGCACAGTTTATTAGAGAATAAACTATAATAAATATCACCAAATCTTCAAGGAACGCTTCAGCAGGAGAAAACACGTCTTGCTAAGCAGACGAAGGAGACAAGAGTGAAGGGTGTCACATGGCAGCTAGGTGGCTACGCACGTGCTGCATGAGGTAATTGAGATCTCTGTGGTAGATTTCGCTATAGCAGCAGTTGTGGGAGACAACAGCCTCGGTATAACAGTGGTAACGTATTACTTAATGTAATTTGCACTCAGCCTCCGACACACCTAAACATATTCCGTTAACAGTGAGTGAGTGAGTGAGTTGGGTTTAACGCTGCTTTTAACAGTATTCCAGTTATATCGCGGCGTATCAGCTTAATGTTGGAGGAAAGCCCCAAGTGATGCAGGTCTCAAACGTTTACCACTTCAGTGAAACCAACGAGCATGGGTATGGTGCTGACAAACCTAGAAACATAATTGGGGTGAACCGGGATTCGAACCCACAATCATAGGTTTCTGGCGTGCCCAAGGGCCGCAACTCTGCACAGCGAATCGCGGAGCCTTAGGCGACTGGGCCACCCGTGCCCCCTATTCCGCTAACAATGTAACATAACATTTTTCTTATTACAAAGTGTTTGTATTGTTAACTATCGTGTAGTTTTTCCGATTTTCAATCACGAACATTGATACTACCTAATTTTGTTTATCCGACAAAGTCATCAATCCGATATAAACATGTACAACCAACCATGTCGGATTAACAGGACTTGACTGTATGTGCATATCATATTTATGTCATAGAATAAATAGATTAATAACATCATCCGATCATTAGAGTAATAACATTTCATCAATTACATCAACATATGATGGGCCAGTGTTTACCCAGGCTTGGCTGATTTTCCTCCAGTTATTAAGAAATCTTACTTCTTTCTATCACATGATATATATATATTTGTTATTCTAATTAGACATTAATTGTATGAAATAATATGACAACCTCATTGGCAATGTTTTGTCAATTTTGCCGCCTTGCAGATAGATACTGGTTATTATTAGTGAAAATTGTGTGTACAAGCTGTAAACTTGAGTTCCATTGTTCACACACAAGACACTGTGTCGTCATCAAGTTTGTCTTAAGTAAATATAAGAACTGGAACCAACCTCTCCTTCACTTTTGACTGGTCTACGCTGTGCAGCTCAGGGACGTTACTGACAATGTCCTCATCTGCAGCTCCATCATATATAGACTGTGCCAGCTGCAGGGGAAACCACATAGCAGGAGTGAGTGAGTGAGTGAGTGAGTGAGTGAGTGAGGTACTGAGTGAGAGAAAGTGCGAGTGAGTGAGAGAAAGTGTGAGTGAGTAGTGAGTGAGTGAGTGAGTGAGAGAGAGAGTGAGTGAGGTAGTGAGAGAGAGGTGAGGTGAGGTGAAATGGGGTTTAACGTCGCGTCCAAGATTATTGCACTTATATAGCAACAGGCATGCACGTGAGTGAGAGAGAGAGTGAGTGAGTGTGGGGTAGTGAGTGAGAGTGTGAGTGAGTGAGTGAGTGAGGTAGTGAGTGAGAGAAAGAGTGAGTGAGGTAGTGAGTGAGAGTGTGGGGTAGTGAGTGAGTGAGGTAGTGAGTGAGAGAGAGTGAGTGAGGTAGTGAGTGAGTGAGAGTGTGGGGTAGTGAGTGAAAGTGTGAGTGATTGAGTGAGTGAGGTAGTGAGTGAGAGAGAGTGAGTGAGGTAGTGAGTGAGTGAGAGTGTTGGGTAGTGAGTGAAAGTGTGAGTGACTGAGTGAGTGAGGTAGTGAGTGAGTGAGTGAGAGTGTGGGGTAGTGAGTGAAAGTGTGAGTGACTGAGTGAGTGAGGTAGTGAGTGAGTGAGTGAGAGTGTTGGGTAGTGAGTGAGAGAGAGTGAGGTAGTGAGTGAGAGCGTGAGTGATTGAGTGAGTGAGAGGAGTGAAAATTAAATTGAGTGAGTGAGTGAGCAAGGTAGTCAGTGAGTGAGTGCGACAGTGAGTGAGAGTGTGGGGCAGTGAGTGAAAGTGTGAGTGATTGAGTGAGTGAGGTAGTGAGAGAGAGAGAGTGAGTGTGTGGGGTAGTGAGTGAGAGTGTGGGGTAGTGAGTGAGAGAGAGAGAGTGAGAGTGTGGGGTAGTGAGTGAGAGAGAGAGTGTGTGGGGTAGTGAGTGAGAGTGTGGGGTAGTGAGTGAGAGTGTGAGTGATTGAGTGAGTTAAAGGAGTGAAAATTAAATGTCCCATCATGTGAGAGTGCAAGTGTGCGAGCGCGTGAGTGAGGTAGTGAGTCAATGGAGTTACAATTACATGTCTTATCAGCTTTGCTTACAGCGAGAGAAAAATGTTACGGTACTAATCTAAATTTCTTGTGGATTACAACATATCAAACACACCCAAATCTTTAATACAATCATTTGCATTTACATAAAATAATGATATGAAGAGTTTTAATACATTTTTAAAAACCTCATACATGGCATATACCTTATACATTGTATATTTGCCTTAACAACACTTTCTCTTACAACATCTGCAGAGTTGGCAAGTGGGTCTGGTCACCACAACAATGCTAAATTGGCAGGGGAATGGCCTATTATTTATTTAGTTTGAAAATATGTGCATAGTTTTACATGATCCGCACAATTGTGGATAAGCACTAACCTCATAGAATAGTTTGTACTGTGAGCGGATAACAGTCCTGCCATACCAAACATCCTTCACTTCAAAGTCTGGGGTCAGCTCCCAGATAACACTCATGGCATACCTGGGGGGGGACACAATGGGGTGTTAGTGACAAACATCTACATATCTCCTGGCATACCTGGGGGGGACACAATGAGGTGTTAGTGACAAACATCTACATATCTCCTGGCATACCTGGGGGGACACAATGGGGTGTTAGTGACAAACATCTACATATCTCCTGGCATACCTGGGGGGGGACACAATTGGGTGTTAGTGACAAACATCTACATATCTCCTGGCATACCTGGGGGGACACAATGGGGTGTTAGTGACAAACATCTACATATCTCCTGGCATACCTGGGGGGGGGGACACAATGGGGTGTTAGTGACAAACATCTACATATCTCCTGGCATACCTGGGGGGACACAAAGGGGTGTTAGTGACAAACATCTACATATCTCCTGGCATACCTGGGGGGGGACACAATGGGGTGTTAGTGAAAAACATCTACATATCTCCTGGCATACCTGGGGGGGACACAAAGGGGTGTTAGTGACAAACAGCAACATATCTCCTGGCATACATGGGGGGGACACAATGGGGTGTTAGTGACAAACATCTACAAATATCATGGCATACCTGGGGGGGACACAATGAGGTGTTAGTGACAAACATCTACATATCTCCTGGCATACCTGGGGGGGGGGGGGGGGGGGACACAATGAGGTATTAGTGACAAACAGCAACATATCTCCTGGCATACCTGGGGGGGACACAATGAGGTATTAGTGACAAACAGCAACATATCTCCTGGCATACCTGGGGGGGGACACAATGGGGTGTTAGTGACAAACAGCAACATATCTCCTGGCATACCTGGGGGGGACACAATGAGGTATTAGTGACAAACAGCAACATATCTCCTGGCATACCTGGGGGGGGACACAATGGGGTGTTAGTGACAAACATCTACATATCTCCTGGCATACCTGGGGGGACACAATGGGGTGTTAGTGACAAACATCTACATATCTCCTGGCATACCTGGGGGGGGACACAATGGGGTGTTAGTGACAAACATCTACATATCTCCTGGCATACCTGGGGGGACACAAAGGGGTGTTAGTGACAAACATCTACATATCTCCTGGCATACCTGGGGGGGGACACAATGGGGTGTTAGTGAAAAACATCTACATATCTCCTGGCATACCTGGGGGGGACACAAAGGGGTGTTAGTGACAAACAGCAACATATCTCCTGGCATACCTGGGGGGGACACAATGGGGTGTTAGTGACAAACATCTACAAATATCATGGCATACCTGGGGGGGACACAATGAGGTGTTAGTGACAAACATCTACATATCTCCTGGCATACCTGGGGGGGGGGGGGACACAATGAGGTATTAGTGACAAACAGCAACATATCTCCTGGCATACCTGGGGGGGACACAATGGGGTGTTAGTGACAAACATCTACAAATATCATGGCATACCTGGGGGGGACACAATGGGGTGTTAGTGACAAACATCTACATATCTCCTGGCATACCTGGGGGTATATCTACATATCTCATGGCATACCTGGGGGTATATCTACATATCTCATGGCATACCTGGGGGGGACACAAAGGGGTGTTAGTGACAAACATCTACATATCTCATGGCATACCTGGGGGTATATCTACATATCTCCTGGCATACCTGGGGGGACACAATGAGGTATTAGTAACAAACATCTACAAATATCATGGCATGGGGGGGGAGGGGGGGGGGGGGGACACAATGAGGTATTAGTGACAACCATCTAACATATATCATGGCATACCTGGGGGTATATCTACATATCTCATGGCATACCTGGGGGGACACAATGAGGTATTAGTAACAAACATCTACAAATATCATGGCATGGGGGGGGGACACAATGGGGTGTTAGTGACAAACATCTACATATCTCCTGGCATACCTGGGGGGGGACACAATGGGGTGTTAGTGACAAACATCTACATATCTCCTGGCATACCTGGGGGGACACAATGGGGTGTTAGTGACAAACATCTACATATCTCCTGTCATACCTGGGGGGGGACACAATGGGGTGTTAGTGACAAACATCTACATATCTCCTGGCATACCTGGGGGGACACAAAGGGGTGTTAGTGACAAACATCTACATATCTCCTGGCATACCTGGGGGGGGACACAATGGGGTGTTAGTGAAAAACATCTACATATCTCCTGGCATACCTGGGGGGGACACAATGGGGTGTTAGTGACAAACATCTACATATCTCCTGGCATACCTGGGGGGGACACAATGAGGTGTTAGTGACAAACATCTACATATCTCATGGCATACCTGGGGGGACACAATGGGGTGTTAGTGACAAACATCTACATATCTCCTGGCATACCTGGGGGGGGACACAATGGGGTGTTAGTGACAAACATCTACATATCTCCTGGCATACCTGGGGGGACACAATGGGGTGTTAGTGACAAACATCTACATATCTCCTGGCATACCTGGGGGGGGACACAATGGGGTGTTAGTGACAAACATCTACATATCTCCTGGCATACCTGGGGGGACACAAAGGGGTGTTAGTGACAAACATCTACATATCTCCTGGCATACCTGGGGGGGGACACAATGGGGTGTTAGTGAAAAACATCTACATATCTCCTGGCATACCTGGGGGGGACACAAAGGGGTGTTAGTGACAAACAGCAACATATCTCCTGGCATACCTGGGGGGGGACACAATGGGGTGTTAGTGACAAACATCTACAAATATCATGGCATACCTGGGGGGGGACACAATGAGGTGTTAGTGACAAACATCTACATATCTCCTGGCATACCTGGGGGGGGGGGGGGGGGGGGACACAATGAGGTATTAGTGACAAACAGCAACATATCTCCTGGCATACCTGGGGGGGACACAATGAGGTATTAGTGACAAACAGCAACATATCTCCTGGCATACCTGGGGGGGGACACAATGGGGTGTTAGTGACAAACATCTACATATCTCCTGGCATACCTGGGGGGACACAATGGGGTGTTAGTGACAAACATCTACATATCTCCTGGCATACCTGGGGGGGGACACAATGGGGTGTTAGTGACAAACATCTACATATCTCCTGGCATACCTGGGGGGACACAAAGGGGTGTTAGTGACAAACATCTACATATCTCCTGGCATACCTGGGGGGGGACACAATGGGGTGTTAGTGAAAAACATCTACATATCTCCTGGCATACCTGGGGGGGACACAAAGGGGTGTTAGTGACAAACAGCAACATATCTCCTGGCATACCTGGGGGGGACACAATGGGGTGTTAGTGACAAACATCTACAAATATCATGGCATACCTGGGGGGGACACAATGAGGTGTTAGTGACAAACATCTACATATCTCCTGGCATACCTGGGGGGGGGGGACACAATGAGGTATTAGTGACAAACAGCAACATATCTCCTGGCATACCTGGGGGGGACACAATGGGGTGTTAGTGACAAACATCTACAAATATCATGGCATACCTGGGGGGGACACAATGGGGTGTTAGTGACAAACATCTACATATCTCCTGGCATACCTGGGGGTATATCTACATATCTCATGGCATACCTGGGGGTATATCTACATATCTCATGGCATACCTGGGGGGGACACAAAGGGGTGTTAGTGACAAACATCTACATATCTCATGGCATACCTGGGGGTATATCTACATATCTCCTGGCATACCTGGGGGGACACAATGAGGTATTAGTAACAAACATCTACAAATATCATGGCATGGGGGGGGAGGGGGGGGGGGGGACACAATGAGGTATTAGTGACAACCATCTAACATATATCATGGCATACCTGGGGGTATATCTACATATCTCATGGCATACCTGGGGGTATATCTACATATCTCATGGCATACCTGTGGGGTATATCTACATATCTCATGGCATAGCTGGAGACACAGTGGGTGTTAGTGACAAACATGATGCAGACATAGCATGATGGAAAGCAATATCATCATCAAACAATTCATCATCATCAAACATCAGTATTCATGTTGTACTGCTCGATACCAGGTATAAATAATCAAGATTAATCCAGGCCGGAGCCCAGTCTGCTGACCTGTCCACTCCGCTGATGAGGGAGCAGAGGTTGGCACTGAGGATTGTGGGTAACATGTCATATCTCCGGTCTGCCAGGTACACAGATGTTGACCTTGACCTTGCCTCTACATCAGAAAGGGATCCTGGCTTTACAAAGTAGGTGACGTCCGCTATGTGCACACCAAGTTCATAGTTTCCATGAGGAAGTTGTCTGAAAAGCATGATACGATCAACACATAATGGAAATATTTACTAATAAAAATAAGATGGAGTCGACTTATAGTCGGCCCCAATACAAAATATTTCTGTTTCCTGAACCAGGTATTTGGCAGATAATTTTTTTTTAAATATTTGAAATAATTACGGATGGACAGATGGATATGCTGAGTTTGGGGGAGACATATAAACACATTTATATATTAATAGAAAAGGGGATTGATGATTTCCTAAAGTTCAGTTAGAGACATTTTTGCCAAGGTTTGTTTGACCATGGCCTGAACGACCCTGTATTTAAGACAAGAACTACCCAAAACATCAGACAAACAAATCAATTATAATTTTCTGTCTGTAGGTGTGACAACTGAGGGCATGTTTCAAATCACTATTGCAACTGCAATATTTTAACCACCAAAACAATAGTATTGTAACAGTGTCCATGCTTAGCTTTTCCTAGGTATTTCCTTCAACATACCTGATGGACAGAGTGTCATCTACATCCTCGCAACCTTTAGGGTCAATGCTGAAGATGAGGTGAGACTGTCGCAGGTCCCGTCTGGCTGAAACCTCCTCCTCAACCATTGTCCACGGCTGCTCTTGTGTGTCTGTCGGCAGCTCCTTCAACTAGAAGACTCATGCATAAATACACAGTCTGCTTCCACACCCTTGCTGACAAACACAGAGAATCACCTGTTGCTCATCCTCATGTGGCAATCATCACATCTTTAAGGCTGATGTGTGAATAATAGAAGAGAATCATTTTAGCTGAGAATCTGCATTGTAGAGAATCTGTATTGTAGGGAATCTTTATTGTAGAGGGAATTTCTTGTAGAGGGAATCTCTATTGTAGAGGATATGTATTGTAGATTCTGCATTGTGGCGAATCATTATGGTAGAGAATCTGTATTGTAGAGAATCTGTATTGTAGGGAATCTTTATTGTAGAGGGAATCTCTATTGTATAGGATATGTATTGTAGAGTTTGCATTGTTGAGAATCATTATGGTAGAGAATCTGTATTTTAGAGAGTTTGTATTGTAGAGAATCTGTACTGTAAAGGGTGTGTATTGTAGAAAATCTGTAATGCAGAGAATCTGTAATGTATAAAATCTGTAATGTAGAGAACCTGTATTGTAGAGAAACTGTATCATAGAGAATCTGGATTGTAGAGAGTCTGTATTGTAGAGAATCTGTATTGGAGAGAATCTGTATTGTAGGAAGTCTTTATTATAGAGTCTGTATTGTAAAGAATCTGTATTGTAGAGACTCTGTATTGTAGAGAGTCTGTATTGTAGGAAGTCTGTATTATAGAGTCTGTATTGTAGAGAATTTGTCCTGTAGAGAGTCTGTATTGTAGAGAATCATTATGGTAGAAAATCTGTATTTTAGAGAGTTTGTATTGTAGAGAGTCTGTAATGCATGGAATCTGTAATGCAGGGAATCTGTAATGTAGAGAACCTGTATAGTAGAGAAACTGTTTCATAGAGAATCTGGATTGTAGAGAGTCTGTATTGTAGAGAATTTGTATTGTAGAGAGTCTGTATTGTAGAGAATCTGTATTGTACAGAATCAGTATTGTAGAGAATCTGTATTGTAGAGAGTCTGTATTGTAGAGAGTCTGTATTGGAGAGAGTCTGTATTGCAGAGTGTCTGTATTGGAGAGATTCTGTATTGCAGACAATCTGGTTTGTTCCCTGCTGAAGATGACAGACCTGCAGGTCGGAGAAAGGTGGCACCGAGATGTTGTTCTCCACAAGCAGTGCCGCGATCTCCGTCTCCAGCTCCCCAATCTTCCCCAAGCTCCGCACAAAGTGACCATTTGGGTACTGTGAATCCACATCCCACGAGTCAATCCTTACAATTATCCTGAAAAGGGGAAGCATGTTACAAATGATAAACACCAGTCAACAATGTTACAGTTACTGCACCAGTGTGACTTGGGTGGGGACGTCAGACTTAGTGAGATTGTTGATTGTGTGTCAGGTACTATTACTCAATATCAATCACTGGTATATTTATATCAATAAATAACAACAAACAAATAAACAAAAAAGATATGGAGCACACAAATTCAAGTACAATAGCAGCTTCAAGGACCCCCAAACCCCACTCATTATACTATTGAATGAATAATTTAAACAGGTCAGCACCCCATATATTGTGTGAGTGTCCAGTCAGGTCAAGCAGTCGCCACTGTGTCCACATAGTCCCACTTTAATCACCTCGTATAATAAGGGCAAACTTAAGGTACTGAGTTACGACCACCAAAACACAGTGGCAGATCCAGATAGGGGTCTTGGGGCTGGCAACCCACCCCAACCCCCACCCCCACCCCCACCCCCACCACCCCGTTTTCATCTGGTGACATTGTGTATGCACATTGCCTGCAATGATAACATGTCAAGTTGGTTGTTAAAGCAAAATTAACAAGAGTTTGCCACTAACGTGGCTATATCCCCCACCCTTGTTGCAGAATTAATGACATAATCTAAACAAACCCTAACCTTTTTTAACCAAGGTGGAACTTGTCATGGAAATTATTAAAAAAAAGAAGATTGTGGAACCTAAGTCCATCTTGTTGCCATTGAAACGTAAAAAATAAAAATTTCTAAAATTTCTAAATAGCAAAAGGCACCAGTTCAGCATGTACCTGACAAACCTGCAAAGTTTCATGAAAAAATATTGAATGGTTTATGAGTTATGCTCCAGAAACGAACCCTACCCTCACAGAACCATCTTTTTGCCATGGAAACTTTGTTGGGCGGGGGATAATAATGGTTTACATAACGCTTTTTGTGATTTTGGGGTAGACTTCCCCCACCACCAACCCCCCACCCTCACTGACTGAACTTACAAATGACGCAAGTGGAACCCTTCCTTTCTTAAAATTCTGGATCCGCCCCTGAAACATTCTGTTGCATTATCATTATATAATAATCCTTGTAGATCCTAGGTAGTCAAAGGACACTGTTTCTACAAAGTGACATTTACAGACCTGTGAAGGAAGAATAACAGAATTCTGTGCACCTACCTGTCTTCGCGGAGTGTGCCCACTTGTCGGGTGCTGATGCGGATCTTGGGGATGCGGTAGTCCCAGGGGATGAGGAGAACCTTCCCAGCTTTGTTGGCATTCTTCTGGGCCTCCTGAACATCAAGAACATATGGAGGTCACGCCAACTGTCATGACACATCATACCCAGCACAGAGCTACAGATAAGCTACGTACTTGCATAAAATACCCCCAGAACATATTCAAAACCCAATTTCTTTCAATTAACAGAAACGCATGCATTGAATGCAAAACTCGAATGTATAAAAACAGCATGTGTAAATTCCCAATGAAGCTTTTTCAGCATGCATACAAAGGAGCTAATTTCTGAAATACAATTACGAGCTTATATACTTTCCGGGTTAACATGGTTAAGGCTATTTATTTGGAACAGTTATATACATCTAAAAATTATTTCATTTTTTTTTAAAATCTTAAAATGTTCTCTATTTGAGAAAAAAACAATAGATTGATGAATAGATGAGTGAAAAAATAGTGGTTACCCAATGAAAAATGTATTAACCCAATTAAAATAGAAACCCTACAGTAAAAACTCAATTGCTCAAAATGTTATCTGGAGCTCTGCCAGCATTACGTCCCACTATGAGTCCTATGGTTCTGTTTTCTCCATTACTAGTTTAGACCTTGACCACACATTACTATTTTAGACCTTGACCACACAGTACTAGTTTAGTCCTTGACCACACATTACTATTTTAGACCTTGACCACACAGTACTAGTTTAGACCTTGACCACACATTACTATTTTAGACCTTGACCACACATTACAATTTTAGTCCTTGACCACACATTACTATTTTAGTCCTTGACCACACATTACAATTTTAGACCTTGACCACACATTACTATTTTAGACCTTGACCACACATTACTATTTTAGACCTTGACCACACATTACAATTTTAGTCCTTGACCACACATTACTATTTTAGTCCTTGACCACACATTACAATTTTAGACCTTGACCACACATTACTATTTTAGACCTTGACCACACATTACTATTTTAGTCCTTGACCACACATTACTATTTTAGACTTTGACCACACATTACTATTTTAGACCTTGACCACACATTACTATTTTAGACCTTGACCACACAGTACTAGTTTAGACCTTGACCACACATTACAATTTTAGTCCTTGACCACACATTACAATTTTAGTCCTTGACCACACATTACAATTTTAGACCTTGACCACACAGTACTATTTTAGACCTTGACCACACATTACTATTTTAGTCCTTGACCACACATTACTATTTTAGACCTTGACCATACATTACTATTTTAGTCCTTGACCACACATTACTATTTTAGTCCTTGACCACACATTACTATTTTAGACCTTGACCACACATTACTATTTTAGTCCTTGACCACACATTACTATTTTAGTCCTTGACCACACATTACTATTTTAGACCTTGACCACACATTACTATTTTAGTCCTTGACCAAACAGTACTATTATAAATTATTATTAAGTAATTAAAATTACTACATCATTGCTATTGAAAAATCAAGCTAAAGATTTTGAGCACATTACACAAAACGAATGTAGTGCTACATCTGTGTAGTTACATCTTCCCGAGGCAAGAGAGTTAACTGACTTTAAAAGTCCAGTTTCCACCCTTGCTGAACTAGGCTGGAATTACTGGGCTCGATCGTAGCGCCACAAGTGGCTAATACCAGTTATGTCTCTTCTATGCCTCTCCTATGGACCAATCAGATTCCACCTCTCGTATCACTTGCGTTTGCTTCACACAAAATGGTGGCGCCCAGTTAGGACGACCTGATCGATAATCAAGATCTATATTGTGATAAAACGGGTCTTACATCGAGAAATGCATCAAATCACGCGGGCACCTTGATTAAAAACATGAAAAGATTTAGAAAATATCTGCTGACAACGAGTTGGCGGTGCACATGCTTTGCAAATCCTGCAATCGACCAAAATCTGCACCAAAGTTTACGAACCGGATTTCGATTTTGGTGTGCGATTTTGATTGGACTACGCATAGACTCGATAGTCCAGCCAAAATGTAACTCCATAATACCAGCCTAGTTCGGCAAGGGTGGAAACTGGACTTTTATAGTCAGTTAACTCTCTTGCCTCGGGAAGATGGTGTAGTTAGTGTAAGTAGATGAAGATCTTCGGAGTCAAAGTCATCATAAGATTCAAAATGTGTTCCCACTATGATAAAGACATTCAGAAAGTAACTGACCTCATCCGCGGAGAAGCTAGCCACATAGTCCCTCCAGTTCCTCTGAAGCACCCCCACGACGCGGCCTGTCGGCATCACACTGCTCATGTCATCACTGGTCGTCTCACCATCACCAGTTGCCTCCCCTGACAGTAGACAGTAGTAGGTGTAGGATTTGGTTAAAATCTTATTCAAAACAAGCAATGATAACATTAAGGACAATTATAGAAATATATATAAACTGCCTTAGATGATGTAGGTCTGAGAGAGTAGGTTCTGCAAATTGGCATTCCTTGTAAATTTGATTCAAGTCTTTCAAACACCACACTGCTCAGTAAAAGTTTCTGATACCCTCACAGCCAAGTGACAATCTCATTAAAATCAGATCTTAGTTCCCGCTATCGCTAAACAAAGATCTGAGGACATCCCATTAAGGGTCACGTCAGAACGACCTTTCATCCAACCAATTAGAGCGTCGCTTTCCAGATCATAAAAGTGACAGTCGGAATGTGTTTTCTAATCATGCAACCACGAAATATTTAACAAGGGGTATTCCGAACGACAGTTACAGGTTTTATGATTATATCAATACAATCTAGGCCATCTATAAGCCATTCACAGATTTTAATAATTTTTTAATTATTTTTCAAAATATGTTTCGAAGCGAAGACGCCAGTTTGAAACTAGTGTCGTAAAGCTCGAGAAAGCTGCTTTCTGATTGGCTAATGTCGATTTCTTCTCTGTCATTTCATTGGTCAGTCAAAATTCGCGAAAGGTCGTTCTGACGTGAGCCGTAATGGGATGTCCTCAGATCTTTGTTTAGCGGTAGCGAGAACTAAGATCTGATTTTAATGAGATTGAGCCAAGTGACAAAGTCCCAGGTTCACACATGACACTAGTTATTAAGTAGAGACAACAAAGAGGATACACTGGAGACGATGTCACCCTGTACGATCCCGATGGATTTCTTATTTGCACTCTGGTCTAACTCCTTCAAACTATGATTGCTTAACATATATATTTGTTTATGAAACTGGTAGTTTCAGAAATGTAAGTGTAGGCAACAATGTTAATTCATCAAACAGACCTGTCTTGTCTCCTAATTCCTTGATGGAGAGTGATCTCCCCTTCCACTGAGATCGCGGCAGGAGTTCAACTACCACTTTGTCTCCATGGACAGCTCTGTTGCGAGACGCAGTTCCGTGGATCAGGATGTCAGAGTCACTCTCTTCTTTCAAGTCACGTCTGAAGAGGAAGATTGAAATCACAGAAACAGCAGCAAGACTGAGAGCTTCTTAAAAAGCAAGATGGCAATGTTCCGCTAACAGCGAAGCAGTAACAGAGCATATACACCAGGGCCAGGGAAAGTATCAAAACATGTACACCATCGCAAGGCAGTAACAGAACATATACACCAGGGCAAGGCAGTAACAGAACATGTACACCAGGGCTAGACAGTAACAGAACATATACACCAGGGTGAGGCAGTAACAGAACATATACACCAGGGCAAGGCAGTAACAGAACATGTACACCAGGGCTAGGCAGTAACAGAACATATACACCAGGGTGAGGCAGTAACAGAACATGTACACCAGGGTGAGGCAGTAACAGAACATGTACACCAGGGCCAGGGAAAGTAACAAAACATGTACACCATCGCAAGGCAGTAACACAATATATACACCAGGGCTAGGCAGTAACACAACATGTCCACCAGGGCCAGGCAGTAACACAACATGTACACCAGGGCCAGGCAGTAACACAACATGTACACCAGGGCTAGGCAGTAACACAACATGTCCACCAGGGCCAGGCAGTAACACAACATGTACACCAGCGCTAGGCAGCAACACAACATGTACACCAGGGCTAGGCAGTAACACAACATGTCCACCAGGGCCAGGCAGTAACACAACATGTACACCATAGCCAGACAGTAACACAATATATACACCAGGGCCAGGCAGTAACACAACATGTACACCAGGGCCAGGCAGTAACAAAACATGTACACCAGGGCCAGGCAGTAACACAACATATACACCAGGGCCAGACAGTAACACAACATGTACACCAGGGCCAGGCAGTAACACAACATGTACACCAAGGCCAGGCAGTAACACAATATATACACCAGGGCCAGGCAGTAACACAACATGTACACCAGGGCCAGGCAGTAACACAACATGTACACCAGGGCCAGACAGTAACACAATATATACACCAGGGCCAGGCAGTAACACAACATGTACACCAGGGCCAGGCAGTAACACAACATGTACACCAGGGCCAGGAAGTAACACAACATGTACACCAGGGCCAGGAAGTAACACAACATGTACACCAGGGTCAGGAAGTAACACAACATGTACACCAGGGTCAGGCAGTAACACAACATGTCCACCAGGGCCAGGCAGTAACACAACATGTACACCAGGGCCAGACAGTAACACAATATATACAATTATAGAAATATATATAAACTGCCTTAGATGATGTAGGTCTGAGAGAGTAGGTTCTGCAAATTGGCATTCCTAGTAAATTTGATTCAAGTCTTTCAAACACCACACTGCTCAGTAAAAGTTTCTGATACCCTCACAGCCAAGTGACAATCTCATTAAAATCAGATCTTAGTTCCCGCTATCGCTAAACAAAGATCTGAGGACATCCCATTAAGGGTCACGTCAGAACGACCTTTCATCCAACCAGGGCCAGGCAGTAACACAACATGTACACCAGGGCCAGGCAGTAACACAACATGTACACCAAGGCCAGGCAGTAACACAACATGTACACCAGGGCCAGGCAGTAACACAACATGTACACCAGGGCCAGGCAGTAACACAACATGTACACCAGGGCCAGGCAGTAACACAACATGTACACCAGGGCCAGGCAGTAACACAACATGTACACCAGGGCCAGGCAGTAACACAACATGTACACCAGGGCCAGGCAGTTACACAACATGTACACCAGGGTTTCAAGGATGCATTACTTAGTTCTTGACTCCTTGGTCATGGCCTCAATCCATCCAAGGTCAAGACATTGAAATTATTGCCCTGTGAAACATTATCTCTATGTTACTAGCATAGACTGCATTAAGTTAGTGAACGGAGGTTTAACGTTGCTTTCAAGATTATTGTACTAATATAGCGTTTGCACAATCTTATAATGTCTTTGAGTATGTCGTGGCTGGGGATTGAGCCAACGACCATCTGCTCTCCAGGCAGGTGCTCTATCCACTACATCACAGAGGTGGTCCTGAATTAGGTCATTAAAAGTCAGTTAACTGATGAGCAAAGGGTTTTAAATAACATTTTAAAATACTTACAGGCACGCCTTCATATCAACTCTTTAAAACTTATTGCAAATAATAAACTGTTCATCTTAAAAAATATTCTATGCATCAAGATCTTTTAAGCATTACTTCTCAAAATATCTTTTATGCATACTGATTTGTTTTCAAAATGGCTCTTTGCAACATCCATAAGATTTACCATAGTGTAAGAGATGGACTTTGATAGAATTGTATCTGCCCAAAGGACAAAATCCTGGCAACCTCTGAAAATTCATGATCCTGATTAGACTGTTCCATCCTTGTTTATAATGCATCGGATTCAATTATCATGATGATAAATTATTCATTAGAAATAGAAATTCATGGAAAAAGTGTTATTACCCTGTCCTCTTGACGAAGGCCTCTGTCATGGCGTTGTGTTTGTTGACATGGATGCAGCCAGAGATGTAGCGGCCTGACTTGATACCTGCTTCCAACACATCGGAGGGGAGATAACCCAAGTAGTCACGATCTGACGAGAAGCAAACAATAGAACTCAGTATTGGAAACAAACCATAACTTGTCAGTAGTCCAAAATCTTCCCCAGGCAAGGGAGTTAACTGACTGTAAAAGTCCATTTTCCACCCTTGCCGAACTAGGCTGGAATTTTTGGGTTCGATCGAAGCACACCCAGTGGCTATATCCCTCCAATCAGATTCCACTTCTCATATCACTTGCATTTGCTTCATACAAAATGGTGGTGCCAATTCAAGATGATAGTCAAGATCTATATTGTAATAAAATGGGTCTTACTTTGTAAAGTGCATGAAATCATGTGCGCAACTTGATTAAAAACATGAAAAGATTTGGAAAATATCTGTTGATGCTGATTTGGTGGTACACACGCTTTACAAATCCTGCAATCAAACGAAATCTGCACGTCAGTTGACAAACTGGATGTCGATTTCATTACATGATTTTGATTGGACTTTGTATGACTTGTTAGTCCAGCCAAAATATAACTCCGTAATTAAAGCCTAGTTCGGCAAGGGTGGGAAACTGGACTTTTATAGTCAGTTAACTCCCTTGCCTCAGGGAGATAGTAGTCCAAAGGACCAACAGTTTAAAAGATCCTGTTAGATTTCTGTCATGGCCACTCTGTTCCGGAACAATAATCCCTGACCCTATCCAACTAGAAGACAGTCAGCCCTTTACATCCATACCACTGAGATCCATGCCAACTTCAGGACCTCATTCATTTTTCAACAGTTCAGATGTGTTCATTCATGTACAGCAGCTCTGGTTCTCATATTCACCTTTTGTAGTCTTGGATTCCAGGGCAGCAGTGAGAGACTCGTAGAGATCCATGGCGCCTGTGAGTGACGAGAGGAACCCCACAAGGTAGTCCTTCAGGCACATCACAAACACATTGAGAGTCCTGTTGCTGTACTTGGCAACAGCCTACAGAAAAAGTCAATCATCATGATCAAAGCCTGCAGAAAAAGTCAATCAACGTAGCCAATAATATCCTGCAGATGTAGTCATCATGACCAATAGCCTGCAGAAAAAGTCAATCCTTGTACCAAATAGCCTGCAGAAATAGTCAATCATAACAAACAGCCTGCAGGTATAGTCAATCCTTGTACCAAATAGTCAGCAGAAATAATCAATCCTTGTACCAAATAGCCTGCAGAAATAGTCAATCCTTGTACCAAATAGCCTGCAGAAATAGTCAATCCTTGTATTAAATAGCCTGCAGAAATAGTCAATCCTTGTACCAAAAAGCCTGCAGATATAGTCATTCCTTGTACCAAATAGCCTGCAGAAATAGTGAATCCTTGTACCAAATAGCCTGCAGAAATAGACAATCCTTGTACGAAATAGCCTGCAGAAATAGTCAATCCTTGTATCAAACAGCCTGCAGAAATAGACAATCCTTGTACGAAATAGCCTGCAGAAATAGTCAATCCTTGTATCAAATAGCCTGCAGAAATAGTCGATCCTTGTATCAAATAGCCTGCAGAAATAGTCGATCCTTGTACCAAATAGCCTGCAGAAATAGTCAATCTTTGTACCAAAAAGCCTAAAGAAATACAGTCTAAACAAAATAAAGTGTTTGGTCTGCATGGCATGAATTTTAATTGAGCAATTCATAAATTCGCAGCTGGACCATAGGTATAATATGCAAGTGTAGGAATGTTTATCAGAAAAAAAAAAATCTCTTCCTTCCTTATTCAGTAACCAAGACAACAGCATCACCGTAACTACACCAACATCCAGGCTCGGTAGAACCATCACAAGAGACAGATTACACATATAGATAATATGCCAATAAAAACAACACTACTGACAAAACCACCATTCCTTACCTCCTGGTTCTGTGTAACCATGACAACCGGCATTTGTCCTGCAAGGTGGTTGTAGAACCACTCCGCTGCCTGGTAGGTACTTCTGGAGGAGCAGCAGAAAACAACGTCCGCCATATTACATTCAGAACATACGATACATGAACAAAATGAAGTTTGTGAAAGGTCATTTACACACATAATGATATGACGGTGTTGGGAGTTAGGTTTGTTTTGGTCACAATATTGCTTGTCATGTGAAGATGTACCACTGGCGACATTCATGAGATGGGAAGTGAGGTGAAATAGGGTTTAACATCATGTCCAAGAATATTGCAATTATCTAGTGATGTGTATGCGTGCATGTGTGTGTGGCTGCTTGTACTAGTCCAGACTCATGCCGATTTGATAGTGCCAGCCAAAAAGATATACCATGCCACAGTTTAACATGAATACCCCACTCAGACACAGTACACTGACTCCGAGCCAACCAGTTCTTGTTTTATCCCCTTAATAGGTAGGGTAACAACAAGTCACATATTTCAACGTCTTTTGGTATGATGCGGCCAGGGATTGAACCCCGAATTTCCCCTCTCCGGGCAGACACTCTACCACTAGACCACAGACATGGTCCCATGAGATTGGAAAGGTGCTAACTGATCAAGGATCATAATCAGGACAAATCTAGGATCATAACCCACGATTAGCGGATCCTGGCACAACTAAGGGATGCAAGGTGATAATGGCAGTGTTAGATATGAGATGATCTGAGGTAGTTTCCCCACCTGATGTGCCAGTCATTCAGGGGCTCCCGAGCTTGTCTCTCACAATAGGCATATTTCTGGAACTCATTGTGGAAAGTGATTGACCCACGCCTTGGATCCTTGACAATATTCCTCAGTCGGCTGTAGAGTCGCTTACTACCGTCATGCTGAACCTAATGGAATGAACATGCATTATCACCATGGTTACTTCTTTGATAGGCATTTAGAAGTTTCGAGTACTAAGTAAGGATAAGATTTGTGGATGAAAAACTTCTTTATTACAATTCAGAGCGACGTTTCGTGTTAGGACCTACACCGAAACATCGCTCTTAATTGTAATAAAGACGTTGTTCATCCATAAATCTTATCCTTACTTATCACCATGGTTATTGAGATCTCTGCATTACGTCAGGACATTCAAAGCAGCTTGTTACAACGGGATGTAGAATGGGATGAAAGTTGCTGCACCAATCTTCCTTTCAGTATTAAAGTGTACATGTATGTTATATCTTCAACATTAAAGTCATATTCATACTGTCAAACAAAATCATATTATGTTTTATTCCTCCACACAATGGCATCATTGTATTGTTCTCAACAATAAAGCATGACGACAACATATTACTTCAACTGTCCCTGAGATTGACCACCCAATCACCTCTTGCAAGCAACAAGTCCCTGAGTCTGACCATCCAATCACCTCTTGCAAGCAACAAACAACAGAGTGCTGATTTGGGGGCTTCAGTTGGGTCAGACAGCTTTGAGAGGCTTCATTTACGTGTGCAAGTATCAGAAAATTAATATTTTTTCCACGGTAATTACTAATATTGTGAAATACTTCCAGCAACCACTTACACTGTTAGCTACAGTTTGAGTGAAGACGATGCCTCTTATCTCCGGTGCCTCCAAGATCTCCAAGTAATCTCGTGCCACCTGGCAGTCGGGGAATACGTAGTGGGTCACATCACTTGGGAGGAGGGACAGACTTTCTGTACAACACACCATGGTGAATACCGTGTCATAATCCATGGTGAATACTGGCCACTAAGCTAATATTTCAAGCCTGACAAGTTGAAACATTCATTCTTGAAGATATTCATACTCCAGTCATTTGATACTTAAAATGTAGCATACGCGAAAACAAAAGGCTTGCTAAATATTTACATAGCATTTTAGAAATGTTTATAAAGCATTATTGGAAAATTCAAAGATTTTTAAATCTTAATTATAAAAACCTTAAGGTCTTTCAAGTCAACATTTATTCAAAAATAAGATATGTTTTTTTAAAGATTCCATATTCAATAGTTCAACATGTATAAGTTTTGCAGACAGCCAACCAGTCCATTGCGATTAAAACGCCAACTTACCAGCACTGTTAAGACAACCAGCAACGCACAGAGAACTTTGACAAGGGATATCTTCACGTAAATACAACTCTCTTACAACACGGATACGTCCTCCTTGACGACTCTTCACTCGAAGTTGACGCTCTGTGCGTACAGTTGAACTGGACAACAAAACCATTCTGCACAGTTCCAAATTCTATGTTTTAAAGCTTACAGCAAAATACCATCCCTTTTCTGGACATCACTTTCCATTGGCAAGTCTCAAGCTTGTGTTGCAGCTCTTTCTGTGTCCAGGATTTCTGCTGTGATGATCCAGATGTTCTAAAGCTTGTTTACACACAAGACATAATCTGTAAAGAAAAGTGTCCGGTCACCGTGATGTGTCACCTTAATGCAGGTAGAATCAAAATGGAGATGTTGGAAAGATTTCTGGGGTTTTGGAATACTCTTGGATTTGGAACTACCTATCTCCATGTTTAGAAGGTCAAAGTTTTGTAGCAAATCTTGAAATCAGATAAGGTATTAGACTCAAAGTAGGTGCTCATCCAATTATTAGCAAACATACTAAACTTTAAACTCAACAAAAGAACTTGTTGGGTTTTTTCTTCCTGTTGGCTTCCTCTGTGAAGACTTTATCTTGTGACTGATCGGCAATTACAGCAGCCAAGCGGGAGTCGATAATCAGCTGACAATTGCTTATAGGCGGCACATTTAAGACAGTGAACGATAACCCTTTGTATAACTGAAGAAAGATCCTTGTGTTATGGGTTATTGAGAAGAAGTATTTCTCATTACGTGTCTAATAACAATCCCAACATATGCCCAATACACTAAAATTAAGTTTTATTTTGGAGAACATATATTTCTAATAACACTTGATTGGTCAAATGGTCTTGTTAATGTTATTGTGATAAGGCCTCACTGAGCGAGACGAGTCAACAAGCACCATCTTGTTACTGTCACATGATTTTAAGCCGCTCCATTACAGTCAAGTTAATAATAGATGCACAACTTGACCCGTCACATGATATTACAGACAGGAAGTTAACAATAAGCCGATACATAATCGCTGCATATTATTGTTCTGATGCAAAATTATCATCAGATCAAGTTTGATTAAAATGTGCACTAGTAAAAAAGTAACTTTTCACTAATTTCAGGTATGTTTTCAATACTTAAAGACCTTTCCTTCAACATAACTTCAGCAGCAAGTGGCAAACACTTTGATGTCTTCAGTGGGCTTTGAAGTGTCTACCTTGATTATGTTATTAAGACCACGGTCACATATTGTTAAGGGGCTCAAAAATGTGTGACATGGGGATACAAACTCTTGAGGATGCTATAGAATGTGGCTGACACTTTTTTCATTTAAGAATCCCAGGGCTAAGGATAGAGTTGGGGATAACCTACCCTAATAAACCTACATGACACATTTTCGAGCCTCCCCTTTTTTCGGGCCTCTAAACCATCCGTCACCACACGCTTTGCTGAAACTTATGCAGTTGTATGCACCTAAATGTATCGGCTGATTTTTGTAAACATCCTGCCTGTAATGCCATGTGACTGATCATGTTGTGAAATCTATTTTTGTCTGTAATGGAGCAGTTTGAAATCATGTGACAGTAACAAGATGTTGCTCAGTCAGATAGGCCTAATCCTAATATAATTAAGATATGGTCAGTTGACGATCCAAGTCTTGACAGAAATATATGTTCTCAAAGGTAAGACGTAACTTTAGTGTATTGGGATTGTTATTAAACATATTATGAGAAATACGTCCAAACTATTTTTTTTAAGAAACGGAAATCACACAAAAAAATTGAAATGTGGCAACCATGGCGACTAGATTTTTTTACAGTGTGATGTTCAATTGTGATCATGCTGATAGGCCATAGACTGAAATTGTAGAGTTAGAGGCTTGAAAACGCATAATACGAGAGGATACAACTATCCGGGGCTAAAGATCGGGCAACAATGCAGTTTACCGGGCGCAGCCTAGCTCTACCATCCGCTCAGTTACCGCGCTATAGTGCCACAGCTGTCTCGTTATACCGTTACCGTGCCTCACGTTCTGGTGACTCTCGCTTCACGATCCAACGCCCGTTTTCGGTCTTAGGGAAACTTACACATCTTTACGATCCAACACTCCTTCTCGGTCTTAGGGAAACTTACACGTCTTTACGATTCAACACCCGTTTTCGGTCTTAGGGAAACTTACACCTCTTTACGGACCAACACCCCTTTTCGGTCCTTAGGGTTAGCTTGCTTTGGGCAAGGGCTAGCTATAAATTCTTACCTTTTTCAGCGTTAATCCGGTTAATCCCATTGGTCGGTCATGTTGACATAAACAATGGCAGGTGTGGTTTCAAGAAAAGATGAATGGGAGAGCGGACCTTGACGTCACATCCATGCACAATTAATTGTTTACTGAATTACGCACGTATGTTGATGGGAACTCCAATGACCCGTTAAACGAGCACTGATCACATGTGATAGCCTCCGTGGTCCAGTGGTAGAGCGTCGGCTAATTAACACATTATTTAGCAGAGCCGGTGAGCCAACGAAGCCTGCTCGAGCCGTCACAGCGCTAATTGGATCTGAAAAAGTGCGCCCGGTAAAGAGCACTACTCCCAAAGATCGTAAATATATACCGGTACCTAATTTACCTTGAGATATACCTTGGCTGCACGCTTTCGCGGAGTGATTGTTGAACACATGCCAGCGGCAATACGTTAGCTTTGGAGGAAAGAAGTCAAAACTCAATGTCTAACTGCATAGTAAGCACACAAGTTGTGTTTTCCGCGAAAATGTATGAAGTAAGAAAATACGGACTGTCAGTGTCAAGCAAACCCTTCCTACTCGGACTTGTGCCTTACCTCACAATGAATCGTCATGATGACTATCTGCACTGATGATATGAAACAATATACATGAGTATGTCATTACTCGCAAGCCATAATTCATGTTGTGCAATAATCTTTGGTGTAGTGTTCTTTTTTACACAGAAATACGATGGGGGCAGACATATTGAATTTTGCGCCATCTGAATCAAGCTCCTTCCCAGCGCATGACACCTTCGTTTACATTCTTGTATAGAGAGCTCCGCGAACGGGCTATCGTTGCGAGGAGCTTGCATCTGAATATCCCCATGGGAGATAATTTAAGTGTGGGAGCTTCTTAAGCTCCTTACAGCGTATTGTATACTGCAGTACACGTATACATAAATATATTTAACAAACTATTACAGCAAAGTTTTCGCAATCTCTACGTGTAATTTATTTAGGTATTGCTTTTGGAGACAGGAGAAGAAGTATCATCATATTTGTTTATTGAAATATATATGAAATAACAGAGTGTTATTTATGCTTCTATATACTATGATAAACTGGCTACGACATGCAATTAAAATGGCAATTGATAAACAATGTTTCACTGAACTATCAGTTCAAATATATTTCATAAATATCACATTCGTGTTACGCACCCATGCAGATACGATTATGAAAAATCAAGATTAAGAGCTACATTTAGAAACCAATATATGTCAATCTGCATTTACAATAGATGTGTGTCTCCTTGAAATTCCGATTCTCTATACCAATAGACCGGCTACTGCTTGTCGAGTGAAAACGGCACCAGTATGTTCTATTTATATTGCTTGGTTTATTCAGGGAGTATATACATAGTCTCCCTCGTTTGTTTATCACCGCCATTGTCACCACGTGTCTCTATTCACAATGATCATTGTCACCTTGTAACATATTCTTTACACCACATGACCATGGATAACCAGAGCACTGTGTGAGCATGCAACTCATCGATACATTGTGAGGAATTGTGATCTGACAGCACCCTGCCATGCAATTCAATTGCAATTTCAGCTTGACATTGTGTTAAATTGAGTCATAGTAATCGTTTTCGCTTTGACTGAAGTTCCGTTTACCCCAATCGGTGTCGTTCCACTCGGTGACGTTTTTCTACGGAGGTGCCGTTTTAGCCATAACCTTGTAACTAGGTGATTTATTCATTTTTGTTGTTGTTTTTTTTGTCGATTCCTGGACGAATACCGATGTTGATTGTGAGTGCTGGTAAATTATTAATCGACAGGGTGACAAGTCTTAAAATGAATAGGATGAGTGGGCAACGTGCATTTGAAGTTAAATGTGTGAATGAAATCAAAGATACAATGCCGTGCGGAAACGTTTGGTGAGTAGGGAAAGAAAAGAGTAAATGTAAAAGTTAAAAGTGTTTTCTCTTTAACTTTTTGCCAACATCTTGTGCCGCTTTAACTTAATTACGGATCCTGTATAACATTCTGCAATTACATAAATTCCCTGACTTGATACCCAATACCAGTAATGGGTAGTAAAGCAAGGGTATGTATAATAACACGTACCGTATTCGACGTAATAAGCGCCCCGCTCTAATAAGCGCCCCCGGAGATATTTGCTAATATATTGACTAGTGAACAATCCCAATTAGCACCCCTTCCGATTGATCAATGTACACAAGACTTATTTATTCGTGTATAATACGGGTGTTATATGCATCCTTAATTGTGGGAAATTAGATTCTGGAAAAAATATATCTGTCGTATATAAACATTTCAGGCTGTCAGCATAAACCACGGAATTTACGATCTTTTAACCCTGTTGTTTTTCACCAAAATAATATTCTAATAAGGGCCCCCTATTTCTAATTTTGAGAGCGCCCTGGGCGCTTATTATGTTGAATACGGTATTATTACTCCAGGCCAGGGGTCAAACACATTTCTTGGCTTGGTTCATTATGTGGCATGGTAATCGTTGTTCGCACTATCAATCACTTGATTGCCTGTCCCGATTGTCCCGATGACTCGATTGTTTATAAAACACTGTCGTATAATTGGAACAGTTTCGAATAACAACCAACAAAGAAAGAAACAAACTAGGCAAATGACAAATTGCAGGATCAAGCCATTTATCGCTGTGTGGAGTTCACATTGAACACTAATTAATTGTGGTATGCAACCCCCAGGATGCATTTACCTCCCCATGGAACGTAGCGCCACCGTCGATAGCAATCGGAACCCTTCTTGCAAGCACATTTGTTCATACGACGAACCAAGGCCTTACGGAATAACCCGACATTTGCCTACTGATTCAAACACATGTAAAGATGGCGGACGTTTTGCTTGTAAAGGAAGATGGTGATGAATTCGAGGTCGACGAGGAGGGAGATCGTAAGTGAAAACAGCCGACGAACGAATTTAGTAAATCGTGTAAATATGGTTTAGCTTAGTTAGTTTACATGGGTATGTTTTAAGGCAGGACAACTGATTTATGCGTGATACCCAACATTTTGGCGGAGGTCTTCGAAACGGAACTTTAAGAACCGTGGTTGGAAAGACTTCCACTCCAAAATATGTATATGTATGTATTGCCTCTCAATCATTTTAGGTATATATATTTTCGAGGGGGTGGGTGGTTACGGGCGGAAGTCTTACCCCGTGATTACAGCCATAAAACATGACATGGGCTGTAAATAGTTGCAATGTTATGGGCAGGATCATCATGGTGAACTCAAAAAGTCGGAGGTGTTTTGGTTCCTTTCTTTGTAACGATGCAAGATAATCAGTGAGCACATGCTTACCTTTTCGAGATTATGTGAGTTTCAAATGGCTAATGCTCCTTACTCACCTTGATATCTCTGATCTGGCGGTATGCACATGATCATTACATGAAATATAAGCATGCTCTTGCCTCGCAAGTTCTTGTAAAATAGAGTATCGACTTTAAGTTGCAGCAGATTTGTTGGACATGTTGATGATGTTTCAATGTTCATGGCACTTATAATAAGTTTGTTTTCAAAAATATTATTTTGCACTACAGAGGGTTTGCTGAAGCTGAAAGAAAAGGCAAAGAAGAGAAAAGGACGAGGATTCGGTTCAGGTCAGTTCAACAAATTGGCCTCTCAATTATCATGATTTATTGTGGGGATAAAAGCCCTGTTATTGGTCATGTTGATAAGTCATCAGTCACATGTTGGTTAAAGCATCTTGTGTACTATCAGACTATATTGTGTTACTTGTGAATAGTCAGCATTGTCATTTGCATGATTTGTGTCACCATACGTTTCTTCAGATAAATATAATGTCTTTGCCGTGTTTACTTTTCCTTGAATGGCAGTTGTTGAGCAGATTTACAAATAATAAATCATGGGAATTTGGCCTCTGTTTAATTGTTTTGAAGGAATTTTGTGTCAGTTCACAATGATTTAATGCATATATATAACAGAGAAGTTAACAAGTATTGCTCATCATGCAGATGGCCCAACACGGAGTGGCGTCGAGTCGTTTGAGGCGATGGAAGTGGATGAGACTGATGGACCAGGACCTCAGAGATGTAAGAGACAAATATCATTATCAGTAGTTATAATGTCATGATCATGAACCAGGAATTTGCTTTTATGTACCATATTTTCTTGAGTATAGTGCACACTTTTTTTCCTAAAAAAACAGCTGTGTAGAAGGGGTTGCGCATTATACACGAATTAATGAGTTTTGATGTTTTTTCCCCCATGGAAAGACATTACCATGAGCACGTAACACAGGAAATACCATGTCAACGAATCAATACTGAAGTACGCAAATTAGTCATGTAATTACACTGTCTGGCTATAAAAAGTGTTCTTTGTAAATCTGTACTTATGTTTGTAACTTATTTTATTAATTTTATTCAAAATTCCTTTTAATATTGTTTTAATTAATTTCGACGAAATCACCGTTATTAACAGCAACCACGGTCAGATTACCGCTATTGATGCCTTGAAACGAACTTTAGTTGACAGAGAATGGATACATATATCATAAATACCATACTGTGACTCGTTAAAAGTCATATTTGTTTTTGTTGGACAATTCTATGTCAACACGTAATTCTCGCGATCATGTGATCACGTGCACAGGAGCCTTGACGGTGACTGGTCAGACTGGTTCCATGTAAAAAATAATACCCGACAATAGCGATCAGCTGCTTCGCTTAGGGTTATTATTATTTTAAATATGTTTAGTAAAAGCTGCATCTAAATCAAGAAGATATTGGAATATATTATTCCTGATAAAAAAATAGTTTCAGATACAATTTTTGCCTATCCTTGCATTAAAATCCTGTAAAGTTATATCATTGGGTGTGTCTTGACCGAATCAGAGGTAGATTCCAAGAAAACGTGTGTACAGCTGATTGCTGTGTACGGCTTAGTTTACGAGAAAATGCACAAGGTAATCTTAATCCCTGGATATAAAACAATGCCTAGCAGAACAAAAATACAATTTAAACGGTAAATCAAAATGTCCGCTGATTTTTTATCTCAAATTTTGAATTTGTACTGACCAAGTTTCTCATCACCCGTTTGTTTGCCGGACTTCGCTAAAGGTGTACGGTGTAATTCTTTTTCTGCGCTTGGTATTCAAATTTTTTTTTCTTCTCTAAAATATTGAATCCGCAAGAGCAGGGTGCACATTATACATGGGTACGCACTATACTCAAGAAAATACGGTAGCTTGTGTTGCTTGTCAACTTGGTACAGATGGGGAATGCAGATTGATTTTGCTTCTTGTTTAATTGATTATCTAGGCCAGTTATAGATACTGAGGCCATATAGTGACATGTTATCAGGTTACCAGGTCTGGACACAACACCAGATTTCAAGGTGTACACAAATTTCAATGCTACACTCTGATTATTGGGTGTTTAGAGGTTTATTTGACATGCATGAATAGAAAGGAAACCCCTTAAAATGCACCTTTGCCTTGAGATATTAATGATGCTTCAAAAGAAAAAGTACCGGGTAGGAGGGGTATGTTATTTTCACACTCAAATCACAAGACAAGGGGGGTAATCCATGTTGTCTTTTCAAAATGGCGGCAAAATGGTGTTAAATGCAGTAAAGTGCATAAATGAAAAGTGTTCATTGTGTCACTGAAGGTATACAATGTCTGTTGTTTTTTAAGCGGATAGCACTCAATAAATCTTTTTTTACACTGAATCATGATAAACAACTTCTATTCTAATCCTTTTTTAAACTCTGAAACATGCAACAGAGATCGTGTTAGGTAGGCAGAGCATGTATACTGGTTTGTTGGTCATCTGCCCCCCTACGACTCAACCTCGGTTGAACCGCTGATTGTCTATAACGTTCATTAATTATTTGGACCCCAAAGGTAGCGTTGTAGCGAGGATCACTGTATAAGACATGTTTCAGTGTATAAATATTAATAATTGGTACATAATACATTGGAATATAATAATCTCATTGTAGCAGAACTTTATACGAGTACTTGGGGGGATTATGAGACAGACAGTAAATGATTCAATTTTGAGAGTGGCTTTAGACCAGTATTTCTGCCAAAAGGAGTTATGGTTGGAGCTGACCTTGTGAATAAACAGGGCTCATTGTTTATCACAAAATAAGGTTCCTATTTACACATGTTTAAGGTAAAGAGCAACTGCAAAACATGTAACAAATAGGTTTCGAAAAAAGTATGCTAAGTAATTTGAAACAACCCAGAATCTTTTGTGTGTGTTGTTTTACTGTAAAAAAAACTACTTCAAGAACGTAATTAAAAAGTACATATAGGGCTAAATTATTGGTCTTGTCTCCATGGTCTCAGTGCTCAAAATGGTTTTCACTGTATTTGAGGTTTGTAGCTTTTACTGCAAGAGCAGGTGGTGGGGTTACCTAATGGTAAAAACGTTGGTTTAACATTCCAAACACCCCTGACTGACATTTACGATCCATTGTGATATGATGTCAGTGCTGGTAAGCTATAAATTACAGGAAAGGATATGAGGGAAATCCTTTGTCAGGAAATCCTTTGTCAGGAAATCCTGTCCTGAAGGGGAAGTGTGGTAGTTGTTTGTTTAAATTGTTGGCTCATAATGTTTGTTTGATTCTCTGCTAAGGTACGATGTAGGCCTATTTCTTATGCTGCTTCTGTGATATGGCTGAAACAATGATAAAAGCGGTGTAAAACCATCCTCGATTATCCAGTGTATATGTGGACCCATACGCCACCTTTGTTTCGTTCTGTGGAAGGTTTGAATGACATGATGCTAAAAATAGATGTCCAATCAAATTACACTGTCCTGATGCTTTAAAACAAGCAATATCACCAGTGCTCATCTTGACTTTCGCATGCCGTATCAGATACAACCTGAACTTCTTTTAGTGAAAGGACTTTCTTCCCCCATCTTTTTACTCAGAAAAACATCTTATCCAGCTAAAAAATCATTCATAATACTATTAATATTCTTGTCTTTCATTTCAATTGCTTTGATAAGGGCTCACTTTTGAATGTAGACCTATGTTGAACTCGCATTGAGAAGAAGCTTTTTGAGATTGGATGTTGATTTCAATGGTCATGGGTGAGATCAGTTCTGTGCTAAGTTAGTGATAAGAAGGAAAGAGCTGGTGACTTCACTTCCCAAACGGAGCTGTGGTGGCGAATGGGTCCAGACTACTGATCATCATGGGAAGTGGATATATTACATTGGATAATTTGAGGATGCATAAAACCTTCACTCACTTACTGCAGTGGGCACGCCAGAAACCTATGATTGTGGGTTCGAATCCTGGTTCGCCCCGATTATGTTTCTAGGTTTGTCAGCACCATACCCGTGCTCGTGGGTTTCACCGAAGTGGGAAACGCCTGAGGCCTGCATCACTTCAGGCTTTCCTCCCACATTAATCTGACATGCTGTGATATAACTGGAATATTGTTAAAAGCGGTGTTAAACCCAACTCACTCACTCACTTACTACAGTAAGAACAAAGTGTCATTGTACATGTGAAACTTTGTTCATGTCCAACTTTCAGTTATGAACATCATGATCTGGATAAGTATCTAGACTCATGAAACCTGGGTATCATGCTATGGTAGATTATTATCCCCCGCCCAACGAAGTTGGCGGGGGATATAGAAACGGGCTCTGTCCGTCCTTACGTATGTATGTATGTCACGTTTCGTTTCCGGAGCATAACTCAGACATCTTTGAAATTTTTATTATTTACGTTTCCATGGCAACAAGATGGACTTAGGTTCCAAACTCATCTTTTTTTTACAATTTCCATGACAAGTTCCACCTCGGTTAAAAAAGGTTAGGGTTTGTTTAGATTTAATTATGTCATAAATTCTGCAACAGGGGCGGGGGATATAGCCACGTTAGTGGCAAACTCTTGTTCTTTTTCCATTGCCTAACTACGCTAACTGTAAGACTGAAAATAAAGTCAGTAGGTTCTCACTTGAAAACCTGTGAAACTGATATGTAAACTGATATCATAATAACTGTGCATTGGTTTGAGTGTAATGACATTTCTGGTGACAGCGGTGGAGGGCTGGATTCTGTTTGTGACGGGGGTGCATGAAGAGGCCCAGGAGGATGACATCTATGACAAGTTCGCTGAATATGGAGAAATCAAGAATCTTCACCTCAACTTAGATCGAAGAACAGGATTTCTTAAAGTAGGTTTAGATATGAATATGGATCATAAACAATGATAACTACAACATATGTTTCTTCACCTTGACATGCAATTGGAGGAGACGATTGACACTTTTAAGCTCACAAATTGGTTGATGCATGTCATTGTGTACAATGATCACTGAATTATTAACAGACCATCGTCATACATCTTGAACATTGCTGAGTGCAGTGTTCAGCCACAAACAAACAACCATGTTGGTACACTTAGGCTTGGAATATGGGCTAGCAGGTTATACATGTATGAGATTCCATGTAAACTTGGTAGGTTGGTGACATGTTAATAATAGATCTATTTTTATGAGTATTACATGTCAAAGTGCATCCGAAAGTTCATGACTATGTACAGAGGCTGGCTGTTCTAATGTGTTTACCAGGGCTATGCGCTGGTGGAGTACGAGACATTTAAGGAGGCAGAGAAAGCAATGGAAGCACTGAATGGTACCGAGATCCTGGGGCAGTCTATCAGCGTTGACTGGTGTTTCGTCAGGGGCCCAAGAAAGAACAAGTGAGTAATATTGACACAGGCAGTTGCCAGTCAGTTCTTGTCTCAGAGAACTCTGGTGGTTGGAGACAAGACTTTTAGCAACAGCGTAGCAGTTTAAAGCAGTTTTGCCTCAATGCAGACTGTACATATTTCTGTATTAGAAATGTTGTGTGTATATGGGTGATGTCCTACTTTTCTGAAGTGTTTGAAAAACTCACCTTTCTGGGATATTTATGTTGTTGTAGTCATGGTAGCGGTCCCCAAAGGGTCGTTTTTCTCATTGCGCGCCCCCCCCCCTCCCACCACGTTTGCAAGAAGCAGGCTCCATGCATCCATCCATCTGTGCAGTTCCATAGCTGTTAACGAGATATCTCCTTAACCTCTTTTTCTATTTGTAACAGTATTGAGGTCAGAGTGTCTTAGGACTGTATGCATTGTATACAATGGTGACTTTGACCTCAGTTTCAAGGCCATGTGTGTCCCTGTCACATTGATACAGAAGGGGTATGGTGCTACGAATGACATTATGTTGATTCCTGATAATTATTATTTTCCTTCAATGTCATCTCTCAAGAGAAGACAGAAATACTTTCATTGTTGAGTGGGTTATCCAAATGAGAATAAGGCATTCCAGGCCCACAATTCAAAGTCTCAGCCACTTTTGTGATGATTAGTTGTTTTAATTAAAATTAATTATGAGACGTGTTTATTTCAGTAGTTAATTTCAACATGCTCTCAGGTATTATGTCTTCAGCATATGTCATCTGTCAGTGTCATGTGGCCTGGTTCAGGTTTTTTTGCTGTTTGACAGCCAAATGCTATTTGTCTCAAAAAACCCTGAATGGACACAGTCGTTATTCTGTTGCCTCTGATGGACGTTGCATACAGTAAACTACGTTTATAACAAACAGGCTTATAACGAACTCACGGATATAAGGCTAAAAAGAATAATAGTCTGGGTTCTCAGGCACATCATAAAGTGTGCCGCATGTTTCGTTTTTATTTCCATTCCTTAAATATTCCAAGTCCAACAGTAGTCAAATACAGTATTCTAGTATTTTAATCAACAATCAACCTATTAAAATGTCCATGGCCTCGCTCAGCTGTTCAAAGTGGCAATAAACAATTGTAGGGAAGTGATTAACTGGATTAAGTAATCCCAACCTGTAGTCAGGTTACACCCTCAATTAACAATAGTAAAACGTTGATTAGGATAGCCTTTAAAGTTGATATTTTCTGTCGCGATGACATGACTTGATCCAAAATGTCTGAAAGTCGAAATGCTTATAATGCACTAAAATTATAAGTCTCTTATGAGTTTGTCATAACCATAATTTACTGTATATTATAATTGAAAGGGTTTCAGTTCATAAATATTGTAAGACACTGACTGTTTTGACCAAGTTAATTGCAGGGAGATAACTCTGTATCATTCTTGGTATATTTTATAATGTCCCCAACCGGGGGTTTATAGTTATACATGCACTAAAAACTCTGTCTGTCCATACCTTAAAGGACGAGCGTATTTAGTTACACCAAGGAATTCTGTCTGTCTGTCTGTCTGTCTTTCCGAAGACATTTTGTAGTGCAATCTATAACTTGAAAACTACTACATAGATAGTTTTCTAACATGGTGAACACCTTTTCTACCAATAGGAGAGGTGCAGTGCGAAGTTTGATTTCAATATTTGGATTTTCTGAAGAAATACAGCCATTGTTTTACTTTAAAAAATTTACTTCAGTATTTGTGCGACCTATCACTTGAAAGCTACTTCATGGATTTTTTCAAATTTAGAGAACAGTTTCCATATTCTGTTGAAGTTGTGCAAAGTTTGATTTGCATTTGTGTATTTTCTGAAAAGAAGCATTAATGCTAATGCTTCCTAAGACTCTTTTCCAATAAGGGGTACAGTTTCTATTCCAATAGGAGAATTGCAGTGTGAAGTTTGTTTTTCAATATTTGAATTTTCTGAAAAAATACAGCTATTTTTTTATTTTTTACTTAGAATTTTATACTTCAACATTTGTGAGACACATAACTTAAAAACTACTTCATAGATTATTTTCCAACTTGAATGGTGCAGTGAAATGTTTGATTTCAATAAGTGGATTTTCTGAGAAAATATTGTTCTTTCATATCAAAGTTGGGGCCATTAGTGAATCCTGCTAATTTTTGTCTTGTTTCTAATGGAAGTCATGTTTGTTCTTTGCAGAGGCAGAAAAGATGACCGGAGACGACGCTGACATGTCCTGCATTCATCATAATTATCATTATTGCCGTACCTTGTACAGAAAGCTGTGTATATTGTTTGTAAAACCCATCTCATGGCTGAAAGTCAAATGAACTTGCAACAAACATTTAGTATGTCTTTGAATATCAGCATTACGAGGCATGACTGTATTTGGACTCAAGATGGAAAAGTTAATTGCAGAAACAGTTATTGTGAATGATAGTGTAGAATCCTACAAAACCTCTTGCCTACTAGCCAGATTTATTTACTCGTTTATGAGATCCCATCATTTTCATTATTATTTCTCTCTTCTGGCTTAAGTCACAGATGTATCACACAGATGCTGCATCAGTAGGCTGTAGAGTGTAAGATATTGTTGTAAGTCTGTCTCGTACACATACATTCAGTAGGATGGGCTGCTGATGCTTTACTCATTGTATGTCATCATTTCATGTACTTTATGTGTAGTACTGCCATGGTTTTATGTTCATTTTACCATTATAATAAATAGTGATAAACATGGATCTGTCTGTCTGTGTTGTATGAATTCAATGTGAAGAAAGCATGCTTACTCTGATTCCTTTATGAAAATGTCAACAAGAACATTTTATCACAAATACATGTAGTTTTTGTAAAATTAATGAGAAGCCTTTTACACAAGTTTGTGCAAGTGTTTATGTGGGACTCCATATGATCATGTTCCATGGTGGTCTTCAGGTCGTTTCCCTGACAGACATGTACAATCCGCTATCGTATGATGTCGGTGCTGGAACAGATATGGGGAAATCCTTTGTTTACCATGCCATTCTGCACCAAAAGGTGCAGCGTTGTAGTTTTGTGTCGACACGTAGCATTTGTTTGATTTCCCCACATGGGTACAATGCATGAGGGCCTTATCCGGTGTCCACTGTGATAAGGACGCGTAAACTTTTTGAAGTTGTGTAAAAAACATCCTCCTTACCTCATATCAGGAAATGGTGAGATCATTTATGCTGTTTGGCAATGTTGCTGCACTCCAGATGCAAATTTCAGAAACTTTCCACTTTTTCTCGTCAACAAGTAAAAATGATTTATGTCAGGTCTATGTGATACTGTCAATGGATGGCTAAGATATACTCTTTTGCTTTAATATTTCTGTGCAAAGATCCTCAAAGCGGTCTTTGTGATGACTATTTCAAATCAGTTTTCTTTTAGGGTTAAAGTGGGGATATCTATATAGATTTCCACTTGTTCTTGCTTCACATAGACTGTGTAAGACATGTCAGGACATATATTGCTATGGTAACGTTCTGCACTCGAAAGATTGTGTGACAGCGAATAGTAAATTATGAGAGACTATCTGGGTTTGAAGACATGCAAATCAACCAAATCATCTAGCCTGACTGCCCACTGTTTTTGTAGAAGACCTTAATGTACAAAGCAACTTTACTCGTAGTGCTACATCCTCTACATCAGGGCTGGCATTTCAGTAAACTGACACTAACCCATGGATCCATTCCCATGGTTCTCACAATCTCAAATTGCCCGCCCTTGATTTCCAGTTGACAATTCGATTGGCTACTGTACTAGGTCTAACATACCAATCAGAATTGAGAGTTACAAGCAAGCCTCAATATTGGCTTTGCCAGTCCCATTTATTATGATCAAGATTGCAAGAAATTCAACATTGAGAAACTGACCAGCAAAAGAAAGACCCCAATAATCTTTTGATGGAAAGGAGGTCCATTAAAACTGGCGGTGACTTTGGTTTCTAGGTAATGCATGTTTACCTCTCTTACCCTTTCCATTATGTTTCATTGGTCGGTAAAGTATTAATGCAAATCAAGGGTGCGTAATATGCAATCGCAACCACCACAAAAATGGATCTAGGGGTTCGTGTAGATTTACCAAAATGCTCGCCCTGGAGATGTAGAGGTTGGTAGTGCTACAAGTATCTTCTGTATGTATACTCTTACACCATTATGTATAAACATCAATTTTCTGTATTTACAAGAACATTTATTAGTAAATGACAATGTACAAAGTATGGACAAGATCAGTCCAGTGACAGACATGCACACCACATCTTCACAAAATGGATAAAGTTAAAATAGATCCACTGATACCAATTTAAGACAGGAGTTTTGATCTAAATATATTCAGATTTCAAACAATAAAATATGAAACATGACAGATGTAGATAAGTTTCCTATTCTCTAGATATTATTATTACAGTAAATCTTACAACAAATGAGAAGTTCAAGTACCCCTCCACATTCCTGCTGTGAAGTGGATTTTACGAAATTTTACAATCTGTGTTTACCCAATGACTGAAGAATATCACAAAGTTAAAATGTTCACATTTTGGGATAGTTTTCCAGCTCATATGGCTGCGGCTCATCCCAGTATTCACTGATTGGTTTACTGAAGCCATCATTCTTGCGAAACACTGTGTCCCTAGTCTTCTTCTGTGTCACACCCTGATGATGGAAGAAATAACAGTCAGCATCAACAGCTCCATTTGACAAGATGTTTTAACCAACCATGGACAATGCCCAAAGAACATGGAGGAGAAAGCCTTTGTTTAACCATCATGTTACATCAATTATATTTAACAAAAAGGATAGCAGATATGTTATTGGACATTGATGAGGTTGTATAATAAGTTTACTTGTGTTCATTTTGACAACTTCTTAATGTGTCTAATAAAATAAAGGGCAGATAACTCACTGTTGCTCTATCTCTGTGTTCAGACCAGAAGCTGACTGGCTGATCTGTCCGGTAATCATGATTCTGAAAACAGATAAAGACCATAATATTGAAACACTGTGTTCACTTAAATATGTTAGATGTGCATTTAGATCTACAAATGAATATTCTTCTACTTTTATTGTTCTGATTTAGAACTCTACATGTTTATGTTAGTTGGCTGTGAACTGGACAGTTTAGAAATGGAAGAATTGAATTGCCAAAGTTTAGATTGTAAGTGAAATATTTCAAAAGTCATTCAAGTCATTAGCCTCCTGTTTATGAACAATATCACTCATGCTTGTCATTAAATTTCTATATGCATTAGAAGACTTTCTAATTTGAAAGTTGGTGGGAATTTGACATAAGAGATAACCAGATTTATCTTTGATTACTTACAGCTGACGGTTTGGGTTTAATGGACACAAAATCAGGCTTGTTGAAGTCAGCCATTGTGACAGATCTGAAGTCAGCCTCAGGGGGTGGTTCGTTGAACTCATCGTGTACTTCTTGACTGTCAAACACATTCAACATAAAGATTAGCTGCTTGCGCTTATTGTTGACTTTTTCAGATTATCAAATCTTTGGACATACATTTTCTTGTTATTACCAATTTATGTAATACATGTACATCATTATACCAATCCAAGATCCAACTGATTGTGAGCTTACCTGACTTTCTCAAACAACATCTGCTGCATTAATTCAGCTTTTCTTCCTGAAAGGATAACACATTTCTTCATTATTAATATCTTCATATTTTATACACAGGTTAGGTGTTACAGTGTTTAGCTTTTTCCTCATTCCATTGTACACAGTAATGTACACTGACTGAGACAGGGAATATATCTTCCACACACATGAAGTTACAGAATGATAGACGTTTCATTACCTATCTGTCTGACATCAGGCCTAACAGGTTCCCTATATGCATCTGTAAATGTTGTCAGTTTCTCAGGTTTAGCGTTGAAAGCTGTTGATAAAATTCCTTGATGTCCATCTTTAAACATCTGAGCACTGGCAACATTGTTGCTATCATTGGCAGGTTCTATCTCCTTCACAGCTCTCTGAAATGCAAAAGATGTCCGAATTGATGCCATTGTTAAAGAAATATTCAGTTATAATAGAAGGTGCTTGCTTAATATAGCAATCTATCCAGTGTTAAAAGTAGCAGGTTTCATATTTATTATTATCTGCCTATAGATAGCATTAGAAACTAAATCATTTAGTAACTAGAGCTTGTAGTGATGTATGTCGAAAAATCTTTTAAACATTACTTCCTACTGGCATTTTAACTATTATGAACTATGCTTAGTGCTGACAAAAGCGAGTTGTCTTAACATGGGCATCCCTAACTGTGAATTACATCTTTGAGTCATATGAGGGATACTTCAAGGCATACACTTTTATCTACACTGTCATCATTCCTTCACATTACTTTACTGAAATGATTCAGCAAAAGAACAATGAATCGCAGCTTTAGCTTGCAGCAGGTACAGTGATGTGATTGGTATTGTTCACTTTGTCACTAAGCGAGTCAGTATTATCCATTTCAATCATTAGTGTAGTGTATTGCTCACTTTTTACAAAATGATGTCCCGAGATGAATCATCCGTGAAACAATGGTTTTGTGGATACCTTTATGAGGAATATTCAAATGAAACGGATCAGAATGACCAGGCATTAGGTCCAAAGTGATCAAAGGACATCATTATAAACACCAACATCCTTTGATAACTTCAATTGACGACTATAAATGTTACACAAAATACATATCTTGCAGTGGGCAATATCGCTTTGTAAATTGTCTTGTAAGTAGAGACATCGTAACGTTTTGGTATTTTCTAACATCAATAATATATTAGTCTAATTAAACTTTAACATATATTTGATTAAACGCCAGAAAATACAAAATGTTAAATACATATTAGAGTAATTTTTTGAAATAATCATACGTGTTATCACCCGAAATTAGCCAAATATCAGACGAGGATACATGCATTGTGTGAATATTGGGTGTGACACTCGCCGAAAGATCAAGTCGCCTTCTTACCTCTTCGACCCAGTTCTCTAGCAAACATTTTCCTCCAGAGTTGTTGAACCTTATCTCATTCCGACCTTGATTAAGTAAACTCATATTAAAAGCAGTGCGATGATTGAAAAGGTATGTTAAATTCACGCTCTCTCTAAAAAAGTGGAGGCGATACAGCAAGCATTTAGGATTGTTTACACGGAAGCAGTATGGCTGACGTTGCTATGGTAAATGCGCAGAAATAATGCGCATATGTCCGTCGCACCTGTCCTATTATTAGAAGCGTACGTAAAATTCACCAATGCCCAGGCGCAAAAGAAATAAAACTCACGTATTGTGCCCATAACACGTTTGAAAGGTCGAAAAAACGACTTAACCACTGAAGACTGACATAACCACAATAGTGTTGTAATAAACGTCAATCGTCTATTTGTTTAAACTCGAACACCGAATATCCAACAACTTCATCACGCTACCCACTTGAATGTTAAGTCGTCATGGTCCCCAGAATAAAAACACCAACTGTCAAACTAGATTTTTTAATTGGAATAGCGTTTTTATATGCTTCTTTGCTAGGTAATAAGGACAGACGTGCGTATTACTTCATGTATGAAGACTTCTACTGTGTAGGAACTAAACTATGATGGAAAGCTGATGGAAGTGTCTTTGAGGAATTCATACATACATAATGTATACCCATATACACACACAGGGGCTTGCAACGCCAAAATAGCAGTTACAAGATATATGGTCACACCCTGTGTCAGTCAACTATATATAGTATACCGACACTGGGTGCGACCATATATCTTGTAGCTGTAATTTTGTGCGAGGTTTGATCCATTGGTCAGGACAGTACTGTTCATTATGATATTGAAAGTTAGATTTTTATTTTGGCATATTATTGATGGTTGGTTTGTTTGTTGTTTAACGCCGCACTCTAAACACTCTTCATCACTAACATTTGTATTCTTGCAGATATGTCTTGCATATGTAATCTTTGCTTGACTACAAAGTACCACGATTAGAGTGAAATGTTTAGGTTTGGTTTGGTTGTTGTTTAACGCCGCACTCTAAACACTCTTCATCACTAACATTTGTATTCTTGCAGATATGACTTGCATATGTAGTCTTTGCTTGACTACAAAGTACCACGATTAGAGTGAAATGTTTAGGTTTGGTTTGGTTGTTGTTTAACGCCGCACTCAGCAATATTTCAACTACATGACGGCGGTCTGTAAATAATCGAGTCTGGACCAGACAATCCAGTGATTGACATCATGAGTATCGATCCACGCAATTGGGATACGATGACATGCATCAACCAAGTCAACGAGCCTGACCACCCTATCCCGTTAGTCGTCTTTTACGGCAAGCATGGGTTGCTGAAGACCTATTCTGACCCGGATCTTCGCGGGTTTATTTTTGATGGAATAACTATGAGGATCTGAATAAAAGGTGACAAAATGACGTTGGCTATTACTTCCCGATGCACCAAAGCCAATTATTACGGATATATTAAGTTTCTGTCAAGTCAGCATGTCGTGGTTGAGTGTAAACCCTCCCCTCTGAAACCACCAGACCCATCTTGCTGGGACTTGGCATGTTTGGCGGTGATGTAACCGTAACCTGTGCAAGAGATTCTGACCTGTTGCCAATGAAAATCAAATTGTTGCCACCATCATATTATATTGTCGTTTGATAGCTTTGAAATTTGGTATATGTTTACGAACCGGATGTCTAGTTCGTTTTGATTGGATTGGACTTTGATTGAACTCATGGGCGGATACAGCTTTTTTGAAAAGGGGGGTTGCACAATTAAGATCTATTTATTGACTTTGGTGGTAATTTATACAGAAATAAAGATTTTTTTCGAAATAAAAGTGTGGGGGTGGGGAGTGATCCCCCCACCCCTCCACCCCACCCCCACCCCCCGTGTATCCGCCCATTGGACTATGCATAGACTCGTTAGTCCAGCCAAAATGTAACTCCAGGAGTCCAGCAAGGGTGGAAACTGGACTTTAATAGTCAGATAACGCTCTTGCCTCGGGAAGATGTTGATTTTCTTCTTGTTTATTTCATTTGTTATTTCTGTGGGTATTGTGGACTTAAATAAATTGCAAAAAGGTATCCTGAATTTATTTTATCTTTTGTTTATTTCTTTTATTGATTTCAAGAACAGTTAAAAAGATCAAAGAACACCGTATACCACAAAGTACAGATGACGCAAATGCCTGTTGAACCATTGGGACTTTGAAATCAGTATTTGACAATATATCTTTATATTTATCACTCAGTATTGACACTGTTTTATATCATCATGATATTTGACAACCTCTCTCGACGTGATTATATAGCTTTCAAAGTCACTCAACGTAATCACTTTATTCCCTGAAAGTGTCTCGATAGCAATCGTGTTATTGATTGCCATTTTCCCATTCACTTTGCCTGTCAGCGAAACAATATCTGTCTCCTACCCTTGCTGCTGTTTGTTACATTATTGCTTCAAAGAAAGCTTTATTGAAAGCCCAAACAACACCACGACGGAACTGTTTTGTTTAGATCAATATTAAAACAATTTATTGGTTTGATCGATTGCGACTAAGTTTGATATAGTTAAATATAGTGATCGAACAAGAGCGGTGACCCGGTATACTCCCTATAAACAATAACGGCATGCTAGATATGAAATACTCGGTCGGTGCACGCGTTATAGTAATGTTTGCTGCCAGTCAGTAGAATGCTAAGCTACCGTCAAGACGATAGGAGGCCGCGGCTTTATGTGGAGGCTAGAATGGGATTTGTACATGTCGTTTTGCAAGGGTATTTAGTTGTGTTTACCGGCTACTCTCGGAGTGCTGTACTCTTTCAATAGGTTATGTTTACGCGCGTCACCAGCCTATGGACACTTTTACCGGCTTCACCAATTATAGCACAGCTAGCTACCTGTGATTTTATCTGTGGGAAGTTGGATCATGTCACTTTACGTTGTTGAGAAAAGGTAAACACGGACAGGGCAGACGACCAAGTCAAATCCAGATGTATTGATTAATTTGTTTACCAAATCACTCCCAGACAGAGTAAAGGTGTTGGACTACAGAACTTTGACAGCCTTGGTCGTCCCAACGTGGTGGTGCAGCAGACGACACAGATCGCCTGCCTCCAGGGCAGACGACACATAGATCGTCTGGTGCCGGGGGACAGAAGAGAGTAGACACGACAAGTTCTATGTCGCCTAGCTGAGACACGTTCGTCTCCACACACCCGGTAAGATTGCCCTGACTGGCTTCTGAACATTGCGCCCATCGCGACATAATGAATCATGCACATGCTACACACTAACGGTCGTGAGTTTCTGTAATATCGCGAAAAGCCTGAAGCTTCATTTGGAGATCAGATAACCGCATGCGAAGGTAAGACTGAAGTTCAGAACAAAGCCATTCGATTTCTAAAGATTTTATCGCACTATTACCCCATTGGAATATGTTGTGCTATTCACTGCCCCTTGGATTTAGAATGTGACGCTTTTATTTACACACAATGTGTAAGTGTACTGTTGTACGGATTATCTAAGTCTGTATAATAAACATTCGTGTATGTTGTATTTGATGTCGGGAGAAGCCATACACGAGTTAAATGTTAAATACTCGAGTTCCTTGAAATACTGATGTCTTGGTGTTCAAGTACCTCACAAATTCAACTCATATACAAAGCATACTGTTCTCAAAATTCCTTGCTTTTGCGGTGCGGCGGGATAGCCTGGTGGTTAAAGTGTCAGGTCGTCGCCTTAGAGTCGGGTCGATACCCTACACGAGTTAAATGTTTAAAGTCTATTTCTGGTGGCGCCACTGCCATAAACTATAGTATAGTAGGTCTGTTGCTTGCTAAATGCGGGTTAAAATCAGTCACTCACTATCTATCTATACAAGTAGATTTCCCAACCAACATTTGAACATCTTTAATACAACGACAAAACCCATCACTACTGCATACAAATAAACGAGACGGTGCAAATCGTTATCCCTAGATAACGTTTTGACCCGTGAAGATTCCGGGGTAGAATAGGTCTTCAGCAACCCATGCTTGCCGTAAAAGGTGACTATGCTTGTCGTAAAAGGCGACTAACGGGATCGGGTGGTCAGGCTCGCTGATTTGGTTGATGCATGTCATCGATCCCAATTGCGTGGATCGATGCTCATGATATTAATCACTGGATTGTTTGGCCCAGACTCGATTATTGACAGACCGCCGTCATATAGCTGGAATATTGCTGAGTGCGGCGTTAAACAACAAACCAACCAACCAATATAACGTTTAGAGGTACGTCTGTGAAACTACTGCATACACGAAGATCACATGGGCATTCAACCAGCATGACCTGCTTATACTGGACTGTACCGATACTGTGGCAGGAGATGTCACGATGCATGTGTAAATTATACCTCGTCATCATCACGCCTTGTTCCTATATAGATGTAGTGAGTGAGTGAGTTTGGCTTAACGCCGTTTTTACCAACATTCCAGAAATATCACGGCTGACATGCACCAGAAATGGGATTCACACATTACACTCATGTTAAGAATCGAACCCGGGCTGCGGCGTGACGAGCGAACGCTCAACGCCTAGGCTACCCAACCGCCTCTATATAGATGTAATCAGTTGATACAAAACATGTCACATATTACCCATAGTCAAATCTAGATATATAGTAATGCAAAGGTGGGCAATGTTCCCACTGTGTTATACTTGGAGTGAACCTGTGAAGACCCGGGTTAGAAGTGGTCTTCAGCAACCCATGCTTGTCGTAAGAGACGACTAACGGGATACGGTGGTCAGGCTCGTTGACTTGGTTGATGCATGTCATCGTATCCAACATGCGTAGATCGATGCCCATGATGTCAATCACTGGACAGTCTGGTCCAGACTTGATTATTTGCGAACCGCCGTCATATAGCTGGGATACTGCTGAGTGCGGCATTGCGGCATTAAGCAACAGACAAACAAACACAACCTGGGGTGTTGTATACATTGTCACTGAGTGATTTACTATTGGCTGCGCATGGGCAGAAGACATAGGTTGACCATAAGTTATGTAGTAGGAAGACCTTGTATACGGGCCATTTGGCAATGTCAGCTATGATTCAGCCATTAAAATGTACTTTATTGTATGTTAACTCAAATCGCACGTAGACTCTATAACAATCTAACAGTTTAACCTAGTCACCCGTTGGCTGTATATACTCCTATAAAAATCGAAGAAAATAAGTGAAAATCAAGTAACCGTATACCACCGTCACTATACCTCATGCCTCAGCTCTTCCACCGCATACTTTAGTCCCGTTTACAGCCGGTTGGTTGGTTGGTTGTTTAACGCCGCATTCAGCAATATTCCAGCTATATGACGGCGGTCTGTAAATAGTCGAGTCTGGACCAAACAATCCAGTGATTGACACCATTAGCATCGATCCACGCAATTGGGATTGATGACATGCATCAACCAAGTCAGCGAGCCTGACCACCCGATCCCGTTAGTCGCCTTTTACGAGAAGCATAATCACCTTTTACAGCAAGCATGGGTTGCTGAAGACCTATTCTACCCCGGATCTTCACAGGTCGTTTACAGCCGGTACCTGTCACAGTTGATTTGACCAAAAACACCAAAAGGCACAAGTTCAATATGCGATTGATACATAAGCAAAGTTTCATTATAAACTATAGAACGATTTCCAAGTCATGCTCCGGAAACTAAACGTGGCGGGCGGACAGCACCAATTCCTATATATGAGTCTGAGTTGGTACATAACATTAGAACACATCCAATCGCTGAAACAATAACGATCTATATTGGCCAATCAGAAGGTCCAATATTAACCATTCACTGAACCAACCAGAGCATAGTTCTTATGATGCCTTGGTGAATGCACGTCGGTCAGACTTGAACGTTTAAGGAGGGAAATAGATGTGGTCCTCAGCTTGATCGTCAATCCGAGTCTAGTCTAGACATCGTCTCAGTAATTTGGTCAATAATTATTGATATGCATCATAGACGCTTTTTGAAACACATTTACATTGTTTTAATAATGTTTTATAATGTTTAGATTGGTATGGATTAACGTTTTGCGTAAACAATTGTTGAAATGAACATTAGAGTATATCCAGGTATTGAGTGTATGCAGAATATGCTTTTGAATCTCACCGGGAATCCTTCACGAGCTATGCCTGTTAACGCATAACTTCCTCGCCCCATGCTCACTGTGTTATTTACCACCTACGAGTTATTTGAGGTGGTATAATCATACCCGGCTTCCCAAACAGCAGGCTTGAGGACGATCTTATTTCGTTGGGGGTCTTTGTGTTAGCCTTGGATATCACATTCATGTGGAGGCCTTTGTGGATAACGGAAATGAAACCTATATCCTATTTAGCCCGTCCTCGTACAGCGACAAACTGCGCTACCATGTACATACACGCATCTAAATGCAAATAAAGCAATTTGACGCGAGCAAAGCGTTGTGGTTTCCTTAATCGCGGACACGGTAAATATATGTACAGCGACAAAAGGTGATTCCACAGGAAGCAGACTTTTCTTAAACTCCACCTGTTCTTTTCAAACGGGTCCGGTTGCATTCATCTTGATCATCACTCCCGACAGGTGAGAGGCGAAAGGTGAGGATTGTGTCTAAAGTCATCGAGGTCAAGCGGTGACCCGGGTCACAGTAGCAACAGGTGCTTGGAACAGGTAGCGCGTTACCGCGACAGGTGTGCAGCTCGACAAGGGACACATGTTTTATGGTGGATCTGTCACTTAACAGTGTGAAAGAGAGTTATGGCCATTGCGAATTGAGAGGCCCTGTAGAGTAAATGGAGCGTGATCTGTTTTCTTTTTTCAAAGGTGATATGTGCTTTTAAATACACTATCATATGGACGTATTCGTACCGGGGCATACCGAACAGTCTTTGGAAAAGGGATTGCATTTATTTACCGATCAAGAGAGTCAATTAGGCCACGTGCTATTATCAATCCTGTCTGTCTGTGTTGTGGGGAGTGGGGTGGGGGTGGATTGGGGGATGGAGTGTTTCAAATCCCCAACTCTGCTATATAGGCATCCGGCTTAAATTTTCTTGGGACATTTAGATGGGATTTTCACATAGAATGCATGACCATGCGTGCTCATAGTCTAACTATTTGCTCTTTGCAAAAAAGAAAAAGAAGAAACATATTTCAATATTGAAATATTGGCATCCGCATACCAGATAAACATCTGCTCTGCGACATCCGGAATAACGCTTAACGAGGCTCGGTGTCAGACGTGCAAAAAGAGGGCTGGTACCTTCTAACGCGAGCAACAGGTTGGATTCCTCTGCCTTACAAGATGTGATGTTGGTGTCTTTATACATTCTATCTCTCTCGTGTATGTAACGGACATCACAAAAGGTAAACGAAAATATAACAGTCTTTGAAAGACATTTAGAAGTGATACACATAAGGAAGAGAATTTATGGATGTCAACTTCTTTATTATGAGGAACACAACGTTTCGGAGTATATGCTTACTCCTTCATTCACCTGATATAGGAGTAAGCATATACTCCGAAACGTGTTCCTCATAGTAAAGAAGTTGAAAATATAACAAATGAAATGAAAGCATTAGATTGTTTTACCTAAATTGATTGTTTGTTTGTTTTTAACGCCACACTCAGCAATATTCCAGCTATATGACGGCGGTCTGTAAATAATCGAGTCTGGACCAGACAATCCAGTGATTGACATCATGAGCATCGACCTACGAAATTGGGTTACGATGACATGCATCAACCAAGTCAACGAGCCTGACCAACCGATCCCGTTAGTCGCCTCTTACCACAAGCATAGTCGCCTTTTACGGCAAGCATGGGTTTGCCGAAGACCTATTCTACCCGGGATCTTCACGGGTCTTTTACCTAAATATATTTCGTCATACAGCCAGCGTCCTAGACTAACATTTAATCTCAGAAATATGTTATCTCATTTAAATATATATATATATCCACAAAATAAACAGTACAATTCAAATTTAACCAAGAACAATGCTTATTTTCAGAGCTGAGGCAATCTAGAATTGATAAGTAATTCTAGACTTGAGTTGGATTCCTTTATATTTTATTGTCTAGGGTTTGGGAGACTGCCACTTTCTTCCAGTCTTCTTCATCAACTATGTCCTATTGTATGTGAAATTGAGTTAACTGTTCCAGTGCCGTGGCAAATATCTGTACAAGTATCACTTATCCCCAACTTGTATTTTCATGATTCAAATAAAACTGATTTCTATAAAGAATCCAGGGCGGCAACTGACCCCCCCCCCCCCCCCCCCCCCCCCCCCACAAACACACACACACACACACACACACACCCACCACACCCCGCCCACCCACTGTCAAAAAAAGTTAACTACGGCCTTGTATTCCCCATTGTCAAAGTTAAGTCTCGCCGTTGTTTGTATTCAACCTGTTTGAACTTGTATAGATATACAGAGAACGAGGGGTTTTATGACGTCTTCGTGTGCATTCCTGTAATGTCACATAGCCAGCGCTGTAGTTGTACGTACAATGTCGCGCCCCGTACACCCGGCTTGCCCCTTGTGACAGTAACAAGAAAGGTGACGGACACGTTGTCAAACACATTACTCGCTCCAAAACCAATATTGATCAGATATTGTATGGGAGATAACCCCCGCCCCTACCCACCTGTAGACTGACGACAACACTATAATCCCCCAGCATACCCCGGTGTAGGGCACGGCAAACGGGAATACATGACTGAACAAAAATAATGTCAGCCCTAAGTAGATTAATTCGCGACTCCGGACTCCAGTAATACGCTTATCCCTACGCCATGGACTAGTTTCTTACGGGCTGTAAACAGAGTACTGTCGAACTTGTTTGACAACGATCCAGCTTGGATGTAGGTGTTGACGATGTGTGGGGGGATAGCTGATTCCCAATGACAGTGGCCAAAGTTCAAGGTAATATATTTACAACATATACTACAGTGAAGTTATAACTCCTCTTCGCCTTATGTATGCTATACACTTTGCTATAGCTATATAGTTCAACATATATTTAGACGATACCACCATAAGATGGTGTTGAGCAGAATGTTTAATATTTCTACTGGTTCTGGATATTCTTGGCGTGAATATGGACCTATATAATACGGTGTGTGTTTGTGTGTGTGTGTGTGTGTGTGTGTGTGTGTGTGTGTGTGTATGTATGTATGTTCTAAAGGTTACTTTAAAGCGGAACATCGTACGCCTTTCTGAAAAAAGAGATTTTGTTATACATGTACCTATAACTTTTTAGACTTTAACTATTGGCGTTTATGCGACAACGCCAACATAAACGGTGGTGCTTTTGTTGTAGTGCTGCCCCAAGTTGTTGTAGTGCTGCTCCAATTAACATTACCCAAATATCGGTGATCTGTCGGACGTGTAAACGTTTCTTGATCTATGATCTTTATTGGTAATAAATCCCCTTACAGATACTGACAATGTGATCCCCGGTATGTACAGTTATGCATTATATTTAATATATTGAACAGTCGCCCCTCGTGTTCCGTGTCAGCGGTCTCGCCATACAACACGCCGCGGACAGGGCCGTAACTGGAGAGACTATTGAGACATTCTCTGGCGACACGGAAACGGGGTATTCAATTCAATATTTTGAACAACCATATGGCTCTACGTTGTACTCACGATTCTTGAATTTATGCCGAAGAATGTCACCGCTTGTAAATGGAAGTAACCGTTGCTAAGGTGTAGTCATCGCAGGTTTTATTAGCTGATCTGTTCCGCAGTTTCTTTGTCATCGAGATAAGACTGGCATTATTATTATTTTATCACTGGGGTAGCAGACAAGCCGCTTATTGAAACACTTAAACAGGAACCTAGGGCAAGAAATATATGGAATAAGACATGTTTCCTGAATTGAGTGAGTGGGTTCGAATCCAATATTCATCCCGATTTTGATATTTGGTCTGCACCATACCCTTTCACCAGCATGTGCAACCAGCCTTTATACCAGCTCACTCACCGACAGTGTCCGTGACCCCTGCAGGACCTGTAAACCAGATATATATATATATACTTCTCAAAAGAAGTCAAGGATCACCCGACTCTGTCATATTACATGGCATGACAGATTAACTATGGTGATATGAAAGAATCTGGTGGTCCCTAACTTCTTTTGAGTAGTATAGGTACAGCTACGATTGGACAATGATAAAATGTCAGTTAACATGTGTGAGTGAGTGGTATAGGGGTAGTGTCCTGTCAACAATATATCTCTTGTGTGTCTTGTTTTCATATCTTAGAAGATAACATGTATTTCATTGAGATTCTCTCAAGTACAGACAGCGCCACGATACACGCCTTCCTACAGCAGGTAAAGCCTGGTTGCCCTGGTGTGTCATCGTACCCCGACCACATTGTTCCATGTTCACGAGCCATTTTTTCAAAGGACTTCGAAAAGGACAGTCATCAAATTAGCATACTAGATAATCGCCTCATGTAGCTGTATTGCCTGCAATACACTATTTGCTCATGCACCAACGTCGTTATCCTAGTGCACTGAGGTTGTCGCCTCCTAACAAATCAACATACAGTAAACTACGGTTATAAGAACACGCTTATAACGAACAAACGGATATAACGAACTAACTTTTTAGTCCCGACTATATGCTGTAGTTATGCTGTATATATGCTTATAACGAATTACGGTTATAACGAACAAAAATTAGTAGTCCCTTTGAGTTCGTTATAACCGTACTTTACTGTACATGTAAATATATTGGCAAATGTTACTGATATATGGTACCTAACGATGATATAACATTATTTACTAAGTGACTTATCATTCTTAAAAATAGCTGGCAAAGTGTATAGGCCCATACATTTTCTGAAAGGACTTTTTAAAGCATGAACAAAATTATATGAAACGATTTTTGCTTTATTTCTTTTGAAAATGTACACGAATTTCTAATTTAATTGTTTAGACACAATATATATTTCTCATAGAGAGCATTTATTATTAAAATCTACCTGGCCATATAAACTTTATAGGTTTTCTTGATTAACGTGCACATCAATTCCCGGCACTCGGCCTGCTGTAGCTACACATAAGAACATTATGGGATATCACTGTCGATTTATTTCCAGTATGCAATTGAACGTGCCAATCCCAGAGGATTAACTATAATCTCTATTACTAGCAAGAGGGATTAAAGTGTCCCCAGCGAAACCAGTTGCACCGTGTAATGCAATTCAATTCACAAAATACAGGATCAAGAAAATATAAGATTAGGATGCACAGTCGATACGTCCAACTAATCGTCTTATGGAGCTGCATGGTTTAACGAAAACGTCACATTAATCGTTCTAGAAGTCAGTCACTCTGTTCACGAACAGTGCAGTCAGTTATGTATAGGACTATATTCCATTATATCCTGGAAGGACGAGATCCAGACCTGAGGTCACGGCGTTTTAAATGACAGCGTCTTGTCAGGTTGCTCACCAATCTAACTCACTCCTTCATTTACAGCAGTCTCAGTTATGGAGTTCGGCTGAAGATCACTGAAGAAGGTGCAGGAGTGTCACGGAGAAGGGCATGTTGTTGTTTGACGACGGAATAACGGCCCCGGTGTTGTGACAGACGAAGAGGACAACATGGAGAAGCAGAGGAGGAGTTTCGAGTTCCGGATGTCAAAGAAGGTGGCAGAGCTGACGCAAGTCGTGCACATGCTCTTCACGCGCAATCATGAAAAGGAGGTAACAATGTAACGAAGAAAATGTAAAGATATCTATACATCGGGTAGACATAGATTTTAGTCGATAGTTTGTTAAGAAAGGTGGAGAATATCACTACGTGTCTGTCTGTATGTATGTGTTCCGTCGGCTTTCTTGAAAAGTTCATCAGGCCGCAATAAGGTGGTACCCTAGTGGTTAAAGCGTATGTTCCATTTCCGTTCTATTCGCCCATTGTGTGAAGTCTTGGTGTCCCCTCCCTGATGTTGCTGGAATCTTGCTATAAACGGCGTAAAACTATTCTCTAAACAGCAACCTGGTCTTAAAACAGAGTAACACACAGGCTTATTATAATATGAACGCGTAGTTAGCCAGTAAGACAACATTGTTTGCGAAATGATAACTGTATCTTTAAGTCTAATGTTCTATGGTTATCTTCAGGTTGAAATTGATGCTGTGAAGGAAGCATATGAGTTGGAGATCCAGAACATCATAGAAGACGCCGGAAAAAGGTTGTCGACCCTGCAGTCAGATTTGGAAGACATGCGATCCCGGGCTGGAGACGAGGGCGAGAAGATGCGAGAGATGATGAAACAGGAGTACATGCTGCGGGAGGCGGAACTCGCCAGGAGGCTGGCGGACAGCGAGCAACATTTGGTCGACGAGAGGAAGGAGTGCCAGAACATCCGGGACCTTCTCATCAACGCCCAGAAGGACATTGAGCAGCTACGCCATGGAGTCGCAGAACAACTTAACTTAAAATCAGACGAGATAGCAAAGCGAGACCGAGAGATTGAACGGTTGCGCAAACAAGTGGCACTTCTTGAAAAGGGAATGAAGGTTTCGGAGAAGGAGACAAACTCGGCTGTCAGAGATTTCGAGAAGAGCAATGAGAAGTTGGAGACTGAGTTGACTCACATGCATGAACTGTTGGAAGAAAGTCATAGGGTCAAGGATCAGTTGTTGGCCAAGGTCAAGGTATTGGAGACTGAGTTGAAAAATCTGAAGCGAGACTTCAACAGACGCGTCACAGAAACTGTGGCTAGTCAAGTAAACAAGATGCCCCGCAGTGCGCCGTCTTATACAGTAAGTAACCATTGCCGACAGATGAAACGCTGATTGTAGCCAGTTTTAAGGGTATATATTCAATTATGTCACTGATTAAGTTCCCGTTCTCAAAACTATATCCAAATATTGTCTCAATGTATTACTACTCATACTCTGTTATTATATCGTGATGTAAGGAACCAGGATCTGCTGATAGTTGGTGTCGAATACGAGTTTCGCCCCAGTTATGACTGTCAACACTATACCCTTGGGTTTTCCAAGCAGACAGGCCGCGATAAATCTGATATTCTATTACAAGTGGCGTTAAACCATAATCAACTCAACTCTTATCAACTGCATATGAAGCATTTTTTTATGTTTGAGAAACATTATCATAAATCTGTGTCGCAGTAAAAAGAACTTGAATGACTAGATCTATACCTTCGGTTGCTGAAGGGGAAGACCACACCGTGGTCAAATCATTTCTATGTATCCTTTACTCACTACTCGTGGATGGTTTTATCCGGAACGCCTTCTTCGTTAAAGGGATCGTCCTTTCATGATTGTTTGTTGTTTAACGCCGCACTCAACAATATTCCAGCTATGTGACGGCGGTCTGTAAAGAATCGAGTCTGGAGCAGACAACCCAATGATTGGCATAATCAGCATCGATCCACGCAACTGGGATACGATGACATGCATCAACCAAGTCAGCGAGCCTGACCACCTGATCCTGTTAGTCGCCTCTTACGACAAGCATAGTCGCCTTTTACGGCAAGCATGGGTTGCTGAAGACCTATTCTAGCCCAGGTCTTCGGGATTTCCGTCATGATTGAGTGGTACAGGACTTCTCAACTCACTCCTGTAGTACTGTGTTTGTTTTATAGAACCACAACGAGGAGCTGGAGCGACTACGCCGGGAAATACAGCGTTACCGCCTGGAACTCAGCAACAGAGACTCCAACTTCAACCGTGTGTTTACCACGCAACAGCCGGTCATTGTGGATCCGAGGAGCGCTAAGTCCGGAGCAGGACAGTCACCTCAACCTAACAAATCTCTCAATCGCAGCCAAAGCAACCTCAGCCATGGTCAGTCAGGGTCTGTGATTCAAAATGGACTTGGCCAGCCAGTGTTGGTAAACGGGTACACAAAACCCGGCTCTCGGAACCACAGAAACACCGCAGTCCCCACAGGCAAACCCCACTTCTCCAGTACCATACAAACGTACTACGAGGAGGTAAGCCCTAGGTGCTTGGTCATTCACGTGAGTCCATAGATAGCAGTATGCTGTAGAAGTGTTATTATTGTTTTATATTTGTGAATTATAATTTTAATTATTATTATTTTAGCTTTATTATGGTGTCTTCAATCTTATATGGTATATGGGATGATAGGAATCCTATACCCTAATAAGTGGTCTGACACAGCCTCCGCCTTACCAGTATTATCTGGCTTATTTATATCATCTTACAAAATCAACATCCACGACTGTACACTTCGTACGAAAGTGATTTACCCCTGTCTGTCTTTGTTGACACGAATATGTCATTTTCATCTTTAAAAACCCCAACGATTGCCTATGTTTTTGTGTCAGGGATGAAATCGCGAATGTGTTCGTTATCTGGTCGACTAGGTCGTCGCCTATGCATGGTAGTCGCCATCTTGGTGGAGCTGTACGAGATAAGAACAGCGATCTGATTGGATATCGCGTTTTCATTACAAGGGGCACAACTCGTGATCTACGCGAGGTGGCACCAGTTTCGAGCCAAGAAAAATGGCCTTGATGTGGCAAAGGTCGAAAGTAGGCTTTGATATAGGCCAATGGATACGCTTGCCTCGGGAAGATGAATATATATTTGCAGAGCTCGAGATAATTTGCATATACCCAAAATATATGACCATTACCCAAATAATTTAAGTTGCTTGCGTACAAATACGGATTAAAATATGAATAAGACACAATAGTAGAACAACACTGTGCGTAATTACCCAATGTATTATTTTCAAATAGCGTACCTATGTTTCTTTACGCATATTTATTTACTGATCCAATGCAGGCATCGCGTATACAACAACTAATACAGTGAATAATGCATACAAAAGGCTCTACGTCTAATAAGACATGTATAGCATTGTTGTGAATGTATGCGACATGTTGCACACTAGGGGCAGCACACAAAGAGATATAAAGTAGGAGTCATCTGGAACAAGACTACAATAGCATTGTGTTCACATAATTTTGGGGAAAATACCAATTAGTCTGGACCCAAGCGTGTAAAAATATTATAAATACCCAGTGAAAACTATCAATACCGAAAGTGAATGATAATTTGTGACTAACTCCTCAATACGTGCATTTTGTGGGGGAACGTTCTAAGTTAAGATCAAGCTCGTGTTTTGTTACACCAATTTGTATTCACATGTATTTAATTTAATTTTGTTAAAGATATTTGAGTTACAAACCTGTTTCCTTTTAGTCAAAATTCAAACTTCAAAATACGACAAAATTCTAACTCAGCACTATGGGGTGGTGATGTTGACAATTAAACGTAAAAGCCATTGGTATCGACTAAATGTAGAATAATTGAAATAGAATCAATAGCCTTTAAATGAAGGATTTTATTGCAACGCCTTTGTAAAGTTCTCGGTAGTCACAGAGATATCGATGTAATGAGATAAATAAATTCCATTCGCATACAATATTGGCCTACATGCACCATTTAGTGCCTCTCGGATCCATGAATCAGGATTGAGGTTAAACAAGCTGAAGATGTTGACGAAATATTTTTTATTCCAAACAAAAACAAATATAAGACTCAGTACATCTCTGACCTCATGGAGAAAAGTAGTTTCTCATTAAAATACATCAAATTTAAAGAGCAGCACAGAACGACTGGTTAATATGTCCGTGTGTATTTTTGTTCCAGCTGAACCCAAGCCCACGGCCAAACTCGGCTTCCAGTCAGTTGCCATCCATAGCTTCCACAACGTCTTCCGCCGATGGAAGGTCAAGGTCACAGAAATTTTCCAAGCCGAGGCCGCTTCCAAAGGAAATGCTCTTTTCAAAATGACACTATAGGACAAGGTAGTTACCACTGAACGAATGGCACTTACTGTGACATACTGCGCATTTGAAGACTTCAGTGAGTCCAGTCAGGAGGGGCGTTGTAGCACTTGACAAGGATGAATATGTCCGTCACAGAAACTACTGTTTGTGTCGGGTGACGTCATAGCTATAGAGTTATGTCGAAGCATACGAGGATTAATGTTGATATCCAAAAAGCAGTACTGTGATAAGTATGTACTATTACTAGTATGTCGGACACTGTTATGAACATACCATGACGGCCATTTCTGTGACGCTATACACTGATACAATGCCATACGCTCGTGATGCTATTCCCTGTGACATTGTGACACTATGTCAAGTGCTACTAAGCCAGACCCCACTGTGACGCTATTCACTTCTGTGATACTATGCCAGACCACAATGACGTTGTGATGCCACGTCACTCGCCACTGGGACGTCTTCACTGTGGGGCCAAGTCCGACAAAAACTGTTCAATGTGATATCACGACAAACACTACTGTGACGTCATTTACTGTGATACCACGTCACACGCTACTGGTCCGATATTCATGATATAACACACCATGTGACGTCATTCAATGTGATACCACGTCAGCTGTTATTCTGGTAGGCACCGTGATCTCAACCTCTGTTGTCTCGAAGATAGTTCATCACAAGAAACCAGTGTAAACTTACGATGCCAATGACTTCTCTACTTGACTGTAAGACAGAAAACAAAATCAGAAATACAAATGCTATACAAAACAAGTCTATTACATGTAATGGTACACTTATGGATTTTATTTAAAATAAATATATGTTTTTATTCAAATTGTTGCCAAAAGGGAATTTGATCAAGTTTACAATGAAGGAGATTGCCTGTAAGCCCCCATAGTATTCCAAGAGTATTCAATACATTCTGAACATGAGCCCTGTATGAATCCTGTGTGAGGCTACGAACATCACAATTTTTCAATACTCTTCTCATTGCTGAGACTCAAAATTTCAAAGCCTTTGTGATTAAATGTGTGATTATTTCGGAGATTCTGAAACAATTATTGTTTTGTGACTTCTTTGAGAGGCATTCAGAAATTGGAGTTCTAAGTAAGGATGCCATATATGGTTAACAATTTCTTTATTACGGTTAGGCGCGACGTTTCTGTGGAGGTTCTAACACCGTCAACACTTGCTTGATAACGGTGTTCGAACCTCCACCGAAGCGTCGCTCCTAATTGTAATAAAGAAATTGTTCATCCATATATTGTATCCTTACTTATTGTTTTGTGTTTTATGACTAGATGGTGTTTTCGCGCGTGATGCCTAAATTCGTTCTATGTGTGAGGTCCAATATGTCAGCAATCGCTCACCAACACTATCGTAATATGTCCCATTTCAAGCACGGAAACAGCCTTTTGAAAACTTGCGTTTGGTAGTGGCGTTATATTTGTTGAAAACATATCGCCACATGAGTAAGTTATGTTGTTCAAAGAGGTTATGGTTATGCCTATACCTTACCGATCACCGACACTGTGTGACATTAACATTAAAATCCACATCCGATATCTTTTGATATAAATACAGGTGGAAAGGGGTTATCAGAATTTATCCTCGGTTGCTTAACAAATACGTCATTGTATCCCAACTGCGTGGATCGATGCTCATGATGTTAATCACTGGATTGTCTGGTCCAGACTCGATTATTTACAGACCGCCGACATATAGCTGGAATATTGCTGAGTGCGGCGTTAAACAACAAACCAAACCAAAAATACGTTATTGGCTACATCCAGCTGTCAAGTCTGGACGTCATGCCCCGCATCCGAGTGTTGAATGTACACCGATGTGTTGATGTTATTGAGCAAATTGATCAGAACTATTGCTGCCTCATGATTCAACCGTGTTTGGTCAATCAGGTGATGATCATCCACTGGTCTAGTGCATTTAATTTCGATGAGCTACAACATAAAAAAACATCATGATAAACTGCCTTTGAAGTATCGGGAAGCATCGATAGTTTCGGTTCAAACTGTGTTTGACTGTTAGATCTCAGCATGCAATTTGTGTCTCGTTCATGCACCTAATATTAAAACGCCCAGATCGCCATGCGGTAATGTCACTGACTGATGTCACGATACGTAATCACACATGCAGGACAGTCTTGTATTAGGCTTATACTGCAAAAAACATCGTAACAGTTAATGCTCCTATAAATGTGACAGAATGTTGTTTTTTAATAAAATGAGTCCAGAAATAGAGTACATACTAAATTATTGTAATTTTGAGCATATTAATGCGGATGTGGTTGAGAGATTGTTGATGCAGTTTGCACTAATTACCCTTCAAAATACACTCGATTGGAGTAACAGCTCTTCTAAGCTGTCAGTTCTGTCTCAACTTTCTGTTGAACTCAATGACTGTGAAGCCTTAGTTCCTGTGTTTACGTGGCATTTGTAATGTCTTGGTAATAAACCAACCACTATTTTTGTACATACTTGATATTTATATAATAAAGCATTTTTATACATTCGATATCTTGTTTCCTCTTCACTCGAAGACCCGTGAAGATTCCGGGGTAGAATAGGTCTTCAGCAACCCATGCTTGCCGTAAAAGGTGACTATGCCTGTCGTAAAAGGCGACTAACGTTGATGCATGTCATCAATCCCAATTGCGTGGATCGATGCTCATGATATTAATCACTGGATTTTCTGGTCCAGACTCGATTATTTACAGACCGCCGTCATATAGCTGAAATATTGCTAAGTGGGGCGTTAAACACGAGTGAATCGAGGGGTTAGCTGAAGCAGGATATGTAGTTACAAAATACCAAAGGAACAACACTCACGCCAAATCTGCGCTGCCAAGTCATGATAATTAACTGTAGCAGCGTTAATAGCACCATTGTTCATAAAAAGTAAAACGGTATCATATCTCATATTATTACCTTCGATGGCAAACATATCGGGGTTCATAAAAACCTTATGTGCCCAAGGGTCATTTCACGTCACGCGAAACAGTGTATTGTTTCCGTCATGCGAATCTTATTGTGAGGTGAGGTCGGAATGACGTCACACTAGAAACGACGTCATAGCTGAGGATTGTTGACGTCATTCGACAAATTGTGGTTCCGCTGCTGTTGCGACTTGCTGGTAAACACTAAAATTCGTCTCTGTATGTAGACATCTTCTTCGGTAATAAATAGAACATTATATTCGTGTTCATGACATGCTATGTTTACGACGCACGTGCCAAAATTCCGATATTGAGACACTCGTGTCGTAAACATAGTATGACATGAACACTCATATAATATCCTCTATTTGCGGCGCAATGGCAAGAAGTAGGTTTTCGCACAGGGTTGCCATGGAAATCAAACTTGACTTCGAAAAGAAACGGTTCGAGCAACACTGGGAGAGGTTGTCGGTATGGGGGTCCACAAGTTTCACATGCCTATATCGTTAAATATTTTAGAAAGTAAACCAGTTCAAGCAGGGTGAAACTGTCCACGGACTGTATGTCAGCTTTTTAACTAATGTAACTTGTGTGTCCGTGACCTCTCAATTGCCAAAAAAGACATTGCTTCGGCCGTCGAGGCAAAGGCTAGGGGCCTACATCACTTCAAAGAAGGGTCTCTTTCCTGTGATGGAATGCTTAAAAAGCACATCACCATGGAAATCCCAACACTGACCTTCGCAGTTGAAATAGCTTAGCCTATTTAGTATACTCTTATATATATCTTCTCCTCTGATTCCGTGAACGGGAACGGATGGTCAGGCTCGCTGACTTGGTTGATATGTCATCGTAATACAGACTCGATTATTTGCAGGCCGCCGTCATATTGCTGGAATATTACTGAGTACGGCGTTAAAAAAACACCACACACACATACACACACACACACACACACACACACACATACACACACACACACACCACTGATACTGCTTGAATGACGAGGCATGCGTGTTTCTTGTTATGATGACATCTTATTCATTTCATTGAGATTTTTTTGTGTGTTGTTGTTTAACTTAAAGATATTTAACAAATCAAATTTTATAAAAAAAGGTTTGTAATATTTATTCTTGAGAACCACTATATGCATTGGGCACAGGGCTTAGACGTTGTGTGAATATAATGACCATAGGGAGATCACTATTTACATACATACTTGTCCTAAACTATGTTGCAAATAAGGTGCCATCAAATAATTAGTATTAATTAGTATTAAGCCAGGTGAGCTACAAAGCCTTGTGGGTCTATTTGAACAACTCCTCTAAATCTGTAAATCTACGGAGGTGACAGTTTATGTGAATGAAAGGTGTCTCCAAAATGTGCTCACGGAATTCCGATCCGATTCAAAACATGGCCACTATTATTTCTTCATAATTCGGATGAGCTTCAGAGCCCTGTCGCTCTATTTTTTCATTTGTCACAAATTTTCAGATAATGAAGTTGGGACTAAAATTTTATCTAGCTCATACCAATCACTTGTTTGTCTGGTCCGAACATATAACTGGACTATCGCTGGGTATTGCGTAAAACAACAAACAAAAAAGCAAAGCTCTACGAAGGAATTATGCTTAAGTATCATAGATGCATATGATGATGCAAAAACTTGCACACGTGACTGGTTTCAAATGAAGTACTATTTATTGGTGTTAAACAAACGTGTGCAGTAAAGTGCATTTTACGCCAGCTTCGTTGGATTCTCGGTATCTATGAAACAACTTGCGCTTTAAGGCTAAGTGTGAAGATAACCATTGCCAACTCGTCACAGGCTGTTCTGTATTTTCTAAGGGGGATTTACTCTACCCCTTAGTGAGCTTATATCAATTAGCGTCATTAAGTTGATTAGGATTTTTTTGTATTACCTACCTGCCTGTGCCAGGTATATGTGCTTTAGAAATGTTTTTTGTCTCGGTCGACATTATAATCTGAAGAGTTCATGTTTCAACTGTTTGCTTAATGATGGACGGTAATAGAAATACAGAGGTTCACCATCAATTTCAGTATTGTAGTGATTCAAAGAGAGACAAACTGGAATTGACAACGAAATTGAAAAATGATTTTAAGATAAAATAGTTAAATATGTAAAAATCAAATAGGTAAAAGTATCAGCTCATCCAATAACCCACAAGGTCATCAGACTGCAACCTACGTGTCAACACGTCCACAAGGTAATCTACCTTCATCTATCTCATCCCGCATCAACATTATTTGTCTTTTGGATATCTTATTGCGGTTGATGTAATTTGCTATTTGCTTTATATGCATTACTGGCGTGCACCCAGTGTGATATTGTCAGCAAAGCTGCCACAAATATTAAGACGTCGTATACAACTGGATCAATTTCCACGAATATCTATTTTAAGTGTCATAAGATGAGCAAATTTATACTGGTTTCTTAACCGGAATGTTTGTTTCAGAATTATTTTTTTTCAATATATCCTATTATTTTTAAGTAACCCATTTCGCAATGAAACTAAAAATCCATTACCATTAGTGTATAACAAATTCCACCCGACAATAGACAGTGGAGTTGTGTGCCTAAAACGTTTTCTCTGGGATGTAAAGTCTTCACTATATATATTATTGAAATTGACACTTTTATTATTCTCATCACAAAACAGCATATCATATTTGAGGACGGCTTCCATGACCTTCGGTTTAGTATATCAGATCTGAATCACACACAGTAATAGAACTGCGGTTAATTTGCATAATATAGAAACGATCGTCCACGTAAACGTTGATAAAAGTTACATTTTAATCGCATTATGTATGGAAAAGGAGAAAGTTTAGTGTAGACATCATTCATGTTTTAAGTGTAGATATACCTTTTCTAAAATTATAAAAAATTATTGTTTGGTCATGTTTAAAGGCTGATGTTTTCTAAAAACAAACCATGGACATAAATGATATACTAATATATATTTAGGTACGTTAACAATGTAAACACATTTACAATCCACAATGGGTAGCCACGTCTGTCATGTTAACAGGTACTTGTAGAGGTAATAATTTAATATTGAGTAATGTCATATGTTTTTAATGGTTTTAACACTTGTTAAATAGTAGAATTGGGTTGCACCTGCGGTTGTGCTATTAAAATATTCGGATATATTTCTAGGTCAAACGGCTACAAATTCATTCATCATTAATTATTGCGCGAATATTTTCAAAAAGTGTTTCAAAAGGTATATGGAAAATATATTTGAGACATACTTTCAGTTTTGAAGTAATGATAGGTAAGGCGGCAGGTGCCCTAAACTCTAACGCTCTAGATTTACCTGCTTTTGTTCGGGATAGCTGTCAGCCATCAGCTGATTATTCGGGTCGAATATTCTTATCTTTCGCGGGTTTGTGATTCACTAGCCAATCAAATCACAGGATAGGTTGTTTGACGTCACTTCCGACTTTTGGAACGGCACGCCCACTGCACGCGGTGTAGTATGAAACATTGCAGTGGCGTTTGTTGGTCGTGTGTGTGTAGACCTGAAAGTCATCCGAGACAAAACAAGACGGCATATCTCCGGAACGAGTACTTTCATAAGGGGGACATTATATACAACGTGAGGTTACCATCTTCATCTTAGTTGATCGTCATAAGGTGAAATTGTCGGGAACAAGCTGTGTTCAAACAAAGAGGGCGTGTGATCTTACAAGACCAGCTGATTTTATGTGACCTTTCAAGACATCAATATGACACTCTTGCAGCATAAAGACTGTCGCGATTATGACACAAACCTGGCGGCAGAATGCCTTGTCGCGATGTCAAATTCATGTTTTAACCCACGATCAGACGACACAGCGGCTGTGTCAGTTGAATGTGAGGAGAGAGTTGCCACAACAACGGACGCTTCGAGAAGTCAGCCTGAGTCTTTGTTCATGTTGGCGAGAATTCTAGCTGATCTGAGTAAATTCAAGCAAGACCCAATTGACAATGATTACGATAGTGACGAACTTTGTAGAATTAACTCCAGTAATCATCACAACACATTTGACATTTGTCAAAATGTTTCCGCGCAGCGTAAACGAGTGCGACGGCGAAGAGCTAACTCGACCACGCCTACTTTGAGTGGAAGTGACTGGGAGGGGAAGAAAGGAGACCAACTTGGGAAAGACATGTCAGCAGCGGTTAAGAAGCTTCACAAATGTCACTATCTGGGATGTGAGAAAGTGTATGGCAAAAGTTCCCATCTCAAGGCCCATCTTAGAACTCATACAGGTAAGAATGTACAGCGGTTATCCTCGTCGTGTGTTGCGCGCCATTGTTTGTTGTCGACCGCATGGCGAGGTAAACACAAGCCAACGCCTTCTTTCAAAACTGTTGTTTCCTAGTAAGGATAAGAATAAACAGTCCGTCTGACAAGTGTATATTATTTCTAATGACAATTTTATTTACTAATTACATGTTCAGAATGTGTTATTCTGTTTTATTGAAGGAAAATAAGCGTTCCCGCCCAGTGAAAATTACGTCAGTTCATCTGTAGTTTGTTGGGGCTTAAAATAGAGCAGATGTAATTCAGATCGATTGGCTATTCGAGTAGCTTATTTATTTCTAAACCTGACTGCACATCATTCCTGTTGACATATGTTTGTCGTCTGTGTGTTGGAAACGTTTAGTATTGCGTGTCATGTTGTAGGAACACTGTCGCACCCATTCCTTTGTCCCAATATTTCTGTGCTAAATAGGTCAGAGGCCATGTGCTCACTCCCATGCGAACTCACAGGTCGGAAAAGTGCTTGGAATCCCGACAAGAACCCCATAACAGAGTCACGCCCATTTAACTCTTAGATTCACTGAGTTACTCAATTTGTAATATTAAACTGTTTGACATTACCAATATAGTTTGCTTGTTTTCTATAACTGATCATGCCCAGTTTATAGGATAGGTAGATTCTAGGAAGGAAGGAAACACAAATGTAACCCCACAAACAGAACGTATGGAACATGAAATACAGTGAGATCAAAACATGTTGTCTTTATGTAACTGTAGCAAATTAATAAGAGGATCAATAATTATGAATTCAAGGATAATACCATATTTCTGTTCATTAATTCATTTTTGATGTAAATGTCAAATATAAAGTTGGGGCATACCTTATGCAAGACCTTTAATTGTTTTTATCTAGATCTAGATCTACTAGTTTTTAAATGTCAAATTTATATCGGAATTGACATAAAATTCAACCAAGCACTTACAAGTGGGAGGGGCTCCTGCCATAAAATGTATCCTGACAAAAATTGTTACTATTTGTAATATTTGGACTAATACTTATATGTATCCAAAATACTCCAATCTGTCCAGCCTCCCCACCATAATTAGGCCTATATGCTACTATTCTGTATTTGGCGATGTCATTGTGGCTGTAATGTACAGTTGTATCTGTTACCAGTATTGTGAGCAGTTCAGACAGTGGCCATTGTGACATCGAGTTTACTTGTCAAGAGTGAGTTTTCGTGGACAATAAATATAAATATATCCCTAATATTTTGAAAATACTTAGAAAATGTCAATTTCTTAACCCATTGATAAACTTATATTTGGTTGGGTTATTTTCATTTGCAGCTCAACATTCACCATCACTAAATGAAATGAGAGCTGTATCAATTTCATGTTATTCAAATTTGTTTTCATTTTTTTTCCTCATTTGAGTGATGTGAAAGTCAAAACTGTGCTTTATCTCGTTTGAACGGGTGCTGAAAATGAGCTGTTGAACTGCTCCTATCTTTGTGTCTCTGAACCATTTCCTTCAAGATGTTTGAACAATATCTGTGATCACTGATGCGTTCAGCTTAGAATATTTGAGTTTTTGTCTGGGCTGATAACGGCAGGTGTTTTTAGGTGTGACGTCTTTGTGGGGTTGTGTGTAGGTCGGGTCGTGTGCAGGCCACGTGCCATCTGTCCCGCCGTGTGCCCGCCAACCCGCTCAACCAATATAATAACTTAGCTATGATGTCCCCCTCTACACCTGTATTCAAATGAGGTGTGTAGGTAAGCCTCCTTTTAGCCCTTTGTGTTGAGATGTGCCACTACGTTCCCCGCGGTTTTGGCTCGTGGTCTGTTGAACAAAGCCAATTTCTCTCTCCTTCTCCCTGTCCTCTCACTGATCACCTTCATTTGTCTTCCCTCAAACTTTGTTTGAATTGTCTCGGTAGGAGTAACAGTGTCGTTTACCTTTAGGGCAGGTCGAAGGACTTGCGGCTGCCACCAACCACGTCACCTGTCTTAAGAATCCTGAACTTTGCTTTATCAGTCACTTGCTCAGTAGTTTAAACCTTTAAAGAATAAATTAAATAATGGGTAAACAGTGGTGCAGGTTGAACTGGTTTGGTTTGTTTATCTCATGCTGACCTACTTTCATTTCGTTCTAAACATCCTTTGCTAAATGGCGATAAAATAATTACAGTTATGGAGGACATTTTGAAGCTGGGATCCCAGCTTGACTGTGTTGTGTATGTAGCATGGCAACGCCCAGGAGAATTTTAAAAAGGAGGAAACGTGTACATTTGATAAGCTTATTACTGCCCAGCTTAGATGATAAATGTCAAGTATTGTGATTTTCTATAAATTGTTTCATAGTAATATCTTTTTGCACAAAAGAACATATGAAAGTGCTTATTCAAAAACTGAACTACAGTTACCTTTCTGTAAAACTGATCCTATAATGAAGGCTTAGTGACTGATTTGAGGTAGACTTAATAAGCTTTACTTGTCAAGTCACAAGCTGATTTTATCTATGTTTGAATCAAAGCAGGCACTGAAGCATGTAAATCCGCTTGTGTTACCTGTGATTTCAGGTGGGGCTGGTTGCCAGGTTGATAGCTACCATAGTCTGGTGCATGACGTAACTTGACATTGATAAGTTAATTAGTGTCTCATGGCTGCTGACAATAAGTTCTAATTATCCATGATTTAATTTTCCATCCTGATTTACAAATAGGTTGTCTTATTTCACTTTCATACATTATTCAAGAGAGGACATCCTGGCCAATTTCATACAGCATGAATAGTTTGTTTCAGTACAATAGTACTTATATTGTATGGTTAATCCATTTGCTTGATAAATGTGTATAAACTTGAATATGATCCTGTTTACGAGTCATCCTATATTTCATGGTCTAAAATAAGAATAGTTGCAGTCTCTGCATGCATCCTTGTCAGAGAATTGTTTTAAAGCAACAAATCTGATATTGTATGGGCTGAACTATATATATTTCTATTAACAATAGGACTTGTCAGGAGATACGTCTATGTTTATGTGACATTTGCTATACATATTGTTTTGGCAATCAGGAATAGGAGACAATGTTGTACAAATTACTTATTCAGATCAATGGGTTAAATGTATTTGTAATGGGCATGTTCCGTTTGTTTGTTGTTTGTTAAAAGTCTGCACTTGTCTCTTGAGAGTGTACATAGGTTGTTCTCCGATTGTTTAACATGACAATCAGCAATATAATGACAACCTGTAAGTAACCAAGTCAGAACCGGGTAAATGTGAGATTGATATAATGAGTGATCCAACACCATCTGGGCTCAATGACACACAATCAAGTCACGAAGCCTGTAGGGCTGTTATGATTCACTCGTGTATTCGGTGAATCAAACCGCATATCTTCATGAATTGAATTCATTATTCGTGGTCACTAGAATCAAATATTTACCCAAGAAAATTTAAAGACTGCAACCATGAATATGCAGTCATGTGCATATACATACACTGTACGTAAAAATATCCATAAGAACTTATCATATGCATAGATTTCTTTAAAAAGACAACGTTCTTATGGATCTAATTTGACAGTAATGTGATCACTGGTCATTGTTGCATTTGAGCAGATACTTGTACCTGGATAAGTGTGGTATATGAATGTATAATATTATAATAATTAACACTGTCAAATAATTTATTTTGTTATTGTTTCACTGAAAATAATAAATAATAGTATTAATACATCAACTGCTTACTTGTTATTGTGTTCGTGAATAAATAATAGTATTCTTTACCCTATATTCACGATATGTATCGTATTCGCCTCAAAGTGTATTTGTTGCAGCCCTAGAAGCCTGGCTACCTGATTCTTTGTGTTGCTTCCTACAATCTGTATAGGTTCATGGGGAATCCCCATATGAACTGTTGCTACGAATAGCAGCAAGATTGCTGATGCAAATCAAGCAATAATTAATCCCTCACTCACCCCATATAAATTGACAAGAAGTTGTGCAGATGAAACTATATCATCCATTTTATCACAATTCATGAGTTCATCTTGCTTCATGAGTTTATTTATTTCCTTCTTAACTCGAGTTCATAGGGAACTGAAATCACAGTTCCTGTTCAGTTATGTATGTGGCCTAGTGAAAGACAGGGTTTTAACACTTTTAGTCGCATCAACTAGTTTTCAACTAGAGCTATGAGAAAATTAATTATATTGATTATTAGTTACATACTGCACACCAGATTACCCCCCAGTTCTTACAAGTAAGCGAGCAGCAAGCATCCATTGCCTGTCAGCAGTTATCTGGTATCCCCACACCTTCCTGTAGGTCATGGAGAAGCTCCCGCCTCCACACTATCAGCTGTTCTTAGGAGCCTCCACTGTACATGATAGCTGTCTGTCACACTGATCTGTGTGGCCCGATGATCTGTGTACAAGCAGTTACCCTGCTGCCACAGTGTGTCGTTTGCCTGACCCTGGGTCACCAACTGCTGCTCCTTTAGCTGAGAGCCATGTGCCACCAACTTGCCTCAGTGCAAGGCTTATCCTACTCCCAAAAAGGTTAAAGAACACACAATCCTTTTTCAATTACTAGCTTATGTGTAATGCCCTGATAGATTTATGATTAGACTAACATCTAGTATCTGAAATGAACATATTTTACAGAAAAATAACAGTTGTATTATCGTAATGAAATAAAATAAAAAAAGAGCTAAGTGACTTTCTTGAGTTTAAAAAACTTCAGTAATCTAGACTTGCTAAATGTTATAGACTTGCATGGCTGAATTGGATATATTTGTTTGACTAGGGTTTGTAAGACAGATAATTGTACATAGTCATATGACGATATTGTGTTCTTTTACTTCTTTTGAGTAGTATATGTTGTCCTTCATTTACATGTCTGCTGTTGGATAGTTCACGCATGTATGTTTGTCCATGCATGTTGGAAGGTGTCCTTTACAAACCGTCAACTTGTTAATTTGCTTTGTGTTGTAATGAGACAGCTTTGATATTTATCTGAAATAAGAATGTATTAATCAGATATGAGATATTTTTGTGTGCCTCAGTACTGAATATTTATGAGGTTGTATACATCATATTTAGTTATACGTATAGGTTCAAATGTAAACCAAAACAAAACCCAGCTCATTGGTTGAAATAAGATAAAACATCTGTGTTATGAATATGTTTTGAGGCATGACATTTGGTTTAGGTCAGTTTATCCCTGAACATTGAGTCTGAGAGCTGCATCTGCCACACACTGGGTGTTACATTATCTACAGATTGAAGTGTTCAACTCTGTCCAAGAAGACTTTGTTTTCTCTATTAACATGATAAGGTGTTCACAGTGGCCAACAATACTTTGTAGTCAGTTATTGTTAATATCTTTTTACTAAATTTTTCACTTTTATTTTAAGATTAATCAACTATAGAACATATGGTCAAATATGAATAAATATTATTGATTTTTTGTGCGGATGGCTTTTGACTCTAGTTGATAAATCTGCAAATAGAAATATTAATAGTTTAATGTGAACAGCCTATCCTTCGGTGCTAGGAACACAATGTGCAATTTAATCACTTCTTCAAGTACTAAATATATCACATTTAGCTAATAGTAATAAACACATCAAATATAGCACATCACAGCGTATAGATGTTCAACTAATAGTGTCACAAACAATTGTCACGCTCAGTGTATATATTGGTAGGTTATACACAGTCACAAGTGAACAGTTGCCATTCTGAAATTCAAGTGATGTTGCTGCTGATTGGTTGAATTATTTTTATGACGGTGTCGTTACCTTGAGGGTGACAGTGAATACACAGATGGAAGGGCAAGAAGTAGCCCTGGGCCCACTTGCACAAAGCAGTCTTAGCACTAAGATGATCCTAACTCCCATTCTTTAACATAGGCTTACGATAGTCTTAGCACTAAGATCGCTTTGTGCAAGTAGCCCTGATGGGTATTTGAGAAATAATAATGATGTCATGTCTTCCTACAAATTGATGCAGTCCAAATTATTGTTCTCATATTATTTTACTGGTACTTATATATTATATGTCTTGATGAAGATGTGGTGTCATTGTAATTATTTGCCTTGATAGATGCAGTGCCAGTTTTATCCATGGCCATTTCAAACGATTTGTCTAATCATTTTGTGTAATGTTTGGTTAGGTTCTTAGAAAAACTGTTTCTTTAACCACTTACCTTTTCACCACATGTGAGAAAACATTACCTTGTTGAGTAATCAACTCTGACATTGCAGAATCTAACAGAAAAAAGTCAGCATGTACCCATGTCCACAGTGTGATTAATTTATGTGTTTATCCACAGGCGAGCGGCCATTCCCATGTACTTGGTATGGATGTGAGAAACGCTTTGCCCGATCAGATGAACTTGCACGACACATACGCACACACACAGGTAAGCCAACTTTCTGTTTTCACCATACTGTAACTACATTTGAAACAACTCTGGACTAGCTCAATATTCTTATGCTTTGCTATGTACATTATTTTATGGATCTTAAGATTTATATTGGTGTCCTTTCATTTTAGTAGCCCCGTCAAATCCTTTTTATAAGAGTAATCAGCTAGTGAAGGACCAAATGTGAAGAATACAATCTAGCTAAGCTATGCCAAGGGACAACTAGGGTTAGGACTTAAAATATCTTTGGGGATAATTACATTGGAAAAACGGTTGCAGATTAGTCATTCAGCCACAGCCAATGGATTTGTGCTATTTCTATCCATGTTGTAAGAGTTAGCTCATTGGTGTTACAGTATAGACACAGAAAGGGTTGTATCAGCTGCTATCACTGGTCGGGGTGGAGCTGTGGATAGCCTGTTCTAGAAATAGAACCCAGGCTGCCTACCTTTCTCTCTGTGCTTCACACCCTTGATATCTGCAATATGTCAGTTTTGTATCCTATGTTTAAGGAATATTCCTTGTTGTTTTTGTCAACATTTTTGATGTTTCATAGCTTTTGTACAAAACCACAACCCCTTACAATGTCTTGAAGAGCATGTTTATTCTTTGGTTCAGAAAAGAGGTAACAAATAACCACTTTTTCAAATTTAATGTTCAAGAGTGAGTTAGTATTTCTGTTGCATCACAAATGTTTCAGCCATTTAGGCACAAGCAAGTTCTCATGGTTGGTTTTATATTGTCACCTTTTGTCATTGTTTCCTAGGCTTGCTTTGATGAAATTTGAAATTTATGAAATATTTTTGTTTTATTATCATGATTATTCTGGGTGATCTTTCCCTTTGTAGTGTTACAACTTGCATAAACCCCATGGAAATTTTCTATTTATTTTGTTGCATGTTTTTCTTTGGCATTAGAATTGTTTCTGATTGTATGATTCTCTTTTATTCTTTTAGGTGAAAAGAAGTTCTCATGTCCAATCTGTGAAAAACGCTTTATGCGTAGTGACCATTTGAACAAACATGCTCGGCGCCACCCTGAGTTTGAACCTGGAATGCTCAAGAAACGACCCCAACCTAAAATAGATATCAACAGTGATGGAATATCTGACCGGTCCAGTCCAGGGGCATCGCCGTAATTCTCTCCCCCCTCAGGACATGGAGCCTCTAAGGCCTGGCCAGCATGGACAACGTCACTACACTGAGATCTTTCTGTTATGGCCAACCCCTCTGTGTCAAGAAAGGGTTGAAAACTTGAACAGATTCACATGACATGAAGATGTAACTTCCTTGTCAGGAAGAGCATGTCCAGTCTGTATGTGTACTTAATGTGTCTCTGACTGTTATGACTTAGCTGAAGTTTTCCCTGTGTGGAGACACACCTCTATAGTGCTAGCTCATGTGCTGTGTTCATCCCACAAAGTGTGCCTTCACACATCAGTACTGTATCTTGGTGCAGACCTTCCATGAAACATCCATGGTCTCTATCTGCATTGCATCACGTTACATTGCAAGCAAATATTGATCAGCTGATATTAGTAAATTGGTCACCAGGCTTTGCATTTCAGTCACTCAGCCTAAAATAATCAAAGAAGATGGTGGCACTCCAAATGACTTGATAAACAATGCATTGATTTGATGTCTTTAAAAAAATATTTTTTTACGCATATTTAATTTCCAAACTCCTGAAAGTTACTTTCATTTTGGTCTTTTCACAGTGTATCAAACACAACAGTTGAAGCCATTTTGAAATTGTACGTATTTTCAAATAAATTAAAAACAATAGTTTTCACTTGTTTCCGTTTATGTTAATTGTTATTTTTCTGTCCCTGAATAACTGTTATTGATGTCACATTTTGAAAATAACATAGGATTGATAAAAGTTAGCTGTTAGCTTCCTCTCACTTCCATATTGGTAGTGACTGTGCAGTGAGATGACTGCGAACATTCTACACTGTTGAGATGGTAGTTATTGAAGTGTAAAGTGTACATACAAACCTATATCCTATAGTTGCTTTCATAACCTACGTGTGATGATCCATGTTTGTGATGATTGGTGGTGTTTGTTGCATATTATTTGTTGTACATATATCCAAGTTGGCAAACTACAAACCTGGTACAATATTTCATACTTTCAACTAGTATTTTCCAGACATGGAATGGCTGATGGTTTTTGAGAACCAAAGAAATGGTGCTTTTTGAAATTTATTGGATCTGAATTTGTTTTAATGAAACATGAATTTTCCATGAGAAAACAACATTCATTAGAAATCATTTCTCCTACAGGGAGTATTTCATTCATTCATGAGAAAAGAATGGTTCGCATTTCTTCTTTATTTGTTGTTACATGTCTTTCAAAGTATTCCAACGAAATCCACATGAAGTTGCTGGGAATGCAGCGTATAACTTACTTGGTCAAAGGGAGATAACTCTTTTGTTTGGAAGCACCCTGTTTGTTTCTGTTCTCCCGAACTTCAAGCAATTATCTTTCATGAAAATTAGTTTGCATTACATATGAATGATTTTCAGCAACATATGTTTGAAGATTCAAACCATAAGGTTAGTATGCGATCTTCATGAAGTGTTAATATGATGAAGAATAGCTTGAGATAAATATATTGTTTAAAATGTTAAAGAATTTATTGAGAGTTTATCACAAAGTTGAGATTGCTTCCATGAGTAAGTCTTTCCGTCTTATAATGTATATATTGAAGTGTTACCTGAAATGGTCTTTTGTTAAATATCACCAAAAGATATCTTGCACCATGGACAAAGTCTACAGATGAAGTCATAGAATTTGGTTCGTAGTTTTTCTTCAAGGACGCTTGTGAGTGACATTTAGTACTTCAGATGGTAATTTGTCAGTCAGGGTCGAAAATGATATGTATGATCCTGAAGTCAATGATTGAAATAGGTTTGTTTTCCCTCTCCCTTATCCTGTATTTGTAATGTCAAAACATCACTGATTGTCTTCAGACATTTGGTGCAAGGAAAGTAAAATATATGAGTGAGACATGTTCGGTGTGCCATATCAGCTGTCTTATCTTGAGAATGATAGTATGTGGGTCTAATTTGGTCATTAAGGATAACCATAGGTTTTGCCCCTTTTCCTAATGACAAGGCAAATAAAAGGAGCTTCAATTTGGCCTTGTCCACTGATAAACACATACGAGATTGGAAGTACTTATGTTGCTGTTCCATATATGTTTAATTGTGTATTATATCGTTACCAACAGTATGGTTCTGTGTGTGATGTGTGTCTGCTACAGATACATGACTATTGTTGCATGTCATGACATTCCTTCTGATCTCCATTTTGGACTTCCACCACCGCCACCAGACTGTCACTTTCATACTCTGCACACATGCATTCATCATGATACACACACAGCTGATGCCGCAGCTTTCATCCTGTATATTTTAGCAAAAAGTGAAGTGATATTTTCGTTTTAGTTCTTCATAGTCATTCTCAAGTATGTTTTAGACATCAATTTTGTGCACTACCATTTTCTATGTATTCTGCTATTCTGTCACTTTTCCTCCCCTTACTGCATACTGTTTTCCTGAGTTCACATTTCTTTCCTTGGGACACCCTCCCTCAAGCCGTAATCATAAAATGTTTCATGAATAGTCTGTTTCTGTTAATTCCTGGATCTAATGATCCTTGACAAGTTTACATTTAATTGTTAAACAACTGACTGATCTTGTGACTGGCATTCATTGTGTGACAAGATGATTTACACATCCAAGAATACTTTGACAGTCTTTGGTTTGTGATTTGGACTGTATAGATAGTTAACCAGATGTTGACACACGTTAACCCTTATAGATGACATGGGTCACAGTGTGAGCACAGCTGGATACTGAAAACTGTTTATAACACATCTTAGGAACAGGTAAATGTTTGCTTTGTTTTAAGTGAATATATCTGTATTGCTTCTTTTAACTTCATTAAAATTCATCACTGATTTCCCATTTAGCTGAAACATTACGTTCTATGTCATTCCACATGCTATCACAATCTCTATACAACTCTTTAGTTTTAATCCAGTCAGATGTTTTCAACCCATTTCATTTTGCTTGTATAATCTGAATTGTGTTGATATTGTAATTTTTGTTTACAAGTATATTTCAGTTTGAGCTGTATATTGTCTACAAGTTTGCTGTTTTTAGTTAACCTGGGAAGCTATGTACTCACTGGAATGTTCTGGAGTGACCAACATACTGGCTTAAGGGTCCAGGGCCCCGTTCCTCAAAGCGGTCTTAGCGCTACGATGATCGTAAGCCTATGTTAAAGAATGAGACTTACGATCACCTTAGCGCTAAGATCGCTTTGAGGAACAGGGCCCAGGGTGCCGTTGTACAAAGCGATCTTAGCGCTACGATGATCGTAAGCCTATGTTAAAGAATGAGACTTACGATCACCTTAGCGCTAAGATCGCTTTGGGGGACAGGGTCCAGTACAGCGAATATGCATTTATCAAAACTTGAAAAAGGAATCCCTGGGTATCTCTTTCATCTCCCTGTAAAATATATTTTAGAAGGAGGTGGAGGGCAAAACTTACAAAATCCACCTTTCAGATGTTTGGATAATCTGTTGCGAAGTATGTGAAGAATGTAGTACACAGTTTGCTCATTGCATACATAATTTATTGTATATGAAAACTTGCCAAAGAAGGAATCTGTACTCAGTAGCAGGACTAACTTATTTATTGCATGGTTGTAAATGACAGGCAGTTATTTCTACAATTATTTACCACATGAATATAATTTGATATCATTTCAAGCAGTTTGATATGCAAGATACATATGCTGCTGTTAATATTTGCTTCAGCATTTCTGCTGATACAGGAAATCTTTGTATTGGTGAGTTTTCACTTGAATGGATTGTGATTACAACTCAGGATATTTAATTGAATATTTATTGATACCTTTCTGTTAATTTTGAAGAAATTGGATCTTTGCTATTGATATAACTTGGTCCTTACAGATAGTGTGGAAAATATTCTTTAAACGGTTTAATTATTGTGGAAATAATCAACCTGATTCAGCTGGGAGGAAAGACAAAACATTGTGCCAGGGGAGGCATGAATATTCTAAAGTTTTGTCAGAACATACAATGTCATTTTGAATTTGTTTCAAATAAACACTGTGAATGGAAGGAATGTAGTACCTGTCTGTTGAAGGTAAAATAAACATTGTATATCTACAGCACCATGTTATTTCTTGTTTTTTTCCAAATATATGGGTTTCCCAATGGCACTGCAACTTATAAATTGCATCCCATAGTTCCTTGGGTCTGCTTGTTGTGGTTCAGAGTCTCAGATTCACCTGATTATGATTATTGGTTTTTAATCACTATTATTCTCATGGTGAGTTTCACCAAACTGATGACCTGTGGTTCTGTGGACCTATCTCCAACACACTCATCAATAGAAATATTGTTGAAAGCCAAGCAGTGTTATACTGAACTCACTCACTCACTGTTACAACTGACAGCTTCCATGGCCTCGTGGATAAGCACCTGCCTGGAGAGCCAGCGATAGAAACTAACAGTTTTAGTCCACTAGTCCTTATAATGAAAACATAGTAAAACCCTTGAAAAGGACAACTACTGGTATCTACTAGTCCTTTGGATACCTTAACTATTGGGCAGTTTGGTAAGGATTACAGGATTAGTGCCAACTTCTAACACTGAGAACTGAAGGTCTTTTATGCTGCCTAGTGCTCTGCATTAAGGGGATAGAAAACTGGTCTCTCAAAGTCAGTTTACTGTGTCTGAGTAGGGTATCCATGTTAAACTGGCATGCAGCTTCACTCAAAACACACTATGCATGTTGTTATATAAATGCAGTAATTGTGAACATTAAATGTCCAACATATACTTACTTTAGTGAAGGACTATAAGTGGCAACTAACAGGGATGCAAATGTTGTTGTTGGTGGTTTGTTGTTTAATGTCGCACTCAGCAATATTCCAGCTATATGATGGCGGTTTGTAAATTATCGAGCCTGGACCAGACAATCAAGTGATTAATACCATGAGCATCGATTCATGCAATTGGGACATGCATCACACACACACACACACACACACACACACACACACACACACACACACGTGTGCACACACTGGAGATAAACATTCAAACTTTGACATACATGATCCATGCTGTCTGGTACAGTAAAACAAGTAACTTTGGTTCAGGTGTATGAACCTACAGTGAGGAAATACTTGTAGATTCATGCGCCAGCGGTCGGGACAACAATGGTACCCTCTAGTCATCACCATGCAAACATGTTTTGCACAATGGCATACAGCCTTCACATACACATAATAATAAATGATTTCATCCAATGAACCAGTATGGCCACTGGCAGTAAATGGGTGCATACATGTTTCATATCTTCTCATCAGAGTCCGTTTGGCTCCAAATTAGAACGATGAATTGCAAAATAACTAAAAATCGGGAATAGTCTTTTAAATGTCAGTACGGTACACGGCAATGAATACCGAACAATATCTGCTGTTTGTTATTTTTGTTCGAAGAAGAGATGAATGAAGAAGATTATGATGTTAAGTGTACAAGTTTACATCTTTAACGGTAAGGGGGGGGGGGGGGGGGGGGTCGGTAGGAGGAACAGCGGAAACACATTCTGCATGTGCTACATAGTACACTTCGTTGTCGGTTTAAAACATCACAAGGTATGGTGGGTGCACAGCTTATTTCACCCTACCCATGCACTGCTGAGAACTGCCACTCTGACTGTTGGTACATCTCACCAACCTATTGGCTCTCTTCCCATATTCATGTACCGCAGCCGTGGTCTAGTGGATAGAGCGGAAGGCCGGTGGTTCGATCCCTGGACGCGTCGGAATAAAGGCGTCTCTCTCTCTCTCTCTCTCTCTCTCTCTCTCTCTCTCTCTCTCTCTCTCAATAGGAATAGATTAATCCTTGCTTTGAATGCATATTTATAATTTATATCTGGTCATATCATATTTATTATATCCCGAAGATCAATTTGCCCGTGTAAATCAATTTCTAGACACATAATATTTATAATTGAAAGTTACATCGATTGTCCTTGAAATAATGACATCGTTATTGAATAATCTTGACGTTGTGAAGCTAATAAACTTAAGGCGACGTAACACCCACATAACATTTTCTGACATGTAACACAATAACAAGTAACTGCGCACGTGGTATCATTTCATAAGCGAGTCCATGTGCCCTAACACGTGTATAACCCCACACGTGTCTACAGCTACCACGCGTGTCACTGCACACAACACAACACGCTGCAAGCATACAGCCGGAGTCAGGCTGCATCAGATCGAGAGTTAACGGACTGTAGGCGTAATGATGCTATAAAGAGGAAATTTGTCTAAATATATCTTCCTAGCACGATAAGACGGGTTTTGTTTTTAAAAATGAATTTCAAATCCTGTTGCAAGAAGAGAATGTGGGCGATACCCTCTTTATGTTAATGCATACAAAAGTGTTTAAAAGTATTGGTGCAGTATCTTACAAATGCCTGAAAGTCGATATGTCAAAAAGTGTTATAATAGGATGTTTCAAGTAGCAGAAAATGGGAAAATTAATTTGGTTCAAAAGTAAAACATATTATCTCTTCTGTGGGATTTGGTTACATATGGGAGCAACAATTGGTACATTATACGGCAGCTTTTATCGCAGAATTCGTAGTTCGCGTGAAGGCAATATAGGCAAGATTGGCACGATGCGCTTCTTCAGGGCACCAACACAAATAGTAATGCCCTTTATAAACTTTCCTTCTGCTCGAAAATTTAGAGTAGCCCTGGCTAGTTTTAGATGTAGTTCACACTAAATAAGGAATATAGAAAGAGGAATATTATATATTAGGCAACCAAGAGAACAATCTCATTAAAATCAGATCTAAGTTCTCGCTGCGGCTAAACAAAGATCTGAGGTCATCCAATTACGGGTCATGTCAGAACGACCTTTCGCTAACTTTGACCGACAACTGAACTTTCTCGAGCTTTACGGCACTCGTTTCAACCTGGCGACTTCCATTTCCAATCTCATTAAAATCAGATCTTTGTTCTCGTTCCAACCAATCAGAGCGTCGCTTACCAGATCATGAAAGTGACAGTCGGAATGTGTTTTCTAACCATGCAACCACGAAATATTTAAAAGAGGGTATTCCGAACGGCAGTTACGGGTTTTATGATTATACCCATACAATCTAGGCCATCTATAAGCCATTCCAGAATGTTCTTCTTGTCGGTTTTATTTTTTTTAAATAGAATACGTCAAAATATGTTTCGAAGCGCAGTCGCCAGTTTGAAACTAGTGTCGTAAAGCTCGAGAAAGCTGCCTTCTGATTGGCTAATGTCGATTTCTTGTCAGTCATTCATTGGTCTGTCAAAATTCGCGAAAGGTCGTTCTGACGTGACCCGTAATGGGATGTCCTCAGATCTTTGTTTAGCGGTAGATCTGATTTTAATGAGATTGCTTCCATTTCAGTCGTACGGGGCGTAACTGTCGTTCGGTATACACAGTGTTCACGTTTTCGAGGTTGCATGATTAGAGACTCATTCCGACTGCCACTTTCATGATCTGGTAAGAGACGCTTTGATTGGTCGGATGAAAGGTCGTTCTGACGAGACCCGTAATGGGATGTCATCAGATCTTTGTTTAGCGATAGCGAGAACTAAGATCTGATTTTAATGCGATTGCTAAGAGCACTGCGGGTGAGTGAATTTTGTAATTGTAACACTATTGAAGATGAGTTTCCCTTTGTTATGCTTATAATGCCATCAAGCAAAATATATTAGTCAAAGATTTTATGATTACCCATCTCGTTATAAATGTAATCAGTTGATGTCCTCCTCTGATCCATGCACAATTATAAATCTTGCAATGTATATATATCATGCAATGTTCTGGAGACAATGTAAATTGAATTAACATAGTATACATGTATTACCCTCTCTCCAAGATTACGTGTCTTCAACACATATGTTTAATGGGCCGATGACCTCATCACAGTCCTTGATACCCGTGAATATCCGGGTTAGAATAGGTTTTCAGCAACCCCGGCTTGTCGTAAAAGGCGACTAACGGGATCGGGTGGTCAGGCTCGCTGCCTTGGTTGATGCTTGTCATCGTATTCCAATTGCGTGGATCGATGTTCATGATGTCAATCACTGGATTGTCTGGTCCAGACTTGATTATTTACAGAATGCTGTCATATAGCTCGTATGGGTTGCTGAAGACTACCCCGGATCTTCGCTAGGACTACGATCTGGAACGGCGGTAGGGGTGAGTATGGTGTCAATACTGTACAATTTGGGGTGGGATTCGCTCAGGCATAATAATGCATGCCACCCCAAAACCATAACCTATCCACCGCCCAATCTGTCATGAGGTCTCAGGTTGGCATTGGCTTAAAGTTCATTTCGACGTCGCACGACAATCAATGAAGCACAAAATGAATCGGAACACATCTGAAAAAAACATGACATGACCAGCGACGATTACCCCAGTTTCGACTTTGTGTGCACCACATGACGTCTGTTGGCAATATGACGATTTGTAAGGGCGACATAACTAATGGTCTTTGACCTGGAACTCCATGATCGGGGTCGATCGTCAATATCTTGGGTTTGTTGGTACCTGTTTGATAGTCTGCTAATCACAGACCTTCCTTGAAAGTGGCAAAATCAAGAATGACGACACCCGACGCACGTGTGTGGCGCTACTGTGTGAGACAACTGCAAACTATGGGATGTGTTATTGTGTTAAGATCTACCGACATAAACGTTCTTGCATAGGATGTTTGTCATCAACACGTATCTTGGTTCTTATACTTGGTATTAACATATATATCCCCCCCCCCCCCCCCCCCTCCCCCCACACTACATTTTTAAGAGTTATAGATTGTTGTTACTCAAAAACCTTTTTGACTGTCTGCTAATATTGAGAGAGACAAAATCAATAATATATATCAATCAAGCAGTGAATATTTACGCTATAGTTATTCTGTAAAAAAATAACGTCTCTGCCTACACTGGAAGCGGGAATGGGTCTGAAGCATGGTCTGGGTATTACACCAATGGTTTGGCAAAACAATTGCACAAAAGCATGACTTTCTGGAAAAGAAATACCGTAAAGCCTTACATATAGGTATCGAGTCGGGCGTATATATTTTTTCAGAGAGTTGTCTCTTACATAATTGTTTGTTTTCAATAATACAAAGGGATCTTTTTGTCATTTGGGTCCATGATTAAATTATATTATTTTCGCTTTTCTTTGTTGTTCAACGTCGCAGCGGCAGCCAATAAATAATTGATCAGCGTGATTGATATTCCCAACGATATACCATCGGGGATACGGTGATACGCAATCAATTAAGTCACCGAGACGCTCCACCCAAAGCACGGAATAGCCCCCGGGTAAATGAAAACTGACGTCCAAAAGAAACTTACCAGAGTTTGAAATCACTCTTGCTCAAAAACAACAAAACATACATGCATGAGGTAAAGTGTATTGAGAAGATCAATACTCTTCGACGCACAGAAAAAGTCAGTCGTCTGATGAGGTCATGTGGGATTTGACGCCATTCTTCTTGGAGGGCCAAGATCAGTTCTTGCCGGTTGGCTGGAGTGTGTGGTCGTTGTCGAACACGACGATCCATCAAGTCCCAGTAGTGTTCTATGGGGGACATATCTGGTGAGCGTGCAGGCCACGGCAGGACGTTGACGTTGTTGGCTGCGAGGAAGTTAGTGACAATTCTGGCTGTTTGGGCTCTAGCGTTGTCATGCTGATAAATGACACCACGTGGCTGCTGAGAAATGGTAGGACAACTGGACGAAGAATGTTATCCATGTAACTCTGAGCTGTCAAGTTTCCGTCAACGATGACCAGCGGTGTCCTCTCCTGCCCACAGATCCCTCCCCACACCATGACACTCCCTCCACCATATGGTACGACCTGCACGCAACACGCCGCCGTTCGTTCACCCCTTCGGCGGTAAACACGTTGTCTTCCGTCAGCCCTAAACACACAGAATCGACTTTCGTCCGTGAAGACAACCCTCTGCCAGTCACGTCGTTGCCAACGTCGTACAGTCCGGGCCCATCTCAATCGCGGACGACGTGTGTTCCTCTAATTGGTCGCAAGTACGGGGTCACTTGGTACCAGATCATTGTTTGTTCCTCTAGATGGTCGCAAGTACTGGGTCACTTGGTACGTGAACACCTTATGTTCCTCTAGATGGTCGCAAGTACCGGGTCACTTGGTACAAGAACACCGTGTGTTCCTCTAGATGGTCGCAAGTACTGGGTCAATTTGGTACAAGAACACTGTATTTCCCTCTGGATGGTCGCAAGTACCGGGTCACTTGGTACAAGAACACTGTGTGTTCCTCTGGATGGTAGCAAGTACTGGGTCACTTGGTACAAGAACGCCGTGTGTTCCTCTAGATGGTAGCAAGTACTGGGTCACTTGGTACCAGAACACCTTATGTTCCTCTAGATGGTCGCAAGTACTGGGTCACTTGGTACAAGAACACTGTGTGTTCCTCTGGATGGTCGCAAGTACTGGGTCACTTGGTACAAGAACGCCGTGTGTTCCTCTAGATGGTCGCAAGTACTGGGTCACTTGGTACAAGAACACTGTGTGTTCCTCTGGATGGTCGCAAGTACCGGGTCACTTGGTACCAGATCATTGTGTGTTCCTCTAGATGGTCGCAAGTACTGGGTCACTTGGTACAAGAACACTGTGTGTTCCTCTGGATGGTCGCAAGTACCGGGTCACTTGGTACCAGAACACCGTGTGTTCCTCTAGATGGTCGCAAGTACCGGGTCACTTGGTACCAGAACACCGTGTGTTCCTCTAGATGGTCGCAAGTAGAGGAAGCAGAGGAAACACTTACAAGGGTGGGATTTGGCATTAAGGTAATAGAATTGTGATACAGTTTCTATTCCTCACTAACACATACACAGATTTGTAAATATTCATAAACTTCAATCCCGAATTAATCTAGTTTTAACCATTAGTCATTTAATAAGCACCATATCAAAAGATGTTCGAAAATACATAATACATAATACATAATACATTACTTGTAGTTATTTTCTAAGAGGAACTTATTAATAAGTAACCATGTTCAGTGAATCCGAATGAATGAATAAGTTTATTTCAGTAAAGAGGCCACCGGCCCATTATACAATATGGATACAGTGGATTACAACAATAGCAGGCGCCAGATAATATAAGTGATATACAAAGTGAAACAATTGAATCATTGCATACATTGGAAAAACTGTTATCGTTTCTTAAAAGCAAGAAAAATATATTTAGCTAATTTACAAATAATATGTTCATTTTGGCAAGACATAAGAGTGCAAAATTGATCAAATGAAGGTTGTGAATGGTAATACTTAGGTATAAGACTATTTCTTAGATCTGAATAAAATTGACATTCAATGCAAAAATGATACTCAGTTTCAATTACACGGACTACACAAAATGGACATAAGCATTCATCTCTAGAAAGACCAATTTTTCTACCTTCTTCAAGCATTAGGTTATGGCTAGAACAACGGAAAGAACTAAGAGCAAATTGATGAATCCGAATTGTACACCAGAAACTAATCTGTACGAGTCAGATACGTCAGCTATAAACTTGTATTCCAAACTTATATACATGAATAAAAATAAAATTTAGGACCAGATGATTTTTTTTCCTTTAATTGCCAGTTATATTTCCATTAGCGTGATACGATCATTTTAACTTTTATACTGATTTAAATTGAATGGTGAAACTTTTGGAGATATTATGCTAGGTCTTCATTTCTAAAGTAGAGTATACATATATAAGCTAGCTAAATACTGTTTATTCCTAATACAGGATAGTTACCATCCCCAAACACACTCGCGTGATAACCTCTATTTATGGTCATGGCAAGGGGTCAGAAAGTCACAAATGCAACGTGAGCAAGGAAGTTAATTCCGTCAGTTGTTGCCTTTGTTTAGACTGGTACCGTGTCCTAGTTGCGCATCCATTGTACGAGAAATCATGTTCCACACATTGTTATCCGACATCGTATAATCACAAGACTCATAGGCACAACACTGCTGCGAGTTTTGAATCATGGACCCGGAAGTGACCCTATCACGTGACTCATCACAGCTATGGCCTCTACGTGGGATTCCGTGTCCCAACTTTTGACGGACAATTCTAAGGAAATTTTTATCGAAACGTCCGAGTTATTGATTAAATTTGCCAGCAATATCCTAAAGAAACCGAATGAGGACAAATATAGAAAGATCCGGTTGGGAAACCCCATCGTACAGTCGAAGATACTCCCAATTAGTGGCGCTTTGGAAGTTCTGTTTGAAATGGGATTCTTAGAGGTGCGATCACATTATCTGATCATTGGAAGTCATTCACTTACCATAACTGGCTTAAGAAATACAGGGAAATGGTTTGTTCCGTATTTAGTGAACTACAATGTTTGACTGATATTTGGAATGTGGTAACTGGTACAAATCATGCGAGATTTCATCACTGTTTGTTTTTGATCAGTTCAAGTTTCTTACATCCTTGATTGAATGTACATGAATCAGATATGATGGTAAATCGTTTACTATATGACTCTTTCATTACTGCATACAGTTAGCCAAAAATAACCCTCTCACTTTGTAAAACAGTGTGCTGCCTCCGTGGTCTTGTGGTAGAGTGTCCGCCCAGAGAGCGGAAGGTCCGGGGTTCGATCCCTTCGCGTCATACCAAAAGACGTTAAAAGATGGTACTTGTTGTTACCCTGTCTGGCGCTCGACATTAAGGGGCTAAAACAAGGACTGGTCGGCTTGGAGTCAGTATACTGTGTCTGAGTGGGGTATTCATGTTAAACTGCGGCATGGTATCTCAGTGAGCTAGCACCATAAATCGGCATCAGTCCGAACTAGTACAAGCAGCCACACACACACACGTGCATGCACGTCGCTTTATAAGTGCAATAATCTTGGATGCGACGTTAAACCCAATTTCACCTCACCTTGTAAAACAGTGCTTTAAAATAGTCCAATCTGAGTGAGTGTTTGTTTCTCTCTCTCTCAAAATATAAATGACCGCCTGCTCAGTACCATCATTAGTTTGATCTATATGGGTGCATGCTACCTAACGAAGTTAAGATATCGTACATGTTGTTACCTTGCCTGGAGCTCTGCATTAAGGGGCTATAACAAGTACTTGTAGGCTCAGAGTCAGTATACTGTGTCTGAGTGGGGTATCCATGTTAAACTGCGGCATGGTATCTCCCCGCACACATACAGTGCATGCACATCACTGTGTTAGATCGGAAGCCTGGATGACACAGCGATGATGTCTTGAGTCAAGGTGGTTTATTCGGGTATATATTTGACAACAATACATGTACATGCGCACACAGCAGCACTCACAACCAGACTATCACTAACTGTCATCCCCCCAGTAACCTACCTACCTTAAGTCACGTATATAATCACATAGAACATTACTTACCAGTTATATGCTACGCTGGTGAAATCGAATGCGATCACACACTGGGCGCCGCCATCTTGAATGGAGTCTAGCTCTCGCGATATTTATGAACTTTTAACATTTAACAAGTGTATAAGTGAAATAATCTTGAACGCAACGTTATATCCCATTTCACTTCATCTGACTATACAGTCATCAGTATGATCAGGGAAGCATCCAAGTGAACAATTGTAGCACTACGACTTTCGTAACTGCCATACTTTAACAGAGACTTACAACAGTTATTGTACTACAATGAGTGTGTGGATAGGGCCCCAACTTCATGTTCATGTGGGGGGCACTGGTGGCCGCGTCGTCTAAGGCGCCGCGATTCCCTGTGTAGAGTTGCGTCCCTTGGGCATGCCAGAAACCTATGATTGTGGGTTCAAATACTGGTTCGCCCCGATTATGTTTCTAGGTTTGTCAGCACCATACCCATGCTAGTGGGTGTCACCGAAGTGGTAAACGTCTGAGACCTGCATCACTTCGGGCTTTCCTCTCACATTTAGCTGACACATCGTGATATAACTTGAATACTGTTAAAAGCGACGTTAAACCCAACTCACTCACTCATGTTCATCTGACCAAGTGACAAACTAATCAGGATAATGGTTTTGATGAAAAGAGTCCCAGCCAACACACTCAACTATTTTTAACCATGATAATCAACCTAATACCTGGGTAAGATTGAACAAAAAACAAAGATTTATAATGATGGCCTACAATTTCAGGTTGAATGTCATATCTAGTTAGTCTACATGTCAATTGTTGTTTTTTGCAGGATGGAGAGTACTTGACGATGCCGATTGGCTCAGGACTCAACACACTCCGTCTCATCTATTCCGAACTGCAGTGTCAGCGCAACAAGCTGGGTGCGCCTGTACTTGACAATGTTGCCTCTGTCAACCCCCAACTTATCACTTCGGTTTCACAGTCTCCAGCTCAAACTGCATCCATTGCTATGTCTACACCCTCTATCTCGACACAAGCTCCCAGCAGTGCATCAACAGCAACATCTACACCCTCTCCATCCGCTCAAGCGCCCCGCAGCGCTGCGACAGCATCTGCTCAACAGACCGTGTCATCACAGGATATTCATGTATGTGTGTCTTCCTCAGAAAGGGTAGCATGTTTAAGCATGTCCTGCAGTTTTTGATCAGATTAAGACGGCCTCCGTGGTCTGGTCTAGTGGTAGAGCATCCGCCCAGAGAGCGGAAGGTCAGGGGTTCAATGCCCCGCCGCGTCATACCAAAAGAAGTTAAAAGATGTTACTTGTTGTTACCCTGTCTGGCGATTGGCATTAAGGGGCTAAAACAAGGACTGGTTGGCTACGAGTCAGTATTCTGTGTCTGAGTAGGGTATTCATGTTAAACTGCGGCATGGCATCTCAGTGAGCTAGCACTATAAATCGGCATCAGTCCGGACTAGTACAAGCAGCCACACAAACACACTTGTGCATGCACGTCACTATATAAGTGCAATAATCTTGGACGCGACGTTAAACCTCTGATCAGATTAAGTCAATTTAGTGACAGTGTCAAGGGATCTTGTAATAACCCTAATTTTAACAGTTAACAACTTCTACATGTTACCCAAACTAAAGTAAGATAGCAGACAACATCAAGGACCCTAGAAGCCCTTTTCATTGATTTTGCTGCAGGCAAATGGCATTACAACGTTATTAGGATTTTATAAAATTTTGATAGGACAATCTTCTGGATCATTTCCGTACCTGAAGAAATATCTTTAGGACATTGTGGAGGCATTGTACTAGAAACTGTATCATTCTGAAACCCTGCCATTATTAATAATCATTTCAAATGCTGAATGGTTATGTAATAATAATTCTTTGAGACAATTATCCTCAAATGTCTTCTAAGGCTTTGGAAGAGAACACAAGCACTGCAGTTGTTAAAATATCCATTTCTCCATGACCCATTACATGTCACTTCATTGTGCCTCCGTGGTCTAGTGGTAGAGCGTCCACCCGGAGAGCGGAAGGTCCGGGGTTCGATCCCCGGCCGCGTCATAACAAAAGACGTTAAAAGATGGTACTTGTTACCATGTCTGGCGATCGGCATTAAGGGGCTAAAACAAGGACTGGTTGGCTCAGAGTCAGTATTCTGTGACTGAGTAGGGTATTCAGGTTAAACTGCGGCATGGCATCTCAGTGAGCTAGCACTATAAATCGGCATCAGTCCGGACTAGTACAAGCAGCCACACAAACACACTTGTGCATGCACGTCACTATATAAGTAAAATAATCTTTGACGCGACGTTAAACCTCTGATCAGATTAAGTCAATTTAGTGACAGTGTCAAGGGATCTTGTAATAACCCTAATTTTAACAGTTAACAACTTCTACATGTTACCCAAACTAAAGTAAGATAGCAGACAACATCAAGGACCCTAGAAGCCCTTTTCATTGATTTTGCTGCAGGCAAATGGCATTACAACGTTATTAGGATTTTATAAAATTTTGATAGGACAATCTTCTGGATCATTTCCGTACCTGAAGAAATATCTTTAGGACATTGTGGAGGCATTGTACTAGAAACTGTATCATTCTGAAACCCTGCCATTATTAATAATCATTTCAAATGCTGAATGGTTATTTAATAATAATTCTTTGAGACAATTATCCTCAAATGTCTTCTAAGGCTTTGGAAGAGAACACAAGCACTGCAGTTGTTAAAATATCCATTTCTCCATGACCCATTACATGTCACTTCATTGTGCCTCCGTGGTCTAGTGGTAGAGCGTCCACCCGGAGAGCGGAAGGTCCGGGGTTTGATCCCCGGCCACGTCATAACAAAAGACGTTAAAAGATTGTACTTGTTGTTACCCTGTCTGGCGATCGGCATTAAGGGGTTAAAACAAGAACTGATCGGCTCGGAGTCAGTATACTGTGTCTGAGTAGGGTATTCATGTTAAACTGCAGCATGGTATCTCAGTGAGCTAGCACTATAAATCGGCATCAGTCCGGACTAGTACAAGCAGCCACACAAACACACACACGTACATGCACGTCACTATATAAGTGCAATAATCTTGGACGCGACGTTAAACCCAATTTCACCTCACCTCACTATGTCTGTATGCAGTAGAACAAGGTTATAACAAGCAAAGAATAGCATGCTGGCAGTTAGGACTATCTATGTTAAAAGTACTGTCTGCTTTCCTACATATTATCATATTTGCTACATATTATCATATATATTATACATTATGATCTGTGTGTGTAATGGATGCACTAGAAGTTATTGGTAGTCTTATGAATTTAAACATTTTACATTATAGGAAATGGAGTCAGTCTTCTTCAGCAAGATTCAGAGCTCACTGTCCCATGTGTTGATGTATGAGGATCGTTCCCTGCAGCAGAAGGCAAGGGAGGTAATTCCACTGGAGCAGCTCCAAAAGGCAGCAGACGCCAACTGGCGGAACCTGATCCAGGAGTGCCCAGCTGGCCGTGGCGAGACTGCTCTAGACAGACAAGACACTCTTCTGTTGGAACTGCTTCGATGGTTTAAAAAATCCTTTTTCCAGTGGGTGGATGCTCCTCCATGCAATGCATGCGGGGCCGAGACCCGACTCGTGGGTGGAGTTGATTCCTTACCTCAGGAAAGGATTTGGGGGGCATCTCGAGTAGAGAACTATCGGTGCAATTCTTGCCAGCAGTTCACACGCTTCCCGCGTTACAACCACCCACAGAAACTCCTGGAGACGCGAAGAGGTCGGTGTGGGGAATGGGCCAACTGCTTCACTCTGTGTTGTCGAGCAGTAGGCCTCGAGGCTAGGTACGTCTTGGACTGGACTGACCATGTGTGGACTGAAGTGTACTCGGATTCACAGCGGCGATGGCTGCACTGTGACCCTTGTGAAAATGTCTGTGATAAACCCTTGCTTTATGAAGCTGGCTGGGGGAAGAAGCTGACGTATGTCATCGCTTTCTCCAAAGACGAAGTGCTGGACGTTACCTGGCGGTATTCATCTAAACATTCTGAAGTGCTGATGAGAAGGAAAGAATGTCGTGAAAACTGGCTGTGTAGTGTCCTTACACGACAGTGGAACAAGAAAGTCAATGCTTTGTCTACGTCCAGAAAAAATGAACTCTTAAATCGCCTGATTGTAGAGCTGGTGGAATTCATCACTCCTAAAACAGCAGACGGTAGAGGCTTGTCAGGGCGTACTACGGGGTCACTAGCATGGCGGCAGGCTCGTGGGGAAATAGGGAGTGCTGAAGGTACCAGTTCAAGTGGTTCATTCATTTTCACTCTGACACAGGAAGAGAAAGAACGGGAGGTGTGTCATGTTCAGTATAGCTGTGCTGAGGACAAGTATGTACGCTTGTCGTCGGGTAACTCGGAGACGGTAGGCTGGCAGAGTTGCGTACACAAGGCGTCATCTGTGTTCAGGAAGGAGGAGAGAGACTGGAAGATGGTCTACCTAGCGCGGACAGAAGGAGCTGCTCGGGCATCAGTATCATGGAAGTTTGACTTTAAAGGTCAAGGTCCTTCACTGTAGCACATTTTACGAGGGACACTCTAAATCCTGATTTGTATCATACTGTTAGGTTTTTATTTCGTCTAAATGTATGTATTATTAAAATATTAATTCCTGTCACAATATTGCTGGAATATTGCCGATGTGACATTAAATAATCTCACTCACTCACTCACTCACTCACTCACTCACTCACTCACTCACTCATACAGTTAAATTTAATCATAGTGTCTCCATCATGGCATGGGCTCATGGCTTTCCTGCTTCACTTTGAACATGGCACAGTAAATGTTAAACATGTTAATGTGATTAATGGAGGTCCATCTTTAAATGTGTTATGTTATTGTAGAGGGATTTTTACTGTCATGTTTAGACTATTCGTGTGATATGTGTGTTATGGCTGTTGTAGAGCTGTCAGACAGTACCAGGAGCCATGATAACATGATTTGTATTGTGTCTGTATATCAACAAATAGTTCCTATGGTTATTAGATTATGTTAAGTGTCTGTAACCAAAGTAACTACTTGGTCAAACACATTTACTTACATTCAACGATTACTACCAGTTGATCATGTTCAAAGTGAAACATGATATTTTGTTGTACACAGAAAAAATATAATGTACCCATAGTTTGGACATGGATATGACAATAGGCAAAATGATTGTAAATTGTTTTCATATTATTCCAGACAGTGGTCTGCGAGTCAACCGGTGCCTACTGAGGGCGGACAGTTCTGTGTTTGAGAATGGTCAAGTGATGTGGACGATCTGTGGTGATGACAAATGTATCAAAATGAGAGGTATAATCTTTTCTTCTCTACACCTACTGGACCCGTGTAGATCCGGGGTGGAATAGGTCTTCAGCAACCCATGCTTGCCGTAAAAGGCGACTATGCTTGTCGTGAAAGGCGACTAACGGGATCGGGTGGTCAGGCTCGCTGACTTGGTTGATGCATGTCATCGATCCCAATTGCGTGGATCGATGCTCATGATATTAATCACTGGATTGTCTGGTCCAGACTCGATTATTTACAGACCGTCCTCATATAGCTGGAATATTGCTGAGGGCTGCGTTTAACAACAAACCAACCAACCAACCACACCTACTGAACCTATTAATATCAGTTTCACATCTATTCTACATGTCCATAGATACAACAATGTAAACTTCTCATTTTAAACATTCAAAATGGCTGCCACTGAAGCTTTATAAAAACCAAAGAATTTGTTCTCAGATAATATCTTTTGGAAATATAGTGCAGGCTGGCGGCGTTTTTTTTGTTCACGTGTTGTTTGCTTGTTCAAACTAGTTTGTAACCAAATAAACAGATGTGTACCATCAACCTGGGAAAGGGCCTCCCTACATCATGTACATAAACAAGCATACAAACTCCTATTGCCACCAAGAACATAACCGAAGATGCTCAGTAAAGCTGTTCGCATGTAACGGGATGTAACTTTGTACTATATTGGATCGCATTGTTTTAGACTATTAGGATTTTTTTTTTGAAAATGGAATTAACAACGAAACGTGTGGCAGACTTTGTGATGATGCGGGCGGTGCCTGAGAACCCAGACTATTATTTTATTTAGCCTTAGAAAACTTTCGTGCCAACATCTTAAAAACAATTGGACATACAGTTGTTCTCAGATTAAGATATGTTGTCATGTTGCTTATTGGAAATAGGGTGTTTGTAATCAGTTGTATCCAGTTATGTCTACTTCCATGCTGGCTGTACGTGCAACTGTTAATGTTGTTGTGTCGTCATTGTGTGCGTATGACAGCTGTGTACACCATAATCTGGTGCTGATGCAAGACACTTTGTTCAGGCAGTAGGTGAATACTGGACATTGAACATTGATTGTTGAAATCAGGTCCGTATCTGCAAGTGGTAACTTCTATGAATTGATAATAGGAATTGGTCTCTTGCTCATTTACTGTTGACATGATTCAAGTTTCCCATGTTGGGATGCTACTGGTCTGCCATCTTCCCGAGGCAAGGGAGTTAACAGACGGTAAAAGTCCAGTTTCCACCCTTGCCGAACTAGGCTGGAATTGCCAGGCTGGATCGTAGCACCACCAGTGGCTAATACAAGTTATGTTCCTTCTATGTCTTTCCTATTGATCAATCAGATTCAATCTCTCATATCACTTGCATTTGTTTCAAACAAAATGGCAGCACCCAGTCAAGACGATATGAACGAGATTAAAGATTTATTTTGTAATAAAACAGGTCTTACCCAGCGAAGTGCATCAAAGCATTTGAGCACCTTGATTAAAAATATGAAATGATTTGCAAAATATCTGTCGACGCCCAGTTAACAGTACACATGCCTTGCAAATCCTGTAGTCCACTGAAATCTGCACGTTTAAATCCATGTTGTTTACGAACTGGATATATAGTTCTTTACGCGATTTTGATTGGCTCATTAGTCCAGCCAAAATGTAAATCTGGAATTCCAGCCTGGGTGGAAACTGGACTTTTACGATCAGTTAACTCCCTTGCCCCAGGAAGATGCTGGTTTGGTTGGTGTGATACACATGCTGTATTAGCTGCTACACAGTCACCTTTGTGTTTCCCTTTGTGGAGAAGACAGGCTCTTGAGAGGATCTGTTCCTACAATATGGAAACACAGCACATCTATATTTAGCTGACACATGGTCTGGGACATCCTTGATTATCATTTCTCTATTCTGGTACCATGATTAGGACATGTACGCTGAACCTAATCACCATGTTCACCAACACAGGACCCGTGAAGATCCGGGGTAGAATAGGTCTTCAGCAACCCATGCTTGCCGTAAAAGGTGACTATGCTTGTCGTAAAAGGCGACTAACGGGATCGGGTGGTCAGGCTCGCTGACTTGGTTGATGTGTGTCATCGATCCCAATTGCGTGGATCGATGCTCATGATATTAATCACTGGATTGTCTTGTCCAGACTCGATTATTTACAGACCGCCATCATATAGCTGGAATATTGCTGAGTGCGGCGTTAAACAACAAACCAACCAACCAACCTTCCTTGCGAGCCCGATATGTTTGAATCCAAAGTATGGTGGTGAATTGGTTCAGCATGTCCAGGGTGTTTATCATAATAGAATGGAGATTAAAAACACTGGACAATCGAGGATGGTTCAGGGATTGGCCTTTTGTATGGAAGCATATCCTACATCTTTTTAACAAGTGTCATGTTTGGGCATTTGTTTGTTTTATAATACCAACTAGAATTCCAAAAATAGGAAAAAGTTTGCTCTTTGCTACATTTCATCATAAATACATGAAGCCCCAACTACACCTATAACTGTAAGGGCTTTGTAATGGATGTTGCAGGTCCTGAACTGGTGACCTTGAGAGAAGTTGATGTAAAGGGATGTCTGACGTTGACGATCACCGCGGACCTGAGTGGGGGTAACGGGGACAACGCCTGGCAACACACACAGCTCTTCAGACAGGAAATGAATGCTGATAACTCTCCCTTTGAAGTAAAGATATCCCTGGCTTAATAACCTGGACATGGTGAAACTGCAGGATAGATGGCTAAGTTGTGACACACTTGATATATATGTTTGATTCCTTTTCAGGAAAGAAAATCATTTTATAGAAGGGAAACATGCTTTTTGTTTTGTCAGGGGAGACATGATGTTGAAATTTGTGGAGGATTTGTGTGAATGATGTTATACATCCCGGTATCAGGGCTCGATTTAGCTGTGTAAAACATGCACCAGTGTAACCTATCATTGAAAAGGGGCGGTCGGGTAGCCTAGTGGTTAAAGCGTTCGCTCATCACGCCGAGGACCCGGGTTCGATTCCCGACATGGGTACAATGTGTGAAGCCCATTACTGGTGTCCCCCGCAGTGATATTTCTGGAATATTGCTAAAAGCGGAGTAAAACCATACTCACTCACTATCATTGAAAAACGCAACCTAATATTTTTGTCAACATGCACCAAATGCATGTAAAATATTTGCATGTATCTAACTCTTACTTTTCCACATAACAACGATCTTGGAACACATTCAGTGCCTCTAAGGTATATTTACCATGCTACATCGATAATCTGTGTTCTGCGTATGTTTTCATGCTTTGGTGGGTGTGACATCATCAAACTGTGGGTACTTCAAGATTATGTGCTCATGTCCCTATTACGTTTTACAGCAATACGTCTTCAATTTATGTGACACTGGCAGCAGACCAGCCTATGTTTCATCTTCAATAAATTTATGGGACCAGGGTGCAGCCTGGTTTTGTTTGGTGCAACTGGGTTTTCATGTCAACATGCACCTGGTGCAGTTAAATCAAGTTTTTGAATCGAGCCCTGTGTATCACTTTCAGCATCTGTGAGCTAGGTTTCTTTGTAGATGTTCCGGTGCTGGGTCTTATGGCTGCAGAAAATGAATCCTTTAGCCCCCGGCCTACGTTTTCTCTGATTTGTCTATGAAGTAGAACACTGTTTTATGGGCACAGTTTCAGTGTATGCAATATTCAATCTCATTAAAATAAGATCTTAGTTCTCGTTGTCGCTAAACAGAGATCTGAGGACATCCCATTACGGGTCACGTCAGAACAACCTTGCGCGAATTTTGACCGACCAATGAAGTCGACATTAGCCAATCAGAAAGCAGATTTATCGTGCATTATGGCACTAATTTCAATTTGGCGACTTCGTTTCGAAACATATTTTGACAAATTCTTGATTAAAAATTTGAAACCTGAACAAAAGAACATTCTGGAATGGCAAATATATGGTCTAGATTGTATGGATTCAGTCGTTAAACCTGTAACTATCGTTCGGAATACCCCGTGTTAAAGTTTTCGAGATTGCATGATTAGAAATCACATTCCGACTGTCACTTTCATGATCTGGTAAGCGACGCTCTCATTGGTCGGATGAAAAGTAGTTCTGACGTGACCCCTAATAGGATGTCCTCAGATCTTTGTTTAGCTATACCGAGAACTAAAATCTGATTTTAATGAGATTAATGCAATATTCCTTAAAGGCTTTCATGAGAAAACACTGAGCTATGGGGCTAGGGGGTGGTTATCTTATTAGACAGCCAAAGTGGTTTAAGAGATGTGGTACGTAAGTTATTGAATATTTGTAATGGGTATTGAGAACTTATGTTATTTTTGTTACTTAGTTTACAGGTCTGCTGGCCCTAAAAAACAGGTTTTAATTGCACTGAAAAAGATTTTTGTATGTTCAATATAAATTATGTGTCAAAGAAGGGTGAAAATATGTCGCTTGCTTGCCTCAATGCCATCAATGGATTCAGTGTGTTATGTCCAGTGTAGGATGAACGTGGCTTATTTATCAAACAAAAGTGGATGTGTAATTAACATATCTGTTTTTATAACAGTTTTACCAGCACTAATGGAATAGTTGTACACTAGCCATTCATTTTAAGGTGATGTGTGCAGTTTGTTAGGAAATTTTTTAACTTACATGATAACATGTATGTTTCTTGCCTGTATGGTGGTTTGTTGATTATTGTTCAGAGAGCTTATGTTCATTTGCTTGTAGGTATGATGTTATACATCCACTGGCCCCATGATGTAAATCTTAGATGTCTGACAATTAATGTTTTTGTAAAAACTGATTATTTATTTGAGGCAACCTGGTGATAGATGAAATCCATCATGTCTACTTCGATGCTCTACCAGACTGCTGCCTCAGCTGGATCTAAACGTTTGTCTGGAAAGTGTTGGTTGTACAACTAGTTGTAGCATGTTTAGTCAGTACCGAAGAGTATTAAAGTTCGTAAGAAGGGGAGAGCACTCACTGTCTTGTCCAGTCTAACCCCAAGTGAGGCTCTAATATCAAATTGTTCGTTTGTTTGTTGTTTAACGCCGCACTCAGCAATATTCAGCTATAGGATGGTGGACTGTAAATAATCCAGTCTGGGCCAGACATCATGAGCATTGATCCACACAATTGGGATATGATGACATGTATCAACCATGTCAGCGAGCCTGACCACCTGATCCCGTTAGTCGCCTTTTACGGCAAGCATGGGTTGCTGAAGACTTACTCTAGCCTGGATCTTCACAGGTATAACCCCTAGTAATGGCATGTACATCGTATATTATGCCATGTTTTAATGTCTGTGTAATTAATTCGTTCAAAACACTCCATATTATGTGGATATACAAATGTATCTCAGAGACAAGATATATGAATTTCAGCTTCTTTCTTTGACATGAAAATGTTTTCGAGACTACTTCTTATGCCTTGAACAGAAGAATGATCAGGAATCGTATCTGTTGTGTCTAACACCTTCTATCTGCCAAGCAAAGACCCAATGTTATGTTTCTCTGTTATTAGGCCTTATTTTCTTTTATTACCTCCGAGGGCAAACATATCGGGGTTTATAAAAATCATGTGTGCCCTTGGGTTATATCACATAATGAGACAGCAGTCTGGACGGCATTGTTGACGTCATTCAAATCTTATTGTGACATGAGGTCGGAATGACGTCACACTAGAAACAAAGTCATAGCTGGAGATTGTTGACGCCATTCGACAAATGTGGTTCTGCTGCTGTTGTGACTTGCTGTCCTTATAGGTAAACACTAAAATTCGTCTCTTTGTGTAAACATCTTATCGGTTATAAATAGAACATTATATTTGTGCCTAAATTTCGGTATTTCCCACACGCTCGCTCTGGATAAACCAGAATTTGGACACTCGTGTCGTAAACATAATATGACATGAACACTCATATAATATCCTCTGTATAATGGTATATTTCATATAATATGTCTCAGGATCTTGTTCAATGAAAAACCTTTATGTAATTAAATTAGGAATTATGTGATGTCACGGTTGTAACACCATGTTTTGAGATTCCCCACGACTAGTGTTTTTACTACTATACGACATTGACTTATATATATATTTATAAACACAGTACAATTTACCTACTTGATTGATTTACAGCCCTTTTTACATCAGACATTTTTGGATATGTTGAAATAATTTAGAAACATTTGTATTTCCAAGTATCTGAATATATATATACTTGTATGCCAATATGTTGACTGACATTACATGGATATGCTGATTGCTAGAACAGACCATTTGCAAAAGAATTGCACCTCTTCAAATATGGCAAGGATTTTAATAAGGTTGAAGTTTGTAATTGATCTTAAAGATCAGGTGGATTGTTGGTGGTTTCAATGAGTACAGCAGTGAACGGAGACATGCATGTCACATTTTAACATCTGCTGTTCATGTTATGCATGCTTGCCTTAAGAATAACACGAACTAACTTGATTTGTTTGTCATGTGTATATTTTAACCTGTTTTAGGTGGAATGTGATGTTGGTAATGTTATCAATGAAATGATGTAGTAATTAGCCCTGTGTGCCTTCTTGTCAATGTTTCCCCTTGGGAATGTCATTCACCGACCACAGCTGTGTGTACAGTGGTGAGACTGGTCACTGGTATGGTGAACTTTCATGTGTACAGTGGTGAGACTGGTCACTGGTATGGTGAACTTTCATGTGTTGTGGTGAGACACTTACTCTGATGTATAAGGATTGTTTACCTTGATGTTGACTCACTGTTGTTAATCATTATGCAAGTAGGTCACAATGAGTCTCAACTCTTCATGTTGATCAAGATGGTAGCTGTGAAAAGTCAGCATGTTAGATCAGTGGTGGAAATAAGAAATAGCCAGGCTGCCACCAGGACCCACAGACTTTAAAAGTTGTAGACCCTGACTAAACTCTTCAGGCCCTCATTTAAAAAAAACTTCAGCTTTTTGTGACAAACAAATTGACCCAAATTTACTGAAGGCCATTAGGACCCATACACATGTGAAACTATAGACCTGAAACACTGAGTGGGCTTATGGGCGGGCGCTTATTTCGAACACTGTGTTAGAGATTCGAGAAGCAATCTTAAAAGCTTTATTAGATGTCATTGCCAGTGTCACTGTTTTTTGTTTAGAGTATTTGTCACTTCCTTGTGTGCATCTTTATCTTAACCATACAAACTATTGGTTTTCAAGCAATGTTTGTTTGTTTGTTGTTTAACAGCGCACTCAGCAATATTCCAGCTATATGACGACGGTCTGTAAATAATCGAGTCTGGACAAGACAATCCAGTGATTTGACATCATGAACATCAATCCACGCAATTGGAATACGATGACATGCATCAACCAAGTCAGCGAGCTTGACCACCCGATCCCGTTAGTCGCCTTTTACAACAAGCATAGTCGCCTTTTACGGCAAGCATAAGTAAAAAGAACACTACATCAGCTTGAAACGTCGCTATATGCAATAAACCAGTTGTCAATAAGTTTGTATGTTTTTCTTACTTGTTTGCCAACTTCTAGAATGCCATTCAAACAGTTACTCTCACCCAGTATTTTCAACCCCCTAATAAAGGTGAGCTGCTGAACCTCTGATACTTCATGTATATGTTTTGCTGACATTCACTGTTGCTGCTGCTGGATGACATGGACTCTGCTGAATAGATGAGGCATGCGTACCTGTACAGTCCAGAAGATTTTACTTGTATTATCAGGTTGTACATAAACATTTTTTATTTGTTGGATGTCAGTGTGTTTGTTATATGTTCATACTAATACTGGGGGCAGTCGTCTAAGGTGCCGCAATTCCCTGTACAGATTTGCGTCCCTTGAGCACACCAGAAACCTATGATTGTGGGTTCAAATCCCGGTTCACCCCGATTATGTTTCTAGGTTTGTCAGCACCATACCCGTGCTCGTCGGTTTCACCGAAGTGGTAAACTCTGAGACCTGCATCACTTCGAGTTTTCCTCCCACATTAAGCTGACACACCGTGATATAATAGCAATTCAGTTCAATGTGGCATAAAAACCAAACTCACTCATACGTATACTGCTTGTAACTGCTAGTCAGCAAGGGTGGCTATTCAAGGACGAAGATGAGGAAGGCTCATTGGTAGAATGAGGGCTCAGAAACACCAACTGTACCAGTTAGACAGGGATAATGTCCTGAAATGCTGTGGTGTGATTCCATGCTCCTACTGCCTGCAGTGATCATGTCCAGATAGTTTGTTCCAGGCGTAAAACACCATTCATTCACTTACTCAGTATCCTTATTGAATAGGTCTTCAGCAACCCATGCTTGCCGTAAAACGTGACTAACGGGATCGGGTGGTCAGGCTCGCTGACTTGGTTGATACATGTCATCGATCCAAATTGCGTGGATCGATGCTCATGATATTAATCACTGGATTGTCTGGTCCAGACTCGATTATTTACAGACCGCCGTCATATAGCTGGAATATTGCTGAGTGCGGCGTTAAACAACAAACCAACCAACCAACCTTATTGATCCCATCTCCAGATTTTCCAAATCCTCAACAGTATGAAGTGTTGTGAAGCAGGAATCCTGTGACTGCAGGAGCCAACACGGGCAGCCATATACGTAGTTTTTAGGGGAAAATACGAAAACAAGGCAGTTCATGTGCTTCATAATCTTAACCCTATGAGAACTGAGTAGAGTAGAAAAGCTTGAGACCCGCGAAGATCCGGGATAGAATATGTCTTCAGCAACCCATGCATGCTTGCCGTAAAAGGCGACTAACGGGATCGGTTGGTCAGGCTCGCTGACTTGGTTGATGCATGTCATCGTGTTCCAAATGTATGAATCGATGCTCATGATGTCAATCGTTGGATTGACTTACTGCGCGTCAATTGAATCAGAGGCGTCAGTGGTGTAGGGAACGCCAGCACTGGGATAATCGACGTTGGGCTAATGGCATGTTTTTTGACGAATCGAGGTTCACACTCGACCGAAGGAATCGAGTTAGGAGACGTTAACGTCGTACAGCACGATCGTTTAGGGGTTGGGTCCATAATGGTATGGGGTGGTATCACAATTACTGGCCGAACTGCACTCCATGGCAAAGTCACAGGTCAATACTATTATCATTGCACCACTCGTTGTGCCATTTGCTTAACGTGTGCGTCAAAGGCAAAATCCACCCACCATTGTCAATGAAATCGTTGTTGTTCTCATTGAAGAGTGGGGACATGAGAGAAGCCGATATTGGTCGACTCAGAAGCATGCTTCGAAGAAATCGTCCAAGTCTGGCCAACACAGGTGGTTTTAAAGCGTGGTTGGCTGCAAGTTACGAATTTGACCACCGACCTCGTGCACCACCATCTCATCACCCCAACCATTAGAGCCCATCAGATCAGATCGCCTACTCCCCAGCAGATATGATCATATCATTTCCATTTCCATTACCATATAGATCAGAAGATGTGTCTCGGTGATTCCCACTATCCCCTACCTTTGTTGCATAGTAAGGAATCTGCTGGCCAATACTATCGACAATAGTGTATTGAAAAACTAGATATGTCTCAAGAAAAATGATTTAGTATGGCAAAAGCATCTTTACGCGTCCCTCTTGGATCCTTACAGTTAGTGGGTTAGGGTGAGGGTAGTTTACCCTCAGCTCTATCCTTGGCCCTTGGTTCCTTAAATAAAAATAGTGGCGAAGGTATTCGATAGTGGCTCCCATACAAATTACAAAGACACAATCCCCATAAAGTTTGCACCGTAACAATCACATTCCGGCTGGGATTATATCGAAAGAATAAATATTTACAGAAAATACTTAAAAAATAATAATTATGCTTCATACTGCAAAATAAATACCTCGTCCGCCACAAAACAAATACATGGCAGGGTGTATTTTCTTCAAAACTGTTTTAGGATCAGAGTTTTATATTTTTTTTAAATATATGTTTTGGCATTTACAGTTTCCATACAAACTTCCCCCACCCCCATACCGAATGAAATAGACGGTCCTTAACAGAGGTACCGTTCAATGTGGCGTTAAAACCAACTCCCTCCCTCAGTGTATTAAAGGCCTTTGACATCACAGTTTCACCCAAATAGAATATACCTATGCAATAAATAGTTTTCTCTATCTATGATCATATGTGGCGACGCATTCATCATTGTTGATTGCAAAATAATTCCAATCACAGGAATGCACAGCACATACGAACAAGTGACGTCTGAAGCTGCCATGCCGCATACAAATGAAGGTGAGACTTCACCACAGCGCGTGGCCTCTCACTTCGACGTTGTAGTGAAAGAACGCGTAGGCCTCGCCACTTCAAATGTGCACTGAATCGAGCCAAAGCACACACCCAATACTGATTTGCTGATGAAACATTAATTTCAAGAATCGCCAGGTACGCTGATTTTCATTGAATTCTGTGTTTGTTCATTTTCTTCGACGAACGATTATTCGCATTACATGTTTCGATACTTGTATTTTCCTTTTATGTAATGTCGATTTGTTTGGTCGAAACATGACACAATCAGTGAGTAGCAGAGAGACTGGGTGCTACCCTTAAATATACAGACCTCATGTGCGTAGTTATCAAAGGATAAATAGTTGATCATCATTTCAAACATTACACTCGCAGGCTTATATATTGTAAGATATATTACGCAAAACGGGGAATATTGTTCCAATATTGGAGATGCAAACGATGTGTTACATATCGCCAGCTGTATTCCCGTCACGTTCCACGTGGTCATGGAATGGCAGAACTACATCGGAACATACAGATACACGATGGAAAAGAATTGCCCCAATCATATTAAACCATTACAGATATGTGATTTTGTTACACTTTGATATTAATATGCCACATTCTTTAGTGATTTGACCGATTTTAGAAAATGTGGTTTGGCCACGTGATACTGAAATAAAACAATGGCATTAATATAACAAAAACAATCGAAATTGTTACTACTTTTCATCATTATGATTTGCGACTCAATTTAAGAACGCCACTCTGACTAAACGTGATGCCGACAATAATCTAAACACTCTTCGGGACCAACATTTGTATTCTCGCAGATATGACTTGCATATGTAGTCTTTGCTTGACTACAAAGTGCCACGATTAGAGTGAAATATTTAGATTTGGTCTGGTTGGTGTTTAACGCCGAACTCAGCAATATTACAGCTATATGACGGCGGTCTGTAAATATTCGAGTCTGGACAAGACAATCCAGTGATTGACATCATGAGCATCGATACACACAACTGGGATACGATGACATGCATCAACCAAGTCAGCGAGTCTGACCACCCGATCCCGTTAGTCGCCTTTTATAACAAGCATAGTCGCCTTTTACGGCAAGCATGGGTTGCTGAAGACCTGTTCTACCCCGGATCTTCACGGGTCGAATTGTTTGGGAATATAATTCTGATGATTATTACTATTATAGTGTTGATGTATATATTAGTTTCACTGAAATTGTGAATAAATAAATATCAAAACTAATTTCTTTAGATAAAAGATAGAGAAAGCATATAAAGTGCTGCTTACCCTTTTCGCGAACACCAGGTGTCATCCCTGACTTTCAGTGATCCATGCATATCATTTTCACCACTAATCGGCGGTTGGTCATCGTAAGCTCATTGGTGGATTGGTGTCCATGTTTTCGGTCACAGGTTTGCCTGGTCAAGACTATGCTTTACCGGCAACCGTAATTGCTGACCGCGGTGTGAAACAGCATTAATTCTAACTTTCGAGTCCCCCGTGAAGATCCGGGTTAGAATTAAACTTCAGCAACACTTGCTTGTCGTGAGAGGCGACAAAGGGTACCGGGTGGTCATGTGCGCTGACTTGGTTGATGCATGTCATCGTAACTCAATTAAGTAGATCGATGTTCATGATGTCAATCACCGGATTACCTGGTCAAGACCTTATTATTTTCAGACTGTCGTCACATTGTGCGGTGTAACACAACAAACAAACAAAATGTCCCTCACTGCCCTAAGTGCGACTCCACGATCTTGTTTCAATTTTCGATGTAGGACGATGAAGGTAAAGAGTACCTTCTGCAAAACTGAGAACCGTAAAGCATCTAATAAATTGGTGAGCCTGTCAGTTGTTATGAACCAACTTCCTCCCATATTCAGAAAAGTATTCCACTTTTCTTATTGGCTCAGGACAAAACTGACTATTTCTTGGATAATTTGTATTTGTATATAGGGCTACTGATACAGTTCTCAAGCACCCAAGATGACCGCCTTTCCGACACGTCTAGTACCGTCAGATGATGACATCCAAGACCGCGTGTTCCACTTCCGGTACAGCTGCGCTAAGGACATGTACGAGCGGGTGTCGTCTGCTTCCACACGGAGGAACACTGGTTGGCGGAACCTGACATTTGGAGAGCCCCGGATGTACCGTCACGAGGACGCAGATTCTATGTGCGCGTTTCTTGCACGGCAGGAGGACCAGGACACTTCGTCCATTGCATGGAAGATCGACATGGAAGGTTCGATATCAAAACTGTAACATCACATTTCCAGTGGGTTATTAACACGATTACATTCATACACTAGGATTCGTATCAAGACTTAAGAGGATAAGTTCAACATTAGGAATTCGGATCTGAATAGCTGCTTGGTATCTCAAGTCCAAGAAAAATAGAGATGTTCAGTCTCTCTGAATAGGCTGATTGCGTGTCATCGTGCACCGATTGCTTAGGCCATTGCTCATGCTTTCCCTGGTTTACCTGGCCCATTTATTTTACAGTTTTAACCTCACTCAGACTGTTAGTGTCTACATCCTCGGAAGAGGTTTCTAGGATGGCGCGGCAGTAAATTTAGTCGTTCCAGGTACTTTCAAAGAAACTTAATAAGGTGTGTGCTTTTCTGCTTTAGGTCGGTATAGTACCCTGTAAATTAACTTTAAACCTCCTGGAATAAAGATAACTGAACGTGAACGTGACGCATATAGATTTTATGTTAAATTTAAACTTTCTGTCACGCATCTCATTGTTTTCAGGAACCGGTGTCCATGGCAAAAGTCTTGATTTTCGAGCTGAGAGTCACGCCACAGGAGAAGCCAAAGTCATCTGGAAGATCGTCTGCGGTGACAATTCACAGACAATAGACGGTAAAACGTGACTTCTCGTGTTATTAACTTCAGGGTCATTGTATCCGTTTGACAGCCCCAAAACATGATGCAATGTGTTTCATGGGCGGATACAGCTTTTTTGAAAAGGGGGGTGCATAATTAAGATCTATTTATTGTCTTTGGTGGTAATTTATACAGAAATAAAGATTTTTTTCGAAATAAAAAAGGGGGGGGGGGGTGTGCCCCCTCCCCCCCTTTCTCTCTCTCTCTGTATCCGCCCAAGTGTTTATACCGTTGACTTTATCCGAGTTGGCAATTCTTCCCGCAAGACTTCCCGTTTTGACATTTCACATTTTCCAGCTGCCGACTTGCGGTCAATGGTCACCGTGGACGTCCTGGGGTACAGCAGTATCACCATCGTAGCTGAGATTCACGGGGGCGCATGGAAGGACGCGCACCTGTTCAAGCAGTCACTTGTTGATACTGATACGTATCCCTTTGAAGCCAAACTGCATATGGTGGGTGCAATATCTTGCAGTTTCAAACAATTTCAGAACCTACAAATGCAGTACATAAATGTATACAGTTTGAAACTTTATTGGTGACAGTGGACCGTCCATACCATTGAACCCTTCCCCTTCAAGGCTCAGAGCTGCAGTGTTGCAAAAGTGACTTTAAGGAACTTTAATAATCCATCTAGGATTTTACCAGATTACTGACACAATTAGGTCAATGTTTAATGCTTAGTTGTCAACTGAAACAGTTTTCCAGGGTAGTACCACTTGTTTGTATTATTGAAATCCTTTTAGTAGAAATTAGGGTATTTGGTCTGGAATATTGCGTTTAATAGTGCGGCGTTAAACAACAAACAAACAAACATCATCGGAAGAGATTTCTAGGATGGCGCGGCAGTGATTTTAGTGGTTCCAGGTACTTTCCAAGATACTCAAGAAGGAGGGGGATGGGGTGGACTTCTGAGTGAGTTGGGTTTAACGCCGCTTTTAACAATGTTCCAGTTATATCGCGGAGTGTGGCGACTTCTGCTTTAGGTACAGATTCACAACACGGTTACGCCTTGGTACTGGACTCTTCATCGCAAGTGTTTGTTTTTTCTCGTTTCCTCCTGGTTGAGGTGAGGTGAGGTGAGGTGAAATGGGGTTTAACGTCGCGTCCAAGATTATTGCGCTTTTATAGCGACGTGCATGTACGTGTGTGTGTTTGTGTGGCTGCTTGTACTAGTCCGGACTGATGCCGATTTATAGTGCTAGCTCACTGAGGTACCATGCCACAGTTTAACATGAATACCCCACTCAGACACAGTATACTGACTCCGAGCCGACCAGTCCTTGTTTTAGCCCCTTAATGCCGAGCGCCAGACAGGGTAACAACAAGTACCATCTTTTAACGTCTTTTGGTATGACGCGGCCGGGGATCGAACCCCGGACCTTCCGCTCTCCGGGCGGACGCTCTACCACTGGACGACGGAGGCGGTCTCATCTTGGTATGATTGGCGCAACCATGCATATATTCTTTGATAGGAAATATCATTGGGAATACATGCCAGTGAATTTTTGTATCATTAGTGGTCGCTGATGGTCGTTTTGCTCTTACTGGTTTCAGTTATGGGAGTAGTGTCAGTTCTTATGATGTCCCAGTGTGTAGATTGTAGCGAGAACTGTTATTTTGATTCAATATAGATGAAAGTTATATACCTGAGAAAATAGTTAACTATTGGAACACAGCCTGCACAGATGACGTATCCAGCGTCTTACTGTATTAGGCTCTCATTGATACATGTCATGGTTGAAGAGACGGACTCAGTTGGGCATTAATTGTCCTATTCACGAAAACTTTTCAAATTGCAAACGTCTACTTTGTATATCTTAGTTCGTCCCAGAATCACCCGAAAGTGATCCTTAATGAATAGGCATCAAGCTGGCGCTCGTGTTTCATCAAATTCATCAGATTGGGCTTTCCACCCACCTTTCGTAGACACGATCGACTGTGTTTTTCAGAGCACACTATGGATATCTTTATTCTGCTCCGTGTTTTCCAGAACTCACGATGACATTGTTTATTCTGCTCCGTGTTTTCCAGAACTCACTATGACATTCTTTATTCTGCTCCGTGTTTTCCAGAACTCACAATGACATTCTTTTTTCTGCTCCGTGTTTTCCAGAACTCACGATGACATTCTTTATTCTGCTCCGTATTTTCCAGAACTCACTATGACATTCTTTATTCTGCTCCGTGTTTTCCAGAAGTCTGCTCCGTGTTTTCCAGAACTCACTATGACATTCTTTATTCTGCTCCGTGTTTATCCAGAAATCCGCATATACCATGGTGTATCGTCTTACCACCCTCGAGAAGCAGATGCAACTTTTCCAGCTCCGCTACTTCTGTGATAGCGACGCCTACCACCGGAAGTCGTCTGGTACCAACATAGAGGGCCTGCTGAATGGACTCTTCCAGAGCGAGGGGGCACAGCGGGAGGTGGATGAGGGGATGGTGTATTGGGCCCGAGAGGAGGGCCGAGATGAGGCGGTCTACAGGTGGAAGATTGATCTAACAGGTAAATAAAAACAGCAATGTTTCAGATACACGACGGAGGCCTGCAAATAAGTCTGGGTAGGATTTGTTTGTATATTGTTTAACGCCAGCTCGAGTCAGGACCAGACAGTCCAGTGATAGACATCATGGGCATCAATTGACGTAGTTGGAATACGATGACATGCATCAACCAAATCAGCGAGCCGGACCGCCCGTTGGTTGCCTTTTAAGGCAAGCATGGGTTGAAAACCTATTCTAACCCGGATCTTCAAGGGCGAGTCAGGGTAGGACAAGCCAGTGGTTGAGCTACGGTCCACGCCGTTTTACTCGTAATTTACAAGAATGGGGTTGTTGGGTCCTATTTTGCCCCTGAATTCCGGCATTGATACGGATTTGAGAACGTGAGCGCCTAAATTGGCTTCGGCATTGTTATCCTAATATTGAGTCTGGGCTACAAACTGTTTTGGGTTCATGGCCTTCAATATGAGAATCGAGCACATATCTGCGATTAATCCATCAAAAGTATAGCTACAATCAGCTCGTTGCCTTGGATTTATTGTTAGGTGGCTTAACAATGCAAGTATTGAACAGTGAATTCAACCTATTCCTACTACCACTGGGTTTCGCACGGAAAACAAAAAGCGATCTCGACAGCCCCACTTCTAAAGAACATTTGACCTTGTTTGGGACGAAAAGCTCGGCTAACAGTCACATATTTTTCGTTATAGTTAGTGAATATAGCTTTACATTTATGCCGATGAAGACCTTGTATTTCGAAAAATATATTTAATAAATTCGCGTCAGATCTTTACTAAATGTCAGGCATGCGACACAAAAAGACTATCAGCATATTTGAGACCCTCTTCAGGGGAGAGTATGAGATAGTTAAACATTCACGTCGCATCGGCAATGTTTCAGCCACACACAGCGAAGAGAGGGCACCGGAAAGCCCTGCCATCTATTCGTACGTCTCATATTGTGTTTAGTTCGTTTCTTACGCATTACAGCTATAAATATAAATTAATAATTGAGTCTTGGTCAGGCAAACGAGTCGTTGATATTATGGATAACGTCCCATGTCGACGGAGTGATAACAGGGCCCCATTGTTGTCAGTTACTATAAGAATGCGGTACTGGGGATATGCTCTGGCCTGGAATGTCATACACTGTTACGTGTTATTTCCCAAATTGAAACAATTAGTTAACCCAGAAATCTGTATGTAAACAAATTGAGTGTAAAACCAACAAAGAAACAACAAATGGTATACAATAAGCAATTGCATACACAATTACCTAGGTTTACAAATCAATACAAATTACCGCACGGCAATCACAATGGCAGTATGCAAAAGCGTGGTAGTACAATATTCAATGGCAGTATCAAATACAAAATATGATGGCCGTGAGGATAGCTAGAATTTCAGTTATAATAATATTCATCAATCGCAACAGTGGTCAAGCTTCAGAGAGAGGCTTAGGCTGAATCTAAAACAGAAACAATGTCATACAGTTACAATCATTGTTTGATACACTGCCATAGAGCAACATACCTTAAGAGATATTTATGTCCAATTAAGCACAAACTGGGCCTTTAAACAACTGCTGGGAGGATGAATGAATGAAATGTAGGTGGTGGTATTAAATGCTGTTTTGAACAGAATTTCTTATAGTTTTGGCGACTTCTGTCAAGAGTCACCAAGTTATATTATACTGATGAATAGGCATTTCGGTGTCTCCTATCCCCATATAGTTAAATACTCAAACCTCTCTTACTGAAAAAATATTATAGGCACACACTGTATACATTGGTACAAGCCAAAACATCTCATTTGTAAACAATCTCAAAGGGTAACAGATCAATAATATTGGGCAAGTGTTGACAGTTGCTGAAACTGGATTTGGGAAGTCACATTCCCAATGTTTTTGCTTAATGGCATATTTCATAAATTAAATACACAACAGAACACACAAACACACGCATGCACAAAACCAGAGTCCAGATATTTGTGCTTGACACACACAAACACACACACGAAAAACCCACACAGTCCAGACATTTGTACTTGTCAAAACTCCTTTATGAACTCAAGATTTTTCGCCACTCAACGGCTCCTCGGGTGTAATGAACACTTTCAAGTAATCGTTGGTCACCTATGATTATGTTAGTTTTCATTAGTTGCCCATGATGACATCTGAAGTGTGTGTGTGTGTGTGTGTGTGCGTGTGCGTGTGCGTGTGCGTGTGCGTGTGCGTGTGAGAAATTTGGCAAGATTGTATTGATGCAAATTGCATTATATTAAACCAAATGAATTCATCAATAATTTTTTATCTCTAACTTCAACTTACATCAATTTACAGACTCGGGGATGTGTGTACAGAAGATGGCTTTGATGGCTAAATGCAAAAAGTATAAAGATGCTCAAGTGATCTGGAAAATCTATGCTGATGACAAATCAGTTACACACCAAGGTAGGTGATATGAATCATCAAACACAATGAAATCTGTCACACACCAAGGTAGGCAATCTGGATCATGAAACAGGATCATGAAACACAATCAAATCCAAGGTAGGTTATATGGGGAACAACACAATGAAATCCGTCACATACCAAGGTAGATGATATGGGGAACAACACAATGATATCAGTAACACACCAAGGTAGGTGATATGGATAATGAAACACAATGATATCAGTAACACACCAAGGTAGATGATATGGGGAACAACACAATGATATCAGTAACACACCAAGGTAGGCGATCTGGATCATGAAACACAATGATATCAGTAACACACCAAGGTAGGCGATCTGGATCATGAAACACAATGATATCAGTAACACACCAAGGTAGGCGATCTGGATCATGAAACACAATGATATCAGTAACACACCAAGGTAGGCGATCTGGATCATGAAACACAATGATATCAGTAACACACCAAGGTAGGCGATCTGGATCATGAAACACAATGAAATCCGTCATATACCAAGGTAGGTGATATGGATCATGAAACACAATGAAATCCGTCATATACCAAGGTAGGTGATATGGATCATGAAACACAATGAAATCCGTCATATACCAAGGTAGGTGATATGGATCATGAAACACAATGAAATCCGTCACATACCAAGGTAGATGATATGGGGAACAACACAATGAATTCAGTAACACACCAAGGTAGGTGATATGGATAATGAAAGACAATAAAATCCGTCACATACCAAGGTAGGTGATATGGATAATGAAACACAATTATATCAGTAACACACCAAGGTAGGGGATCTGGATCATGAAACACAATGAAATCCGTCATATACCAAGGTAAATGATATGGATAATGAAACAAGGATATCAGTAACACACCAAGGTAGGCGATCTGGATCATGAAACACAATGAAATCCGTCACATACCAAGGTAGGTGATATGGATCATGAAACACAATGATATCAGTAACACACCAAGGTAGGCGATCTGGATCATGAAACACAATGAAATCCGTCATATACCAAGGTAGGTGATATGGGGAACAACACAATGAGATCCGTCACACACCAAGGTATGTGATGTGGATAATGAAAGACAATAAAATCCGTCACATACCAAGGTAGGCATCCTGCAAAGTGAAAACTGTGGATAATCAGCGATTGATAGACAGAGTGTTTGTGGTGAGGATTGAACCCAAATTGACCTCCTTATCTTGTTGTAACAATTTGGGCTTTAACAATAAAGAAAGCTATCTGTTGTCTATGGTTCTGAATAATCTGCCGTTCTTCTATGCCCCAGGTGAATATCTGTACAAAACCCGCTCCATCAACATGAAGAGAAGCAGGGTGATCGTCCTGGAAGCCACGGTCAGTGGGGGGTCCGGCCCAACTGCCTGGAGGCAGGCCCAGCTGTTTCGGCAGAAGATTGGCACCAAGCAACATGTGTTTGACTGCAAGCTGTACTTGTTGGAAGATAAGGAAGACAAAGAAGAGTGACAGTACAGCAGCCATCACATGAAGGCTCAAGTGCAGTCAGGATTAGAAAATTAAAAGAATTGGTTCTCAGGCAATGACTTTTGAAAATATAGTGCGGGTGGCTGGTGGCTTTTGTTGTTTTGTTGTTCAAACTAGTATGTAACCAAATAAACAGTTGTGTACCATCAACCTGAAAAAGGGCCTTCCTACATAAACAAGCATACAATCTATTGCCGCCATGACCATAAGTCAAGATTAAAGGGAAATAACTGTGTGTAATATTGTTTTTAAGTGTTGGGATTTTAATTTTTTTTTAAAAACAGAAATAAAAACGATACGTGTGGCAGACTTTATGATGATGTAGGCGGTGCCTGAGAACCAAGACTATTATTTTTTTTTAGCCTTATCTATTTTCTAAATAGGTTGTACCCATGTGGGGAATCGAACGCAGACCTTCACTAGGCGAGCGAGCACTTTAACCCCTATCAGCTGATGAGATGTGATGGACCTGTTATTCTATATAATACATCCATGTATTTTCTTGCACAGCATTCATGATCTTACTTTGAAAGCCATAGCGTCAATGAAGAAGACTGCAAGATGTTCCATCATGAAGAGTTCTTTCACTCAAGTTACAATTATGGGGGCCAATTTGTGGGGGGGCCCCAGACTGGCGATCTGTGTCACACTTTTCTTTGATTTTATTGATGTCATCTCAAAGCACATGCTCTGGAGCCGTAAGTCAATTTTATGTGGAGATTTTGGAGTTAGATCGAAGAAAATCAACCATGACATACCAAACTTTATCTTATTTTTACAAGAATAGAAATGTCAGTTAAATGTAACAGCAGTCTACAATTGTTCTGAATTTAATGATTCCAATAGCCATGCTCCTTGCTTCCAGAACTCACTATGTAATGTTCTTGCATTCATTCTCACAGGACACAATATTAACCATCCGGCTTCTGTGAATGGAGTTTCACTGTATCTGCTGATGCTTGTTAGATGATTCCCTACGCGATCGCATGTCTCTATATTGACTGAAGTAAACTAAACAGGATTAAATACACATCTCACAACTCAACAAAAGTCAAGATTGACTACAGCAGGAGATGTCAAGGATCCCCCGTTATTTCAAACACTGAAATAAAACAGCACGTGTATGGATTCCTTGTTGTTTATTGCCATATCTACAAAAGTGATGATATTTACAATGTATTTTATGTGCAGTTGTTACATGTTGTGATCATGGCCGCCCGAACTTCTCCTCCAGCAGCTCAGCCCAGGCAGTCAAGCTTCTCTCAGACCCCACTGGCTGGGAAAGAAAAAGGACATGGGTCAGTCTCGGGAGCAGACAACACTATCCTTAGAAGGGCTGGCTATTGATACAGATCATCGAGATCGATAATCGTTAACCAAATATCAATTATTGATAAATATTGGGGAAGCATCTGTAAGTAAATACACAAAAGAAAACCTAGAGAAATCAACATATTTCACTCCAACGGTAAATGGCAGCACATTTTTGCAGGGATTACTTTGTGGACATTTGATACATAACAAAACAGTTACTTTCAATCTTCAGCAAATAACATTACTGACAATAACAAATCTGTTTTGGTAAATCTAAATTTTATTTCATCACAATAGTTTATTGTAAGGTATTATCGATGACACAATTTTCATATTAATAATCATTAATATTTCTTCACGTCAATAATTCTTATTATCGATGTTTTTTGCCAGCCCTAATCCTTAGTACTAATCTTAATACTCTGATACAAAATATGGGTGCCATTCCCCACCATGGCTCTATGGTAGTTACAAGTCTCCTGCTCTACTGCAGTCTTGTGGAACAAAGGTGAACAGTAGGCAAACGTCTACATTGGTTCAGCTCTGAAAAACTAATTCTAACACCGTTCTGCCATAATGGCAGCCTATGAGACCATTATCAATCCATATTAGTGAATACACAACACTATTCCAAATCATGGATGTAACTTCAAGAGTTTTAACCATAACACGAATAAAGCTCACAGTCCCAACTGCACCCCCTAACTTGTACACTACAAACGATGGATGGACTGATTCATTCACATAACACTGAAACATTTTAAGGATTGTTGTATCTCTACAGAATTCATATTCTTTACCTTCAAGTCTGTGATGTCAGTATCCGAATGTCCCTTGATGTCAGCCAGAGTTACCTCCCCTAACAGAGGATACCCCGAGGGTATGATGAGAGTACAGACGATGCTCCCTCCCCGCCCGACCATCACTCGCAAAATATTCTCCTCTTGTATCCAGTCAATAGCATGCCTATTGATCAGAAACAAGTACCAAGTAGTGGCCTCATTGACGAACACCAGGACCATGTGATTTGGAACAATGGATTATTTCAAAACATGCATGAAGAAACAAGCTTGTAAATAATGTGAAGTAGGTTAATGAGGGTAGATCAATAGCATCCATATTGAGCAGCCAGTGTTGCATGCACATACCATATTTCCTCTATTAGACGCCTGGCATGTATTATTTTGCCCAAACCATTGACCTTTGTCAGTTAGAGCCTGACGAGTGTAAGAGGCCCGATGTCTGTTCTGTTTAATGCTGGCACAGTGCAACTCACTATCTTACAAAATCCCTAATTCTGCATTTATATTTGTTTGTTTGTCTGTTTGTTTGTTTGTTGTTTGAAGCTGCACTCAGCAATATTCCAGCTATATGATGGTGGTCTGTAAATAATCGAGTCTGGTCCAGACAATCCAGTGATTGACATCATGAGCATCGATACGCACAATTGGGACACAATGACATGCATCAACCAAGACAGCGAATCTGACCACCCGATTCCGTTAGTCGCCTTTTACGACAAGCATGGGTTGCTGAAGACCTATTCTACCCCGGATCTTCACGGGTCTCTGCATTAATAAATAGGATACATTTGCAGGGAACTGAGATGATTCATCACCAACATATCACAGTATAAGAGCGTATGACCAGGCATCACTTGGAGGCCGGCATCTGGTAGAGGAAATACAGTATTTGATGTCAACAACCATTAGGTAAAATGAGGTTATTCTGTGTTTGTAATCATACAGAAATGTACAACATCTAATTGGCTTACCTGAATCTGAGCTGAGACACCTCTGTCAGCAAAGGTTGGTGGGATAGCCATCGTGACTTCAGTTTTGTGACAAGCGCTGGCACATCATTATGGATGACAGCCTCCTTTAGCAGCTCCGACACATCGATTGAGTCGACATTCACCTGCAAGGGGTTCATACATTGGTGTTAGTGAGTGTGTGAGTGAGTACTGTTTCACGTCGCTTTTAGCAATATTCCAGCAATATCACGGCGGGGGACACCAGAAGTGGGCTTCACACATTGTACCCATGTGGAATTGAACCTGTGTCTCTGGCATGACGAACGAAAACTTTAACCACTAGACTACCCCATCGTCCCCATTAGTTGGTTAGTTGGTTGGTTGGTTTGTTGTTTAACGCCGCACTCAGCAATATTCCAGCTATATGATGGCGGTCTGTAAATAATCGAGTCTGGACCAGACAATCCAGTCATTGATATCATGACCATCGATCCACGCAATTGGGATCAATGACATGCATCAACCAAGTCAGCGAGCCTGACCACCCGATCCCGTTAGTCGCCTTTTACGACAAGCATAGTCACCTTTTACGGCAAGCATGGGTTGCTGAAGACCTATTCTACCCCATTAGTGTTAGTACCGGGTAACTGGACATACAGGAGCAAGTGGTTGAATACACGTATTAAATTTTTCATTTTAACATTCTCGGCGACATGGTCCTGTGCTCAGGGCACAGTGCACATATCAGGTGAAGTTCAGCAACAGTGATCTTGGAGAGTGGTTGGACTCTTGTGAGTTTCTAGGGCTTCGGTCCTGCCCCACACTAAAGCACATAGAGAACATGTGGTGTCTCCTTGGGCAAGTGACTTTGTTCGTAATATGCCTCTGTTCACCCGGCAGTGAATGGGTACCCGGTAGGATGAGATGGTAATGACTGTTAACCTTCTAGTGCCTTAAGGCAGCTTGGGTGGTACACTCCCAAGGGAGCTGAGAATGAAAATCGAGTGCACACTGATCCATTGACTGGGGTAAAAAGTAATATACACATACTGGTTCTTCACTGGAGTGAATACCGAGGTCATGCAGAAGTAAGAGAATCGTGCATTATCAGAGTCAAAACAGTTGTCGACACAGAGCTATTAGGTGTAAACTCGGCAGCCTGTAAACTATGTCTCGGCCAGGCAAATTACCGACTGAAAGCATGAGCAAGGATGAAGGCTGTTTGGGAATGATGACACAAAACCAACCAAGTTTCGAAGCTGACAACTAATGCAGGGCTGGGCCGGGTAACTCAGGTACTCGGGTCGGGTGGGTCCTGAATAGGACCCGGATATCCACAGGACTACCTGCCCCCGTGGTTAGTCACATGATATATTGTTTAACGGCAAAAACTCACAACAACTCAGTGGTTACACTACAAATCGCTAATGTTCGCATTTCTTTCTGACGATGCACACATTCCTTTTGACTTGTAAATGTTTGAGTAAAGATAAAGCTTCAGTCGACTTCAGTGCACGCATGATCTGATTGTTTGATACATGTATCTAAATAATTTTGGCCAGGGCTGAGGTAAAACAATTTGTCCCCAACTCTTGTAGTGGGTTCCCGGGTAGTAAATATGGACTCATCCCATCCCTAAACCAATGGTCTTCATCAGGCATTGTGACGAGCATGAGGCACTTGCAACCTTTTCTGACCTTGAATCCCCAATGGGCGTCTTCATCAGGGAAAACCCTATACTGAATCTGACACCGTGGAAGATTAAGTTTAATCAGGCTGTTAATGGAGAGAGATTAACATCATTTCACTTCTCAACTGTTTTTAAGATTTGAGTACATGATCTCATCTTCTTTCAGCGTTTTGACTACAATCTGCCACTTACCTCAGCAGACTTAAGCACCAGGTCACCCAGATTGTTTTCCAAGTACTCGAGGGACAGAGCCAGCTGCACCCCCTCAGTCCCTGCCCGGGGGAACTCCACCCGCACACCACTCCAACTCAGGGGGATCACTGTCAGCCCACTCATCGCCTCCATCTCACTCACCAGCCTCTCCAGGCTGCAACACACAGATGTCCCATATCAAATGTCAAAAACTAGGACCAAAAGATGAAGTAGGCTTGTGGCATGATGAGTTCTGTTGTTTGTATATATACTACTCAACATTTGCTTAGGATCACAACTTTGACTAAAGATGACTAGGTTGGTCCTTAGCAAAGGCTGTATATTCAACTTGCACAGTTGAAGGATGAATCGGACAACCACAAAATATGACGCATTTGACACAGTTGTTTGTCTTCTCCAGAACGACTTAAATATGTCAAGGATATAATTGAAACCTCATATACCATTGATACAATGTTTTGTAAAAAACATTTCTCACTTCATCTAAAAACTGGGGTATGTCTCCTCCCTAATGTGTATTGCCAGCAGAGTATTCCAGCTATATGATGGCAGGCTGTAGAAAAAGTAGTCTGGACCAGACAATCCAGTGATTAAAATATCCCATCACTGAGGCTAACCACCCAATCAGATGTGTACACGGTGAATGTATGCATAAAATATTTTCAAAAGGCCATGTTCTACTGACTGCTTAGTAAGCTGTGACATGTTCTACTGGCAGCTTAGTAAGCTGTGACATGTTCTACTGACAGCTTAGTAAGCTGTGACATGTTCTACTGACTGTTTAGTAAGCTGTGACATGTTCTACTGACAGCTTAGTACACTGTGACATGTTCTACTGACAGCTTAGTAAGTTGTGCCATGTTCTACTGACTGCCTAGTACACTGTGTCATGTTCTACTGACTGCTTAGTAAGCTGTGACATGTTCTATTGACTGCTTAGTAAGCTGTGACATGTTCTACTGTCTGCTTAGTAAGCTGTGACATGTTCTACTGACTGCCTAGTACACTGTGACATGTTCTACTCACTGCTTAGTAAGCTGTGACATGTTCTATTGACTGCTTAGTCAGCTGTGACATGTTCTACTGACTGCTTAGTAAGCTGTGTCATGTTCTACTGACTGCTTAGTAAGCTGTGCCATGTTCTACTGACAGCTTAGTACACTGTGTCATGTTCTACTGACTGCTTAGTAAGCTGTGACATGTTCTACTGACTGCTTAGTACACTGTGTCATGTTCTACTGACAGCTTGGTAAGCTGTGACATGTTCTACTGACAGCTTAGTAAGCTGTGACATGCTGTACCGACTGCTTAGTAAGCGGTGACATGTTCTACTGACTGCTTAGTAAGCTGTGACATGTTCTATTGACTGCTTAGTAAGTTGTGACATGTTCTACTGACTGCCTAGTACACTGTGTCATGTTCTACTGACTGGTTAGTAAGCTGTGTCATGTTCTACTGAGTGCTTAGTAAGCTGTGACATGTTCTACTGACAGCTTGGTAAGCTGTGACATGTTCTACTGACTGCCTAGTACACTGTGTCATGTTCTACTGACTGCTTAGTAAGCTGTGACATGTTCTACTGACTGCCTAGTACACTGTGTCATGTTCTACTGACTGCTTAGTAAGCTGTGACATGTTCTACTGACTGCTTAGTAAGCTGTGACATGTTCTACTGACTGCCTAGTACACTGTGTCATGTTCTACTGACTGCTTAGTAAGCTGTGACATGTTCTACTGACTGCTTAGTAAGCTGCGACATGTTCTACTGACTGCCTAGTACACTGTGTCATGTTCTACTGACAGCTTGGTAAGCTGTGACATGTTCTACTGACAGCTTAGTAAGCTGTGACATGTTCTACTGACAGCTTGGTAAGCTGTGACATGTTCTACTGACAGCTTGGTAAGCTGTGACATGTTCTACTGACAGCTTGGTAAGCTGTGACATGTTCTACTGACTGCCTAGTACACTGTGTCATGTTCTACTGACAGCTTGGTAAGCTGTGACATGTTCTACTGACTGCCTAGTACACTGTGTCATGTTCTACTGACAGCTTGGTAAGCTGTGACATGTTCTACTGACAGCTTAGTAAGCTGTGACATGCTGTACCGACTGCTTAGTAAGCGGTGACATGTTCTGACTGCTTAACGAGTTGTGCAATATTCTGACTGCTTAGAGAGTTGTGTCATGCTCTACTGACTGATTAATGAGTTGTGCCATGTTCTACTGACTGATTAATGAGTGAGTGAGTTGGTTTAATGCCGCTTTTAACAGTATTCCAGTTATATCACGGCGTGTCAGCTTAATGTGGGAGGAAAGCCCGAAGTGATGCAGGTCTCAGACGTTTACCACTTCGGTGAAACCCACGAGGCGAACTGGGACAAACCGGGATTCGAACCCACAATCATAGGTTTCTGGTGTGTTCAAGGGTCGCAGCTCTGCACAGAGAATCGCGGCTGACTGATTAATGAGTTGTGCCATGTTCTACTGACTGATTAACAAGCTGTGAGATGACACTCTTCTTCCCCTTCTGCTCTGCCGTGATCTGCTGTAGCCTGTTGGTGTTTTGTGAGACCGCCTGCTCCATTGTTTTGATGGTCGGCTGCATCAACTGCAGCTCAGAGGTCACATGATCTATTGCTTCATCACACTTCAAGATGGCCGACTCCACAGCTTCTATCTTTTTTGACTGTTAAGAATTCAAGAAAGAAGGTCAGATGCGGGAAATAGCTCCTTAGCATGCTGGCAAAGAAAAACAAAAGACAGAAAGACAAGAAAGCTTAAATGATGACATAATTACTTCCATTTCACAAGGAACATTTCATACTCATTAAAGATTTTGTTCTGTTTAGTTTACGTTTTGTAGAATGCACTATAAAGTAAGGAATCATATGAGTGAGTGAGTGAGTGAGTGAGTGAGTGAGTGAGTGAGTGAGTGAGTGAGTGAGTGAGTGAGTGAGTGAGTGAGTGAGTGAGTGAGTGAGTGAGTGAGTGAGTGAGTGAGTGAGTTGGGTTTAACACTACTTTGAACAATATTCCAGTTATATCACTGGGTGTCAGCTTGATAGCTTGTGGGAGGAAACCCCAAAAGTGAACCAGGTCTCAGACGTTTATCACTTTGGTAATACCCATGACAACGGGTATGTTCCTGAAAACCTGGAACCATATTCGAACCCACAATCATAGGCTTCTGCATTGCCCAAAGGATGTAACTGCACAGCGAATTGTGGTGCCTGAGACGACTGGGACACATGTGAGCCCCGGATGATGTGATGATGATGATGGAAGTACCCCTACCAGGTTGTTGATCATTTCCGGACCAGTGCTGCCCTGCACTGTATCATCCCTCTCCAGCTGTGCGCTGCTACTCTTCGTCTGCCGCTGTTGCAGTTTGTGTTTCTATCAACAGCATTACATAGTAAGTAGATGGCAAGTAAATGGAAAGAACATTGACAATGATAGAAAAATGGTTGGTTGGTTGGTTTGTTGTTTAACGCCGCACTCAGCAATATTCCTGCTACATGACGGCGGTCAGTAAATAATCAAGTCTGGACCAGACAATCCAGTCATTGACATCATGAGCTTTATCCACGCAATTGGGATTGATGACATGCATCAACGAAGTCAGTGAGCCTGATCACCCGATCCCGTTAGTCGTCTTTTACGGCAAGAATGGGTTGCTGAAGACCAATTCTACCCCGGATCTTCACGGGTCGATAGAAAAATGGTAACTTGAGATTTGTTCCTCAACCTCCAATAATTCTCCAGACATTAGATTTATTGTAACAAATCGTAAATTAACTTTGACTCCATATATAAAAGATCTGTTGTCATGCAGAACAGCCAGGTCTCAGAGGGACTGTGAGCATGTGTCACACTCCCCGTGGTGTTGGCTAGGTGAGAATATTTGTGTGAGGAGCGGAGCTAATTCTATAAATTAGGGTCTCATAATCTGCAGTATGTGTCAATGAATGAAAGCACTGACTTTAATGGTTGATTTATATTTTAGTGTTACGAAATGGCAATGTGTATTTTATTATTAGTGGTATGTGAGGATGAGTTATGTCCCTTTTTGACGGAAGTGAAAAAGAGAGCACGTTATGAGATGAAAAATGCGATGTGGTGAGATGTGTGGGCTTTGTGAAAACTATTGCATTACACATGAACTTGTCAAGTGAAAGTGTATGTTTGTGACGATGTGTTATGCTCTCATGAATCCTGACAATGTTGTTTAGTGGATCGACGACCGATCTCAGGAATAAATCCATAAAAATCCATGAAGTGTCTTGCATCCATGGCTACATCACGAAGAGCATGGAACATCATGCAGATGCGTGAAATAGGCTAAAACCACCAAATCAAGAACCGTTACACCGACAATAGCCGATTGCAATAAATTGAATCTCAAGTTCTTATGCTGCACCTTCTCCTCCAGTTCTCGCTTCTTCTCCTCCAGCAGCTGTTGCTTCTGTGTCAGCAGGGAGAAGCCTACAAGAGGGAGCATGTGACACGCTGATTGATTGGGTGAGTGAGTGAGGTTTTATGCCACATTTACTGTCTTTCCCGAAACCCTTTTGATTTTACTAACCAGTGTATTTTTACGTTTGGCATACATGAGCTGCATGTATTATCAGCTGAGAATAATAGCCAAAGACTAAGTGTCCTAGACTTATGCTTGGAACTTGTGCAGGGATGCAAAACTTTACTACCCTTAATAGTTATAACATATGTAGACACACCCTTAAAATCCTAAAATTCTACTAATGATCAGGATACCTCTCAACTTCAGCCAAACTTAATAGTTATAACATATGTAGACACGCCCTTAAAATCCTGAAATTCTACTAATGATCAGGATACCCCTCAACTTCAGCCAAACTGATAGGCCACCTGGGGTCCCTGTACCTACGGCAGCAATCATAGACGCCACTGGGATACACTCCTATGACATGAACAGCAACATGATGCATCATGGAGTAAAGTCTTGTAGACAATATGCCCATGAGAAAATATGACAGAAAACTACGATGCATATGGTGTCATTCACTTTCCTCGGCAGACTCGCACAGAGACTGAATGGCTGTCTTGACATCCTTTATTTCACTCTTGACATCCTGCAACTCTGATGAAGCTTCCTCTAACTCAGCATCTGTAATGGCCAACATAACCATGGTAATATCATCAAAGGGGCTTAACCCTGCAGCATCAAGGGCAAAATGATCTGCTGCGAAGAATTTCCCACTTTTGATTGCTTGAAACTGTGATTTTTTATTGCAGAATCATAATTTCAATTAGCCTGATAAGCAGATAAGCAGATTTTCAATATAGACTTGTGGACTTGCTATTAATATGGCGACTAAACTTTACATCAATGTATTTATGAGCCAGCAACAAACTGAATTTGGTTAAGGGGTGATCCTACCTTCTAAGTTCTAGTGCTGCATTATGTAACCTGTATCCTACGAAATATTGACCTATACTGCCCCATCTTCCTGAGGCAACGGCGTTAACTGACTATAAAAGTCCAGTTTCCACCCTTGCCGAACCAGGCTGGAATTATGGAGTGACATTTTGGCTGGACTAACGAGTCTATGCATAGTCCAATCAAAATCTCATAACGAAGTAAGCTCCCGGTTTGTAAACAGCATGGATTTCTATGTGCATATTTTGGTCGACTGCAGGATTTGCAAAACATGTGTACTGCCAGCTGGGTGTTGACAGATATTTTGCAAATCTTTTCATGTTTTTAATCAAGGCGCTCAAGTTATTTGATGCACTTTGCGGGTAAGACAATATAGATCTTGATTATCGAACAGATAGTCTTGACTAGGCGTTGCCATTTTGTTTGAAGCAAATGCAAGGGATATGAGATATGGAATCTGATTGGTCAAGAAGAGGGACACAGAAAGGACATAACTGGTAACTGGTGGCGCTCCAATCATGCCTGGAAAATCCAGCGTAGTTCGGCAAGGGTGGAAACTGGACTTTATAACACCCTTGCCTCGGGAAGATGATACTGCCCATATCTTTTGACAAAACCGGAACTGACAAAAATACAAACTTGGTGAAAACATATCTGCATTGTTCAAGTTTTAATTTAGAAACCAACAGGGAGGCAAATGGACAGACAGTATGGGGTCACTCTACTGACTTACAAGCATTTGAGTTGATAGCACCCATATACATGACATATCAAGAGTGAAATCTAGAAAAATGATGACTTCTATCGATCTTTGGAATCAGACTATAGAACACAGATGTGATAAAACACATGAAGTTACCAGCTTGCTCTGTAGTCAACCAATTGCTGGGATCCATGTACAGACTCTTAAGGAACTGCTTCTTGGCGTTCACAAAGAAATAATTTGTCTTCACAAACATCTTGCGCTGACAGAAAAAGAAAGAGAATTATGTTAATCCCAGTGACGAAGATGGCATGGGTGTATTTAGAATTAACAGCTTGACAAGGTTTATGATATGTAGGAACATGATGAGATAGGAGATGTGATTTGTGCCGATGACCAAGATGATTTCGTCTGTTTACTTGGTTTCATTGTCCTGTCAGTGGACATGATAAAGTACTGTTGTGATGAGACATTCCCTCACGTTCACTTCATCTTGTCCATACACATCGTCAGCCTTGTTACACATATTAAACTAAGGCTTAAAAAAAATGAAAATTAATTCTCAGGCAATGACTTTTGAAAATATAGTGTAGGCGGGCAGTGTTTTTCATTTTTTTCCTTGTTCAAACTAGTATGTAACCAAATAAACAGTTGTGTACCATCAACCTGGGAAAGGGCCTCCCTACATAAACAAGAATACAAACTCCTATTGCTACCATGACTATAACACAAGATGTAGCAGTCAAGCAGTGCCCATGTAAAGGGAAGTAAATGCATGCTTTATTGGATCGCATTGTTTTTATAAAGTATTAGCATTTTTAAATAGTTTTTGAAAATGGAAATAAAAACAAAACATGTGGCAGACTTAATGATGATATGGGCGGAGAACCAAGACTAGTATGTTTTTTAGCCTAAGAGTGTTCAGATATTACTGCCTAACTGGCAACAAGATACTGGGCAGGGAGCTATTTTTCCCCTTGTGTGAGCAATAACCCTCGCTGACAACAACACAATGTGAGATAATGGCTGAGAGCTTCTCTTTCTTGATGGTCACCCATGCTCACACTTTTCAGCATTAGGGCTGTTACGATTCACTCGCGTATTCGGTGAATCGAACCGTATCCATTCATGAATTGAATTCGTTTTTCGTTGCCATTAGAATTGAATATTTATGAATATGCAAGTATGTGCATTTACATACCCTGTACCTAAAAATATCCATAAGAACATGTGATATGCATAGATTTCTTCAAAGACTACACTCTTATAATATTTAATTTAACAGTATTGGGGTCACTGGTCATTGTCGCATTTGAGCAGATACTACTAACTGGATAAGTGCAGTATATAAATGTATAATATATTTGTAATTAACAAACCATGTCAAAAAATTTATGTTAATGTTTCACTGAATATAACAAATAATACATCAACTGCTGACTTGTTATTGTATTCGTGAATTAATATTCGTATTCATTACCCTATATTCGTGATACGAATCGTATTCACCTCATAGTGTATTCGTTACAGCCCTACTCAGCATCTAGTGTGACCACATCATCCACATTGTAGTAGCTTCCATTTTCAGTCTTAGGATGACAGGAAGAATAAAACAAAAATGTGTTTGTCCAATAACCATAATATTGATGACAGTCACATCCATGTAAATATTCCAGCTTGCATAACCATGGTAACTATAAAATAACAATACACACCTGCTGTACCAGCTCCATCTGTGCATACAGGCCAGGATCAAACTCGTCCTTCATCTTCATTATTTCCAAAACCTCAGACTCCATCTTATCTTGATCAATATCTGACGTAAACATGAAAATAATGAATAATACAGTTAACTACATTTATAACAAACATGCCTATAACGAACGACGGATATAACGAACTAAAATGAGTGGTCCCTTTGAGTTCATTATAACCAGAGTTTAATGTACTTGTCGACTGCTATCATGACTATAGCTCTCCATTGATCAACAACAGGATTTCTGTGACCAGCTTTTGACGATGAGATCCTTGTCTAGCTAATCATACAGATAGTTGTTATTCAACAGCGTTAGAAATTGGCACTAGTCCTGTAGTCCTTGCCAACATGCCCAACAGTTAAAGTATCAAAAGAACTAGTAGAAATTTGATTTTTTAAAAAGTTTTGCTCCTAATGCAATTACTGCTGTTTTTGGACAGAAAGTGAGTGAGTGAGTGATTGTGAGTGAGCATAGTTTTATGCCTCTTTTAGCAATATTCCAGCAATATCAAAGCGGGGGACACCAGAAATGGGCTTCACACATTGTACCCATGTCGGGAATTGAACCCGGGTCTTCGGATTGACGATCGAACTTGGACAGAAAGACAAACTTGTGAGAGGTCCAGCTGCTATAGAAAAGTTGTTCCAACCAGTAACTGTCAGCACCCTCACAGTCGGCATGTGACCTAGAAACGATGATGTCACATATGAGCACATTACTGCTTCAAACACAACCTCTGAACTTTGTGGGGAGGTAGCGCACATAGGGAGGGCACATACCGGTAGCCTAGTGGGATTCAGTTGTGGTAACCTGCTGTGCATATCGGAAATGCTAGGGGATCGTCGCTGGTGAGACCTCAGAGGTGGACAAACAAACTTCTCGCTGGCCACAAGGGCTCGACCAAAATCAGTATAATGTTCCGAGTCACCTGGATCTTTTGAAGAACCCTGGGAAGGAGAACCAGAGGCGGAAAAGCGTACCCATTTAATCCTTCCCCGGGAACGCTGAGGGCATCTACTTCCACTACCAACCCATCCGGGACCGGTGAGATGTAAGTTTTCAGTTGGCAGTTCTGGGATGTGGCATACAGATCAATGTTGGTGGGAGTCGATGTTTTGGGCAGATCGTGGTGAACAGGTCTGGGTGGAGCTGTCACTCGGTGGGAGCCACCTTGTCTGGTCTGGACAGAGCATGCACACGATTTATCTTGCAACCTGGCAGACTGTTCCCCAGGTCGAAAAAGCGGAAAGTCCGGATTAGCAGGGATGGAGAGCGGAGAGTTCCCACTGTGATGTTGTCCGTGGATATGGTCAACTGGGCGTGACATAGATTGCTCTGCCAGTGTGTGACGGCCAGTATAAGAGCTTCCAGCTCGAGGTTGTTGCCAACAGCCCTGAGACCGTGTGAGTCTCCAGGTGAGCTCCCCAGCTCCCTCCCCTGTTTTGATGTGTCAACGAACAGGTGGAGTGTGGGATGTTGCGCGGTCAAGGAGATGTAGCCGAAGTCATTTGATTCCAGAAACCACTGGTTAGTGGGCAGTTATCCCCTGGAAGTCAGGTCTTGAGCCGAGGTTAGGAGGCCTAAGAGCACCTGCCATTGGCAAAAGATTGGGCCTGATGCAAACATTAAAAGAGGGACCAGACCATGGTTGTCACAGGATGGATTTCTTAAATTTGGACTCCCATTCTGTAAGTCTTAAGAATCCAAGCTATCAGGACGTAGTGATTTCCGCCAGTGCGGCATACAAGTGGCTCCTCATAGGGTTGATCTGTCAGAGCTGGGACACTCTAGTCCGCAAGTGGTCGATCCGTTTGGATTAGACTCTGACAGATCCTGGTCTACAGGTCTTGAGGAGGGGGAGGTTTGGGTGAACGGTGTATCTCTGACCCAACAAAGACAGGTATCTGGCATGTGAATGGTGGTAGGTTTGGAAGACCCCCTCATGCGATGCAGGTCTTCATCCAATAAATGAGCTCCGATCAAAGAGTGAACAGGAAAATCATCCCTTTGAAAACGAGGAGCCTTGAATGATGGCGTGAGAGAGAGCTTGGCAGAGTCCTCATCTAAGGCCAAAGTGAGGACGGTCAACATGGGGTGGAAGAGACGTCGGGATAGACCATATCAAACATTTCTTGTCAACAGCGCAGCAGAGAAAAAGCGATCAGCCAACCACTCAGCAACTTGGTTCAATCCCAGGTGAGTGTCAATATTTGGAGAAGGAGGACCATAGTCGGGTTGCAAGGATCCCTCTGAAGTTTCCGAGCGGTAGTCACGATCCCCATAACGTATGGGTGAGCGACTATGGGAGCATGAGATGATCAAGGCCGATGACGGACGCAACAGTGGCACCGAAAAGGTAATTGTCGATGGTTCCATATACAACAAGAGAGGTGATGCAGGTGGAGGAGGCACAGAGGCCCCCAGTGGCGCCAGCGTCGTGGGCGCCAAGGTCTGTTAAACAAAGACTGCATCCAAGCCTACATCCAGGGTTAGGAATTGGCACTAGTCCTATAGCCCTTGCCAAACTGCCAAACAGTGAAGGTACCCTAAGGACTAGTAGTAATTTACTCTTTCAAAGGGTTTCAATTTATATGTTGTAGAAGCAAGCCTGTGATAGGGGGTCACCAGTGATGGGGATGAGGTCGTCGGTAAGGGTGACAGCATGGGTGATGTAGGGGACTGCAACGAGGTGTCGATCTCCATGGGGGAGGGAGCCTCTGTTGTGTCAGACATCCTGTGTTGTTGACGGGCACGTTGAATCTGATGTTTCCTGACTACTCTGAGGTAGAGGGTGAAGGCAGACAGTGACAAGGGACTGCAATAGCGTCCCTGTGATGTAAATTTTCAGGGTCCCGTACAGTCTAGGCAGAGTGTGGGGATCCTGGACAGATTTCTTCCTGAGGGAAAGGGTACAACGAGGCATAAATTCATAAATACTGTAACTCAAAAACGGAAAAGTTTATAAGAGAAAACAATTACGTAAAGGTAGTGAAGGAGCAAAGTTTTAAAAAACAGAAAACATTAGATAAAACAGAATAATGGATTACCCAAGCCAAATAAAAGAATTCAATACGCAAGACAAGAAATCGTGGCCACTTGGCAAATTCAAAATAGCGGATGGAACAGCAATATTCCCGCAATATAACCGTGACTAGAGCCACAAACGAGCGGGAAAACTTTAAAATATAAGTGCGGGAATACCAAAAAAGGTACAAACCATACACACAGTATAAATATATGAGCAAACAATGGTGTAAGAAACAAGCAAAGGATGCTAGAAACAATAGAGCTTTATTCAACAGAATACACGTCCGTCCGTGTAGACTGACAAAACCATTATGTGCTCTTAGGTGATGTCATCTCCTCCAAGTCACATGCCTACTGTGGGAGAGTTCTGCCAGTTACTGGTCCGAACAACTTTTCTATAGAAGCTGGATCTCTCACAGTTTGTTTTCTGTCAATAAACAGCAGTAAATGCATTAAGGAGTAATGCAGGAGTTAAAAAATTGTGCTGATTATAGTTACTGATTAAATACATCAAGTAAAGAGTTAGACCCAGTGAATTAGCAAGACGTCAGGCAACTGCGAAGATCCACTGCACTCTAGATCTTTCATTCATATTGTGAGTGAGTGAGTGAGTTGGGTTTAACGCCGCTTTTAACAGTATTCCAGTCATATCACGGTGTATCAGCTCAATGTGGGAGGAAAGCCTGAAGTGATGCAGGTCTCAGACGTTTACCACTTCGGTGAAACAGACACAAGTGTTGGTACGCAGTTTTATTGTAAATATGTTTTCATCTATTTGAGGTCCTTTAACATGTTTTATTTCTGTAATATTATTTTAAGTTGTTAGTTTAATATCTTGTGTGGGCTTAATTCTGGATTAGTTTACTTATATTAGTTATAAAGTAAAGGGTGGTTGGGTTAGTCCATGTTTGTGTCATTGTTTCTTCTTTAGAAGCCTTGTTTTCATTGGCTTGTTCACACTGTGCACTTTTCATCCATCTTGCACTTGACACAACACCACTTTGGAAGTCAGCTACCATTTTGGACAGTGACAAAACTTTGAATAAACAATTTGATCATTAACAGTGATTACGATTAGTAACATAGAATTGCTAGCTAATATCTATTTACCGATAGATATCTAATATGACTGATGTTTTCTAAGTTATGTGTAATGTCATTTCTGTATCTCTAAAATGCTTATCTTTGGTATGCTGATTGTGTTGCAATATTGCCAAGTTACGAATAAAATAAGGCTAAGTAAACATTTTAAATGCTTCTTATCATTCTTCTGCATTTCTGTGGGTGAATGTTTACTGAGTGTATGCATAGATTTTTACAATTGTGTAAATACAGGATTTGTATGCAATGTCAAACATTGTATAATAGTCTGTAGTTAGTATGTTTAGTAAGGATTCAGCAACATTTTCTCTAATGCTTTAATTGTATAATATAATAGTTGGTTGTATGTATAGATATCTGCTGATAGCTGCATAGGCGGCTGCTTTGAGAGTGTCACCCACCGGGTACGGGTAATAGTGTATCATGCCAAATGCATGATCAGTTACTGTCATCATAATTATAGGGTGTAAATAGTTGTGGTATCTAACTCGCTTTCGCTCGTCAGATACCTGAACTATTCACTCATTTCATAAAATTGGTATTACACTGGAGCTCGTTTAGTATTCTATATATAGGTGTAGTGTACTAGTGTTCTTATAATGTTATTGTTTTGTACATTACAGGGTGTCAATATCTCTTCTACTGGTAATAAAGATCCTCACACCTGGAGCCTGCTTTGGACATTTTGCTTCCCACCACAAACCTGTTTACAATATCACTAGCTCTCAGAGTTAGAAATTGGCACTAGATCTATCTGGTCCTACTGGCTATAGACAAACTACTCAAAAGTTAAGGTATCACTAGCAGAAATTTGCTATTATTTAGGGTTTTGCTATGTAGTATCATTATAAGGATAGTGGACGAAAACGGTTAGATTCTATCGCTGAGCTCCGGGTAAGCTAACATACTGGCAGCTGTCAACATGTTGGAGGGATTTTGATCAAATCGACAAAAGCTGTGGATCAATATTAATATGGATCCCTAAATCTAAGTCAGAATTATATGACGTTATACCATTTGGTAGATAATAGTGACAATGGCAATGACAACTGATTAACATTAGCAAGTTATTTCAGTTACAGTTACAATAAGGCCTGATTTAATATTCTCACCACAGAATGCAGAGATTTTGAAGTTTGGATATGGCGCTCATCCGAATCACTTCCGGTGTACCTACAGTCTATTGTCGATAACAATTGTTAAATATAAGTTTAGAAATAAAACAAAATATGTTCGTCAAAATGTAAAATTACAATGTTTATATTTGTTATTAAGTTTTGTACCCATATATCTTATTTTCTGAACGTTAAGTGCAAGAATTATTATACGTATATTTATTGCTTAGTATTACATGAACTTCCGGTAAAATGGCGGCTACCATGAAAACCAAAAAACAGCAAATGTTAAAATGTTTGCTTTTCGTATACGGTTGATGATGCTTGACATAACTTAACATGACAACAAGCGACGATCTCAGTGATTCCGATTCCTTTCTGTCTAAAGAAAAATCTTCCGGCCACAAAAATAAACGTAAACATAGTAAACACAAGAAGTCAAAACGTAAACACCACGAACGTGACAGGGAAAGGGAGCGTAGCCCGGAGTACCACGACCGTCATTTATCTCATACAAGACATCGATCTTCGGATGAAGACAAGACGTACATTGACAAAAGCAGCAGATACAGAGATGGGCATCCGAAAGATAGCAGAGAGCGAGATGTCGACGGTAGCAGTAGATACAGAGATGTGATTCCCAGTGCTAGCAGTAGATACAGAGATAAGCATCATCATGATCATGAGAAGCCTTCCCCAAAATGTAGGCAAAGTGTTGTTGAACTTGAAAAAACAAGGAATATTTCTGCAGACAAAAACAGTGATGTTAAAAGTGAAAGGGTGTATGAGACAAAGTATAAAGACAAAGATCATCACTGTAAAAAAACTTCATTAAATTCTGACTCTGAAGAAGAGCAGCAGGACTCTGACTTTGATTTCACTCAGCATAAACCATCTTTGAACAGAATATTTTTCCGAGATCAGGACTTTATAAAAAGGTAAGTACAGAGAACACAGTGAAACCTCCAAACCGCCTCTTAATCATGTTAATGTAAGATTAATGTTTGTCATCTGGGTCACACGTAGTACAATAATAGTGCACTTCTTTTTTATGTACTCAAACAAGTACACAGATACAAATTTAGAACAGTGTTGTTCAAAATGCATGTGCTTGACAGATGCCTGTGCGTATACCAGATGATCCATATAGCCACGGAGATTCGTACCCATCGAAAATGGCTAACTCGTACCCAAACATGTTAAAATTCCCTCTCCAATCTGTACCTTATTTAGGGCGTTCATATTTTATTTGGCTGATTTGTACACTAATTTGGACCACTCATACCCATTTATTTTCATATTTGTTGCATGTATAATGGGTTGGTACTAATTCACATTTTCTGGCATACATTTTGGGCACTTTTAATTCAGTACTTTCATAGACACTTTCACAGAAATCATTAGCATTTTATTCATAGCTCTATATTTACACATTTTAACATTTTGGGAACTTTTAATTAAAAACTCCATACGATTATATACTAGTACATTGTAGTTCTAGACAGATTTTCCAGAAATTAAGCTATTGTTTCATCATGTTCATGATGACATCTGGGTCACAATAGTATCTACAAGTGTCAAATATCCTTTCATTGCAACAGATAACAATAGAAGCTAATAATGTTTAAGTTATAGAGATTTTCATTGTGTACTTCTATGATTTTGGGGTAGGAGTCATCCAGCTGATTAGGTATGGGTGGGTATGAGTTATCCAACACTTGTGTACAAGTACACCAAAGTGTACAAGGTTGGGATCTCTGTGCCTACAGATTCTTCAGTTCCCGCCTGTGCCATGGGTTCGCGGCCTTGAGCGGAAAGTGAAAAGTTCAGTTTGTGTGAACTGTTCATTATGGAGATATATTGTCAGTGGAACTCAAGTATTTTGTTGTTGCTCTAAGACAGAAAGAAGACTTGTGACAGAAACGTATCAGGATAGTCATGGCTTTGCTTGACAAAATACTGTCACTCGTCCTCAATATATTATATTAAATATTTCATCAGCTTGTGATTCTTATCCTTCCCATGGTTTTGACACATAGATTCACATTTTTCCGGAATTTTTCTTGATAGAAATTGCATTAATGGGCAAGTAAAGTCAACTTAGTAACTTTGCTTATTTTTTGGTGGCGCTACAATCGAGCCTTGAAATTCCAGCCTAGTTCGGCAAGGGTGGGAACTGGACTTTTATAGTCAGTTAACTGCCTTGCCTCAGGAAGATGGACCAAAATTTGAAAAAACCTGAAAATTATGTGAAACAGACGATAAAGATCGACAGATGAAATAGTCCCAAATAGTTCTTCCTACTTGTCCAGCACCTATTGTTATAGGTATAAATTCACCTGAGTGTGGTTATTGGTAACCATGGTAACACAATAGGGGATTATGACATATCACATATGACTAATTGTTAATATCTCACAAAATATAATGACTCAACTACTTGGTAAACTATATTTGCATACACTGTGAGTGAAAACCTTTGAAATATACATCAATGCGTGAGTGAACATATTAATAATTTAGTACAATGCTTTAAAAGGCAGTACAGACAGGAAACAGAATTCCACTGTGCAAATGCACAGGTTGATAAACCGTTTATTCTCAATTCTAAGAGGGGTTGGCACTTTTTTTTTGCTGAATACAAGTTAACGATTAAAACCTGACGTCAAACTTCAATTCATTGGAAATGTTCCCAAAGAGGATGCCCGACTACCATGAACATCAAAGATGACTTTGTCGCAAAGCAAAATAATATATCACTGGGTCGACGTCAACAAATCGTCTCAAGGGGTGGCATCCAAATCTGTACAAATTGTTTGAGATACTGCAGGTTGAGCAGAGTAATACTGCGATTACAATCCAGTTAGTTTGATGCCATCTAAGAAGAGTGAGCGAGCATGGTTTTACACAGCTTTAAGCAATATTCCAGCAATATAACGGCGGGGGACACCAGAAATGGGCTTCAAACATTGTACCCATGTTGGGACTTGAACCTGGATCTTCAGCATGACGAGCGAGCGATTTCACCACTAGGCTACCCAATCGTGCCCCCATCCAAGAAGAGGTGAAATGAGGTTTAACGTCACGAACCCCTGACCTTCCGCTCTCCGGGCGGGCGCTCTACCATTAGACCACGGAGGCGGTCCCATCCAAGAAGAAGAAGTTTCAAAACCTTGACCATTCCAATGAGAGGGAGAAGAGACAACTTCTCGCCAACCATTCACCAGTTCACAATTATCACATTGTTGAATGGTCTTAAGTACATTATCTATATCCTGAGTAAAAACTAAACTAAAATTATTATTTCATACTTTTTTATTATATAAAACATGTAAACATTAGTACACTTAAATTTTGGAAGAAAAAAAAAAAAAATTATTCTCATGTTTCTTTTAAAACTGGGCCAAGGTTATCATGGTTACTGCGGTAAAAATGTGTATATGTTTCATCTTGAGTTTCTGCAAACCATCAACCCACAATTTGCCTGTCCCAGACTTATTGGCTGTGGTAATACTGACATTGCAAGTATATTGCTGAGTCTGCATGAAACAACATTCATTCACTCTCCATGCTCTTGCATTCCCCGGCCGCGTCATACCAAAAGACGTTAAAAGATGGTATTTGTTGCCCTGTCTGGCGCTCGACATTAAGGGGCTAAAACAAGGACTGGTCGGCTCGGAGTCAGTATACTGTGTCTGAGTGGGGTATTCATGTTAAACTGCGGCATGGTATCTCAGTGAGCTAGCACTATAAATCGGCATCAGTCCGGACTAGTACAAGCAGCAACAAACACACACACGTGCATGCACGTCGCTTTATAAGTGCAATAATCTTGGACGGGACGTTAAACCCAATTTCACCTCACCTCACCTTGCTCTTGCATGTCAAGTGTCTCTGTTCGTGTTATTACCTTCGAGGGCTGCATCTTGTCCTAACTGACAAGGAAATGAAACTAGATCGTGAGGATAAAGGTGATGAAGCTGTTTGGGCATCTTTTATATCTTCCCATTTGTTTCATTGGATTGCAGAGGAACTAAAGAGTATGATGATTTTTGGGCATTCCTGGTCAAATATCAAGCATTCCAACGGAAGAAGGCAGCCAAGAAACAGTGTATGTATCTATACCATGATGTTAGAGCACATTTGTGGAGTGGTTCTTAACAAAAGTGAATATTAGTAGATTCTATGTCATGTATATCATATGGCTGGATATTTCAGATGGGACGTTATGGCTTAACTCACTCCAAAATGTTTATTTGCTCTGCTCAGTGTATGACTAGTTTAAGAAATAGTATGAGCTGGCAATAATGGTAACGCTATGTTATCTAAATATGCCATCATGCTTCATGTGCTGTTTGTATGTTCAGATTAGGGAAAGCAGGTTATAACTACGGTTATAACGGACTCAAAGGGACCACAAATTTTAGTTCGTTATAACCGTAGTTCGTTATAAGCATTTACAATATATATACAGCAAATGGCCGGGACCCAAAAAACAGTTCATTATATCCGCCAGTTCATTTTAAGCGTGTTTGTTATAAACGTAGTTTACTGTAATTTAATGTGCCCTTGGTTAAAAATACAGAAAATATGAAGTCCTGGGCCCCATTCAACAAAGCGATCTTAGTGCTATGATGATCGTAAGCCTATGTTAAAGTATGGGACTTACGATCACCTTAGCACTAAGATCGCTTTGAGGAACAGGGCCCAGGGCCCCATTCAACAAAGAGATCTTGCGCTACAGCGGTCGTAAATCCAGTGATTTTGAGACAAAAGTCAATGACTTGGACCCAAGAAATGTAATAAGTCAATGGCAAAAGTCAATAAGTCAAATTAACAAAGAAAAATTGGGCATAGCTTCCGCGAACCCGGCTATCAGAAACATGACAGTCGTTTTGTGTGTTTTAAATATAGGTTTATTTAACTTATGTATCATCTTGACATCATGTGTTGTATTCATGATTTTAATTACAGCTAAGAGTAAAACATCCACCAGACAGGAAGACGAGGGAAGGCTTGGCCTGCCACGAACGTACGACAACCGTTACCGCATCAACCTGTCACTGGTCAGCAAAGATGTGGAACTTTTCCTCAAGAAGGGGCGACTTGTCGGTGAGTTATCAATGGAAGCTGTGACCTGTGAAGCTGTTGGTTAGAATTGGTCTTCAGTAATCCATTCTTGTAAGAGGCGACTAACGGGATCGGGTGGTCAGGCTCGCTGACTTGGTTGATGCATGTCATTGTATCCTAATTGTGTGGATCATTGCCCATGATGTCAATCACTGGATTGTCTGGCCCAGACTCGATTATGTACAGACCGCTGTCATATAACTGGAATATCGCTGAGTGCGGTGATAAACAAACATACAAACAATGGAAGCTGTGCTGACTTTGACAAATATGCTGGTCCACTAGGCAAATGACAGAAAACATTAATCTGTGCAACTATAGAATCAAAGAGGATTGACCTGGCTAGTGGAAAGTATGAAAAGTCCTTTCTTGTTTCCCTTCAAGAGAATAATGGGTTAAGAATCAGTGAGTTATTGCAAAACGTACTCAATCTAATGGTTGTACTTTTGTTGTCACATGATGTGCCACTGACCATGATGCATCTGTGTGCAGAGATTCTCCCGTTGTGCATTGATTGTTTTGATTGTTTGGAACACATCCCGACATTAAAGCTTTTGGTTCATGTAAAGCAAAATCTTTACCTGTCATTGTAATGCATAGCTTCTCACCAATACATTTCATCAATTAAAATCATTATGGCATATGTGAATGTAGTCACTGTCATGGCAGCAGTAGATTGTGCTTGGTTTAGCTATATCTTCTGTTTTTAAGTATTTGTCCAACAAACACTTTGTAACTATTACATCTCTGATGGGGCTTCCTTCCATGGATGAAGTGAACTGGCTCAATATAATTAATATGAGACGTTCGTATCGTCAGCTCATAGGTTTTTGGACATCATACGTTTTCGGACGGCCATGGTTATCGTGATTACTCATGCTATAACGGGGGGTGTAGCATCACAGATACATTGTAAATATTCAGATGATGGCTTGTTTTTAAGAGAAAGTTGTCTTTTATAAGCAAATGAGATGTTTTACAGTTGTTCATGTGATTACAGAGAAAACTATGAATGTTTCTTAAGCGTCCGAAAACCCATAACACATGAGATATTTATCTCCTATATGGCATGTGACCAGGGTCAAAGGTATTGACACAGGATTTTATGAATGTGAAGTAAAACAACTAGTAATCAATGCCCGGTGTAACAGATCATTGATATTATCGGCCATATGTACGAACACTTTGGTTCCTTGCTGCCAGACTACGATGTGGGTCGAGACCTGACCCGGGAGAGAGTGACCAAGTTCAAGGGCATCCTGCTTCACTACCTGGACTTCCAACAGAAACAGAAGGTGAGCAAAGGTAGAAATGTCCCCAGACACTGCATGTGCTCATGCAACACCCACGGGATTGCATGTTTTTGTGTCACATCTTGTTTATGTTTTTAAGGTGTTTGTACTATCAGGTGTACCTTGTTTTTAGCAGTCATATTTATAACTCTAATTATCCCATGTATTTAGTGAAATTGAAAATAGTTGGCATATTTAGATGAGCTAGCAGTGAGCTAAGTCTGTTTGACTGGTTTAGTCACATTTAGTTTTACTTGTAGGACATTATGATGTAAGTGTCTCTATTCGAACAACCCATGTGACCTGTGAAGATCTGGGGTAGAATAGGTCTTCAGCAATCCATTCTTGATGTAAAAGGTGACTCTGCTTGTCGTAAAAGGCAACTAACAGGATTGGGTGTTCAGGCTTGCTGACTTGGTTGATGCATGTCATTGATCCCAATTGCGTGGGTTGATGCTCATGATGTCAATCACTGGATTGCATGGTTTAGACTCGATTATTTACAGATTGCTGTCATATAGCTGGAATATTGCTGAGTGCAGCTTTAAACAACAAACAAACAAAGAAAAAACCAAGGCTCTGTGACTAAGCTGATTGCGTGTCGATCGTAACCCGATGGTGTGGGTCGCTGCTCAAGCTTTGATTTGCCCTGTCCAGTGTAGATTGTTTACATTCCACCATGTATGTTATGTAAATCTGCTGACTGCGGTAATTAACAAACATGCACTGGCTTACTCTATTCCATCAGTTTACCAAGTTGAAGAAGATCCGTGCAGACCAGGAGAACTTGCCCATCTTCCAGTACAAGACCATGATCTGTGGTATGGTGAAGCGCCATCAAGTGGTGGTTGTCGCCGGGGATACAGGGTGTGGCAAATCCACACAGGTATGTAACGCGTAGATAAACATAAGTCGATATAGGGGGGGATGCAGACGTGTGCATAAACGTCAAGGTGGATCTAGAGGGGGTACTTCAGTCAAGGTGGATCTAGAGGGGGTACTTCAGTCAAGGTGGCGGTCAACAACAATAGTCCAGTTACTGCTTCTGTTGTGTTAGAGGCACAGTGGAACTGGTGTTTCGGTCCTTTTTGTTTTATAAAAAAATTTATTTGTTACATTTCATATTGTTTTTACAAAACATAAAACTGTGACTTCGATGTTAGAAAAATAGTGTATGACATGATGAAGAATATTTATAGAATCTGTCTAAATTCCCCCTCATCATGCTCATAACTGCTGTACATTTGTTTTGATGAAGTACTGGTAATACTACTTTAATTCATTCTGGAAGATCTGGAACGATGGAATATCCTTTGTGTCTCTATGGGAGAAAATTAAGTTTTTGCAAAGAATAATTATAAGTTTTAATGGGTCCTTACTTCTGAATTGGTATCCAAGCAAAACATGTCGTTTGGTGATATTTGATATGATTTGGTGATATTTGGTATGATTTGAGTGCTGGTATTTAGCCCAAGTTCCAGTGCTGTCCAGATGGGACTCAGTCCTGTAGCCAACTGCATGTTCACAGTGGGCACCCAAACTAAAGATTTGTATGAGCTCATGTCATGGTGGGTGGTGTGTCACCAGTCTGACAGCAAAATTTGCAATTTTATCTTATCCTGATTCAAACTTATTGCTTTTCTCTACTCATTTCCGAAAGGTAGTGGAAACTTACTGAATTGTGTTCCAGAACAGATTACTTGTCACCCTCTCCTTTTTTGTGTGAAACAAGTGGTTGGGGAAAATTTCCTGAGCTTTGTAATTTGAGCTATCCTATCAAAATTAAACTTTGTTCATAATTCGTTTTTGCTAAGATTATATTCTTCTAACCTTCAACTATTATCTAAAGAATATTTTTTAATTTTGGCCCAAATATTTCTCCAAACTTTGGCTTAAATAAGTTAAAATGTGACTTTATTTTTTTTCTATGAAACCTTCTTCCTTTGAGAAAGATGTCAAGGCCATTGCTCAGACACAAACCTTCACGCAGATGCATTCTTCATGCAGACTAGACCTTTGCATACATGAAAGAATGCCTTTGCGAAAGAATGCTATACCTGTGTCGTCATCAAACACTGCTCTGGGTGCTAGACTAATGCAACATGCGCTATTAAACATGCAACTGCATGAACCTGCACACAACCTGGCCCCTCCACACTTTTGTCTGAAGGGATCTCTCAAATCATCGGTGATCCCCCAGTCTGATATTCAAGGTTGGTACAGATCAGGATACGCCCTCACCATGGAAACATTCAGCTAACGTTGAACCAACACCAATTAGACGTGGAGAATTGGCAGGATAACTCACCAAACTCTCACCATGAGGCTTGGCACTGATGCAACGTTTATGAAGTTATGGTCATTGATCTCAAGATCGATACCCGCATCGAAACTGAAAAGATCCAAACGCTACCAACTACCTTGACATTCGACTCAGTAGTCATGTACTACCAGGTACCCAAATTCCAGAATCACCATCCATAACCTTCATCATTCTCACCTAGTGATTCAAACCCTGCTGTGGTGATTGCAGTACATTATCGCTTTCGCCATATCTGTACCAAGATGATCTGTCATTCATGGACGCTCAAGACAAGATAGACATCAACTGGGCAACTTCACCAGAATTATTGGCAAAGCTTCGTCACCTCGATGTTATAACGGGAGTGCTCATGCAACACCCACGGGATAGAATCCATCACCTTTTCATCAAACTACATGTCAACATAGCGATGATCAACCCGGAGGGACAAGTAGTCCCTCATTTTTGAGGATTGGAATTGGTGCAAACAGACCCATTGATGTGGCATACGCTCCAAATGTTCTCTACACTCCTTCAAACCACAATTTTCTGACAACACTTCGTATGATCATTCAGACCGAAGAATGTATGCAGCCTCGATCTACAAGATGCAGCTTACTTTCAACGGCCGCTATGTCAAGACTGTAGCAATTGGCTGGGGAGTGCACTTTTTACATCCAAATGGGACCAGGCGTGTAGAGAAACACAATCTTCCATCTCACCATGGGCCGTCCACGGCATTGGGTCCCACAGCTCAAACACAAGTTCTAAGAACAGACAACTCACCCCTGGCCTTTTACATCAATTTCCAAGAATGATAGGATCAGCGACCCTTCTGGGATTAACATGTCAACTGTTCACACTAACAGACAGTCACAACTTACAAATAAAAGACATCTATCTCGGCCATCCAAACAATCTCCAGCAGAATGGATGCTCCATCCCTAGGCATTCCAGGGAGAAAGGTTTCCTGTCAATAAACCTATTTGCAACAAGGTTCAACGAACAGTTATTGCTGTTCATCTCACCAGTACAGGACCCACTAGCTTGGGCCGTTGACTCCCCGGCGATATCTTGGGAAGGGCTACACTTTTATGTGTTCCCACCACCAGCACTAATACCGCTGATTATTCTGAAAATCAGACAGACCAACACCCTATTACTGTTTTTAAATAGGAACATATCACATTCAACCTCACTAGAAGGGGATATTCTGACAGAAGCCAAGGCAGTCTCCATAGCCCTTCGCAGATCTCTGAGGAATTTATACGAAGATAAATGGAAGAGCTGTGACCTGTTTGCGACCTATAAAGGTGTTACGACAGCCAACGCTACCCTACCACAAGTAGCAGAATTCCTTTTGTCACATGCAAAGAACAAGGAATCTCAAAGGTTCAACATTAAGTACTTATCTTGTTATAATGTTATACTGTTATATACAAGGAATATTGCATACAGTTGTGTCAGGATAAGTATATAAATAAGTGGAATACTCTGATTCCCTATGTTTGTGCCTATTAACGAGTTATTTCTGCTTCAATGATTCTGACATTGTAAAGTGTTTTTATTTTTCAATACTGTACTGTTTCTTTGAAAAAATGTAATCAATTTGTTACCATCGTGTGAGATAGGGTGTGTGCTATGACTTATTTCTGTTGTCGCCCTGCCGTGATATTGCTGAAATATTGCTGGAATATTGCTGAATGTGGCATAAATCCATACTCACTGAAGCGGCATTACTCGCCCATTTATCTGAGGCTCTATAATTTGCTGTACAGAGTTGCGTCCCTTGTATGCTACACAATCCAATGCATGTGAGTTCTGTCTAACAATCGCCTGATTAGGATTTGATCTATAATTACCATACCTGTCCTTGTTGGTTCCACCAATGTGGATAAAGTCAGGGTCATACATCATGTGTAGCTTTCTTCCCACTTCAAGCTGACACACTGTAAGATACTGAAATGTTGTTAAAAGCAGCATTTAAGGCCGTCTCACTCGCTGTTATCTCAGGTGCCGCAGTATCTGATGGAGGCAGGGTTCGAGAACATCGCCTGCACACAGCCGCGGAGGATCGCCTGCATCTCTCTGTCAAAGCGAGTTGGCTATGAGACCCTCAACGAGTATGGCTCGGCTGTAGCCTTCCAGGTAATTGATAGCCAGGAAACCATGTCAGATATGTTCCCAGCTTTCTTCCAATTCAATCCTATTAACAACATTCCGTTCTAATGCAATAGTGAAAATATTCACCCCTAAAATCCAAAGAGAGCATTTTACATTTTTAGTAAGGCTTAAAAATATTGGTCCTCTGGCAATGGTGTTTGAAAATATAGTGCCAAATAAACAGTTGTGTAACCAAATAAACAGTTGTGTAACCAAATAAACAGTTGTGTAACCAAATAAACAATTGTGTAACCAAATATAACCAAATAAACAATTGTGTAACCAAATAAACAGTTGTGTAACCAAATAAACAATTGTGTACAATCAACCTGGTAAAGGGCCTCCCTACATAAATGTATTCCTTGATGAGCAAAATACCGGAATCCAGATTTTGATTACCGTTGGACTTTGTGTTTATAAAAATGGTTATTAAAAACGAAACATGTGGCAAACTTTACGATAATGCGGGCGGTGCCTGAGAACCAAGACTATTAGTTTTTTCATCTAATACTGGATATCAGCATCTACAGATCCCTGTGTCATGCATGTACCAGAAACACGTTCAGTAATTGTGACTTACACATGCACTATCTTGACTAGTTAAACTCATGTTTCAAAGTTGCCATGAGTCGATGTCTTACAGAGTGTAAACAATATTTTTAACCCCCAAGTCTCTTTATTTGTGGAGTTTGTTGAAGAGTTTATTAATATTGTAGGGCCATTGTAAAATGCTAGATATTCAACCAATCTTCTTTTTTCAAAGGATTCACAGAAGTATCTGTTTAGTTATTAAAATTACCTGCTATTATGGCATTTACTTATGACTAGCTGTAAAAGGCGACTATGCATTTTGTAAGAGGCGACTGACGGGATCGGTTGGTCAGGCTTGCTGACTTGTTTGATGTCATCTTATCCCAATTGCGTGGATCGATGCTCGTGATATCAATCACTGGATTGTCTGGTCCAGACTCGATTATTTACAGACCGCTGTCATAAAGCTTGAATATTTAACTCACTCATACAAGTTGTTGGGACTGGCATTAATCCTGCTGAGACAATATCAATGAATATTTTTACCTGTAATCTCATACAAGTTGCTTGATTCCAGGTGCGCTTTGAGAAAAGCAAAACAAGAGCCACTAAAATCCTCTTCCTGACAGAAGGTAAGGACATGATGGAGATGCTGGGCTAAGGAGAGGAATAGGTACAGTTGTATAGTTGTGTGGTCAAAGTTAGGAGATGTAATCATACAGCTTGTATAGAATTAAGTGTGAGTGAGTGAGTGAGTTTGGGTTTTAGCAATATTCCAGCAATATCATGGTGGGAGACACCAGAAATGGACGTATAGAATTAAGGAAAACAATCCACTGACCACCAGGCCCAGATAGTGTTGAAAAGAAGTCGTCCTTCCCATGTTCCCCACAAAAACAAACAGGACGATTTGAGTATGTCAAATATTCCACCAGTGCCGTTTCTTTGTTAGTGGAATGTCAGTAAGTAAATCAATAGACAGCTACAAACAAGTATCAGAAAGACAGGGTTACCCACTGGCCAACCAGGACACTGACTTGATGAGTGAGTGAGAGTATGGTTATATGCCGCTTTTAGCAATATTCCAGCAATGTCACAGCGGGGGACACCAGAAAGGGGCTTCACACATTGTACCCATGTCGGGAATCGAACCCGGGTCTTCAGCATGACGAGCAAACTCTTTAACCACTAGGCTACACCACCGCCCCCACTGCCTTTATGACAGCAGGTGCCCTCTGCTATTGCTGTGAGCCGTGGGCCAACGGACCAGCAGTTAAGTTGACTGCTGCTTTAGTATATATTAGTGTTGCAGAGAACAGTCTAGCTCTCCCCTGAAGTACACAACTCCACAGCTTATGCTGTTGTATTTTCTGTTTCCAGGACTGCTGCTGAGACAGATGACATCTGATCCTTATCTGAAACAGTATGATGTCATTGTGATTGACGAGGTAGTGTAGAGTCTCAATGTGGAATCCCTGTGTGGGGACATTGTACTGATGGTCCATTAGTGATTAGTTGTAGTTCACAAGGTATGACTTTGATGATAGAGCATCATGGTACTCGGACTGTTACAGAATGTTACAGTTGGGGCTGGGATGGGTCAAAATTTCCTACCCGGGTACCCACCACCCTATTACCCTACCCTATCTTGGTATCCACTGAAGATATTTAGAGATAGGTACAAACTGTCCGATTTGGAAAAGTTTGACCGTAGCCCTGGCAAAATACATTTAGATACATGTGTAAAATGATCCGCTCATGCATACACTGAAGTTTGATGCTTGAAGTTTTATCTTTATTCAGACATATAAAAGTTAGGAGGAATGGGTGCATTGTCAGAAAGAAATGGGAACATATGTGACATTTAGTGTAACCATAGACTTTTAGATAATTTTTGTCATTAAACAATATATACTGAACCAAATTAAAAACTTCACAATCCTAAAATTTAACATTTTGACCAGTTATCATTGTGGGCCCTAATTGTGTATTTAAACAGTAATGGCCACGTATTGTCTTCAGATAACACCCGTTTTTGTGCAGGTGAATTGATCAAAATCATGTGCACAGCATTATAGTGGCAAAAGTGTTTTTTCACGTGCAACTGGTCACGTGGCTATAATACCGCACCTGTTTTCAGCCATACTTGTAAGCAGTCATTAACGAAAAAAGAAAAACACAAGAAAATAAATGTCTTTGCAGCCATTTGTCACGCCACGCCTTTCAAATAAGCAACGTGAACGTGCCATCGGCATGTTGCAGACGGGAACGTCCGTAGCTGAAGTCGCAAGGACGATGGGTCTTAGTCAACGGACTGTTTATGATTTACAGACGCGTCTACAGCAAACGGGTACCACCACTGATCGCCCTTGGCCAGGTCGACCACGTGTCACCTCCGTAACCGATTTTTGACGGCTTCATCAACCAGAAATGAACTGTTTAGGAGTAGACTGAGTGCGCAAACTGTTCGAAACCGTCTGAGAACTGCTCACCTTCAAGCACGACGGCCATACTGCGGGCCGATTCTGACTCAATTACACAGACGTCAACGTCAATTGTGGGCACAGCGACACTTACGATGGACTCCGAGGAATTGGAATCAAGTCGTCTTCAGTGATGAATCCCGATTTAATCTTCGATTTGCTGATGGTAGGGCGAAGGTGTGGAGGTGCCGTCATGAACGTTAAGCCCGGTGTTGTGTACAGGAAGTTGACAGATTTCGAGGCGGAAGTGTCATGGTGTGGGGTGCTTTCTGTGGCAGGGCATGTTCCAGGCTTCTTGTCATCCGTGGCAACCTCAACGCTGCTGCTTACCGCGACCAGGTACTGGCACCAGAACTTCTGCCTTTTATGGCAGCACATGGACCCGGTTTGATCTTCCAACACGACAATGCCAGACCCCACACAGCAATTTTGACAAGGAATTTCCTTCAGAATGCAGGAGTCAACGTTATGGACTGGCCATCAAGGTCTCCCGACCTCAATCCCATCGAACACGTGTGGGATGCTCTTGGCAGAAGTCTGCGCACTCTCCAGAACCAACCACAGAATTTGCAAGATCTTGGCACCATTTTGCAGCAACAATGGCGTCATCTTCCCAATCATGTGTTCACAAGCATCACAAGGTCCATGCGGAGGTGTTGTGTGGCAGTTGTCAACGCACATGGTGGCCATACACGCTACTGAACTTGTGTGCCATCATGCTTGGGACTTATGATTTAAACTGTTAATGTTATTACCGAATACCGTAGGTGCTTGGAACAAATTATGGTTACCACCGTTAATTAAAATCCTTCTTTGGACATTTATGATTAATAATTACCTTCTCTGATACATTTGTCCGTTGTATATCATATATGGGTTTACTTTTAAAAATGTGAAGTTTTTAATTTGACTCAGTATATATCATGTGACTAACCATGGGTCTGGGTAGTCCTGTGGGTACCCGGGTCCTACTCAGGACCCACCCGACCTGAGTACCTGAGTTACCCGTCACAACCCTAGTTACAATACTATGATACATCCGTGCTTCACATGGTCAGGCTACTTTGATGTAGCTTGAAAATTGTAGACATTCTCCATGTACTTAACATGGTTGGATTCCATAATCATTTTAACTGTAGGCATACCAGGATCCTGTTATTGTGGGGATAAATCCAACATTCAGATTGATCCTTGCTTTGTCTACACCAAAGCTGTCCTTAAGCACACATAACTGAAATACTTTTAAAAGTGGAACAAGTCAATCACTCACTCACTCAGGGTTTCCTGGATGGTAGAGCTCCTGTCAGTGATGTAAACAGATAGGTACAAGCTATGCGATATTTTTCAATCTTGTATAAAATGAGGTGAGGGTAACTGATGGTGTTTGTAGGTTCACGAGCGTCACATCTTCACGGACTTCCTGCTTGGTGTGCTCAAGTGCATGCTGACACAGAGAGAGGACCTCAAGCTTGTGCTCATGTCTGCCACCATCAACATCGAGCTCTTCAGCGGCTACTTCGAGAATGCCCCAGTCATACGGGTGAGGCAACTACCGTCTGGTCATTTAGTCATACCCTCGAAGCCACCTCAATAAATGTCTTGCATCGGTATTTGCTGTCCACATTAATAAGGTTGATTATAGTGTTAGGTTTGAGGGACATCTAACATGTACATTCAGTCTTTGCTGATGTAGAAGCTTGCCGAGAATGTATTTTGTCTATTCACTGTATCAGTTTTACAGTTTGACAACAGATTTGATTCATACACCTGACATGTCAGGAAAATATGATCAGACTGAACAGGCTACTTCCACAAAGATGCTACACTAGCCTGACAAGCTGTTGTACTAGACTGGGGCTTAGGACTAGTGAATAACATCGAAGAATGATAATATATATAATGGAAGATGATTTAATTCTCACCCTCATGTCTTCTGATAGCAGCTAATCAACACTTGTTTATGTTGAGGAGGGTCTGGTGACCTGCTTTGTATATCTGAGGTTGTGTTATCTGTATTTATGTGCTTATCATATCAAACAGTATACAATTAATGAATCTCACTTTGGATCTTTTGGTAAGGCTAAAAAAACCCACAAAATTGGTTCTGTTGGTTCTCAGGCACTGCCCGCATCATCATAAAGTCCGTTGCACGTTTTATTTTTATTTCCAATTTAAGAAGAAACAATCCTAACGTTTAAAAACAAAATGCTTATAGCACGCAGTTACTTCCCTTTACATGCACACTGCTTTACTATGGATCTTGTGTTTTGGTCATGGCGGCAATAGGAGTTTGTATGCTTGTTTATGAAGGGAGGCCCTTTCCCAGGTTGATGGTACACAACTGTTAATTTGGTTACATACTAGTTTGAACTAGCAAAAAAAAAACCAAACCACTGCCCGCCCGCAATATATTTTCAAAAGTCATTGCCTGAGAACCAATTCTTTTATTTTTTCAAACTTAAGATGACAGCTCTTAGTATAGTTAGCTATATTGGACTGGTTGTTGTGCAGAATTGTAAACGTATTCAACAAGTGTTGATAATGTTGATTTATTCATGCACGTTGTATTGGCAAAGAAAGATGATGTGTTGCAGGTCCCGGGGCGTCTTCATCCTATTGAGTTAGAGTACCAGCCAATTAAACGTGACGAGATGACGAGTCGTGGCGAGAAGTTGGATCCGACCCCATACCTCCGCATAATGCAGACAATTGACCACCGGGTGAGTAGAATTTGGATGCAACCCCGTACCTCCTTATGTGGGTCCAACCTCATATCGTTGTATATTTGGAATGGTAAATACTGTTCTGTCAAAGCTAAGGTAAAGAGATTGTACCTGTAACAATAATGTGAAGCACTTTATTTCCATTCTGAACATGGCATGATACAGCTTAGACGTGACGAGTAACACTCTCACAGCTCGAGTAGTAGTTGTTTTGTACAATATTTTCTCCATGTATTGAGGGTACCCTGCTTGAATCCCCCCTCTCCCTCTTTCCCCTCGCCCTCCTTCCCCTTCCCTCCTCCTCCTCCTTCCCCATTGATGGTAGGTGACATGCTGTTATCGATGGTATGTGACATGCTGTGACACAGAGTTAGTTGACACTGCTTCCTGTACCGCTGTTCCTGTGACTTGGTATTTGTACATAAAATGGAGTTTCCTGATTGCAGTACCCAGTCACAGAGCGAGGTGATCTGCTGATATTTTTGAGTGGGATGACAGAGATTATGACTATTGTGGAGGCAGCCAATCAGTACGCTCAACAGACCAAGAGATGGATCATCCTGCCCCTCCACAGTGCTCTGTCAGTCCAGGAGCAGGATAAGGTGAGCTATCAGAAACTGGTGCAGGGACGATGGTAGGGATGACAAGTGTGGGAAAACTTACCATGGTGATGCCAATGAGAGTTGCACCACTGTATGCAATTGTATAGAAATAATGTGAAAAATACAAGGCATATTTCCAGGATCCTTTGGCATGAGGACAAAACCTTCCTAGGTTCAGTAGATTTGTGGTCGAATTGTTAGGACGTAAAGGAGGTTACTCTGATTATCGTCTGCTGGGAGATTAAGGATGTGATGTATTGACTACATCTGGCCATGTATGATTAAACAAGTCCCTGTGAGGCTTTCAGGGCCGAATATCGATCCTCAGTATCTAATGCTTGTCTTCCTGTGAGGCTTTCAGGGCCGAATAGCGATCCTCAGTATCTAATACTGGTCTTCCTGGGAGGCTTTCAGGGCCGAATATCGATCCTCAGTATCTAATGCTGGTCTTCCTGGGAGGCTTCCAGGGCCGAATATCGATCCTCAGTATCTAATACTGGTCTTCCTGTGAGGCTTTCAGGGCCGAATATCGATCCTCAGTATCTAATGCTTGTCTTCCTGTGAGGCTTTCAGGGCCGAATATCGATCCTCAGTATCTAATGCTGGTCTTCCTGTGAGGCTTCCAGGGCCGAATATCGATCCTCAGTATCTAATGCTTGTCTTCCTGTGAGCTAGGCTTTCAGGGCCGAATATCGATCCTCAGTATCTAATGCTGGTCTTCCTGTGAGGCTTCCAGGGCCGAATATCGATCCTCAGTATCTAATGCTGGTCTTCCTGGGAGGCTTCCAGGGCCGAATATCGATCCTCAGTATCTAATACTGGTCTTCCTGTATGGCTTCGAGACAGAATATCGATCCTCAGTATCTAATGCTTGTCTTCCTGTGTGGCTTCCAGGGCAGAATATCGATCCTCAGTATCTAATACTGGTCTTCCTGTATGGCTTCGAGACAGAATATCGATCCTCAGTATCTAATGCTTGTCTTCCTGTGTGGCTTTCAGGGCAGAATATAGGTCCCCAGTATTCAGTGCAGGTCTTCCTGTGAGGCTTCCAGGGCCGAATATCGATCCTCAGTATCTAATGCTTATCTTCCTGTGAGGCTTTCAGGGAAGAATATCGATCCTCAGTATCTAATACTGGTCTTCCTGTATGGCTTCGAGACAGAATATCGATCCTCAGTATCTAATGCTTGTCTTCCTGTGAGGCTTTCAGGGCAGAATATCGATCCTCAGTATCTAATACTGGTCTTCCTGTATGGCTTCGAGACAGAATATCGATCCTCAGTATCTAATGCTTGTCTTCCTGTGTGGCTTCCAGGGCAGAATATAGGTCCCCAGTATTCAGTGCTTGTCCTCAGAGCCAGCCAATGAGGACTGAGTGTGACTTGGATGATGGGTCATACCTGACGGTGTGGATTGTTGCCTACACTATTAGCCACTGGTTGTCTTGGCTTGCTGTGATATAAGTGGAATATTTCTGACTGCTTCATAAAAGTTTCACTGTTCCATGCGGGGCATTTTTTGGACAAATGTGAATGACGGTATGCTTGCTAAAGGTGCTGATCCTCAGTGTGGCAGAAGTATTCACCGTGTTTTTGGCTTCAGGTGTTTGACGTATCTCCCGAGGGAGTGAGAAAGTGCATCGTATCTACGAATATCGCAGAGACGTCGGTGACCATTGACGGTGTCCGGTTCATTGTAGACTCAGGCAAGGTATGTGGCGTGTTCCTGGTTGGTTGCACCACACAACTGAACCTTGTGAATAATTGGTTCCATAACGCTGGATTGTCAGGGGCCCAGACTACAAAGATGGGCAATTACATAGAAACATATTAAGTTACATAATGCTCAAACCTTGGAGATGGTTTGATTACGCTCACTCTCTCAAATGAATCGTCTTCATTTCATGAAATGTTTTCGACTAATGAAATGATTAATACATGAAAGGCTAATGGCTGAACATATTGCACGACAGGTCAAGGAAATGAATTTTGACCCCAAGTATAAGATGCGGCGTCTTCAGGAGTTCTGGATCAGTCAAGCTAGTGCGGAACAGAGGAAGGGTCGAGCAGGTTCGTTACCATTTTCTTGCCAGACTTCTCCAAGTTGTGTTTGGTTGGGCACAGGTGGATCTGCTGCCTTTAGGGAGGGGTGGGGTGGGGTAGGGGAGAAAGGAATGCAAATTTCACTGCATAGTGGTATCACTTAGTCGACTGGTCATGGGTTTGAGCAATCTCATTAAAATCAGATCTTAGTTTTCCGCTAGCTTTAAGGCCAGACACTGCACCTTACAATTGACAAAATGCTTCACAAGTATTTGTTAGTTTTAATGGGTTACAACTTTGAGGTATACATATTAACAATTGAAATGGAGTCTTTTCCAGGTGATGTTGCCACCGGTTGCCATGGAAACATCCAAGATGGCCGCCGCAAGCCTGAAAAAGATGGAAATTAGTTTCAGTTTTTCTCTAAGACCAATAAAGATATTTATATAATTTCAATTGTATAACAAAGCTTGTATGGTGTTGCGTACAATGACAGAAAGAAAAATTAAAAAAAGACTGGGATATATTTTTAAAATAATTTTTCAAAATTTCACATTTTTTAGGTTGATTTTTACCCATAATTTATTTTTTTAAATCAAAATGGCCAACAAATTGTAAAAAGTCTCTCTGTTATTGTGTAAAGTAATCCTCTGCCTATATGTACACCAAATTTCATTCAAATCGGGCCAATAATGGTTGAGATCTATGTTCACTAAGATCCAAAATGACGTTAATGGAGAAAATGAGGAAATAAGTTTGTATATGGTTTTCTTCCTTCAGCACCTATTAAACACTTACAAAATCTTAGTTTACTGATGGGATGTATTCAAGATACATAAAACAATGTATGTACAAAGAAATAACAGGACTTAAAACTCCCCAGCACCATACAACAAGCCTTCAGCTGCCTCAACATGAACTCGGTCCCTTTTTTTAGCCTCCCACTTTGCACTACGTTCTATCTTAGATGTCTCCTGGCTTTGCTTCCTTGCTTTGAGGGTTCCCACATTATCAAGTCTTTCAATAGAAGCTGCTGTTATTTCATTAGCTTCTATTGCAAGCTTGTTAATTACCTGAGTAATGTGACATGTACCCTCATTGAACGAAGCTATTGCAGACGCCACTGCCCGATGCAACCGCCTTGCACCCACAAAAACGGTCTTCGGACAACGGGACTAGATCACGGAATGCAAGCATTCATTAGCATTCTGTGTCTTGCCTTTCACCATCCTCTTAAGGTTTTCATCAGACATTCTTTGATACACAGGTACCATCTTTTCTGCAATTTCTGCATCGAGACAATGTCTGATGTTGACAAAACTTCCTTAGTATTTTCAACAACAACCTGTGAAAGAATGTTTTGTTTTTGTTGAAATGTCTTAGGATGGAGACCTTCCATTCCAAAAACCAGACAAAACCTTTTCATTGCAGCATGACCAAGTCCTACCTCTGACAGAGCATAAACATTTCATTGACCTGAAAGGGATTGGTACCAGATTGATTACCTTACCTTTGTGAAGTGTAATTTTTGGCAACACACATCTGACAGTTTTGACATGTCAACATAACGTTTACAGCAAATCCAAATCTATCAAAATTGTCACTCTTTTCAAACAACAAAGACCCCTGTTCGTGACATGATTGGCATTCAATCTCTTGAAAAAAATAAATTCATTTGTCTCATGTCAATTAACATCCATTGAGGTTTTGGTTCATCATTGTCAAGCACGGGAGATTTGATATTTTCAGCAGCTTTAAATTTTGATAGTTTTATGTCGCTGCGTGAAGTTGCATTCAATAAAAAAGAATTCTCACCTTCATTGTCTCCAACGGGGATGTTTTCCCCAACGGCGTGGTCCCCGGATGATTCCGATGCATCTAAAACGTCCAAGCTGTCAGAATCTGACACAGGGATGATCGCGCTGTCAACACGGGTCGTAACTCTAACACCGCATTTCGAACGTGCCTGCTTCAACTGACTTGCCCTTCGCCTCCTATTCTAACCATAGGCGTGTTGTGACCCGTGTTTTGACCTCATTTTAAAAAAACAAAACAATTTTCAGTTAAGAAAATATCAAAAACGATGTTTGCCTGTTAATCTTTTCGCAAAGCAGCCGCCATTTTGTATACCTACCGGAAAAGACCGGTGTTTTGTTGCTAAGCCGAATGGTGCATTGTGGGATACGTTTTACTTTATTTGGATCGAACGAATATTCCCGAATGTTGCATTACGGGATATTTCTCCTTAAATGGTAATTTACGTACGAATGATTCGCGGGAAAAACCGACGATAGCCTCACGTGGAATATCTATTTTTAGAATGTTTTTGCACAGAAAGATGGCGGAAACGATCAGCTTTCTAGCGATGTATAACATGAAGGGGTTCGTTACAGCTGCGGGGGCGTTGTCATGGGTGAAAGTTCAGGTTTTTCCACATTGATTACGATCATATTTAAAAACAATACCACACATTATGATTTTAATAACGTTTTTTATTCAGTAAATGTACACAATATCGTAAAAAACATGTTGCATCACAAAGTACATGTATTATATATGCGAAAAAAATCAAAATCTCGATTTTGACATATTGAAGCAATTATGTTAATTTAAGGTGCCGTGTCTGGCCTTAAGCAAAGATCTGAGAACAACTCAATACAGGGCATGCCAGGAAGACCTTTTATCCGACCAATCATAGCACTGCTCTTGAATCAAGAACTTTGTCAATTTATTTCAAAGTGTAATCTGAAATGGAAGTCGCCAGTGTGAAACTAGTGACGTATAGCTCAAGAAACTACTTTCTGATTGGCTAATGTCGACTTCTTGTTAGTCATTTCATTGGTTAATCAAAGTTTCTGAAGGATCATTCTGATGTGACCCATAATGGGATGTGCTAAGATCTTTGTTTGGTAGAGCTAGACCTAATATATATATTGTTGATATTAATAAGATTGTGTGTTGAGTTCCTGACCTGCTCTGACTATGATCCTGGGTTTGTTGGCACAATATTGCTACAGTGGGGTAGATGTCTGCTACAGCCACTTTGGATTTTCCTGCTGCGAGTTGGCTGAAAAAAACTGTTACTAAATAATACCAACACACTCACTAAATCAATAAACTGCGCTGAAATGAAACAACAACATTGTTGTACAAATAAGCTTCAGCATCATCAAATGACTGTTTTGATGATTTGTGAGGGAGCAAACATTATAATTATATGTAGGTATATAAGATGATCAACTGCAAGAGTCTTCACAACCTCCCATTGGCTCCCACAGGTAGGACCGGCCCGGGGGTGTGCTACCGCCTGTATGCCGACACTGACTACAACTCCTTCCAGGAGTATGCCACGCCTGAGATACAGCGCGTCACGCTGGATACCCTCATCCTCCAGATGATGTCCCTTGGATTACCCGATGCAAGGAGGTAGGATACTTGAACAGAACTCTCCAGCTCAGTAAGGAAGATTTACGCATCAGCTAAGGCATTAAAAAAATAAAAGAATTTGTTCTCAGGGAAGGGGTTTTGAAAATATAGTAGAGGTGGGCGGGCTTTTTTGGAGGGGGGTATTCAAACTAATATGTAACCAAATAAACAATTGTGTCAATCAACCTGGGAAATTGCCTCTCTACATAACTCTATTCCTTGATGTGTAAAATACTGGAATACAGTACATGACTATCGATTGACTACCAGTGTGTGCATAATACACGCATACAATGAGCTTCGATTATATTTCACAACACGAAGACGTTATTGTGAGCATACAACACCGGAAGCAGCATGTCAACAAATCTGTACTGAAGTATGCAAGTTAGTCCTGTTATTACACAATCTGGCTATAAAAGTGTTCATTGTGTATCTGGACTTCCGTTTGTACTCAATTATATTACTTTTATCCAAGACTTCATTCAATTTTGTTTACATTAATTTTGGCGAAATTTTGTACGAGCTGATCTGCAAATCACATCAACTTACCATGAACTCGCCTTGAAACAAACATTAGTCGTTAGTGATACAAAGTCTTTGGTCTTCTCATAACTGTATGGAAATTTCCTTTCAGTTGTGGTATTGGCCATGACATTAAGTATTTTAAAAGCTAAATCACTCATAGATGGGGGAGAAAATGTGTGAACAGCTGATTGCTATTTCCGGCTTATTTTACGAGACAAATACAAATGTAATCTTAACCTCTGCATATGAAATCTTTTCCGTCATACAGTACATACCGGTAAATACCATTGAATTTGTAAATCCTTATGTCTGGTGATGTTTTATCAGAAATTATTTCATTATTCATTATTTCATTGACCAAATTTGCAAACGGCTAAACAAGCACACAAACTCCTATTGCCGTCATGACCATAACACACGAGATGTGCAGTAAAGCTGTGCGCATGAAAAGGGAAGTAACTGCACGCTATATTGGATCACATTGTTTTTAAGAATTGCGACATTTCACTACCGGGGTCGTGTGTTCGAGACGCAGAATATTAAAGGATTGTTTTGTTGTTTTCTTTAAATAGAAATAAAAATGAAACTTTCAGAGGTACCAAGTAAATGTTCTGATGCTATGTTCATCATTGCCTCTAATACTCTTATATTCCCTGTCCAGTGTTGCATCCCTTGGGCATGCAAGAAACCTTTGACTGTGGGTTCAAATCCTGGTTTGCCCCGATTGTTTCTAGGTTCCACAGCACCATAACTGTGCTCTTGGGTTTCACCAAAGTGGGTTTGCCCCGATTATGTTTCTAGGTTTGTCAGCACCATACATACCCGTGATCGTGGGTTTCACCGACTGGTAAACGTCTGAGACTCGCATCACTTCGGGCTTTCCTCCCACATTAAGCTGACAGGCCGTGATATAACTGGAATACTGTTAAAAGCGGCGTTAAACCTAACTCACTCACTCACCAAAGTGGTAAAAGTCTGAGGCCTGCATCACTTCGGGCTTTCCTCCCACACCAAGCTGACACCCAGTGGTATAACTGGAATACTGTTCAAGGCGGCATTAAACCCAACTCACTCACTCACTCTACAACTCCCATGGTAGCAGATAGTGTGTTCATTTGTCCACCATCTCCATGTTGTCAGCATCTTTTTTTAAATTTATGGTTCCCAGAGTTGTAGAGTAATACAGTATTCAGTCAAAACATATTTCGGATTGCGTAGAATGACACAATACACTCTTTAATAATTTAAAGGTTTGGAAACAAACATTGTCACATTCCAAACCAAAAAGTTTGCAGCACACAATCAGACTCAAACATAGCATGTATCAACAGAGAGCTAAATGTTGAGATTAAAAGTGACGACTTTTTGTTAAAGTTATTTTTATCATCCTTTTTTATATGGCAATATGAATATATGTTTTTAAGTAGTTTCAAAAGTATATCTATTTTCAGTTTGATTCCTTTGATTTCACGAACATGATTATTCCTTTTTCCCAATTAAAGTATATGATTGATTAAAGTATCAGAGGAACCAAACCAAATAAGATATTTTGTCAATTTATATTTTTGTGAAAGATAATTATTAAGCCAAAGTTAGAAATCATTGTTAAGTTTCATAACATTGCCAAAAGACATGGCTGATGTCTTCATTGACAGCATTACAAAAGCTACACACACTGTTGTCTATAAGTTTCATTGTTAATAGTTCCTTCATTGTGAAGATAATTCCATGTAGAAATTGGTATTGAAAATCTAAAAGTTTTACATCCTTCAGTTTACATCTAACAGTAAATATCTATTTCTAATTAAACTCAGTCAAGAATTAATGGCTATTTATCACAAACTTTAAGATTATATTCATTTAACATTTATCATAAAAGAGTCTAACACTTGTAAGAGGTTTCATCAGATCACTTAAGCAATTATTTATATACAATTTCTATAAATATATATAGTCTAACATGGTATATCGGATATTTTAGTATCAATTCTTCAAATGACGTCAATCTGTTTTCATTGTATAAATCTTTAATTGAGTAAATTCCAATATTAGCCCATTGCTTTGTGTAGAATGTTGCTTGTTTGAAGTTGTGATTAGGTCATAATGGGTGGGACAAAATGTCTTCTATATGATCATAATTAATAATATTATTTTTACAAAAGTTGTTCCAAGCTTTCAATTCTTCTTTCCAGTAGGGGCTTTTAACCTGAGATTGCTTGTCAACATTAGCAGCCAAAGAGAGGATGTCTTTAATTGGGATATTACAAGGGTTACTCTATGTTGTTATTCAATCTCATTAAAATCAGACCTAAGTTCTCACTGCCGCGAAACAAAGATCTGAGGACATCCCATTACGGGTCACATCAGAACGACCTTTCGCGAACTTTGACCGACCACTGAAATGACTAACAAGAAGTCGACATCAGCCAATTAGAAAGCAGCTTTCTCAAGCTTTACGGCACTCGTTTCAACCTGGCGACTTTCATTTCAGATTTCGCTTGAAAAATAAGTTGACACAGTTCTTGATTAAAATTTTGAAAACTGAACAAACGAACATTACAGAACATTTGTTTTGTGATAGCGAGAACTAAGATCTGATTTTAATGAGATTGTGTTGTTATTTTACAATATAATCTCAGCACAGATAGTTTTAGTGCGTCAATATGGGCTCTGATGTTAATCATGTGTAATCCACATTCCTCATATTTTCTCATCAAGTGGTCCTTTTGATTTTGTCTTTTTTATTGTTCCATATAAAGTTGTAAAATGTTTTGAGAACTGATAAGACAAAATCCTCAGGAGGGTTTGGTAGTGTCGAAAATGGGTCTCCTTGTTGACAGCCTCTTTCATTTGTCAACGATTCTGATAGATGTCCATTTTGTATTATGCTTGATGTAGTGCTGTAAGTTATCATTTCTGGTCCAAATCCATATTTTTTAAAACTTTGTTTATAAATTGTTTTGATACTGCATCAAATGCCTTTTCAAAATTTATCAACAGAAGTAATCCTGGTTTATTTTGTCTTTTTGATTCAAAGATAATATCGTATGACAACCTTGTATTTTCTGTAATAGATATTCCTGGAATAAATACTGTTTGTTTATTATGAATGAGCAATTCCAATGTTGATTTTATACGGCTTGCAATACAAGTACTGATTATGTTATAGAGTGCATTCAATAAAGTTATTGGTCTCCAGTTTTTTATCTATGCCCTGTCTTTATTTGTATATTTATTTTAGTATACAAGTTATAACTCCTCTTTTCATTGTCAAACTCATTTTGTAATTAGCAGAAGTGTTTTTTACAAATCTGTATATCCAGAATTTTAGTTCTTTCCAGAAAAACTTAAAAAATTCAATAGGAAAGCCATCAAAACCACGGCTTTTATTGTTTTTCATGTCCTTAAATGCAAATGAAATTTTTCAAGCTCAATTTCTCTTTCTAATATTTTTTTTTTTGGTTGTCTGATGTTGGAGTCTCTAAATGTGTTAAATTTTCATAATTTCTGTCATTGCTATCAGATGTATGTAATTTTTTGGTTTCTTAACTCATCCAAATTACAATTGCCGTCTGTTATAACCGTATCACCTTCAGTTATAACTTTATTTATTTATTTACTGACATTTTCTATTTTCTAGGTGGCAAAAATAACTTATTGGCTTTTCTCCTTACTCATACCATTGGGGGTGGTCGGGTAGCCTAGTGGGTAAAGTGTTCGATTCCGGACATGGGTACAATGTGTGAAGCCCATTTCTGGTATCCCCCACCGTGATATTGCTGGAATATTGCTAACAGCGGCATAAAACCATACTCACTCACTCACTCATACCATTGCATTCTATTTAAATTTGTATTCCTCTTATTTCCTCTTCTTTTATATGTTTCATATCTAATTTGTATTTTGATAATTCTGATACATGTTTTTTCATCTATTTGTTGAAATTTCGCCTTATGTCATCTTGTAAGTCATTTATCTTACTTTCTAATTCTTTTGCACTACAAAGTTTGATATTAAAAAAATATGTTTTGAACTTAGAATTTGTTTACTTCAACATTTGTGCGACCTACAACTTGAAAGCTATTTTATGGTTCTTTTCCAATTAGGGGAACAGTTTTTATACCAATAGGAGAGGTGCAGTGCAAAGTTTGATTTTGATATGTGTATTTCCTGATTTAAATTATTTTTTTTTTATGTTTTGAACTTAGAAATATGTTGGCGTCAAAGTTGGGGACGTTAGTGAGCCCTGCTCAATTTTTGCCTTGTTGCATTTACATGTAGTAACATTTTGATGTACATTCTTACACTGTTATCAAGCTGGTAGTTTGTTACTCGATAACAAGTGGCACACAGATAACTGGATGAACTGTATAGGATGGCTAGGGAACTTTTGTGGTGGTCTGAGAGGGCTGCCTTGCTGTCTGCTTTGGCTGTTGAAGTTTTATGTTCACCGAAGTATATACTGGGTGCACTCTTGTAAGAGAACTCCTTCTTTTCAGATTCCCTTTTATTGAGGCTCCAGAGATGTCAAGCATTGAGACTTCCATAGCTTTCCTCAAGGAGCAGGTACGGGAAAACTATCAGTGGTAGAGACTGACTGTTTTAGTCCACTAGTCCTTATAATGTTAACATATAGCAAAACCCCCCAAAAAGGGGCCCAAAGTCATCAAATGTCAGTGAAAATTCCCAAATTGGAGTTACAAATTACCCAGTTCATGTTATATTGTAGTAACTTACCGTATTCGACTTAATAAGCGCCCCTCTCTAATAAGCGCCCACGGCAATATTTGCTAATATATTGTCAAGTGAACAATCCCAATTAGCACTCCTTCCGATTGAACAATGTAAACAAAACCGATTTATTCGTGTATAATACGCACTCGTGTGTAATATGCACCCTAATTATGGGCAGTTAAATTCTGGACAAATATATCTGTCGTATGTAAACATTTCAGGCTGTCAACATAAACCAGGGAATTTATCTTTCAACTCTGTTTTTTTTTCACCAAAATAATATTCTAATAAGAGCCCCTATTTTTAATTTTGAGAGCGCCCTGGGCGCTTATTACATCGAATACGGTATGTTACGGCTTTGTAGAAGTGACATGTATTGCAATGACCAATATGAGCAACACAACGATATTTCCCCAAATTGCCTGCCAGGGGCGCTTTCGGTAGAATGAAATCCTGGAGAAATCCCTGAATTTTGATACTGACAATCTCATTGCTAAATTCAGAATTACTCATAGAAGGACTCGGGTACAAGCCCACAATCCAATGGAATTGGAACTAGACATTTGACTCTTATATCTGTTCACAAAGTAACTTACCCATGAAACCAGGATATTAATGCCCCAAATATTTTTATTAGATAATTGTGAGTCTTCTAAAATGGTGACTTTCCTTGTTTTTCTTGTCAAATAGGTCAAAGTAAAACTATTGTAATGTTAGGCCTTTTGTAAGAGGCGACTAACGGGATCGGGTGGTCTGACTCGCTGACTTGGTTAATGGGTGTCATCGTATCCCAATTATCACTGGATTGCAGCATGTCGGTTATTGTTTACAGTGTTATACACAGATAGAGATATAGTACCACATGTGACATGCTTCATCTTGGAGTTCTTAGTTCAGATGGTGACTTGGTAAACTTGCAATAGTTCCCCCCACCCCACCCAATCTCTGACCCCCCTATAGAGCTGCATGAGTGGCCCAATGGCCTCTCAGTTCACTGTGTAGAGTTGCATGAGTGGACCAATGACCTCCCAGTTCATTGTGTAGAGTTGCATGAGTGGCCCAATGGCCTCCCAGTTCATTGTGTAGAGTTGCATGAGTGGCCCAATGGCCTCTCAGTTCACTGTGTAGAGTTGCATGAGTGGCCCAATGGCCTCTCAGTTCACTGTGTAGAGTTGCATGAGTGGCCCAATGGCCTCCCAGATCATTGTGTAGAGCTGCATGAGTGCACCAATGGCCTCCCAGTTCACTGTGTAGAGTTGCATGAGTGGCCCAATGGCCTCCCAGTTCATTGTGTAGAGTTGCATGAGTGGCCCAATGGCCTCCCAGTTCATTGTGTAGAGTTGCATGAGTGGCCCAATGGCCTCCCAGTTCATTGTGTAGAGTTGCATGAATGGCCCAATGGCCTCCAAGTTCATTGTGTAGAGTTGCATGAGTGGACCAATGGCCTCCCAGTTCATTGTGTAGAGTTGCATGAGTGGCCCAATGGCCTCCCAGTTCACTGTGTAGAGTTGCATGAATGGCCCAATGGCCTCCCAGTTCATTGTGTAGAGTTGCATGAGTGGACCAATGACCTCCCAGTTCATTGTGTACAGTTGCATGAGTGGCCCAATGGCCTCCCAGTTCATTGTGTAGAGTTGCATGAGTGGACCAATGGCCTCTCAGTTCATTGTGTAGAGTTGCATGAGTGGCCCAATGGCCTCCCAGTTCATTGTGTAGAGTTGCATGAGTGGACTAATGGCCTCTCAGTTCATTGTGTAGAGTTGCATGGGTGGCTAACTGTCCTTCCAGTGTCTTGATTCAGTGTCACACCTCATGTATATATACATATACACTGAATGCAGGGGGCTCTGACTGACGATGAGGCTTTGACTCCTACTGGACAGATGTTATCGCGGCTACCAGTGGACGTTGTCATCGGCAAGATGCTCATCATGGGCTCCATCTTCCATGTGAGTCTTTGTCTGTTGTAAATGTACATGACATCTTCCCTGTGAGTCTTTGTCTGTTGTAAGTGTACATGACATCTTCCATGTGATTCTTTGCCTGTTGTAAATGTACATGACATCTTCCATGTGAGTCTTTGTCTGTTGTAAATGTACATGACATCTTCCATGTGAGTCTTTGTCTGTTGTAAATGTACATGACATCTTCCATGTGAGTCTTTGCCTGTTGTAAATGTACATGACATCTTCCATGTGAGTCTTTGCCTGTTGTAAATGTACATGACATCTTCCATGTGAGTCTTTGTCTGTTGTAAATGTACATGCCATCTTCCATGTGAGTCTTTGTCTGTTGTAAATGTACATGACATCTTCCATGTGAGTCTTTGTCTGTTGTAAATGTACATGACATCTTCCATGTGAGTCTTTGTCTGTTGTAAATGTACATGACATCTTCCATGTGAGTCTTTGTCTGTTGTAAATGTACATGACATCTTCCATGTGAGTCTTTGTCTGTTGTAAATGTACATGACATCTTCCATGTGAGTCTTTGTCTGTTGTAAATGTACATGACATCTTCCATGTGAGTCTTTGTCTGTTGTAAATGTACATGACATCTTCCATGTGAGTCTTTGTCTGTTGTAAATGTACATGACATCTTCCATGTGAGTCTTTGCCTGTTGTAAATGTACATGACATCTCCCATGTGAGTCTTTGTCTGTTGTAAATGTACATGACATCTTCCATGTGAGTCTTTGTCTGTTGTAAGTGTACATGACATCTTCCATGTGAGTCTTTGTCTGTTGTAAATATACATGACATCTTCCATGTGAGTCTTTGTCTGTTGTAAATGTACATGACATCTTCCATGTGAGTCTTTGTCTGTTGTAAGTGTACATGACATCTTCCATGTGAGTCTTTGTCTGTTGTAAATGTACATGACATCTTCCATGTGAGTCTTTGTCTGTTGTAAATGTACATGACATCTTCCATGTGAGTCTTTGTCTGTTGTAAGTGTACATGACATATTCCATGTGAGTCTTTGTCTGTTGTAAGTGTACATGACATCTTCCATGTGAGTCTTTGCCTGTTGTAAATGTACATGACATCTTCCATGTGAGTCTTTGTCTGTTGTAAGTGTACATGACATCTTCCATGTGAGTCTTTGTCTGTTGTAAATGTACATGACATCTTCCATGTGAGTCTTTGTCTGTTGTAAATGTACATGACATCTTCCATGTGAGTCTTTGTCTGTTGTAAATGTACATGACATCTTCCATGTGAGTCTTTGTCTGTTGTAAATGTACATGACATCTTCCATGTGAGTCTTTGTCTGTTGTAAATGTACATGACATCTTCCATGTGAGTCTTTGTCTGTTGTAAGTGTACATGACATCTTCCATGTGAGTCTTTGTCTGTTGTAAATGTACATGCCATCTTCCATGTGAGTCTTTGTCTGTTGTAAATGTACATGACATCTTCCATGTGAGTCTTTGCCTGTTGTAAATGTACATGCCATCTTCCATGTGAGTCTTTGTCTGTTGTAAATGTACATGCCATCTTCCATGTGAGTCTTTGTCTGTTGTAAATGTACATGCCATCTTCCATGTGAGTCTTTGTCTGTTGTAAATGTACATGACATCTTCCATGTGAGTCTTTGTCTGTTGTAAATGTACATGACATGACATGGTCTAGTGGTAGAGCGTCCGCCTTGAGAGCGGAAGCTCCGGAGGTCAAACCCTGGGCACATCATACCATAAGTTGTTAAAAGATGGTACTTGTTGTTACCCTGTCTGGCGCTCGGCATTGAGGGGCTAAAACAAGGACTGGTCAGCACGGAGTCAGTATAATGTGTCTGATCGGGGTATTCATGTTAAACTACAGCATGGTATCTCAGTGGGCTAGCACTATAACACACGAGAAATTCCTTTTCACTGCCAGTATATCTAATAGTTGTGACGCAAACTCTCTCCTCCCCACCGCAAGGGGGATGTCCAGAACCCCTGGATCTGTTCTCTGGATTCACCTATGTCCTTCACATACCGTTATATGGGACAGCCAAACTGATGGCAACAGCTCAGATGATGCTAGGTCATCTTCCTCTCACTGTTGTTTGATACACATCAGTACCTACATCAACTGGTTTGCTGGCGGTATCAGACTTGTCATCTCCACCGAAAGATCAAAATAGACAACAGAGTCGACATGAGCCTGGAACAGCTGAATTCCATACGCAGCTCTTTAGATCATATCCACAAGATGCAGGAGATCTCGGGGCAGCTCAAGTAGGGATGTCGGCCCTGTTTCTTCTCACACGGCACAATCATCTCTTACGGCAGAAATGTCAAGAGCATCCTGGAGCCGCTGAAGAGAGGAATGCTGCCACAGCCCATCAGTTCTTCAACGGAAGAGTACACTCCTTCCATGACGAGGTTGCTCGGTCTACTAAAAAGTTCAAGAACTCTGTCATCAGCCTGGCTTCGTGGATAGAGAAATGTCCAGCAGATTATCAAGTTCAGCCAGATCCCCCCAAGTGAAGACATGTGACATAAGGGCAGGACTCTTTTCATGTCCCAGAGGAAGCCCCTGTCGAACATCAATCGTCTCATGTTCAGCATTTTTCTACAAATTCTGTTGACCTTGCTTTTCACACGGACATCAATTGCAGACTGTTGCTGTTCAACCCAATGCCAACCCCGGGGATGTATCATGCGTTATTTAGTAAACTGGAAGTCATCACTGACGACACCTGGCTGTTCGAGGTTTTAGAAGAGGCTACAAACCCCGTTTTCTACAACGTCAAAACCTTTAGGTCTAACCACGGCATCAGGTTTGCTTATCTAAAGCTAGTAAGACTGTACGGCTATTTCGACTACTTCATCAGGCTGATCAGGAGAAGTCGCAAATATAGCAAGTCTTCCTCATTCAACTACTCTCATATCTGGGCTTCCTGGTTGTCCCTGACAACCTGAGTTAGTACCCACTCAAGACATCAACTGTGCTACTATACTGATTTGCTTCATTGCCTGAGAGATTCTATCAAAGAAACGCTTCAAGGAATGTTGACTGCTTGAGTTCTACTACTTCACGACAATGCCTCTTCTCACATCTCTCAACTTGCAAGGGCTGCTGTGCGACAATGTGGGTTCGAAGAGCTTCCTCACCCTCCATGCATGCCAGACCTGGCACAAAGTGATTTCCACCTGTTTCCTAAACTGAAAGACAACCTTTGTGGAAAATGGTATGACAATAACGATGACGTCAAAGCTGCCATGAATGGGTTTTTCAGGGTGGCTTCAGAAAACTTCTTCCTGACTGGAAATGAAAAGCTTCACTATTGATATGAGAAGTGTATTGAAAAGCAGGGAGGTTATGTTGAACAATAAAACACTTTCACGGTTTAGATTTTGTTTGTTAAGCTTAGAACTTTTTCACCAGCCCTGGTGTGTTGGTGAGATGTATGGGGATTTTCTCACATGATAGTTTCACATTGTGCAAATCTATACATCTTCAAGTATGTGGCCTATTAGGCACTGGAAGATAACCAATGTATAATACATGCCTTGGAGATTATATTGGGTACTGGAAGAAATCCTATGTATAATACATGCCTTGGAGATTATATTGGGTACTGGAAGAAATCCTATGTATAATACATGCTTTGGAGATTTTATTGGGTACTGGAAGATATCCTATGTATAATACATGCCTTGGAGATTATATTGGGTACTGGAAGATATCCTATGTATAATATATGTCTTGGGTATTGGCTTGCTGAGACTTTGATCCACCTGGATGCAGGTCCCCTTACTGTATCAGAAGATGGTGCTGCCTGCTCTTTATGATAACCTACCTAATTGGGCTACTCATCTCAGACGTATATTATTTAGATATGGATTTGGTTACCTATGGGTATAACAGAAAGTTGGTGACAATGTTTTATTCAAATGTCTTTGTGACCGATTTGGGACAAACATTGTCTGAATGAACCTCAATTCCAAAGGTTAAGTATCTTGTAGCCATGACATGTATATGTCTAGAATCACTTAATTGCCATTATTTATAACATGCCAATCCCAATTGTATTGTACTATAATGGGCATTGAATTTGAGCATGAGTTTTGTAATAATGTTTTCTGTTTCAAACTAAAATAACTGTTAGAAACTGGTAGTTATTTATTAAATATACATTAAGGTATTAAAATAAGGTATCAAAATCTAAAGAGCATTGCAGTGTTCTAAATATAAAACCATAAATACATTGCCACATGAACTAAAACATTCAATAGTTATCTATACTGAAACAATGTTTAATCTGAATGCCATGTAAGCTATGACTTAAATTGTGGTGTCTAAGTATCAATGTGAACAAACCTTCAACTCTATAATCCAACTATAAAAATAATATCCTAAAATAACATTGTCGACACCACCTGATTAACTCTGTATTCAATGAATCTAGACAGCACCCTTATTACCTGGGGGGGCGGTCGGGTAGCCTAGTGGTTAAAGCGTTCGCTCGTCACGCCGAAGACCCGGGTTCGAATCCTGACATGGGTACAATGTGTGAAGCCCATTTCTGGTGTCCCCCGCCGTGATATTGCTGGAATATTGCTAAAAGCGGCGTAAAACCAAACTCACTCACTCACTATTACCTGGGGCTAATCATCTAAAACAATAAACATCACCAACCACCTAATTGTGAAACAAGTAATTTTTCTTCGCTTCTTCTCTTTTCAGGTGTGTGTTTTTGTCGTTTGAACTTGTAAACCAAATATATAAAAAATAAGGACTAAGCAGATATTGATAGATATTAAATAGAACATCACTGAATCAATTTTTCAGATAAAAGCAATAATTGTTTGCAGTATGCAACATTAAGGGGTCCTATAGGTTTCCTCCTGTAATACATGGACCTAGGGAACCCCTCAACCTAAAATATTCAGCATAAGAGTTATGTCCCTTGGCTTTCAGTGGTGAATGTTTGTGGACAATGTGTATTGAAATATCCATGGTTAAATTGTATACATTCTGTTAGTTTTATGAACAAACAATGGTGTGTCATCATTAAATGGCATCAGCATGAAGGCTATGTGTAAGGAGTCCACTCATCACTACACAATATTTGGGGCATGGTTCGCCCAGTCGTCTAAGGCACTGTAATTCGCTGTGCAGAGTTGCGTCCCTTGGGCATGCCAGAAACCTATGATTATGGGATCGAATCCCGATTCAACCCGATTATGTTTCTAGGTTTGTCAGCACCATACCCGTACTCGTGGGTTTCACAGAAATGGTAAACGTCTAAGACCTGCATCACTTCGGGCTTTCCTCCCACATTGACACGCAGTGATATGACTGGAATACTGTTAAAGGCAGCGTTAAATACAATTCACTCACTCACTCACTCTACGCCATATTTACAGTGTCATGTAGCCTGCTTAGTGTGTCCCGGCACAGATGAAGATGTACACAGTTCATGAGTCTGCTGTTTCATCCTGTAGATAGATCCTCCTCCTCCTTTTTATATCATTGAGAAGCACGTATGCACAGCCTTAAATACTGCAGTGAACAAGTCATCATCATGGTAGTCATTACGAGTTATACGTGTATATATCAATGTCAGCTTCAGAGTGTGCTTAACTTCAGCCGTTTCATATAACCCCCCTCTTCTCTGTAATAAATAGAACTGTCATAGTGAGGTGAGTGAACATTCTGTTCAATAAAACAACTGTCATAATCTTCTGTTTATTCATCCCCCAGATGATAGACCCAGTGCTGACGATCGCGGCTGCCATGAGCGTACAGTCTCCGTTCACTATGAAGGCCCACCAAGACAGAGATGCTATTGTAAGTATTGTGGCTCAACCTGTAACCACGACGCATTCCAAATTAATAAATGACACCAGTGTGTGACTGTGGCCACTCGTAAGAAGCCAAAGCCTGTAATATTTTGGTAGAGTAAGATGAGCTAATAATAGTCCACATGCTGAGACAATTCTACTGAAGAAGTCTCCTAAAGAGACACGGCATGGAAAAAATAAGTCTCATTAATCCAACACAAGATAATCTGACATTCGGCTTTTTCCGACACTAGTGTTGGGAACTGATTAAATCAGTGCTATTTAGACCCGTTAATCCGATAGTCTCTCACTCCGGCTCCAACACACTTAATTTGCAATGAATTACTGAAATCACTCATTAATCAGTCTCGTTAATCTGACAGTGTTCAGCGTACTCCATGGTCATCTGCCCGCGAGTACACAGCCCCGTGTTTTGATCTGAGACGAGTCGGCTTGTGGCTGGATATTACAACATCTGAAGAGATAAACTTGCTCAACAGTAAACAATTAATGCTTTAAATGAACAATACAGGATTAATCACAGGCTTAGATTACCTCAGTCTCATGAAAATCATATATAAGTTCTCGCTACCGCTGAGGGCATCCCATTACAGGTCACGTCAGAACGTCCTTTCACAAACTTTGACTGACAAATGAAATGACTTACAGGAAGTCGACATAAGTCACTGATAAAGCAGCTTTCTTGAGCTTTGCGACACTAGTTTCAACCTTGCGACTTCCATTCCAGACTATGCTTTTTGAATCTGTCATACAGTCCGTAACAACAGTTTGGTGTTAAGCTTAAGAGGTTGCATGATTAGAAAACATATTCCGCTAACAGTACAACACAACAATATGATTTTTTCCTTTATCATATTTTTATAACATGTTTGAATCGTTATCTGTCGTGTAGTTGTTTGACCTTGATGCTTCTTAATTTTGTTTATCTGACATTCTCAGTAATCCAACATTATCATGTCGGATTATTGTAAGTTGTGTGGGATGTGGAATGTTCACTGTGGCCGTCTGTCTGTTTTGTGGGATGTGGAATGTTCATAATGACAGTCTGTCTGTTGTGTGGGATGTGGAATGTTCATAATGACAGTCTGTCTGTCTGTTGTGTGTGATGTGGAATGTTCACAGTGTCTGTCTGTCTGTTTTGTGGGATGTGGAATGTTCATAATGACAGTCTGTCTGTTGTGTGGGATGTGGAATGTTCATAATGACAGTCTGTCTGTTGTGTGGGATGTGGAATGTTCATAATGACAGTCTGTCTGTCTGTTGTGTGTGATGTGGAATGTTCACAGTGGCTGTCTGTTTGTTTTGTGGGATGTGGAATGTTCACAATGACAGTCTGTTTGTTGTGTGTGATGTGAAATGTTCACTGTGGCCATCTGTCTGTTGTGTGGGATGTGGAATGTTCACTGTGGCCGTCTGTCTGTTGTGTGTGATGTTGAATGTTCACTGTGGCCGTCTGTCTGTTGTGTGGGATGTGGAATGTTCACAATGACAGTCTGTCAGTTGTGTGGGATGTGGAATGTTCACTGTGGCCGTCTGTCTGTTGTGTGGGATGTGGATTGTTCACTGTGGCCGTCTGTCTGTTGTGTGGGATGTGAAATGTTCACAATGACAGTCTGTCAGTTGTGTGTGATGTTGAATGTTCACTGTGGCCGTCTGTCTGTTGTGTGGGATGTGGATTGTTCACTGTGGCCGTCTGTCTGTTGTGTGGGATGTGGAATGTTCACAATGACAGTCTGTCAGTTGTGTGTGATGTGGAATGTTCACTGTGGCCATCTGTCTGTTGTGTGGGATGTGGATTGTTCACTGTGGCCGTCTGTCTGTTGTGTGGGATGTGGAATGTTCACAATGACAGTCTGTCAGTTGTGTGTGATGTGGAATGTTCACTGTGGCCGTCTGTCTGTAATAACTTTCACCTGAAGACTTGGAAAAAGGTGCTTCAGTAAGACATAATAACATCATCCTCAAAGCATTATCCAAACTGTCATACCTAGAAAACTTGAAGTGACGGTTGTAATGTTCTAGCATTCTAAAGTATGTAGTTTTCTGCCTGAAATATTTTTCATCCATAGCGATGCATTCATCAGTTAAATCAGGGACTTACATAGATTTGTTACTGCTGGCAGACCGATGAGAAGGCAGGATTTTAAAATGTCATTGTGGAGTTCGACCTAATTTTTGGATTGTCCCCAGGCAGCCCGGAAGCCCCTGGAGTCGGATCACGGAGACCCCTTCACACTGCTCAATGCCGCAGATGAATGGATACAGGTACACATTGCTTACCATGGCTTACCATTGCTTACTGCTTCAATGATTGGCAAAGTCGCACAATTGCAGAATTCACATTAACTTAATCATGATCACTGATTTTACACGAGTTCTGCATAAAAGAAAATCATCAAACCAACATTTGAAATTTTACAGATATTTGTACTTACTAAAACAATATTCACTTTGTTACTGCTGACTGTCATTAGTAAAGAAATCATGAAGGCTAGCTTGATGTTATGTTTACTTTGAAAATGAAAGTGTATGAATTCCATGAAAATCCTGTGATATATTTAGAAACGTTGATCTGTGCATGACAGGAATCAACGGTTTGTGAGTTATTTATCACCATTGTCTGTACCACTTTTGGTAATCCCTTCCAGCCTCAATATATTGACATGGTTGCCATGGTTACTGTTAACAGGTGAAGGCTGAGGGCCGAGGAACCCGGAAATGGTGTCAGAGACGCGGTCTTGAGGAACAGAGGTTCTATGAGATGAACAAACTCAAGCGACAGTTCAGAGACCTCCTGAAGGTAAGGATAGATCTTCTGATTGATGTACTGGTAGGTCAAGTGGATAATTACCTGTACTGGTAGGTCTGTACTGGTAGGTCAAGTGGATAATTACCTTGGTGGTAGGTCTGTACTGGTAGGTCAAGTGGGTACTTATCTGTACTGGTAGGTTTGTACTGGTAGGTCAAGTGGGTACTTATCTGTACTGGTAGGTCAAGTGGATAATTACCTGAACTGGTAGGTCTGTACTGGAAGGTCAAGTGGGTACTTACCTGTACTGGTAGGTCAAGTGGATAATTACCTGTACTGGTAGGTCTGTACTGGTAGGTCAAGTGGGTACTTATCTGTACTGGTAGGTCAAGTGGGTACTTATCTGTACTGGTAGGTCAAGTGGGTACTTATCTGTATTGGTAGGTCAAGTGGATAATTACCTGTACTGGTAGGTCTGTACTGGTAGGTCAAGTGGGTACTTATCAGTACTGGTAGGTCAGGTGGGTACTTATCTGTACTGGTAGGTTTGTCCTTGTAGGTCAAGTGGGTACTTATCTGTACTGGTAGGTCAAGTGGATAATTACCTGTACTGGTAGGTCTGTACTGGTAGGTCAAGTGGGTACTTATCTGTACTGGTAGGTCAGGTGGGTACTTATCTGTACTGGTAGGTCTGTACTGGTAGGTCAAGTGAGTACTTATCTGTACTGGTAGGTCAAGTGGGTACTTACCTGTACTGGTAGGTCTGTACTGGTAGGTCAAGTGGATACTTACCTGTACTGGTACGTCAAGTGGGTACTTATCTGTACTGGTAGGTCAAGTGGGTACTTACCTGTACTGGTAGGTCTGTACTGGTAGGTCAAGTGGGTACTTATCTGTACTGGTAGGTCTGTACTGGTAGGTCAAGTGGGTACTTATCTGTACTGGTAGGTCAAGTGGGTACTTATCTGTACTGGTAGGTCTGTACTGGTAGGTCAAGTGAGTACTTATCTGTACTGGTAGGTCAAGTGGGTACTTACCTGTACTTGTAGGTCTGTACTGGTAGGTCAAGTGGATACTTACCTGTACTGGTACGTCAAGTGGGTACTTATCTGTACTGGTAGGTCAAGTGGGTACTTATCTGTACTGGTAGGTCTGTACTGGTAGGTCAAGTGGATACTTACCTGTACTGGTAGGTCAAGTGGGTACTTACCTGTACTGGTAGGTCTGTACTGGTAGGTCAAGTGGGTGCTTATCTGTACTGGTAGGTCTGTACTGGTAGGTCAAGTGGGTACTTATCTGTACTGGTAGGTCAGGTGGGTACTTATCTGTACTGGTAGGTCAAGTGGGTACTTATCTGTACTGGTAGGTCTGTACTGGTAGGTCAAGTGGGTACTTATCTGTACTGGTAGGTCAAGTGGGTACTTATCTGTACTGGTAGGTCTGTACTGGTAGGTCAAGTGGGTACTTATCTGTACTGCTAGGTTAAGTGGGTACTTACCTGTACTGGTAGGTCAAGTGGGTACTTATCTGTACTGGTAGGTCAAGTGGGTACTTATCAGTACTGGTAGGTCAGGTGGGTACTTATCTGTACTGGTAGGTCAAGTGGGTACTTATCTGTACTGGTAGGTCAGGTGGGTACTTATCTGTACTGGTAGGTCAGGTGGGTACTTATCAGTACTGGTAGGTCTGTACTGGTAGGTCAAGTGGGTACTTATCTGTACTGCTAGGTCAAGTGGGTACTTATCTGTACTGCTAGGTTAAGTGGGTACTTACCTGTACTGGTAGGTCAAGTGAGTACTTATCTGTACTGGTAGGTCAGGTGGGTACTTATCTGTACTGGTAGGTCAGGTGGGTACTTATCTGTACTGGTAGGTCAAGTGGGTACTTATCTGTACTGGTAGGTCTGTACTGGTAGGTCAAGTGGGTACTTATCTGTACTGCTAGGTTAAGTGGGTACTTACCTGTACTGGTAGGTCAAGTGGGTACTTATCTGTACTGGTAGGTCAAGTGGGTACTTATCAGTACTGGTAGGTCAGGTGGGTACTTATCTGTACTGGTAGGTCAAGTGGGTACTTATCAGTACTGGTAGGTCAGGTGGGTACTTATCTGTACTGGTAGGTCAGGTGGGTACTTATCAGTACTGGTAGGTCAAGTGGGTACTTATCTGTACTGGTAGGTCAAGTGGGTACTTATCTGTACTGCTAGGTTAAGTGGGTACTTACCTGTACTGGTAGGTCAAGTGGGTACTTATCTGTACTGGTAGGTCAGGTGGGTACTTATCTGTACTGGTAGGTCAGGTGGGTACTTATCTGTACTGGAAGGTCAAGTGGGTACTTATCAGTACTGGTAGGTCAAGTAGATAATTATCTGTTAGAATGAAGTTGTGGTAGGTCAAGTGGATAATTACATGTTGTCCTCTGAATATAGAATAGTAGATACATCACTGTTGATGTTGCCCTCTGTGGGCACACAAGGCTGTACCATCGGCGCTGATGTTGCAGGACCATGGGCTGTTGGATGACGTTCAGGAGGAGGAACGCTACTACACCAGCGAGGAACGCCGTCAGCGCCACGGAGAGAGGAAGCGCCTTGGGCAGCTGAAGAGAGAACAGAACAATGAGTCCAAGAAGAGGAAAGTACTTAAGTTCACTGAGGATGTAAGTAGAGGTCCAGGGAGAGAACTTCCACCATCATCTGTCACTGGGAAGCATACACCACACTTGTGGAACTTTTGAAAAATCATGAACCTTAGCAAAGCTCTTATGACATTTTTGGAAACAAGACAAAACTCTTATGGATAGGCAGTTCAGATTTACTTAGATACTAACAGACACAACGATTAGCATAAACAAATAAAATCTCACATGACAGATGTATCAACACTGTAGCACTTAAGGGTTAGAAGCTACTGCTACAGGGCTTGAATTTTTTTATACAAGTTGCTAAAATGCTATTCACACATCTGTTTTGCTTTGAGAATATCACATTGTAGCATATTTGTATGACTTAACCAATCACTGCTGGTGTTCGTCACATAAAGGTGCACTGTACTTAGATGTTTAGAATGAATAAAATTAGTTGTTTCAAAATGTTGGATTTCTGCTGCCAAACAGATGAAAATGATATTGTGGTACCTTAGTGTTGCTACTTGGCAAAACAGATAATTTATATCCCTTTTGCCTTTGACATTACTTCAGTGAACCTCCTAAGGACAGGAGACATGTATTTGAACATTTATGAATCAGGACTACCAGCTGAGTGATGGCGACGAAGATGACAAGGGGAACGACATCAAGGATCTGGAATTCCGACTGTCACATGACCTTAGTCAGCTACAGGTGTGTGTGATGAACATGGAGGGTGGGGAGGGGGTAGGTGGGAGATGTGGGGAGGGGGTAGGTGGGAGATGTGGGGAGGGGGTAGGTGGGAGATGTGAGGAGGGGGTAGGTGGGAGATGTGGTGAGGGGGTAGGTGGGAGATGTGGGGAGGGGGTAGGTGGGAGATGTGGGGAGGGGGTAGGTGGGAGATGTGGTGAGGGGGTAGGTGGGAGATGTGGGGAGGGGGTAGGTGGGAGATGTGGGGAGGGGGTAGGTGGGAGATGTAAGGACAGGGTAGGTGGGAGATGTTGGTAGGTGGGAGATGTGAGGAGGGGGTAGGTGGGAGATGTGGGGAGGGGGTAGGTGGGAGATGTAAGGACAGGGTAGGTGGGAGATGTTGGGACGTGGGAGATGTGGGGAGGGGGTAGGTGTGAGATGCGGTGAGGGGGTAGGTGGGAGATGCGGTGAGGGGGTAGGTGGGAGATGCGGTGAGGGGGAGGTGGGAGATGTGGGGAGGGGGTAGGTGGGAGATGTGGGGAGGGGGTAGGTGGGAGATTCGGTGAGGGGGAGGTGGGAGATGCGGTGAGGGGGAGGTGGGAGATGTGGGGAGGGGTAGGTGGGAGATGTGGGGAGGGGGTAGGTGGGAGATGTGGGGAGGTGGTAGGTGGGAGATGTGGGGAGGGGGTAGGTGGGAGATGTGGGGAGGGGGTAGGTGGGAGATGCGGTGAGGGGGAGGTGGGAGATGTGGGGAGGGGGTAGGTGGGAGATGTGGGGAGGGGGTAGGTGGGAGATGTGGGGAGGAGGTAGGTGGGAGATGTGGGGAGGGGGTAGGTGGGAGATGTAAGGACAGGGTAGGTGGGAGATGTGGGGAGGTGGGAGATGTGGGGAGGGGGTAGGTGGGAGATGTAAGGACAGGGTAGGTGGGAGATGTGGGGAGGTGGGAGATGTTGGGAGGGGGTAGGTGGGAGATGTGGGTAGGTGGGAGATGTGGGGAGGGGGTAGGTGGGAGATGTTGGGAGATGTGGGGAGGGGGTAGGTGGGAGATGTAAGGACAGGGTAGGTGGGAGATGTGGGGAGGTGGGAGATGTGGGGAGGGGGTAGGTGGGAGATGTTGGGAGATGTGGGGAGGGGGTAGGTGGGAGATGTGAGGAGGAGGTAGGTGGGAGATGTGGGGAGGGGGTAGGTGGGAGATGTGGGGAGGGGGTAGGTGGGAGATGTGGGTAGGTGGGAGATGTAAGGACAGGGTAGGTGGGAGATGTTGGGAGGTGGGAGATGTGAGGAGGAGGTAGGTGGGAGATGTGGGGAGGGGGTAGGTGGGAGATGTGGGGAGGGGGTAGGTGGGAGATGTGGGGAGGGGGTAGGTGGGAGATGTGGTGAGGGGGTAGGTGGGAGATGCGGTGAGGGGGAGGTGGGAGATGTGGGGAGGGGGTAGGTGGGAGATGTGGGGAGGGGGTAGGTGGGAGATGTGGGGAGGGGGTAGGTGGGAGATGTGGGGAGGGGGTAGGTGGGAGATGCGGTGAGGGGGAGGTGGGAGATGCGGTGAGGGGGAGGTGGGAGATGTGGGGAGGGGGTAGGTGGGAGATGTGGGGAGGGGGTAGGTGGGAGATGTGGGGAGGTGGTAGGTGGGAGATGTGGGGAGGGGGTAGGTGGGAGATGTGGGGAGGGGGTAGGTGGGAGATGCGGTGAGGGGGAGGTGGGAGATGTGGGGAGGGGGTAGGTGGGAGATGTGGGGAGGGGGTAGGTGGGAGATGTAAGGACAGGGTAGGTGGGAGATGTTGGGACGTGGGAGATGTGGGGAGGGGGTAGGTGGGAGATGTGGGGAGGGGGTAGGTGGGAGATGTGGGGAGGGGGTAGGTGGGAGATGCGGTGAGGGGGAGGTGGGAGATGTGGGGAGGGGGTAGGTGGGAGATGTGGGGAGGGGGTAGGTGGGAGATGTGGGGAGGGGGAGGTGGGAGATGTGGGGAGGGGGTAGGTGGGAGATGTGGGGAGGGGGTAGGTGGGAGATGCGGTGAGGGGGAGGTGGGAGATGCGGTGAGGGGGAGGTGGGAGATGTGGGGAGGGGGTAGGTGGGAGATGTGGGGAGGGGGTAGGTGGGAGATGTGGGGAGGTGGTAGGTGGGAGATGTGGGGAGGGGGTAGGTGGGAGATGCGGTGAGGGGGTAGGTGGGAGATGCGGTGAGGGGGTAGGTGGGAGATGTGGGGAGGGGGTAGGTGGGAGATGCGGTGAGGGGGAGGTGGGAGATGTGGGGAGGGGGTAGGTGGGAGATGTGGGGAGGGGGTAGGTGGGAGATGTAAGGACAGGGTAGGTGGGAGATGTTGGGACGTGGGAGATGTGGGGAGGGGGTAGGTGGGAGATGTGGGGAGGGGGTAGGTGGGAGATGTGGGGAGGGGGTAGGTGGGAGATGCGGTGAGGGGGAGGTGGGAGATGTGGGGAGGGGGTAGGTGGGAGATGTGGGGAGGGGGTAGGTGGGAGATGTGGGGAGGGGGTAGGTGGGAGATGTGGGGAGGGGGTAGGTGGGAGATGTGGGGAGGGGGTAGGTGGGAGATGCGGTGAGGGGGAGGTGGGAGATGCGGTGAGGGGGAGGTGGGAGATGTGGGGAGGGGGTAGGTGGGAGATGTGGGGAGGGGGTAGGTGGGAGATGTGGGGAGGTGGTAGGTGGGAGATGTGGGGAGGGGGTAGGTGGGAGATGTGGGGAGGAGGTAGGTGGGAGATGTGGGGAGGAGGTAGGTGGGAGATGCGGTGAGGGGGAGGTGGGAGATGTGGGGAGGGGGTAGGTGGGAGATGTGGGGAGGGGGTAGGTGGGAGATGCGGTGAGGGGGAGGTGGGAGATGTGGGGAGGGGGTAGGTGGGAGATGTGGGGAGGGGGTAGGTGGGAGATGTGGGGAGGTGGGAGATGTGGGGAGGGGGTAGGTGGGAGATGTGGTGAGGGTGTAGGTGGGAGATGTGGGGAGGGGGTAGGTGGGAGATGTGGGGAGGGGGTAGGTGGGAGATGTGGGGAGGGGGTAGGTGGGAGATGCGGTGAGGGGGTAGGTGGGAGATGTAAGGACAGGGTAGGTGGGAGATGTGGGGAGGTGGGAGATGTGGGGAGGGGGTAGGTGGGAGATGTGGGGAGGGGGTAGGTGGGAGATGTGGGGAGGGGGTAGGTGGGAGATGCGGTGAGGGGGAGGTGGGAGATGTGGGGAGGGGGTAGGTGGGAGATGTGGGGAGGGGGTAGGTGGGAGATGTGGGGAGGTGGGAGATGTGGGGAGGGGGTAGGTGGGAGATGTGGTGAGGGTGTAGGTGGGAGATGTGGGGAGGGGGTAGGTGGGAGATGTGGGGAGGGGGTAGGTGGGAGATGTGGGGAGGGGGTAGGTGGGAGATGCGGTGAGGGGGTAGGTGGGAGATGTAAGGACAGGGTAGGTGGGAGATGTGGGGAGGTGGGAGATGTGGGGAGGGGGTAGGTGGGAGATGTAGGGAGGGGGTAGGTTGGAGATGTGGGGAGGTGGGAGATGTGGGGAGGTGGGAGATGTGAGGAGGGGGTAGGTGGGAGATGTAAGGACAGGGTAGGTGGGAGATGTGGGGAGGTGGGAGATGTGAGGAGGGGGTAGGTGGGAGATGTGGGGAGGGGGTAGGTGGGAGATGTAAGGACAGGGTAGGTGGGAGATGTGGGGAGGTGGGAGATGTGGGGAGGGGGTAGGTGGGAGATGTGGGGAGGGGGTAGGTTGGAGATGTGGGGAGGGTGTAGGTTGGAGAAGTGGGGAGGGGGTAGGTGGGAGATGTGGGGAGGGGGTAGGTGGGAGATGTGGGGAGGGGGTAGGTGGGAGATGTGGGGAGGGGGTAGGTGGGAGATGTGGTGAGGGTGTAGGTGGGAGATGTGGTGAGGGGGTAGGTGGGAGATGTGGTGAGGGTGTAGGTGGGAGATGTGGTGGGGGTTGTGGGAAATGTGGTGAGGGTGTAGGTGGGAGATGTGGTGAGGGGGTAGGTGGGAGATGTGGGGAGGGGGTAGGTGGGAGATGTGGGGAGGGGGTAGGTGGGAGATGTGGGGAGGGGGTAGGTGGGAGATGTGGGGAGGGGGTAGGTGGGAGATGTGGGAAGGGTGTAGGTGGGAGATGTGGGGAGGGTGTAGGTGGTAGAAGTGGGGAGGGGGTAGGTGGGAGATGTGGTGAGGGGGTAGGTGGGAGAAGTGGGGTGGGGGTTGTGGGAGATGTGGGGAGGAGGTAGGTGGGGAGGGGGTAGGTTGGAGATGTACAGACAATAGTAAATGGTACAATAACATAAAGGCAGTGGTCGAGCAGGATTCTTGCAATATTTTATCTCTTGGTGCTTGATATATACTCTCAAAGGAAAAGGGGCGTATTCATGTAGATGGGTTTATATTATGTAATTGTGAGAGTCATTAACTGTGTCAAAAACACAGGATAGCTGCTTCTGTTATTGAATGTAAACATTGTGATTTTTGTTGCCTTAAACATCTGAATTTAGAAAAACTGAGAAAGGCTCAACTTTTCAGCGAATCTGATTTCATGACTACACATGGATGCAGCATAATTAAGAAGAAATACTACGACATGTCAGCGTTGTATAAATCATGTGAAATCTAATTCAATAACAAAGTTAATTCTAATTTTATCACGAGTACCTTGAAGGGACATGCTAACGGCAGTGATCACACACAAACTATTGTGTGAAGCCCATTTCTGGTGTCCCCCGCCCTGATATTGCTGGAATATTGCTAAAAGTGGCGTAAAATCAAACTCACTCACTCACACAAACTATTGAGGCTAATTATGTAGGACATCAGACGTTGTTGCTGCGAAAGATGCCATGCGAAAATGTTGTATATAGTTAAGGTTACTTGTAGACGGCGATTCTGCATCAATAACCTGCATACCATGGGGTTTTAAGTTTTATCTGGTCTCTCCGAGTTTTGGCCCATGAGTTTTGACCCATGTATTTATGCTGAAGGGTCCCTGTACCCACTTGTTCGGTTTCTTGGCAGAACACTGATTAAGGTGATTGTACAGTGCAATGATAAAAGCTACAATAACATTAAGGTGCTTCTGCAGAGCAAGAATAAATGCTACAATAACATTAAGGTGCTTCTGCAGAGCAAGAATAAATGCTACAATAACATTAAGGTGCTTCTGCAGAGCAAGAATAAATGCTACAATGACATTAAGGTGCTTCTGCAGAGCAAGAATAAATGCTACAATAACATAAGAGCAATATTAATTGCTCAATGATTCATTGAGTGTAACTTGACCTGTATCCTGACAGGAGACTGCCAACAAGACTCGGTGTTTCAAGCTGCGTGATGTCAACTTGCTCAAGGTCATCCTGTGCAGCGGGCTGTACCCACAGGTGGCGCTGGCTGATGACTGCAACTCCTACAAGGGCGACTCTGAGCAGGCCTTCCATACAAAGGTGCCTCCTGGATCCTAGTATCTACATGACATATATTCATCTTACAGTTTCGTGGCAGGGTAGCCTAGTGGTTAAAGCATTTGCTTGTCACGCCGAAGACCCAGGTTCGATTCCCGACATGGGTACAATGTTTGAAGCCCATTTCTGGTGTCCCCCGCCGTGATATTGCTGGAATATTGCTAAAAGCGGCGTAAAACCATACTCACTCACTCACTCTTCTTACAGTTTCACTAGGATCGGTATTTTCATGTTAATCAGATTCAACCCAAAATGCATATATAGTTTAGTACATACATGGAGAATCTCACCCAAGTGTCTTTTGATATCAAATATATCTACACGAGTCGATAAAAGTTCAAAACTCCGAGGCTTGCCGAGAAGTTTTAAACTTTAATCGACGAGTGTTGGCATATTTGATATTAAAAGACTCAAGGGTGAGATTCCATTTATCATCCAGGGCAGAAATCTTTCTTCCAACTTTTTCAGTTTGTAGACAGTAACAAGCAGTGTTTTAAGTGTAAAAAGTACTGCTTACAGCTTTTGTAGCAGAGCCACTAGTGATGTCATTTGATTGTGGCATCATGGTCTGCAAAGCATTGTGATGCAATTTCATTGCAGCAATATCTACAATGTAGATATCGCTTGCTACAATGTAGATATCACTTGATCTCACCCAAGCAATATCTCCTGTAGGAGCCGGTTTTGGATGATACATCAGTTTGTAACAGAAATATCAACCACAGGTGCTTGTAACAGAAAAAATAGCAGCAAGACATATGCTCACTACTGGTTTCATAATATAAACGGATACTAGAACACCTGACTTTATAGCTTACTGCTATTGTTTTCGTTACAAGCCCCTGTAGTGCCAACTACCTCTAGCCTGTATGATGTTTGTGGATATTATTTAGTTTCATTTAATTATGATACTTTTGATGACTCATTATTGGTATTAAATTCTGTGAGGTTTAGAAATTTTAGAAAGACATATCTGGATATGTCAGTTGTATGTTTCTCCATTCCTAACAAATGTCAACATATTTGACCTCAGAACAAGGCTTTCATCCTCCTGCATCCCACAAGTGTGTTCGCCAGCAAGCCAGAGGTGCTTCGTCCCAGTGACATCAAGGACAACAAGACCACGCCCAGTGAGCTGAGGGGGCGACTCAGCAGCAAACACGAGGTCCTGGCGTTTGTGTAAGTTACCATGGTGAGGGGAAATTTTCCTTGCCTTTGATTTCAAAGTTTCTAACCACTAGACAGCTAGGAATCATCATAAAAGGACAAATCTTTAGCGGATTAAGCAGAAAAAGTCTTATTTTAATAGTTTGTCTTCCTTCCACTAGTTCTATCCTGGAGACCAACAAGCCTTACCTCATCAACACAATGCGGGTCCCAGCACTGCAAACTATCACCCTCTTCTCCAACTCCATTGATGCCAATGCCGACTGCACCAGGTAGGTGGCCTATCTTCCATCATACAGTCTCTGCCTCCCCAATAGGGCGGTGGGGTAGCCTAGTGGTTAAAGCGTTCGCTTGTCATTTCGATTCCAGACATGGGTCCAAGGTGTGAAGCCCATTTCTGTGTCCCTCACCGTGATATTGCTGGAATATTGCTAAAAGCGGCGTAAAACTATACTCATTCACTCACTCACTGCTTCCCCATTGTCTGTGTCTTTCAGACTGGTGTGTGATGGCTGGCTGGAGATCTCCCAGTGATGTCAACATGTCTCTGAATGTGTCCGTGTCTTTCAGGCTGGTGTGTGATGGGTGGCCAGAGATCTCCCAGTGATGTCAACATGTCTCTGAATGTGTCCGTGTCTTTCAGGCTGGTGTGTGATGGCTGGCTGGAGATCTCCCAGTGATGTCAACATGGCTGTGAATGTGTCCGTGTCTTTCAGGCTGGTGTGTGATGGGTGGCCAGAGATCTCCCAGTGATGTCAACATGTCTCTGAATGTGTCCGTGTCTTTCAGGCTGGTGTGTGATGGGTGGCTGTTCTCCCAGTGATGTCAACATGTCTCTGAATTGTCCATGTCTTTCAGGCTGGTGTGTGATGGCTGGCTGGAGATCTCCCAGTGATGTCAACATGTCTCTGAATGTGTCCGTGTCTTTCAGGCTGGTGTGTGATGGCTGGCCAGAGATCTCCCAGTGATGTCAACATGGCTGTGAATGTGTCCGTGTCTTTCAGGCTGGTGTGTGATGGGTGGCCAGAGATCTCCCAGTGATGTAAACATGTCTCTGAATGTGTCCGTGTCTTTCAGGCTGGTGTGTGATGGCTGGCCAGAGATCTCCCAGTGATGTCAACATGGCTGTGAATGTGTCCGTGTCTTTCAGACTGGTGTGTGATGGGTGGCCAGAGATCTCCCAGTGATGTCAACATGTCTCTGAATGTGTCCGTGTCTTTCAGGCTGGTGTGTGATGGCTGGCTGGAGATCTCCCAGTGATGTCAACATGGCTGTGAATGTGTCCGTGTCTTTCAGACTGGTGTGTGATGGGTGGCCAGAGATCTCCCAGTAATGTAAACATGTCTCTGAATGTGTCCGTGTCTTTCAGGCTGGTGTGTGATGGCTGGCTGGAGATCTCCCAGTGATGTCAACATGGCTGTGAATGTGTCCGTGTCTTTCAGACTGGTGTGTGATGGGTGGCCAGAGATCTCACAGTGATGTCAACATGTCTCTGAATGTGTCCGTGTCTTTCAGACTGGTGTGTGATGGCCGGCCAGAGATCTCCCAGTGATGTCAACATGTCTCTGAATGTGTCCGTGTCTTTCAGGCTGGTGTGTGATGGGTGGCCAGAGATCTCCCAGTGATGTCAACATGGCTGTGAATGTGTCCGTGTCTTTCAGGCTGGTGTGTGATGGCTGGCTGGAGATCACCCAGTGATGTCAACATGTCTCTGAATGTGTCCGTGTCTTTCAGACTGGTGTGTGATGGCAGGCCAGAGATCTCCCAGTGATGTCAACATGTCTCTGAATGTGTCCGTGTCTTTCAGGCTGGTGTGTGATGGGTGGCCAGAGATCTCCCAGTGATGTCAACATGTCTCTGAATGTGTCCGTGTCTTTCAGACTGGTGTGTGATGGCTGGCCAGAGATCTCCCAGTGATGTCAACATGCCTCTGAATGTGTCCGTGTCTTTCAGGCTGGTGTGATGGCTGGCTGGAGATCTCCCAGTGATGTCAACATGTCTCTGAATGTGTCCGTGTCTTTCAGGCTGGTGTGTGATGGCTGGCTGGAGATCTCCCAGTGATGTCAACATGTCTCTGAATGTGTCCGTGTCTTTCAGGCTGGTGTGTGATGGCTGGCCAGAGATCTCCCAGTGATGTCAACATGTCTCTGAATGTGTCTGTGTCTTTCAGGCTGGTGTGTGATGGCTGGTGTGTGATGGCTGGCTGGAGATCTCCAAGTGATGTCAACGTGTCTCTGAATGTGTCCGTGTCTTTCAGGCTGGTGTGTGATGGCTGGCTGGAGATCTCCCAGTGATGTCAACATGTCTCTGAATGTGTCCGTGTCTTTCAGGCTGGTGTGTGATGGCTGGCTGGAGATCTCCCAGTGATGTCAACATGTCTCTGAATGTGTCTGTGTCTTTCAGGCTGGTGTGTGATGGGTGGCTGGAGATCTCCCAGTGATGTCAACATGTCTCTGAATGTGTCCGTGTCTTTCAGGCTGGTGTGTGATGGGTGGCCAGAGATCTCCCAGTGATGTCAACATGTCTCTGAATGTGTCCGTGTCTTTCAGGCTGGTGTGTGATGGCTGGCCAGAGATCTCCCAGTGATGTCAACATGTCTCTGAAAGTGTCCGTGTCTTTCAGGCTGGTGTGTGATGGGTGGCTGCAGATCTCCCAGTGATGTCAACATGTCTCTGAATGTGTCCGTGTCTTTCAGACTGGTGTGTGATGGCCGGCCAGAGATCTCCCAGTGATGTCAACATGTCTCTGAATGTGTCCGTGTCTTTCAGGCTGGTGTGTGATGGCTGGCTGGAGATCTCCCAGTGATGTCAACATGTCTCTGAATGTGTCCGTGTCTTTCAGGCTGGTGTGTGATGGCTGGCTGGAGATCTCCCAGTGATGTCAACATGTCTCTGAATGTATCCGTGTCTTACAGGCTGGTGTGTGATGGGTGGCCAGAGATCTCCCAGTGATGTCAACATGTCTCTGAATGTGTCCGTGTCTTTCAGGCTGGTGTGTGATGGCTGGCTGGAGATCTCCCAGTGATGTCAACATGTCTCTGAATGTGTCCGTGTCTTTCAGGCTGGTGTGTGATGGCTGGCTGGAGATCTCCCAGTGATGTCAACATGTCTCTGAATGTGTCCGTGTCTTTCAGGCTGGTGTGTGATGGGTGGTTGGAGATCTCCCAGTGATGTCAACATGTCTCTGAATGTGTCCGTGTCTTTCAGGCTGGTGTGTGATGGGTGGTTGGAGATCTCCCAGTGATGTCAACATGTCTCTGAATGTGTCTGTGTCTTTCAGGCTGGTGTGTGATGGGTGGTTGGAGATCTCCCAGTGATGTCAACATGTCTCTGAATGTGTCCGTGTCTTTCAGGCTGGTGTGTGATGGCCGGCCAGAGATCTCCCAGTGATGTCAACATGTCTCTGAATGTGTCCGTGTCTTTCAGGCTGGTGTGTGATGGGTGGTTGGAGATCTCCCAGTGATGTCAACATGTCTCTGAATGTGTCCGTGTCTTTCAGGCTGGTGTGTGATGGCTGGCTGGAGATCCGGTTCCCTGACGCCGAGTCTGCTGATGGTGTCATATCCAGCATCCTACATCTCCGGGCCACCTGGCTGAACCTGCTTCAAGTCCGCCTGGCCGGTATGGGAATGATGAGAATTCATCTTAGGCAGTTAATGAGGGGGATATTGTTTTGTACTGTTTCTTATTTTATATGGTTTAAGAATTGTTTCTGACCAATTAACTTGGGTTGGTCAAAGTTATGATACAGTAGTGAAGCTCAGCATTATTCAGTATTAGTACAATTCTGAGAAGTTTTTAATGTCTGAAAAATGAAATGACATGAAATGCCTCATAAACTGTTATTAAAAAAGTTGTTATTTTCTTTCATTTTGAATGATTTTTATGGTTGTTTTTCTTTATCAAAGATTGTCCAGACAAATAAGAATAAATTTAGACTATTTTCATTTTGTGACTTTTTGTGACGACGTGTTGTCTGTTGACAATTGAAAGAATTCCGATGATTTACTAGCTTAGAGTTTTTGTATAGAAGTGACAGAAAGATGCCGCCCCTAGCATGTGCCTGAGTGAGAGAGTTCCATGTGTTCTCCACAGATACCATGAGTCAGATGGATGACGACCATAAGAAGGTCGGCAACAAAGCCCGGCGCCTGGAGCAGCTCCTTGCACGCAAACTGGCCGAGTTCCTGGACAGTCGAGTCACCTACTCCATACGTCGGGTGATGGCGGCCGAACAGCAGCACCTGTATGTAGGCATGAGTACAGGTAGGTTCAAGTTGTCGGATGTCAGACCCTCATTGTACCTATATGTCATCATCTGTGGAATAACTGGGATTATCGGCTATGTCCTGAAGGGGTTTATGCTTCAGCAAATAAGTGGCATTATGTTTGGTAATTAAATGGCATTGGTTCTAGACTGTGTATACAACAATGTTTACTGTTGTATTAAGAGGTGAGGTGGGGTGAAATGGGATTTAACATCACTTCCCAAGATTATTGCACTTATACAGCAACGTGCATGCACTTTTGTGTGTGTGAGTGGCTGCTTGAACTAGTCTGGACTGATGCTGATTTATAGTGATTGCACCCTGATACCATGCCCCAGTTAAACATGAATACCCCACTCAGACTCAGTTTAGAGACTCCGAGCCGACCAGTCCTTGTTTTAGTCCTTAATGCCTAGTGCCAGACAGGGTAAAAACAATTACCATCTTTTAATGTCTTTTTGGTATGACTCGTGATCGAACGCTGGACCTTCCACTTTCCGGGTGGACGCTCTACCACTAGACCACGGAGACAGTCTGTTGTATTAAGAAATGGAGACATTTTCAAAAGGTTAACAATGTAATAAAATGTATTAAGAGAGCCTCAACAAGGAAATGAGTTTTCTGGAATATATCTACAGATTATTAATTCAGTAATATTCTGATTTATGGCTCAACTGCCATTTCATCAGTTCATTTCATGAGAGCTTGAAAGTGTCTGCCTGTAAATCAATTCATAGCCCAGTTCATTAAGTTGAAATTTAATAATCAATATACACTATTATGACACACATAAATATTGGGACAATTAATTTGGGTTGGGTAATTTTAAAAAAGGCATTTATAAGAAAAAAACCTCACATCACTTTTGCAGACATTTTGATATTTGAAATGCCCCACTGCCACCGTAAGTTCAGAATAAAATAATTTCTTTGATTGCCCTGCCTCTATATTACATCATAGCCTCTATTCCTGTACTCTTGCCAAACATCAAACTGAAAAAAATCTTACATTTTCAACAGATGTTGTTAGCCATCCCAACCAGTTGTTAGGCGAACCAAACATTGTTCAAATGCCTCTGCAAATGCCAGGATGACCTCAGTTCTTTGTTGTGAGAGAGAGAGAGAGAGAGAGAGAGAGAGAGAGAGAGAGAGAGAGAGGTTATCACGCAAGTGTGTTTGGGGATGGTAAATATCCTGTGTTAGGAATAAATACATAGTGTTTATTCTGCAGACATCACCTACAACGACTATGGGGCACGAAGGCACCACGTTTGTTGAAGGAGATATTTATTCAGCTGCAGACCAACATATCATATTTCCGGGAAACTAAACTTCTTGGCAAACTGTTTATCCTGGAAGAACAAGATCATGTTGACGGAGTAGTCCCTACATCCCCAGATCTGCAAGTGGATAACGACGACTTGAGCTACTCCCCATTCTCACGTGCTTCAACCACATGCTCCCCATATAATATGTCAGTCCAGTACCAGACCTTTAGGCTCTCCACATGGACGTCCTGTTGATGAGTTCGGAGGGGATGTTCGCTTTCACATTTCCGCCTTGGCCTCTGCTGGACCGAGTCCTGAGAAAAGTGGAGGACTCGGACCATGTAGTCATTTTCATAGCTCCGGCTTGGCCAAACAGGACTCGGTTTCCCAGACTGTTCCCACTTCTCATGGCAGTGCCACTCCAGCTCCCACTTCGTCCTGATTTGCTCCGTCAGCCCCGCTCAGACATATACTGTAAATCTTGTAATTAATGTGTCTCCAAATTAATACAACTGCTGACCTGCATTTTTCACATTTAATTCACGCTCATGTTAATTTGAAGATTTACAGTAACTGTGCAACCTGCTCCTACACACCTGGAAGCTCTCACGGCTAACATGCAGACTGTCGGTGTATCCAAGTCTGCCATCGATGCTGTGGCATGGTCATGGAGACCTTCCTCCTCTGCCATCTATGACATCTATGACAACCGATGGCACAAGTGTGGATCGTGGCAGAGAGGAAGAGGTTCGGAGCTCATGGGCAAGAGTATTCCCATGGTAGCCGATCTATTGCTGCGTCGCCGCCAGCAGAACTTCCGTTATTGTAAGATTAAGGGTTGCAGATCAGCACCAGCATCAGTCCTCGACCATGATGGGCTCGCCAAAATGATGGGCTCTCCATCGGCACCTATCCAGTCATGAATCAACTCATGAAGTTTTTTCAACTGGAGGATCTACAAGACCCGCACTAATTCCCCAAGTGGAATCTGTCTGTCGTCCTGTCTGCTTTTATGGTTGTACCATATGAACCTATGCATAAGGAGACTCTTTAGCAGACATTAAAGAAGACTGCCTGTTTGCTTGCCATGGCAACAGCAGCTAGAGTGTCTGAGCTACATGCCGTTGACTACTCCTCACTCACTCACTCACTCACATACCAGATTTTAGGTCATCGGGAATACTCCATTCCTGTTCCAGGCGGTATTGTAGACTTTCCAGACAGACTATTATGGTCTAAGAGCATACCATATGATGGTGAAGATGATGTCTGTTAAAACTGTAAGGAATTTTTAAGTGTGGTGTTAGCCGAATGACAGGAATATTGGCTATGATGTAAGAGAGGCAGTACTCTTAGAATTAGGTGAGGTGAGGTGAAATGGTGTTTAAAGTTGTGTTCAAGATTATTGCATTTATAATGCAACGTGCATACACTTGTACGTGTGTGTGTGTGTGTGTCTGTGTGTGTGTCTGTGTCTGTTTCTGTGTCTGTGTCTGTGTCAGCTGTTTATTTAGAAACTTGACAAAGAGGTGCAAAGGGCCATCGAGTTCATATTGAATTCCATTGAAATGACAAGGTACCGGATTATCATTACCAGGAGTTGGATGTTCTCTGTTTCAGACAGTCAAGATAATAAGGAACATTCAGTTAAAGGAGGAACACAAGTCAATTCTTATTTAACAGTTGGCTGGTGAGTACAGTGTTGTTTTACAAGTAGTCACATGATTGATTCTTACGATATGGCTAGCTGTTTAATAGAAACATGATTCCCTAGGTACGGTAGAGTAGCAGCAAAAAGAATTTTATGCAGCAGTTGTCTTGAGAATAGTAGCTTGATTGATTCTATGTGACAGTTGTCTAGAGAGTAGTAGCTTGATTGATTCTATACAGCAGTTGTCTGGAGAGTAGTAGCTTGATTGATTCTGTGCACCAGTTGTCTGGAGAGTAGGAGCTTGATTGATTCTGTGCAACAGTTGTCTTGAGAGTAGTAGCTTGATTGATTCTATGAAACTGTTGTCTGGAGAGTAGTAGCTTGACTGATTCTATGCATCAGTTGTTTGGAGAGTAGTATCTAGATTGATTCTGTGCAGTAAATGTCTGGAGAGTATTAGTTTGATTGATTCTATGCAACAGTTGTCTGGAGAGTAAAGGCTTGATTTATTCTATGCACCAGTTGTCTGGAGAGTAGGAGCTTGATTGATTCTGTGCAACAGTTGTCTTGAGAATAGTAGCTTGATTGGTTCTATGCAACTGTTGTCTTGAGAGTAGTAGCTTGATTGATTCTACACAGTAAGTGTCTGGAGAGCAGTTGTCTGGAGAGTAGTAGCTTGATTGATTCTGTGCAGTAGGTGTCTGGAGAGCAGTTGTCTGGAGAGTAGTAGCTTGATTGAATCTATGCAGTAGGTGTCTGGAGAGCAGTTGTCTGGAGAGTATTAGCTTGATTGATTTTGTGCAACAGTTGTCTGGAGAGTAGTAGCCTGATTGTTTCTATGAAACTGTTGTCTGGAGTGTAGTAGCTTGACTGATTCTATGCAACTGTTGTCTGGAGAGTAGTAGCTTGATTGTTTCTATGAAACTGTTGTCTGGAGAGTATTAGCTTGACTGATTCTATGCATCAGTTGTTTGGAGAGTAGTATCTTGATTGATTCTATGTAGTAGGTGTCTGGAGAGTAGTAGCTTGATTGATTCTATGCAACAGTTGTCTGGAGAGTAGAGGCTTGATTTATTCTATGCATCAGTTGTCTGGAAAATAGTAGCTTGATTGGTTCTATGCAACTGTTGTCTTGAGAGTAGTAGCTTGATTGATTCTATGCAGGAGGTGTCTGGAGAGCAGTTGTCTGGAGAGTAGTAGCTTGATTGATTCTGTGCAGTAGGTGTCTGGAGAGCAGTTGTCTGGAGAATAGTAGCAAGGATGTGTTAAAATCTCCCGTTCACTGGTTAATTTCCTGTTGCAGCCTGCTTGATGATACCTCGGCCAGCGTGTGGGGGGAATACACGTCACACATGCAGAAGGTCTGGGAATGCCCACGATGTCATGTCAGCCTGATTGTGTCAGTGGTAGAACGGCTGCAGCATCAGATGGAGTGTCAGAGTGCTGATAAGCCTTGTAAGCTTTCATTTCGAATTTTGAAACCATTAATGTACAATTATTCCATAAATGTTTACAGTAGTATGTGGGAGAATAACCAAATCTGAAGAAGTGCCATTTGTAGCCAACCTGGTACAGCCATCATATACATTTACACTAGATGCTCAGATGCTCAATCGGGGCGGTCGGGTAGCCTAGTGGTTAAAGCGTTCGCTCGTCACGCCGAAGACCCGGGTTCGATTCCCGACATGGGTACAATGTGTGAAGCCCATTTCTGGTGTCCCCCGCCGTGATATTGCTGGAATATTGCTAAAAGCGGCGTAAAACCATATTCACTCACTCACTCACTCCAGATGCTCAATCAATGCATGTATGAAGGAGGCAGACTGACTGGAGGTCAGGTAGATTCTTGTCATTTACACAAGGTGCTCAGTTCTGTATGAATGGCCGAAGGAGACTGGAGCAGGGTCCGAAATAACTGCCTGCCCACCTGCCCGTGGCTGGTGTCTTTTCTGTCGTGATGCATGAGATATTGCCTCCACCCGTCAGACTGTCTGGCAGATAATTTTAAGACTACTTACATATTCAGTATTCCTGGTAGATTCTCAAGTAATTGTTTGCATTATTTCAACTGAATCAAGACATGATTTGTCTCATATTTTACGTTATTTTACTCATTCTGTTGTCGCGATCCAGTATTAACGGTCAATGAAAGGAAGTAACTACGCTTTCATTGGTCAATCTAGTCTTAATTGGATGAGTATTAACCAAGTCAGCGAGCCTGACCACCCGATCCCATTAGTCGCCTCTTACGACAAGCATAGTCGCTTTTACGGCAAGCATGGGTTGCTGAAGACCTATTCTAACCCTATTGTGAGTTTCCTACTTTCACTGTGAAAAAAATGAGTGTATATTTTCAAACACAGATACTAATTAATTCTAAAATTGCGTTTTGTTTAGAAAAAGATAAAAAGTGATTTTTGCGTGTACACTTCCCCTTTAAGTCAATATTCTCCAAGGGGAAGTTAAAAATGATATCTCTCCTGTGTAAATGATGTATCTTTAAACTGACTTTTCTGTGCATTGCCTGCATCATGGCAGTTATTGACTTGATAGTCACAACACTTACAGAGTTAGTTTTACATACTTCTTGTGAAAATCAACTTCTCAAATTCTGAGAGCAACAAAACCCTTTCCATATTCCTAAAAAAAATCATGAGTTGATTGTACGATTTGGATAACACCATAAGCTTGTGTTTATGAATTCCTATTAAATAGTGAAAAGGTACCAGATGTATCATGCTTCACGTATGGAATGTTGACGTCATCCCACTTGTCAAACAGTCTTGTAAAGTACTTCCTTAGCAATGCCTTATTTCTGAAAGTGTGCATGTATTATTGAAATTGTCTCCTTTGGGACTGTAACTGGATACACCAGTAAACGTATAATAGATAATGGGAGTTTCTACATTTCCTTGATTGGTTTGATAGTCTACTTATGAATCTTAGCAGAAAACTCCCATTTTACAGTTATGACTGAAACACTGAAACCCTGTATAACAAAATGCTGATAAATATGATCTAAAAAAGAAATTTAAATTTTATTTTTCTCTGATTTTTGGGGTAATTTTTACTTTGAAGTAGAACTAAATAATATGTGGCTGGAATTCCAAGATCAAATAATATTCACTGATACAGAAAGAAATTGTCTGGCCCATACTTGATGTACCACTGGTTTGTCTGGCCCATACTTGATGTGCCACTGGTTTGTCTGGCCCAGACTTGATGTGCCACTGGTTTGTCTGAACCAGACGTGATGTGCCACTGGTTTGTCTGGCCCAGACTTGATGTGCCACTGGTTTGTCTGAACCAGACGTGATGTGCCACTGGTTTGTCTGGCCCAGACTTGATGTGCCACTGGTTTGTCAGACCCAGACTTGATGTGCCACTGGTTTGTCTGACCCAGACTTGATGTGCAACTAGTTTGTCTGGCCCAGACTTGATGTGCCACTGGTTTGTCTGACCCAGACTTGATGTGCCACTGGTTTGTCTGGCCCAGACTTGATGTGCCACTGGTCTGTCTGGCCCAGACTTGATGTGCCACTGGTTTGTCTGGCCCAGACTTGATGTGCCACTGGTCTGTCTGGCCCAGACTTGATGTACCACTGGTTTGTCTGGCCCAGACTTGATGTACCACTGGTTTGTCTGGCCCAGACTTGATGTACCACTGGTTTGTCTGGCCCAGACTTGATGTGCCACTGGTCTGTCTGGCCCAGACTTGATGTTCCACTGTTCTGTCTGGCCCAGACTGGATGTACCACTGGCCCAGACTGGATGTTCCATGTTTACAGACTGCCATGTAATGGTATTACTGGAATATTGTTGACTGTGGCATAAAACAACATTCACTTCAGGCATTGTATGCTCTCAGAAGATGTCATCCAGTCCTCTGTCCTTACATGTGTCAAGAACAGAAATGTCAAAGTAATAATCTGATGATATTGTGCTATTTAAATGCCCAGATCTATGAAATATGCACAGCTTTCACCAAGAAGGTAGTCTCATGTAACGTGTGGCATGCGCCTCGGGAATTTTGACAGATTATATCTGATGTGTATCTTGAATTTCCACATTCCACTTACCTCCCTGATAAATGTTTGAACAGTGGCAATCAGGAAGATGTTAATCGCTTGTTTCCAGATACTTTGTTGAAGGTAATATTGGAGAAAGTGATATTGATGTAGATATGACAATAGGCACATTGTTCCTGCCCGTATACGATATGGCTGAAATATTGCCGATGTGACGTAAAGCTTTAACTCACTCACTCACTCCTGCCCGTATACCAAATGTAGTTTAAAGATGGTACATGTTGTTACCCTGCCAGGTGTCATCTATAAGGGACGAAGATAAGAGTCGGTTCGGAGTCAGAATACTGTGTCTGAGTGGGGTAGCCATGTTAAACTGTGGCATGGTCACTCAGTGGGCTAGCACTATAAAACCGTCATAAGTCTGGACTAGTACACAAAGTCACACACACACACACATGTTGATGCAATTTGTTATGTTAAGTGCAATACTGTTTCACCCCACCTCACCTCAGAAAGTCAGCTTACATGGCCCTGTTTCACAAAGTGGTATTAGCATGATGACTGTCATGTGAGTATGTTTATTGCAGATGCAATCTCATTAAAATCAGATCTTAGTTATAGCTACTGCTAAACAAAGATCTTAGGACATCACATTTCGTGTCTCGTCAGACCAAACTTAAAACATCAACCCGAGCTTTACAGCACGAGTTTCAAACTGGCGACTTTGCTTCAAAGATATTTTGACATATACTCAACTAAAAAATTACAAACTGAACAAAAGAATATTCTGGAAGGCTAATAGATGGTCTATATTGTGGGAATACAGACATGAAGCCCATATAACTGTCGTTCAGAATACCCTTTTTGGAAACCTCGAGGTTGCACGCTAAAAAATCACATTCCAACTGTCACTTTCATGATCTGCTACGCGATGCTCTGATTGGTCAGATGAAAGGTCTTTCTGACATGACCCGCAATGGGATGTCCTCAGATCTTTGTTTAGAGGTAGCGAAAACTAGATTTTAATGAGATTGATTGCAGTAGTCATAGCAGAATTAGGCCCAGATCTGTGTGTGGAGTTAGGCCCAGGTCTGTGTGTGGAATTAGGCCCAGGTCTGTGTGTGAAATAAGGCCCAGGTCTGTATGTGGAATAAGGCCCAGGTCTGTGTGTAGAATAAGACCCAGGTCTGTGTGTGGAGTTAGGCCCAGGTCTGTGTGTGGAATAAGGCCCAGGTCTGTGTGTGGAGTTAGGCCCAGGTCTGTGTGTGGAATTAGGCCCAGATCTGTGTGTGGAATAAGGCCCAGGTCTGTGTGTGGAATTAGGCCCAGGTCTGTGTGTGGAATAAGGCCCAGGTCTGTGTGTGGAATAAGGCCCAGGTCTGTGTGTGGAATAAGGCCCAGGTCCGTGTGTGGAATAAGGCCCAGGTCTGTGTGTGGAATAAGGCCCAGGTCTGTGTGTGGAATAAGGCCCAGGTCTGTGTGTGGAATTAGGCCCAGGTCTGTGTGTGGAATTAGGCCCAGGTCTGTGTGTGGAATAAGGCCCAGGTCTGTGTGTGGAATTAGGCCCAGGTCTGTGTGTGGAATTAGGCCCAGATCTGTGTGTGGAATTAGGCCCAGGTCTGTGTGTGGAATTAGGCCCAGGTCTGTGTGTGGAATTAGGCCCAGGTCTGTGTGTTGAATTAGGCCCAGGTCTGTGTGTGGTAGAAGGCCCAGATCTGTATCTGGAATAAGGCCCAGATCTGTGTGTGGAATTAGGCCCAGGTCTGTGTGTGGAATTAGGCCCAGGTCTGTGTGTGGTAGAAGGCCCAGATCTGTATCTGGAATAAGGCCCAGATCCGTGTGTGGAATTAGGCCCAAAGGTATGTCAAATCATGATTGAAGAGCATATATTTGGTTTTGATAGATCAGGTTTTGTTAACAGAGGTATTCACACAAAAAATCCTGCAACATTATTAGATTGCTTCTCAACAGGGCTACAGTCAAATTATTCCCAATGAGACATTTTGTTCCCAACTCTTGAGACCTACAGCAGGTACCCGGGTAGGGACGGATACTAGCGTGTTGGGTACCCGGGTAGGGTCGGATACTAGGGTGTTGGGTACCCGGGTAGGGTTGGATACTAGGGTGTTGGGTACCCGGGTAGGGACGGATAATAGGGTGTTGGGTACCCGGGTAGGGACGGATAATAGGGTGTCAGGTACCTGGGTAGTAAATTTGGACTTTTCCCAGCCCTAGTTTCTTCCAATGTCATTGGACTGGAGACCAATAAATGTAGGATAGTAAAAGAGCTGTCTATCATGTGATCTTTACTTCACTCCTTATATTAGGATTAGGCTGCACCAATCAATGATATGCACTCACTTACAGAACAAGTTGAACTACTCCAAATTCTTATAACAACAAGCAGACAAGTATTTCATGTAAAACAACTGAAACTAAATCAAATTTGTTTATGGAGATAGCACCACAATCAGTGGTCAGATCTGCTGCACTGGGGTCGTGGTTTGGAGAGTTAGATGAGAGTTTCAAATTTAGTATATTTTTAAAAAAATTAAAAATTAAAGTTAGATGAGATATAATGGCCCTCTCAGTGGATATACTGCCTACATATGACAACGATATGTGCGTTAAGTAGAAAGGCAAAGCGGTAGAACGACTGTTACATCAAAACTTACGTCATGATATTCATGAACTTTTTTGTGTATTCATTCCTCTGTACTATTTAATAATGTTCAACAGGAAGGTTTACTGTTGTCCTGCAAAGTGGTCCCTTCAAACACATGTCCATTGCTTTGAAATATGATTTACCACATAATAAGTCTTGCATCTGAAGTGTTAAATGCTGTGGTTTTATTGAGATATACTCATGTTCTGAAGGGGATCTCCAGCTATTTATAACATTATGAATGGGAAGATTGAGCCACTGTAAAGTACACCATGAGGGAAAGATCTGACTGAGGCTGAACCATGTCTCCCGGACATAATAATTCAGTTTTGTGTCATTACATTCATTATTCATTATTTTTGCTCCTTTTTTTTCAAATTTAGTATTTTTTATTAAAAATAACACTCAATCGCTCCTCATAATAGATCTTCCCTCCTAAGTTTAGGCTACTGGAAATTTCAAAAATATTTTGTCACTCACTTGCTCCTCATACTTGCATCCAGGATCCCTATGAACTAAATGGACTTATGTACAGTATATCTAGGCTGAACCATCCTCCTCCTATGTTCAACATATCTGAAATCAAGGGGGTAGTATCTGGCCTAGGCTGAACCATCCTCCTCTTATGTTCAACATATCTGAAATCAAGGGGGGAGTATCTGGCCTAGGCTGAACCATTCTCCTCTTATGTTCAACATATCTGAAATCTCGAGGCAGGATCTGGCCTAGGCTGAACCATCCTCCTCTTATGTTCAACATATCTGAAATCAAGGGGGGAGTATCTGACCTAGGCTGAACCATCCTCCTCTTATGTTCAACATATCTGAAATCAAGGGGGGAGTATCTGACCTAGGCTGAACCATCCTCCTCTTATGTTCAACATATCTGAAATCAAGGGGGGAGTATCTGACCTAGGCTGAACCACCCTCCTCTTATGTTCAACATATCTGAAATCTAGAGGCAGGATCTGGATCTGGAAAGGTTTGGCTTAGGCCAAACCATCCCCAAGGAAGAACTGGCCAGGAGAAGGTTTAGCCTACTAAAAGTACTTACAGACAACAAGGGGTTGAGTTTGTACTTGCTTGTATGTGGAGAAATTCAGCATGGATGCCAGGGGTGCAATATGTTGTTTTTTCTCTGTGCCTACTTAATTCTGGACACTGCATGGCTTGCCACTGTTTAATACCTGGACACGGAATGCTTTGCAAATTCTCCCTGCTGGTATGTACAAATAATATGACTAGGGGTGACTATTGAGGCATTTTTGGCTATTGCGATAGTTAAAACAACTATTGCGATACTATTGCGATAGTCGCCCTACTATTGCGATACTATTGCGATAGTTTTCACTTGCAATTATAGCAGGCTTAAGCAGCATATATTTCAGCATTTTGACTGACACCATCAAAATAATTATAACTTTCTGATACTATTTGTAAAGAAAACAAGAAATGAAAAGAAAACAAGTTCAAATTGACCTTTCAAAAACATGTTAATACAAATTTCACTTCATGTAACTGGTAAAGTCTTAGGTAACTGCAATGTTTTAGCACCAATGTGAATGAATGTGATTGAATGACTAGTATTTGACTATACAAACTGTCAAACTCTTTAATTGTTTTTTAAGAAAGTAAATGTACCAAACAAATTGACAATCGAATTATCGATACACCTCTAAATATGACCGTGTGCCTTGTGTTTCAGTGTCTAAAGATGAGGAGGCTGCAGAGCGTGAATCAGAACGAGCCACACAACTCAACCCTCTGAGAAGATCCTACTTTTGCCCCGACTGTGACCAACAGCTTTCTTTGACTGCAACAGAGATTCTCAAACACAAGAAATCTCACAAAGAATGAGAGCTGTCTCTTGCTTGACCAACAGCTCTTCTGACTGCAACAGAGATCAATGTGTGTTTGGTCTCTTGTCAAGATGGCAGCACTGTTGGTGTGACCCAGTGTCAGTGTGAACTGTCAAGGTGACAAGTCAAGATGGCTGCCCCCATGGGGATCCAGGGTTAGAATATGCCCACAACATGAATCGGGGAATCTGCAATAGGGTTTGCCTGGCGTCCAGTAATGGTCAATTTCACATTGTAAAACATGGTACTAAATAATGATAAATTTGGTTTTAGTTCATGGCAAGCGAAACCTTTCAATGACTATTAATACCTGAAGGTCATGTCCGTTGTTTATGTCATTCACACTTTGAAAGACTAGTTTGATTCAGGCTCAGCTGCTGTATTTACAGAAGGCAATGGAGTCTACACATATCTAGGTTTGTAACACTATCCAGGGGGCACGGGTGGCCCAGTAATCTAAGAAGTACCAGGATGTTGAGTACATTGATATATTTGATGTGTTGAAACATTTGATGGGACGTTGTTCACAACACAAATACAATGGTCCAGTCGTCTCAGGCGTCGAAATTTGCTGTGCAGAGTTGCGTCCCTTAGGCACGCCAGAAACCTATGATTGTGGATTCGAATCCCGGTTCGCCCTGATTATGTTTCTAGGTGTGTCAGCACCATACCCGCCCTCGTGGGTTTCACTGAAGTGGTAAACGTCTAAGACCTGCATAACTTCGGGCTTTCCACCCACATTAAGCTGACACGCTGTGATATAACTGGAATACTGTTAAAAGCGTCATTGAACACAACTCACTCACTAACACTATCCATGCTTACAATCTGAAATTTTCTGAAGGTGAAGGTCATTAGACTGGAAGTGGATATAACTTTCTAACTAAGGTAGCTGTAGGCATCAATCTCACTGTTTTGAAATTGTACTGCAATAGGCTTTGGTTTTTTCTGCAAGTGACATCATCTGATTGGTTGGTTGGTTGGTTAGCTCGTTGTTTAACGCTGCACTCAGCAATATTCCAGCTATATGATGGCGGTCTGTAAATAATCGAGTCTGGACCAGACAATCCAGTGATCAATATCATGAGCAGATCGTGATTGATATCATGAGCAGATCATTATCGATGACATGCATCAACCAAGTCAGCGAGTCTGACTATCAAAGCCTTGTCAGTCACCTTTTACGGCAAGCATGGGTTGCTGAAGACCTATTCTACCCCAGGATCTTCATCTGATTGGAAATTTGACATATGTGATTTCAGAACCTTATGTGAGTAACATCTCAGATTTGAGATTTCACTAACAAATTCCAGAGAGAACCAATAATGAATATTTAATGAGTCAGCCGCGTAAAGAGAATGATTAACATTTAAACATGTAATTTCTCCTTAGTGGTGCCATTGATTTTTGGTCATATCTGATCTTGTATCTTCTTGTTTGCATAGCATGTAAACTGTCTGCCCCATGTATGCTCTAACAGTTGATTGTACATGTTGCTGGTTGGTTGGTTTGTTGTTTAACGCTGCACTCTTCAATATTCCAGCTGTATGACGGCGGTCTGTAAATAATCGAGTCAGTGATTAATATCATGGCATCGATCCACGGAATTGGGATACGATGACATGCATCAACCAAGTCAGCGAGCCTGACCTCCCGTTAGTTGCCTCTCACACTGCAGGAACATGATAACACACAGACCACATACCAATATTAAAGAAGAATATTTACACATCATCGATCAATATGAATTCTTCCCTTAAATAATTTAGGACACTGATATTCCATTGTCTTGTCTCTAACATATCAATAAATGTACGTTTACAAAATGTGTTCCTATATCAATTTCCATAAGTATATATATCAGCTTAGTCCATGGACTTTATAGCATTGAGACTCTCGAGGGATGAGAGATCAACTGTATGGCTCCCATGACTATATTCAGTGATGAGAATTTTTTTGTGGGGGACTATATCAGTGTTCGAAATACCTGCCTGCCCGACCGTCCGAGACGGGTTGATTTCAACTCGGGCTGCCAGATTTTCAAATCCCCCTGCCCGACGGTCGGGTTATATTTCACATGTGAAAATATTCTAAATATTTCCCGATGATAATCATTAATTCATATGTAAAGATGAATGTTAAAATGTAACCAAAAAGAAACCCTGTTAGCTTATCCTGAGAAACATATGATTATAGTGGGCAGGCAGGTTTTGGTCAGGGCTGGCAAGTATTTCAGCTAGCCAGTCCTGTGGTCTGGCTGAAATTTTTGGGAGTTTCATACCCTGACTATATGATTTATGCACATATGGTAATGGCATGTATCACAAATGTGACCCTTGATTTATTTAAATCCCTGGAATCGCAGAAAATTTCCATCCCTGTCTAACCAACCTCAGAGGAATAGTTCCTTGTGCCCCTGAATGATCTCGTAATGTAGTGGAATAGTGATAGGGGACCACAAGAGGCACCAACATTGTTATTTCAAGTGATTAAGGATTGTGCCCTCTCTCAACCTATGAGAAAGGGCTTTGAAGCAGTCATTCTCAAGCTGCATTTCAAACGCGCCCACGCCAACTGCAAGTTGACATTCTAGCTTCGGGCCTACTTGTATCACGTTACTGACATCTTCCCGAGGCAAGAGAGTTAACTGACTATAAAAGTCCAGTTTCCACCCTTGCCGAACTAGGCTGGTATTATGGAGTTACATTTTGGCTGGACCAACGAGTCTATGCATAGTCCAATCAAAATCGCGCACCGAAATTGAAATCCGGTTCGTAAACTGGCGTGCAGATTTCGGTCGATTGCAGGATATGCAAAGCATGTGCACCAACAACTCGTTGTCAGCAGATATTTTCAAAATCTTCTCATGTTTTTAATCAAGGTGCTCACGTGATTTGATGCATTTCGCGATGTAAGACCCGTTTTATCACAATATATAAATATTGATTATCGATCAGATCGTCCTGACCGGGCGCAACCATTTTGTGTGAAGCAAACGCAAGTGATACGAGAGGTGGAATCTGATTGGTCCTTAGGAGAGGCTTAGAAGGGACATAATTGGTAATAACCACTGGTGGCGCTACGATCGAGCCCAGTAATTCCAGCCTAGTTAGGCAAGGGTCGAAACTGGACTTTTAAAGTCAGTTAACTCTCTTGCCTCGGGAAGATGCGCTATTGACAGCTTCCATCGATTTGGAAAATTGGATGCAGATATTTGCGTTTTGACGATATCGATATGTTTCACAACAGGGCAGTACCCAAAGGGTACCGTAACCGATAGTTGTTGCTTCATCGGGTCGTGTGTAACCACATATTGCTGGTCTCCCCTCATGAAACACCGTCTTGCCTTGATGCCATTTCAGGTCATTGTCCAAAACACTGTTTATTAATTTTCATACGCAGTAGTATACTTAAAATTGAGACTTTGATCTTGTGCGTCATGAGAATGCGTTCAAATTTTATGCATTCCAAAGTTCATACAGGCCGTCCAGTATGAAATGGACGTTGCTGCAGATATTACAAAATACTAGGTATTCATGTTTGACATTTACCAGTCGGAAAACACGCGATCTAGCCACGTCGTGATCAGGACCTGCATGCACGTGTATGCGTGTGTGTGGCTGCTTGTACTAGTCCGGACTAATGCCGATTATAGTGCTAGCTCACTGAGATACCATGCCGCAGTTTAACATGAATACCCCACTCAGACACAGTATACTGATTCCGACAGAATCTGTTAGAGCGATAGGTAGTCCCAGTTGGTCTCGCTTCCATGTAACACCCACCAATTGTAGCTATCAAATTCTCATTGTCATTTTGGTGTCGGACCTATGGGAAAAACCAGCTCATGCAGTAATTATTGTGAGGTGAGGTGAAATGGCGTTTAAACTCCCGTCCAAGATTATTGCACTTATATAGCGACGTGCATGCACGTGTATGCGTGTGTGTGGCTGCTTGTACTAGTCCGGACTGATGCCGATTTATAGTGCTAGCTCACTGAGATACCATGCCGCAGTTTAACATGAATACCCCACTCAGACACAGTATACTGACTCCGAGCCGACCAGTCCTTGTTTTAGCCCCTTAATGCCGAGCGCCAGACAGGGTAACAACAAGTACCAACTTATAACGTCTTTTGGTATGACGCGGTCGGGGATCGAACCCCGGACCTTACGCTCTCCGGGCGGACGCTCTACCATTAGATCACGGAGGCGGCCCAGTAATTACTGTGACATTGATCAGTTTGAAATTGCTGATACTGATCCAAGTAGTATCTGGTTCGTCCGTTCTGCTATCTCAGCTGTCGTTTTTGACGTTTTTCTCCTTCTAAATGTCAAGTCTATGTATATAATTTATTAATGAACCAGATTGGAGTGGATGTGTTGAACACTCAGGATGTTCATTTCAGCTGCAGCAGCTAGACAAGCAGACGACACATGAAATCGGAGACACAGGTGTAAGTGCCAGCCGTAGCATGCAGTGTAGACTAGTTAAACTTCTGTCCGTCATCTGTCTGTGTCTCCGCAGTTATGTGGTGTACTGTTCGTGTACGTACAAGGAACACTGGATTCGCGGATCGTATCAAATCCCAACAATGGACAACCCATATTCCAAAATTCTTTCAGGGCTGACTCTGTACGAGTGTTTAGCTACTTGTTTCGTCAACACCGCCTCGTGCCGGTCGTTTAATTACTGGGCGAATTCCTCAGTCTGTGAGTTCTTTGCTATATCTCTGAAGGACAATGGCAACGAGGAAGAAGGCACCAGTGTCCACGCCATCTACACGGACATGGCCACCATGCCACCGGTAGGTTGACTGTTACTTTCTAGGAATATACCACGTAGCGTATGTGATCTTTTCTTTCAGGGCCTCTCACAAGGTCATCAATCCGTCATCGTTATTCAGAATGCTAGATCAATAGTGATCGGTGACAAGTGGTTGTGAGAGATAATTTTACAGTACAATTCTTTCTTAACAGCATTGCCGGGAGGATAAACATTGACGTTTTATTATCAGACATGAAAGCTATAATATTTGCTTTTAATAAGGAAATGAGGCAAATGCAAATTTTACAAACCGCATCTTACTCGGACAATACGATATGTGCTTCTTAAAGCTGAATATTTTATACACTCTCAAGGTTAAACTTGTGACCATGTTGCGGTTCCTCAATCAGCGGATCCTGGAACGGTTTAGGGACGTAACCCTACATGCTCGCCTTTTTTTCTAAAGGCAACATGTTGTTATAACCATTCCAGCACATATTTCTACGTCCCACCAACATGAAGTTTTAGCTATTTTTGTCGTCATGGATATAGATACATTATATTAGATTAGAATGTAATTTACTGTCATTTTACTTTATCATTATGACAAAAGACGTTTAGAGATGGAACGTGTTGTTACTCTGCCTGCGCGCGCCATGAAGGGGCTAAAACAAGGCCTGGTCGGCTCGCAGTCAGTCTACTGTGTCTGACTTGGGTTCACATGTTAAACTGCGCCATGGTAACTCAGTGGTCTAGCACTATAAAAAAAAACAACAACAACAAAAACAAAAACCCCATTAGTATGGACTAACACAAGCAGCCTCAGCCTCAGCCGCGGCCATGCAGGTAGGCAGGCACGCACATGCATGCTATATCAGAGCAATATTCTTGAACGCGACTTAAACTCCATTTCACCTCAAGCCATGTTCGAAAATAATCTTAAGATGCGAATCTACCAACACATTGGTATCCTCTGACACTGAGAGCATGTACTTTTCTTCAATAATAATGCCCGGTGCTCCACATTTCTGTACGATAGAATGAAATTGTGGATACCTTTAAATTAAATGTGTTGCAGATAATTGAATGTTGAATTTTCTCTAATAGATTAAAATTAACATCAGTCAAAGTTTTTTTGGGGCCAACAGTTCCTACAACTTCCTACAATCACATTTGTTTTATCCACATGTACATGGATGAAAATGACACCAGAATATTTATTTCTATGGACAATAATGCCTGCATCATATGCAAATAATATCAGATTCTCTATGTATTGATATCCACATAACCATACAGCTATCAATTTCTTATCGTCTTCACAATACTTGTGTAAACATTTTACCTGTGATACTCAATCTATATTTTACCTATTTCCACATTTATGAAATGGAAGACTCAAACAAATGTTTCACGACTCGGGTAAGGAAGGACCCGCGTCCGGTATCCTGTGATGTGGTGGCTTTAAATCTGGAATCAGGAAAATCATTTTGTTTTAAAATAACTGTCGAGGAACTTTGTGGTAGTTCCATGTACTTATTTAATCATTGCAGCTTAATTGATTTAATAATTGCGGCTTAATTGATTTAATAATTGTGGCTTAATTGATTTAATAATTGCAGCTTAATTGATTTAATAATTACAGCTTATTTAATTAAATAATTGCAGTTTAATTTCCTGTTCCGTACGTTCTTAGTCTTTACGAAATAAAGTCTTACAAAGTCAGAATAAATCCTGAATCGAGGTTGCTATTGCATAAATCTCATTAAAATCAGGTCTTAGTTCTCGCTATCGCTAAACTTAGCGGCAGCGAGAACTAAGATCTGATTTTTATGAGGTTGCTATTGTATGCCTGGAGTATGAACACCAAGTGTCTGCAGTTGTCCTCGGTAGGTGCAGCAATATCTCGTTTTGCATTGATCTAAACCCTTAGCAATTCTTTCGGTTTAGAGATAACTAATATTCCATTTTATCAGTTATTTTCTGATTCTATATGCATTTTTTCAAATAACAGCCTTTATTAATTTCGGATGTGACTATAAGTAAATACTCTTGTTTTAGCCCTTTAATGATCGTCAAGCGAAGTACAAATGTGATGGTAAATTTCAATTAGTTGATAAGTAGTACAATTGTTTGGCATGAACCCCGATTGATAGTTTATTCTCCAGAAGGTAATTATATACTCTTCAAAAAAAGAAACTTGACACTGACTTTCAAAATGTAATATAATGCGATTGTTTCAAAATAGGACACAGAAACCATAATTGAAACACTGTTTCCTTACAAAATTTTGAATATTTTAGTTATGTTGACGTAATATACACTTCATTTGCTGGGCAGGAGACTTGGACACGTTAGTGGCAAACTCTTCTTTTTTTTACAATTTCCATGGCAACAAGTTCCACCTCGGTTAAAAAAGGTTGGGGTTTGTTTAGATTTACTTATGTCCTACATTCTGCAACAGGGGCGGGGGATATAGCCACGTTAGTGGCAAACTCTTGTTAGAAGTATTTTTGAAAGGGGTGGTAAATTTTCGAAATATACATCATGGGTAATAGGAAAAGAAACTGCAGCACAAACAGATCTGTTTTGAGTCGTTTTTGTACATCTGTCAAAGAATAGTCCATTTATGACGTCACAAGATTAGCCTCACATGTATGCGTGCGCGTTTCTGTCAGCAATCTGCAATAAATGAACACATTACAAATACAGACAATTCTTGTGTTTAATTCAGTTTACAAGTGAAGATGAAACGTCATATCAAAACAATCCAGTTTCGCAGTGGTAATCGATTTACACACAAAGAAAAAATATCAAAATATCCTATCATGGAAATATCAACTCATTTACGGGGAATGGAATGCCACTGAATGAATTTTTAAAGAGTCTAATCTGCTTGTATCTTGTTCCTTCTTTATAGAAGTAGCAGGCATGATATATGTTCATTTGTCCTTGATGAGCAGAAAGGATGTTTCTTGGTGCAGAGACACATCTGAACAGGTTAATCTTTTTGCTTCAACGTCTCCAACAACGTACCGTGCGCTGTGCTACAACGACTTGCCAGTGCATCACGAGGGGAATCAATGAGAGCACTCATGTTTGTGGTAGTCTCGGAGCCAGTCTCAAAAGAGGCCTTAGAAATGACAATCGTTAAAATGTGTTAGTAGAAATGTTTAACTAACATATATTCATAGACCATGTAATACTGTTCTCATTCATACATGTTGGCACTTGGCATGACATGTGACCTTGAAGGTCATATCATATCAAGGCCAAATATAACTACAACAAACTCCAGAGACATCAGTCCCATCATAATTCAAAACAGATATTTTCCAAACAAAATGTACTTTAGTTATAAGATACACACTGTTGATAGAATTTGCATTGTCTTGTCTGACCGCGACATCCTGACTCTGTGCCACCGCAAATCGCAAGATGAGGTGAGGTGAAATGGGGTTTAACGTCCCGTCCAAGATTATTGCACTTATATAGCGACGTGCATGTATGTGTGTGTGTTTGTGTGGCTGCTTGTACTAGTCCGGACTGATGTCGATTTATAGTGCTTGCTCACTGAGATACCATGCCGCAGTTTTACATGAGTACCCCACTCAGACACAGTATACTGACTCCGAGCCGACCAGTCCTTGTTTTAGCCCCTTAATGCCGAGCGCCAGACAGGGTAACAACAAGTACCATCTTTTTTTACGTCTTGTGGTATGACGCGGTCGGGGATCGAACCCCGGACCTGCCGCTCTCCGGCCGCTCTACCACTAGACCACGGAGGCGATCTAAATCGCAAGATGAACCCAGGCTGCGGAAATAACAGCTTTGGTTGTGAACAGAGGCTGAAGACTTCCGTCTTTAGCTGTCCATCCACAATCAATTGATGATGGCAATTCTGGTTTGGGTACATGGGACTGATTCCAGACAAGTGATTGATGGTGAGCTCGTTTCATGTGTAAACAAAGGGCATCAACAGTTGGTGGTAATTTGTCAATTTGTTTCGTCATATTTAGGAAGAATAAATAACGTAGGCTTTGAATGGAAGTAAGATGTGTTCAAGGATCATAAAGTTGGCAAACAAAAGCTTATGCACGTGCTAAATCCTCTGTTGTGGGGATCTGTATACAGCCAAAATGCATGATTAGTTTTGGATTCTTCTCTAAACATTTCCATGCTGCTTTCTTTGAAATTCCAGAAAAGTGGCGTTTCACATCCTGTAGGGCATTAAATACAATTAGGCTACGACGAATATCCGAAGGGAGCTTGATGGAATGCACTTAAATGAACCTTGGATCCTTATATGTTCCAGCCTACACCCAGATTTCTTTGGTCAAGCTGGAATAGAAGGCAATAAGAAGTATTAAGACATCAGTGTCACTACAACTCACAACAGTGCGTTGTGATATCCTGAGGCTTACGCATCAAAGGCATGAAGAATGATCCGAGTGAGAGCTTCTTCATGGGTGGATGCCATACTTGAAGCATCTCAGCCAGTTGATGAGAAACTCTGGTCAATCTGATCAAACCTACCACTTCTCCAGGTTGGACATGGGCTAGTTCTCTTGAAAAAAAACTTGCTAACGTGGCCTCGCTCTCATTCAATCCAATGAGTGAGTGAGTTGGCTTTAACGCCGATTTTAACAGTATTCCAGTTATATCGCGGCGTGTCAGCTTAATGTGGGAGGAAAGCCCCAAGTGATGCAGGTCTCAGACGTTTACCACTTCGGTGAAACCCACGAGCACTGGTATGGTGCTGACAAACCTAGAAACATAACAGGGGCGAACCGGGATTCGAACCCACGATCATAGGTTTCTGGCGTGGCCAAGGGACGCAACTCTGCACAGCAAATCGCGGCGCCTTTGACGACTGGGCCACCCGTGCCCCCTTCAATCCAATGAACCGCTTCCAGTTGTCTGGTAGTTTGATTTATTGGCTGCCAATCACTCTCTTTATTGGTCTCTGACCTCCAGTACGACGGGCTCTTGTTCCACTTTTAATGGACCACTTGTCATACCGATCAAAGACCACATCCA